ATTTACTACTGTTGCAAGTACAGGACACACCTACGACGACCCACCAACCCACTGAACAAAGTCCACTTTCTTCAATTCGAAAAACATCAAATGACAAGTGCAGCTTGGAATTCGTTTGCTCATTATGCAATTCGCATCTACTTTCATCCACAGAATATGTATGCAGAGCATTAAGAACCATGCGCTTTCTTGCGAAAATTGTGGATTGCATGCAGGACGAAAGTGTGCTGCAATTTTATTTATAGTTTGCTCGGGTGCAGAACCTCGGTTTCTTTTAATTAGCATTTTATTCTCTCACATTAATTCTTAAGTGATCTGTCAGAACCGAATACAAATGTCTTGACTTTTAAAACTAATAAACCAATCCTTATGAAAACACAACGAGCGAGCACACGAACGAATTGCACAAAACAGCCGGATTCAATTAAGAACGATAATGATAAGCAATGCATGATAAAAGGGTCATTTAAGCCGCAGCAGGAAGAATACCATCGTTGCATTTCCAAAGTGTTTTCCTGGTGCACTAAAGTTAATGTGGGATAACGAACGTGTTGGTAAAGCTAGGAGGAGACTATTACTATTCGCAATCAAAGACCATTTTTGTTTCAGATGACGCCACGAGGAGTAATTTAGCATTTATTTACATACGTACAGCTCGGTATAGTTCAAGTTTTTTTTTAATTTGGGCGTAAATAAGAAATAAACAGCTGCATTGAATGTGACATGTGATACCACTTTGATAAGAAAGAAACCCAGAAACCAAAACTAAAAACCCGAGCGATCCAAATATTCTAATCGTGTCCAACGTCAACCATAAGTTGGCAAGTGTTGGTGGAATTGGGGCCGCAATCGCATCAAATTAAATAGCTCTTCGACTACTTATTCACTGCCGACCAACCGCTTCAAAACGCGTAATAAAATAACTCGAGACTTTTGCACAGTTCTCGACGTGTATTTCATAATGATGCACATGGGCAGAAAACAAATGGTGCCAACCACACGCTCCACCAGAGGAGTGGCGTGCAACAAATTTTTGAGATGCCTATTTTGAATCTGTCACCCTTCTCTCGCGACCAGATTCGATTGCTGCCAACGAACGGTTTGTGGGTTACCCACGAGTCTCCTTTCCTCCTTCAGTCCACATAACTGACATCCAGCCGTGATGATGAAATGATGATACGCTCCTCACGAGTTGCATGCTTGCCAGATCGCAAAATTCCATTCCACGTACAATGTGAATACTGATCGAAAAACTTTTTCGAAAAGTCATGCCAAAAATTTGCAAAATCAACAATAAATAAAAAAGATTGGACATTGCAAATTTCCAGAAGACACTAGTTAGCTGGCATGTAATCTATTGCAAAGATACGGGTATTTAAATTGCAATGAATTTGCCGTGGTTAGAGGAGAGAGACATATGTGTGGCTTGCATTTTGCTGTTGAGGTTGGTTTGATCACCAACGCGAAGTCTTCGTACTTGCCGAAAAGCAATACTATTTGATACTTTATGATTCATGGGGTTCGCGCCATAATAGAAACGGTGTCAATTAATCGTGGCAAAAATGCTCCTCTGTAATATGTGCTTGGGTACAAACGGAGAACAAGAGTTGTGCACATTTCGGAGGTCGTACGATTCCAAGCATTTGGTGGGGTCACGAACAGGTTGTTCGTTTTCATACTCGTAGGAGATACAATTTACAAATCAACACTGGCTGATGATTCGATGGCCTGAAGGTCGAGTATTTTTGAGCCGGCGAACAACCGGACTTTGGACCCCAATGTTTGGCACTTCTATTTCCAGTTTGTATAGTTTGTGTAGAGTCTGCCAAATCCTATTAATTATGCATTCACTCCTTTCACTACTGACTACTACATATCTCACTCGCCTCCCTACAACAGCACTCGCCCGATCTGAGGAGACGGATGGATGGATGGACGGTCTTTTACTCTTTTCATAAATTATTATGACGCTAAACGATTGTATTGCACACATATCTGGGTTGCGTCTATTTATCGGGATAGAGTTGCATCAATAAGTTTCCAGCCCTCCTACGACAAGAAGATAGATAAGTACATGGATATTGTCACATCATGCTTGGCCGCATCATGAATAGAATGAATGGGAAAATTTATTAGGCAACCTTTGCAAATCTTATGGATATTTATCTGCACTTCACATAGCATGTCTTTTAATGAGTACAATTTGTGCATTGTGGGATTAGCATTTTACTTCATGCATCCACCGACAGACACGTTTGTCGTCTTTCCAAGTCGAAATTTATATGGGGCTATTAATAATTCGTGTTTATTATGTTCCCTGCAAACAAACATTGACTTGGTTTGTTGTCAACATGTTAAAACTGCTTCAAATTAGATTCCAAATTGCTTTCCAACTTACAATTCCAGTCTCAAAGTTGACTGAGCCAGGGAAGCCAACCAACCAATGGTGATGACAACTTTTCTTCATTTTTCCCATCTGCCTCTCTCAATTACAAACTCGTAGAATCAATCATAAAATTACAAGAAATGACATTTTCATTAACGACAAAGATTCGATGGAGCATGACAAATCACGAGGACGGATGCTGATTTCCAAGTGATCTCTGACTTGACATAAAAAATGAGATCAGGAGGGCAACACAGGAGAGAGAGAGAGGCTAATCATATTTCTCATGCAATATAATATTCATGTAGCTGTTGTGATTCTGCATTACTGGCCCTAAATATCTGGGTACGGAGATTATTGATTCTATTTATTTATTTATTTAACTTGGTGCTCTTGTTGTCGGCACGTCATTACGAAATAAATTGTGAGATAATGAACCAATACGAGCAAACTTACACTTGAGAACTAAATTGCTAAATTGTACCCACGACGTCCCCTATTTACAGAATTATTAGAGGAAAGTCAAACGTGTGGGTTGAGTGAGATGAGATCCGTTAAAAACTCAATCATTATGAAAGATGTTTTTTTATGCTTTCATTCTGAGAATACGCTCCTCGACTCGTTGTTGAACTGAAATAAATATTTTCACTATTGAATTAGAGTCTATTTCTGTTCGTAACAAGGTTGCGCAAGAATTTGTGCTTTTGACACCGTGGGCGCCTAACCTAGCCTAACCACAGAGATTCGAGATCGGGACCTTCGCGTTTTCAGGCTTAAATAAATTATGCCCCCCTGTCCCATGCGGATGGATGGATGGAGGCAACCAACTTTTTTTTAGAGATTCCCTCTCAGAGAAAGTTTATATTTTGGAATTCAATAGCACATACCGCGGTAGAAGTAAAAGTACATATCCAGTAAAAACGTACGGTGTGCTGAACATGCATCATGAAAATTGTGCACATAGAAAGTATCTCTAGATAAGTACGAATCTGGGCTAAAAACAAGAGAAAACTTTCGGTTGGTTGATCCCTTTCCCACTGTTGACTGTGTGTGTCAACATTTGTTCGTGTGGGAGACACGATTTGACCTCGTGATTTTGTCAGATTTCATCAAATCAAACCAAGGATAAGCAATATATCTCGATAATAAATATGCGACGCTCACACAATTAGCACTTTATTATTAAACTCGTGCCTCTATATTATGACTGTAATTTTCAAAATTCTTGGGGGAATGAGAAACCAAAGCTGGTCAGAAGAACAGTATCTATGCGATCCACTCTCAATTTGAAATATTTTTCATATCTAATGCTACAGTGTAGATTCATGATACGGTGTAGCAGCTACACCGTATCATGAATCTCCAGTACATAGAATCATCAAATAAGTAATACATCATGCGAGTTGAAAAATGGATTTGCAGAAAATAATGTCTCCAGCCATCTTTCTCAGCAGCACGAGGTGATCGGTTTTTAGCTGTACCTTATTTTCTCTTCTTACCTCGTTGCAGAGATACATACGCCAGCTAATTGGCGTATGGTTTTTAGACTTGTTTACCAGTTCGAATAATGTTTCAAGCAATTATTTTGTAAATTGTAAATTTTCGTAGGCGGATTCAAGCACCGTAACCTATTTATCATTCAACTGGAGAAATGCAGGTTGGAGAATGGTAACAGGATCTCAACAGCACGCGGACAATTGTATTGTTCTTTTCACTATTGTTATCTATACGTATATTTCTAACAGACGATCTCATCTCACAGACAGACCATATCGATGACAATGCAAAACAACTAACTGCAGCTATAACTAAGCAAAACAGCGTACCAATTGTAAATTGTTTGGTTTTCAGTCGATGGAATGTAAAATAATCCATGATGAATCAGAAAACGTACCCCTAATTAAAACAGAGATGCTTAGAATTAGTGAGTAGGATGGGCTGACTGCTGGAATTATAAACATGCACAATAAAAATGTGCGGATTCATTAAAAGTGGTGATGGCAGTTTCTAAACAAACGGTATTGTGCAAATCATCATTTGAGTGGGATTGCGAGAATTATTTCTCAAATTCGAGATGGTGGTGGAAATTAGCTCGCATCAGTCAGCCCACAATTAATTTCCAGTCGGGGAAAAAATATATGAAGTCTTGCAGCTTCGGTGCGTCTAAAAAAACGACCATGAAAAATTAGCAAGCTCACGTTGCACTAGAGAATGCCTCACTACGACCTATTTGGACATACGTATATGTATGTATATACATCAACTTAATCGGAGTGCATACGAATAAGAATAACTATGCTATGTTAAAAACTGGTTTATTTTCTCTTTTTTAAATAGATAGAATTCCCCAAAATTTTTTATACATCTGGAATTGGTGCATGCATTTTGTGTTATCTTTACTGCAAGCTTAAAAATTTTAGCACGGTATCGAGTTTGAGTCGTTTTTGTTAACTAATTGATCCATTCTACATACATAATTTAATACAATGAACCGAAATCCTAGGGTGAATACAGAATGACAATTCTATTGACAATGGTACAAATGCAACAGTTTCATGAGATGAACCTACAGCGTTGAGATCATAGGTATGAATCAAAACGAGATTTGCCGTACCATTGTGACTGCCGGCCATGTGGGGATGTGAGTGGCTGGGAGGTGGGTTGACGGCCAAGGAGCTAAAGTTTTCCACAATGACTGAGGTCATGGACGCCGACGGGCTGCGTTGCTTGCTGCCCATGGGGTCACAAGAGGAGCAGTTGTGGGAAGAGCAGTGCCGTCCATCCTCATGAGGGAGGGAGTGGTGCGGGTGGGGCAGTTGCAGCAGGGGCACTGGCGGATGGTGGTGGTGGTGCTGACCCTTCTCGGCCTTCATCCTCTTCATTTTGGACGCCACAACTGGACTTGTCCTCAAACAACCTCTCGTAATACTAATCCCACTCGGTCACGCACTCTTATTGGCGGCCCACGAAATTCACAGATTCAGTCTCACACACTGTGGTCGTCGCCAATTTATTTTGTTGAGCTAGATTTGAAACTGGTCATGTATCCAACAGGCGACCGGAGGAGCACATGTGGCGTCGTGGGTTGGACACTTGAGAGGCAACTAGAACCCGAGCATGCATTCACTGGCATGGACGAGAAGAAGGCCACATGCTCAACATCCGCTTTCTCCGATTTCCCCCGTTTTTTCTCGGATTTTCTTGGCCACTCCGAAAAGGAGAGAGTTGTATCTCGGGCTAGTTGAATGGCAATGTCAGCTCAAGGTGGGAAAGTCGTAGTGCAAATGCAGACGTGAATGTAGCAGAGGAGAGAACAAGAGAAGAACACACTTGTTTTACAATTTTATAAGGAACACTCGTCGACGGGTGCTTGCTGCTTCTGCCGAGTGAGGTGAGAGACTGGCATGGATTCCTTGATCTTAATGTGTCAATTTAGCAGGAATAATCATTCATATCGAAATATCTCGACATTGTTACACTTGCGTTGGATGAAGAAATGCTAGGGACAAGTAAACGGATTGAGTGGCAGCAGTGAATCGAAGGCAGGTAGAAGTATTCGAGATTGGGGTGTTTTTTGGCAAGTTTGTTTATTCGCAATAATGAGCGAACTTTCTCAAGGCTGGTGGTCTGCTTGATGGACAGGATCAGAGAAAGGAGCCATTAGCAGAAGTATGTACTATGGTGGCTTGGCTGACAAACAACAATTTTCTCTTTGAATCCTTTGCGGCTCTGCTGCTGGTCGTTGAGCAGTTTGAATATTCTTCGTAATGCAATTTCTTACAATATTTCGCAGCCTTTCATGCTCCAACTTTTCGGCCGTATTCATTCGTACATTTTGTTGTTGCGAACTTCACTTTACCTGTGAAACTTTTCCCTTTGTGCAGTTTCGTCTTGTTCAACACGAGTCCTTTCACTCACTTTCACGTTCAAAGTACTAATAGTCCCCTTAATACAAAATATCCAAGAAACTCACAGCATGAGAATTGTAATTGAACGTTGTGTAAAATTTTGTACCAGGTTGGAGTGTGTTTTGATGGTTGATTACTAGTACATATTCATTATGCAGGTAAATATGTAAGTATGTAGATGAATACAGTAAGTAATATTTGCTTCATAAATAATACTTCCAGCGCAAACGTACATATTACTTTTCTGCAAACATTTCACTCACTGGGATATCCAGTTGAATTTATCTTTTTAAGTATAATTGCTGCCCATTGAAGAGACAGGAGTATGGCTGGATGACATGAAATGTCAAATCTTGAACGCTCCGATAGTAAATACGGCTTTAATTGTTTGTTATCTCCTTCGAGCAGTCCGTACGTATGTGCAAATGCAGTGTGTTGACACCGGTGTGGTGATAATTGGAGCTGGATGGAGATTGGAGATACGCACGTGATAAGATTTGCAGGTAACAATCAGTTGCTGGCTGCTCCTCGTGTCATCTCCTCTCATGAGAGGCTGGGGGTTCTGGCATATCCTAATGATTTTCAGTGCGGGACACCCCCAATTTGTAGACCACGTAAACTACTCACAATTGGTTACTAGGAGTAAGCACGATAAGTGCTGCACTAACTGCATTAATTACCCCTTCTCCAGATAAGTGCATGCTAGATATGCATTCTGTACGAAACGCGAAACTAGAGCTCGGTCAGAGATGTAAAGTATTTACGAAAACCAAAAAATCGGCTGATTCTGCAAGTTTTTGTCTTATGCTTATTTGTACTTATTTAACGTCACGACGACAAGTATAACTGGTTGGAGAAGTTGGTTAGCGTATGTAGTATCCATGTATCTGCTGAATACAGTTTAGGTGGAGCATCTCGTCGACACTAGTTACACTATATTTATAATGGGCTCCGTCCGTGTAACAAGCATGGGATTGAGAATTGGCAAGGTTATGAGGTTAGCTTGCTCCACATGTTGAGTGCGTACAATACATATTGCAACGTAATAAGACATTCACCAATTCAGCAACCCACCGATTATATGTAAGCTTGCTCACTATATGCATTCGCCAACTCACTCGCAGTCAGTTATCCTCGAGCTCTATAGCTCTTCTGCTTTTTGCAAATATATGCGCCAATGTAATGGCAAGATGATGATAATAATGTGAGCAAATGATGTGCAAAAACTAAGCGAACAACTTACTTTTTCGTCCCTGGCCATCAGTTTCATTAAATGATAATCACATAGTGAGGAGACTGGCAGTAGTGCTGGATGGACACATTATTATTACAGTGGCACGCAATTACATGGAGAATTCTATATGCACTACCACCGTATATTCGCGGTGTACTATGTATGCATTATTTACAGCGTGCTTAAAACCAGTCGCGGTGCGAGAATGTATGGCTCGGAATTAAATTAAACATGGATGAAATGAAAGCAATAATATAAACAAGTGGCAATATAAAAGCATGTGCATGTCATTATCGTCCAGGCATAAATTCGCCAAGTTGCACTAAAGGAATACTCAGCCTTGCCTGGTGTGGTATGTAGCTAGCATTTAGTTATTAGTGGATCGATCAGTATGAAACACCTTTTTCCACACCGTAACAATGGATGGATGGATTTTTTCCAGTACGGGGGGCGGAGTACTGTATAATTGCATTATTCGCTGGAATTAAGGTGGGGATTTACCTATGAGGCGCTGCCAATTATCCGACGCAATGAGCTACCTGAAGCCACCACTTTTATTATTTACATTCAAGATGTAATAAAGTGTAAACAAAAAACGCCATGCATTCTGTCGCAGCCCTTGGTTTTGACCAATTGTGTCAATAACGTGCTGGTTTGGGCAAGTAGATTAACTACAGTACGAATTATGTCAAAATATTACGACTAATGACTAATTGTAAGATCCGGTCAAGAAATCGATAACCGATAAGCAATATTTCCACCCACGATGTTTTTAATCGATTCACACGCGTATCAAGAAACAGCTCCTACCAATTTATACTTCATAATGAGGTACAAATGCAGGCACAAGAACCGGAGGACATGTAAGTCTTCCCGATACAAGCAAAATGTCTGAACATGTTAATGATCGTTTGTTTTCATGCATATTTTCAAAACTGAACTCCCTGCAGGTGTCGTAATAAATCATGAGAAGAAAAGAAAATCGGTTGGCTTTTACTGGTCTGCCCAAAGTTACAACCACGCATATATGCAACAAGTGTCACAGGTCTGTACCAGTTAATTAAATTGAAGTCCTGATTGCTTAGCGCATGAGAAGACGACATCTGTAAATTGCCATAATCTTTGTGCTACAGATCTAATCTGTGCTGATCTCCAGACTATCTTCCAGATATAACTGGAAGTAGTTAGATGCACAAAAATAATGACCCACATTCACTTTCGAAGATGAACTAGTGTCAACCAACCAACTCTTCATCGATCACATCGGTATTTTAAAGTGAGTCCAGCTAAAGCCCAATCGACGAAACCACTCGCTGACGGAGTGATCATTTTCACCCATTTCCTGAAAAAATCCCATCGTCCAAGTCCCAATGTATCAAAATAATAAATTATGGTCATTACTTTGAGAGGTAACCCCATGACCTGAGCACGTGTTCAATGTACATATGTATTTACATACGCGGCTGCTTCTAAATACAAGACGATAGATAGTTTATGTACTCTGCATAAAACGTCTCAAGTCCGTGTCCCCAACTTCGTGCCAAGTGTGTCGAGTTGCAGGATTAGAGTAAATACTGTGCAAGCAAAGAACTGTTTTATTTGATGGAATTCCCAGTCTCGGAGCATAAATTGAAGATTCTTGTATATAGGATTGAATCAATCAATAAATTATGTGATAAGGCTCCTCCTGCTACGGCTACGGGATGGACTAGTGAGAAAGTTTGTCTCATTATCAACATTTCACTCTTTACGCTCTCCGTGCCATGCGAATTTCAGTCCGGAATTCGCTTTTGGTCACTTTTAGCTTAACTTACAACAAATTGTTAATGAGAAACATTGTGCACATGGCATAATTCTGCTGTGGAAAAGTCAAGCTGCATAAAATGCATGAATGGTAGTTTAATTTTAAAATAAATGTGATCATGCCCTGCATCCTATAGTCTACCAAGTCATTATCATTAATCAAAATATTTAAAGTATTTGAGTATAAGAACATTATTCTCGCATATTATGCCAAAATAAGTGAACAATAATCTAAGCAGATTTAGGGCGTAAATCCCATAATTCTGCACACTTACACCTGGAAACCCCATAAAAACTGTGTACGTCTGCGAACGGAATAAGCCTACACATTTCTAAATAACAAAAATGTTCTACCCAGCAAACAACATAAACAATTGTAAACATTGGCGAGACATTTAATATTTACCGATACCCAATTAGTGGATACATTCGCACACAGCGTGGATCCCGCAGAGGGAGAAAATTAGTGGAAATAAAGAAAATCATTTTTTGGCTAGAACAAAAATTGGCAGTGGAACACAGACCGGGTCCAAAAAAACAATAATTTCCATCCATCAGACCATCAGACAAGAAAAGTGCAAGTTTTACGCACACACATTGCGTCATGAATTTGTAATTTGTGAACAACTTGAAGCTGGAGTTTGGATATTGGACTTGGACCCAACTCTAAACATGAATCATGCAAATTGTTCGTTTTATTGCCATTAATGCGCTCAGTAAAATACTTGTCATGTGGATAACTAATAGTTCAACTCATTGAACTTGAGCCGGTTTTTGATACAATTATTTAATCCACGTAATCCAACCTGGACCCACCTCCCAAACACTCCTGCTGATTGGTGGCACTTTGCGCTGGCTGAGTTCAAGGTGATACAACCCAGGTAATTATTGGTCCGGGTGGGTCGGTGTGGCATACATGTCAAGGAACAAACATGCACTTTTAAATACTACCAATTTTGTTGGACAATGCTTATGTTTGTACGTATTCTGAAATCATGGATCTGCGGGTTGATTTTACACAGTTCAAATTTATTGCATCAATGTGCAACTGTGCTGTCATTCTGTGTACGATTTCAAATCATCGATGTGTTACATACAAGCATTTCTTCTACCATTTCACTACATGCGTTTCTGGAGGGGCAGAGTGGTATTATTATTGACACGTATGTACGCTCGGCAGTACTAATTATCATTGTGCCTGCTCTATTAATAAGAGGTGACATATGAGCATAAGTTAATTTTGACCACAAGGTCGTACATACTACCTCAACATGGTTTCCTCTGACTGGCAAGATTTGATAATTTGCCAACAACATTTGACGAGCGACACACTGACCGACCATTGTGCAAAACATCTTATGTACCCCTATGATATGATAAAATATGTAAGTAACTTCCTGCCTGAACCGTCATCAATTTCATAGCATCGCCTACGCTATAATCATGATGTTGGTGCATACTGGAATTTACCCTGCATACATAGGTAATCCACAAAAGATGATTCAATTCCCAACAAGCACAAAGTTGACAACCCAGAGTTAAATATTCAAGAAAGGATTTGGTAAACAATTTAAAAACTGGAATTTACAAATGGCTGTAGTATTTATAAAGCAAACGTTTGGAAAATCCCACTCAGCAACCAATGAGGTTTAAACGCATGAATCTATGTGAATACGGTTGACGGTAATGGTTGCCACACCTGATTTGACATTTGACACGTTTCTAGATTGACTGACATGCAAGTCAGTCCTCCTTCCATCCAAGAGCTGGACGTTGAACGTTGGACGCCGCGAGAGATAAGACTAATCAAATACTTATCTCAAGTTTTGCACATTTGCACACTTATTTACTTGGTATTCTACACATATGCACCTAATGGCTTGGATGAGACATGGGGTAAACTGCTGGTGTTGCCGATATGCTCCAACTACTACTACCGACCACGATACCGTCTTTTGCAGATGTCAGCTTATCTTTGTACCCTAAGTTCATAGGTAACTCACAAGACGGCAGTTAAATATTTTTTTTACTTGCAGAATCACCTCGTCAAAGTGTCTAATGATGAGCGATACCATAACTTATTACAGAGTAGCGATTACTTCATGTCAATCTTGTAATTAGCTTATTCAGATAAGTACACAAAAGTGTGGATGATACAGCAGTTCTATGCAAACACTTGCATTTTACAACTATTTGAAATATTAGATGAAAATATTAGTTCAGTTTTTGAGTCAACTTTAAATCCACTTTAAATTCCTAGTCAAATATTTTACGAGTGTCGTATAAATTATTCTTGAGTAATGAATGATGAATTTCTTTTTGTGTGTGCTTCTCGTCGTATGGACGATGTTCTGCTAATAACGCGTGTTTGTGTCCTGTTTGCAGAGATGATATGTTGATGCTGTAATAACAGGAGGAGAGGGAAAACTGTGCATGCATGTAATCATGAATGATTATATTGCACTTCCATTGTTTGTCTAAGCTTTCACTTTCACAGAAAATTTACAAACTAAACCATTTAAGATATTTGTGCGTGAACATCATCATCATCGTCCACAAAACTGACGACTGACAGTGATTATGCAAGTATTTTAAGCAATGCAGATGTGATGCCTTCTCCTCAGCGCACTTTCTATTTCTGGTCTTCATGACTCTGGGGCTCACTCTGGGGACGCAGCAACTGGGACATAGCTTCAAAGGCGACGTGTAGCAAGTACAAACATAATTCTTGTATTTACTCGTGGATTGTTATCATGCCGTTCTCATAATCTGTACAATTTGCCTCCGTAATAACAATATTACTCTGTCGCAGTCCCACTAACTTAAAATTTGCACCTACCCAAATGCATGCTTACTCGGGAATAATTGCAGCATTGTCAAACTTGTGTCTTCTTGACTCGTTTATTAGTGCGATGAGAACCATCTTACTGACAATCTGATAGCTGTACGCATTTAGTTCCAAGATTCAATGGGTTTGATGATGAGAGGCATTCAAAGTCTAAACTCATATGTGTCAAAATTTGGTTTGATTTGTTGTGCGTACATGAACCGCAGTTTGTGTAGCTTGCATATTTTGTGTGTATGGCTATAGTTGGCATTATTATTAGGTATGGAGCAGGAGTCCTGATTTTGAGGATCTCTAGAGCTAATCTGCATAAATTAATACAATGAATGGAATAAGAAATGCCGGCAAACTGTTCGCACGTATAAAACCTATTAATAAACTTGGCTTGCGTAACGGATGCAACAATGCTGCACAAATCCATCTTCCTTCTTGATATCAGCCGCTGGTTTGTTGTAAACTCAAAGCAATAATAATAGTTTGGAGTTGAAATGAAGACGAGGTGTCTGCTGGTTGGCTTGGGATCATCAACGACAAGGGGGACGGACGACTTGAATATGGAAATTGGCTCCTATTTGACTTCCTATTTACTTCGCATCATTTGTTGCGTAAGCACTCTCGCTATTGTTACCTCAGGACAGGATGAATGGATTCACGGCACCAATAATGGAACAAGAGGCAAGCGATTTGTGTCAAGTGGTCATGCATTTGAAATATTCAAAGATATTCCGTCCTCCTCTCAAGTCGAGTTGGCCAGATCACATCAAACTCATGCGACTTCTTCTCTGTGTAAGCACAAGCATACATACATATGTAAGGACATACTTAAGAACACCTATTCGGTATTTGGTGTAAACTAAACCTCTCGTACAGGTGGTGATTTCTCATGGATTCTCACGAGTCAGGCAACGGTAAAGAATTCAGCTATTTCTATGTATGTATCTCCTCTCCAATACTGTGCAGATCCGGAAAGACGACAGTTGACAGTTGACTATTTCCTTGCACTATTTTCATCTAATGCATCCATTCACTTGTAAATATTCAGTATAGTTTTTTATACTCATGCAAATTGTAAACTCAAGCATCGAACGGAGTGCATACATATTTATTACACATCTCCTTCCCGTCTTCTGCTTGCAAATTATTTATTATGATAAGCTCTCAACATCACAATCTCTGACGCTAATAATGGACATGCTTTTGTGCAACTTAATACATACATTTATCGCCTAATGGACTTAATTACACCTGTCTTGTGATGACAAACACGAAATCCTACAATATCCTAGAATGGGTTGATACGATTAAGAGAGAGAGAGCAGATAGCTTAATTAAGAAGAAGGAGCCATATAATCTCGTCAAGTGTTATGCAGACAGCGCAGAATAATGCGATGATGCTTCTTTTAGCAGCATCCGATCAATTGCAAGTACGTTTTTTTCTGAGGACGTCAATACACAAGAATGCAATACGTCTCTCTCCACGCTTCAAACTTCAAACAAATTATTTGATCCACGATGAGGAGTAGTCGACACAAACAGTCTTTGTTCCATTGTCCGTTGACTTTTCAATTAAGAATCTAGGTGAAAAATGCAGCTAAAATTGTGAAATGGATAATAATAATAATAATATAATGAATAATAGGTATGATGTAAGACCAACCGTGTGTCCGTTGGGCTAAAGGTCATCCACCTTATCTCCTTCCCCATAGCTCCCTTATTTTTGAGCGTTAGGGTCCGTGCCTGATATTATGTACCATTTTTACTTGGTGGCCAGAGCATAATCCTCACAAGGCATATTATTCTACGCCCTTGTCGCAACATAAACAATTAAGGACGCACTTGTGGGAGGGAAGTGGCAATAAGATAATTACACCATTTATTCACTTTAGTTCAGCAATCACGTCCAAAAGTAATTGCAATTATTGTATGCATACCGCATGTTATTCACACTGACAGCCTCGCCACCTCCTACCACTAATGAGCTTGTGGAGGAGGAGCAAATTGCATATTATTATTTATAATACATTGTTGTAGTGCCATTACACCTTTATTGTTACTTTACTTAAAATGTGAACGGGCTCACATGAGGCATGGTCGATACTCACAAAGAAGGGCTGAAATGAGGAGATGCATTCAGAGATAAAACCAATCAAAGGAGATGGATTGATTATTTTTAGGCTTTGGGCTGCATCCTTTTGTAAGTGCACCTCGCAAAAGTGCAGACAGGCACAAGTAAGTAAGGAGCGCCCTGCACAAGCCATGGGTGTTGGGACTACTGTAGCAGTGACCAAGATGAAGAGAGGATGAAAGTGAATGGCGTATTATTGTTATTAAAGATTCGCAAAGGGTCGGGTCAGGCTCACACAGCTTCATCTTCTTCTTCTTCTTCCTCTGAGGAGGATATAATATTCAACGCCAATCCTCACCACTGCTCAGTAGTCGCAAAGTCACCATCCGCCAGGTTTGTCCTCCCTCATCCGCTTCCTCCATAGTTCCCAGCAGTCGGAAAGTGAACAAAGGAGATACGTCGTTGAAGCCCCCTTTTGCAGAAAACGTCTTTGTCTACCATGGGATTGGTGAGTAAACAAAAAAAATCCCGTCCGCCTGGCATGCGATCACCTCCCACTACAAATACCTCAACATTAGCTTTAATTAATATGCATTAGTTTGACTGGTCATGTATTGTTCTTCTTTAGAAAATAGTGTTAATCTTTGTTGCACTATGTGGCGTTATGGGACAACAGCAGCAGCAATTACAGCCAGAATTTCGTCAGGAACCAGAATTTCAACCACCACCCCCTCTGAATAACTTTCAACAACAGCAGCCCCAAGGTCAGTTTCAGTTTCAGCAGCGTCAACAGCAACAGCAAAACCAACCCCAGCAGCAAATACCGATCCAGCGTCAACAGCAGCCCCAACAACAATTTCAACAACAAAGACCTCAAGTTCAACAGCCACAGCAGAACAATAACTTTAACGACTTTGCCACCTTCAACGCGCCGCAACAGGAGGCATTACCGACGTTGCCGCCTGTCTTCATCCCACCCAATAATCCGATAGGACCACCTCCAAATCTTCAGAGCCCCATCAGGAATTTGTTCCGACAGCCAGAGTCCAACAATTTCTCCTTCTCTAATATTATCAGCAGATTTTTGAACCTGTTTAACTTGAATAATAATTAAGCTCGCAGTTCACACATTCCTTGTGAATTTGTAGAATGACTGACTCTCAATCATCATAAATGAATACAAAAAAGTATGGTTTTTAAGACAAAGTGTGTGAGTGGGGGTGAAAAACAAAACCATAAAATAAATATGTACAATAAATCAGATTGGGAAAAGTGATTATGCATTTGACGACATTGACTAAAAGACCATTTGAGACTTTCCACCTGCATCCACAAGACGTTAAAAAGGCATTCTTCATATGTTCAAACTGGCTCTGATTTTGTTGCTTTTATTACCGGAGGAGGTGCTGTGTTGGATGAGTCACTTCGTTATTGGGCGATATCTTATGTTGGCTTTAAGTACAGATGATGATGAAATGCATTCGGATGAATAAGACGATTCAGCTTTTACACAAAACAATAAGCTTTTATTTTGAGTACCAAGTCAGACCCCCTAAAACGGTAGACATTAGAGCATTGTTACATACATATAACAAATAAATTGGCGATAAAGATCCATTGAATTGTTCACATTTGAATTGAACGCATACTGGACATATAATATATTATGTAATATATCTGTATGTATGTAGTTTAGTCTTGCAGGGACACATACATACCTGTCAACCATACGTTAATTGATTAATAGATAAATGTAATCACTGTCAATTCTTAAAAAAGAAATTGTTTAAAAATGAAAAAGAACAACATACGAGCGATCGATTTTTTTAGTCATACAAATCACTAATAAAAAGTGGTGAATTAAAACAGATAAAAAATAGAGAATTATGTAAACAGCAACATGGAAAATTGAAATATTCATTTGTGCCCATCTGCATTTTGAGTTTAACACAATCATCAAGCATATTGTTGATCATATAATACTTTTTTTTATACCCACGCATACTTGCCAACAGATTGGGAAAACTTTGACATATATTTTATTATATTTCAAAGGTATTCGAGGGCTTACAGACATTTTTTTTATCAATTGTGCGACGTTCTATGTAGTATGTAGTCGGGTGGTGGTGTGGTAGTAGTAAGTAACTGGTTCTTAAAAATTGCATAAATTAATTTTTGCATATAGCTATTTATAAATATAGATAACAACAATGATAGAATTAATTGCAAAAATAGCAGTGACTGAAAAGTAACTGAAAATACTGTCCCCTAAGGGCTTCCGATAAAATAAATAAATGGAATTTCGTTAAGTCAGTGGTAGTAAATAGTAAATATAGTGCATTGAAAAAATAATAATGAGAGAACATAAAAGCTCAACAACAAACTATTCGGTTTCTTAATCTCGATCGTTTACAGAAAAATGGAGCCTGGCGATTTGCAAGATGGTCCAAATTTTTCGCCAAACATTTTCGTGTTTATTTCTAGTCATCTTCTTCTTCTAAAAAACACAGTCCCAAATGCGACTACTGTATAAGGACCACCTTGTTGAGTACCACATCATAAATAGCAACAAGCATCATCAATGGTTTCATGTTAGACATATGTACATCTGCAGCGCAGTAAACGTTGTGCAGTCATGTGTCCATTAAAATTCGATGGCCTGTGTAAATATTATTGGTAGTCTTGGTATAATCGGATTCATGCACGCCGTAATAAAACCCGTAGATAACTGGTCAAATGCCCAACAGTATTTGACCAAAAGCTAAATATAACAACTTGTTCTTCCTTCTTCTCCTGTTTCTCTTTTACTTATTTTTTTTATCCTTGTCCGCATTTCGAACCAATTTTACTTGCTCCCTTGTCGTCCTCACTCAACTCTTCGCCACCGCCGTTGCATCATCATCTTCCTACTCCTCGTTTTACTGAATATTTATCCGCCGCCTGTACATAGCTTATAGATGGATAGGTACTCAGAATTATCATCTGCTTCTCTAGAGACAATTAACCTGACCTAGTTTGGTAATAGATTTATAGTTAATCTGTTACTTGTATTTAGTCCCAGTAAGCCAAACACAACCGGATGTTACGAATTACATCTAAAGTAATTAGCAGTATTACCTACGCAAGTAGTAGTAATATTACATCCGATTCTACTAGTCCACTAGTTTACGTAGATATAAGCATACAAGTTATGATATAAATACAGTTGTTGTAATAGTTTGGAATAATTTACGTGATTCATTTTCTCGTAGACCAATACTGGATCTATTTTCCCAGTTTACAGTCAGTGTCAGCGTGCTTAAAATGGCACTCGTACATAAAGATGTAACCTTAATTAGTAGTTCATAACTGAGAGAATGTGTGACTCAAATGGTGGGCAGACTATCATATAATATAGTACATAATAATAACTAGTCGTAATAATAATACAACGAATGACTGCTGTAAAATATTCTAGTAAATAATTAGTTAGCAGATAGTAGTGTGAGATATTTTAGTAAAGACCGCATCCGCGCAAATTGTTTGCTATGATCACGTCTGTGACGGCGTCAAAGACGAACTGTATATTTGTCGTATCCGTTGCGCAAGTCATGTGGCAGTAGATTTCTTTTGTCGTCGACTTATTTTTCGCCTCAAATTGGGCCTGGATGTATGCGGCTACCAAAAAATTCAAATTAGTTAGTTTCATTGTCTCATTAATTTCCCCTCAAATGGTTGGTATTTAGTGTGTGCGACTTCCTATGTATGCTACATTTTTCTCACTCAAACTCAATTCAATTTACAAATAGGTAGGAAGTTGCACAAGATTGCGATAAATTGAGCATACATACCTGCCTCTCCATACTCTTGGGCACCTGAAATTTGCAACGTACAATTATCAGTCACCTCAACCAGATTATGAACAACGTGATATACAGTGCATCTACGCAAACACGACGGTCTAATAATGTGGTATATAATATATCGGGTACCTACCTGTATATTCCGGGAAACAAATGGTGAGGGGAGACTTTTTAATTTTTTCTTCAAAGAGATCTTTTTTGTTCAGGAAAAGAATGATGGATGTGTCCGTGAACCACTTGTTGTTACAAATCGAATCAAACAGTTTCAAGCTCTCTTGCATTCGGTTCGTCGTCTCGTCCTCGTGTAAAACCTGACCAAAGAGTACAAACCCCAATCAATATTGTTCCTTATATTGTTTTTAAATTACAAAGCCGTCTCCATTGACATGCATATGCAGTGAGGGTATTAAAATGGGTTATAAAAATGTGAAGCAAAGTCATGAATGACATCGTTGATCTTACCTGATCATACTCCGACATTGCAACACAGAATATTATGGCAGTCACATCTTCAAAACAATGTATCCACTTTTTTCTTTCCGAACGTTGCCCACCGACATCGAAACTAAACGTAGGAAATAATGATTACACATTAGATAAAAATATAACATCCAGAAAATGTATATTTCTTTATAACTCGCAAAATATTACTTACAGTTTGAAGTTGAGATTTTTAAATGAGAAGTGGACTTCGACAATTCCAGTGGTTTTGACCTATGGAAATCAAGAAAGTCGGTAATTAGCCTTTAATGTGGTGCCGCTTGTCTCTATTTAGATATGAGCAGTCTGACTACCCCATACAGCAGACACAGCATAAGAAATTCCAAATACATAGAGTTTAAAATTGATTAGGGTTCTATTTATTTATCTATTTAGCCTGCCACTAAATGTACCAGACAGAATTATCCGAGCAATGAACGCCTACTTACACGGGTGCGCAAAATGTCTTGTTCCGTAGGTTGATAATCCTTCGTCCCCAACCGATCCAGGTCATCCAAGAAACTAGGAAAATTAACACATTGTCAAATTCCATAACTTTTTGGATGTGATTTATCTTATGGTGTGATTTAGTACTATTTTGCAGAGTCGTTAAGCTGGTACTCGTTCGACCTCCCAAAGCATTCCTGCACCCCACCATCGTGCCATAACCTTTTCATTGCTCCGAGCAGCTCTTCTGAGAACGGCTCTGTGTCCTCCATCCGTTGAATGACATCAAACACCATTTTCGCGTCCGACTGCAACGATTAAATCATTATTAATTAGACCCGTGCCTCTAATGTGCTGGAGTTGTTTCAAGGAGATGGCTTCAAATATCGCAGTATGGGAACTTACTTCCCGTTCGTTGCTGCCAAAACTTATTCCTAGGTTGGGCATCGCTCTTAGAATGGCCACGAGGGATTGTATTGTGTTGCTGTAGACTACAGGACGATACTGCAAATTGAAAGAGCAACACAAGTCAGTAAAAAGTCTCTTGCACTTATAGATAACTTAATGAAAAAAGTATGCGACAAACATACCTGCTTAAAGTCTTCGGAGGTGAATCCGCTTTCGTGAATGATTCTGCAAAAACATTATAATTTTAGCCACTCAATCATATTGAATCGAAACAAGATATCATTTATACTAGTTGAATTTATAATAATTATTGGTAGATTGGGCACGAGCGGAGGCAGGAAGTACCTCCGTGTAGTGACGTTACCAATATGAAACGCGTTTGAAAGGATTATGGAATGAAATCGAAGGCTCAGGTTTTTAAAAACTGAGCGAAATCTCAAACTGACAACGAAATACAGTGATAACTGTATAAATCCATGTGTCGTGGGACGAATACTGAACCCAGACCAAATTTGATTTATGCAAACAATTCAAACACGTAATGCAATCCTGATTGATATCCTACATTGAACATAAGTAAGTGGGAGATGGGAATGTTTGCTTTCCACTTCGACTTCGAAAGACATGGCTGGATTTGATACATCTGGGACAAGCGAGCGAAACCATGATGTATGTTACGATTAACTGACATCGTTTCTATGGGCGGTGCCCCATACGGTTGCGACAAATGAATTATTTTGAAAACAAAATTTCAGTTTTAAATCTTTGGGCCGAAAGTCCCCTTGTCCGGCCCAACGACTTTAACCTTGAATAACTTTTGAACAGGCAGACATAGAGACTTACTTCTTGAGGATGAAATCACCCTAATTTTTAGCTTGATTTTTTAAGCTAAAAATCTCGAGTGTACTATTTCGAAAACTAAAACGTTTATTTTGAAGAATATCTCAAAAATATAAGTTTTTCAGCCAATTCTTATCTCACAAAATTCTATAATATACCAAAGTGATCGTATGATCTAGACCGATCAATTGACACCCCACTGGAAGGTGTGAGATCACTTGACCCGGATTTGACCTAGGGGGTCATCTCAATCTTCCAACTTAGCAACGGTCCACTCACACCATTTTTTCAGTACATAATAATTAAAATTTAATTTCTTCAAAAATGAAAATTTGTGTTGGAAACAATTCATTTGTCGTAACATGTATAGAATGATAAAGTGTCAAATAATATTGGATGTATGTGTACACAGAAGAGGACAATTCAAGTAATTTTTGAAATAGTCCCACTGCTTGAGAAAATCCCCACGCACGCGGTTGCTAAGGAACGTCACGAACCACGTAGGTGGTTCTGATCCCCTCGGCTTTTACTGAAATTCAAATCGAGCATTCCTATTTCGTTACCATCTCTGCTGGAGTTTTTCCAGAGGTCGTTTAGCGACTCTCTCCCCGGCAGCCAGGCATATTCCCAGCTGCAAAATTTGGAATTTGAGACCCGAGTTACTCGCTCACCAGCAATATTAATATTATTATCATACCGACGGACAGACTACAAATGATTGGTATTTTTGGACTTGGATTTTTTTATATGCCGCTCGTGGAGACGTGAAGGTTACGCTATTGGGCTGCTTTATTCAGAGGAGGACAATTTGTAGAGATATCGCAAAATTGGTGAAAAAGGTGAAGGTTACTTTCCAAAGATAATTAAATTGAGATGAAAATTTGTAGTTTCGTTCGTCATATGCATAATAATAACCGGAGGAAGGAGGAGGATGAAGCCCCACAGCAGCCGCCGCATCAAAGTCGTCAAAGTCTTTCTCCGTCAACGATGATGCCTTTTGTATTCAACAGCGTTTTTTGGACACTGGCAGAGATTGTTCGTGTGGAGAAGCGGAGCTTTCTGGGAAATGAGGACAAATCAATACCAGGAGAGTAGACTCAGGTTGGTTGTTGTGCTCGCTTTTACTCTCACTCAGTCAGTTACCCCCCAGTGCTGGCTGTGCTTTCACCAACATACACTCTCAAACGCAAATTATCGGCAAACAATATTCCGTCTTGTTTGCAACAACAACAACACCTCGTCGGATTACCATCAGAATACGTACATTTCTATGCATCCTACTCCTTGGGGATGTGTTCATGATATTGACGTGACGAATGAAGCGAAATTGAGACGAGGAAAAGAATACCCATTTGCACAATGTAGGATATATACCAACTGATACAGTCAGTAAATGCGGGCGTTATTATTAGTCACTCTTTTGATGTAGATATGTATATATTTAAAAGTCTGCTAAAGTTAACTTACTTCATCTGCTTCACTATTGTACTTTTCCCGGACTCTCCAGCACCTGAAAACACAGACAGAATACTCAGCACATGTTTTTTTTGTGAGCTGTAGTTTTTGATTGATTCGAGGTTGGATTTCTGAGGATCAAAGGAACCAGTGCGTTGTCTACATTATGTCATTTGCCATTTGTACAAAGTACATGCTCCAATCCAATTACTGTTAAAACCACAATTTTGTAAAGCACCGTGGAGTTGGCTGGCACTCTACTTTTATGTGGCATCATAATGCTTCCACGGCTTCATGAAAAGTTGCCAATTCTCGTATTGGAGTACACAAATATTTTATCAGCGTCATTGTTCCGTGTTTTTAACTAATTCGCAATACGTTGTCATCAATTAATAGACCTGGGCACCCACGGGTCGGGCATCATCAGTGACGATGATGCCCTTTAGCATCATCATGAGACTACTGTTGCGTGAGGTTGACGTATAAGCAAACATTTCTGAATGTAGGTAGACTCATGAGAAGGAAGGAAGTTGAATTACAACGTTGGTTCTGACTTGGACGGGTCACAAAAATTCCCAGTAAAAGGACATTAGTGAGGAGGATGGGAAAGGGCATGAATTAATCAATCAATCGAAACTGGTCGTCTGGAAGATAGAGCGTACACATACGGACAACAACAAATGCTCTCAAACTCCTGACACCGGATCGCGTTAATGTTCGGGATGCATGGCAGGCCATAATGGCTCTTCTAAACTCATTATGGGAGCTGCCTGCTCTTGTGCTCTTCCTTTTTGGACTCATCTTTTCACATCCGCTTGTAGTGCGTGGGTGGGTGGGTCCACTGGATAACAAATCGCAACATCTCTCTCTCACGTGTACATATTGAGTTGCAAGCAGTGCGAGGCCTCAGCTATCATTATCATCTCCAGCCTCCTTTCAAAATAAGTCGTACAGTTGCACTTCATAAGACAACTACGACGCTTCTACGTAATTCTTAAATTACGTTAAGGGCAAAAATCCGAAATTCCAACCTCAAAACGATCAGCAGGCGAACATGACTATGCCCAAGGCTCAAAAGGAGACAGAGTTGGGAGATTGATAAAAACAAGTAACGACGATGGGACACTTACCCAGGAGCAGCAGCTTGATATCCTTGGCCGCCTACGGGTCATCAATAAAAATATGAAGCCAAGTATTTGCTAGTAACTAGTAGCAAATTATTAATATTCTCGTTCTTACCTGCAGTCCATCTTCCTTCAAGTTCTTTTCTATCTGCTTGGACCGCGCCAGTGCGGCCCTCTCCTCTGCGGACATGGCGCAACCCATCTTCTTCCTTCGTTTCAATCAATGAGCACACAATCAGTTATTGGATTCATACATGGATATCCAGTTGCATAAGAATTTGTTATGTTTTTTATAATTGCGAATTATTTGCAAAATAGTTGCCAAAATAATACTCAAATTAATAAGTATGTTAGTCTGCTGCTAAAAGTATAATCTATGTAATTCAATTCATTCGGCACTATCTACAATAATCAATTATTAGTCGTATCGTAAGTATGTTTCTACTTTACACTACAGAATGTATGAGCAGCACCGCAAACGGAACCACAGGGACGGAGGGTTTAAAAAAGTATTTCTTGATGACCGTGGCGTACGAATTAGTTGGGTTGGGGAGGGAAGAGCAGGAATCTGGTTAATTTCTTTGGTGTGTGATCATCTACTAATGTTTAATAGTGAGCACTAGAATGGGTTGATGATGGTGTAGCTTATTTATTATGATGGATAAGAAGAACAACAGTGCAATGGCACAGCAAGGTTAATTACATAGCTCAACTTAATCCAATTGCATTCAACAGGCAGCAGCAATTCAACGCACTACTTTTGCTCGTCCTCATATGATACATATTCACTCGGAATAACACTATCGATCTCTGTATGCTCTGTTTTGAGACATTTGCTGTCCCATCTCTTCAGACATGTCATTTCATTACGTGTGCCTCGTTATACATTGCTCCTATTGTTCCTACTTCCGTCTTTATTTGCAGTGTCGCTTTTCTACTGCGTCTACCTTATCACGATTATAAATAAGCTCAAGAAGAACATTTTAAACGGGTGATGATGGTGGGTGAGCTCAATTGAATTTATATGATTATCTCAGATTTCATTCACAAAATAAAACCCATCCACCGCACCGTCCACTGCATGCCGCATCTATAAATTCACTCACTTTACTTATGTATGTACATAGATACTCTCCAAGAAATCAAGTCACGTTCTACTATAAATACTACCTACAATTCTCGCGTTACTTATATTTGACATGTGAGATGACATGTGCAACATAAGCTATTAAAGTAGTGGTCTACATAGTATTTATGTATGTACGTGTGTGTGATCTGAATAACAGGAACAAGAGGCAAGTCGTCGTAGTCGTGATACTGATGGTGGTGGGAGCACACTATAATAAGCTCAACTCGTCACAGGCAAGGTAGCAAACCAATTTGCTAGATAATCAGGAAAACGGCTTGTCCTCATTATGACTTGGACGCTTTGCATTCATTAATTTGACGACGTTTCCTGTCTGACTTTGTTCCTAGCTTGTCTTAGTTCGTTATCTGCAAACAGTGGAATCAAAGTAAGGCGATTGGTTGGTTAATTCATTTCCACCATTACTGCTGTACTCTGTATTTAGGCAGATAGTGTAGTCTCTGGACGAAAATGCTTTGAGAATGCATTGGACAGTGAGCGTAGCGGTCACACGGCGTCCGTGAACAACGGGGAGCGTAAGACGAGAAAAAGGCGAGTGAAGAACTGAGACAGTCAGGAACGTATAAGAGGATCAGGAGCAGTAGGAGATAGCGATTGATTTCTGCCCGTGTCACGAATCACAGCCAGAAATATATAGTAATAATGGACAGTATATTCAATAGATTTTTAGCCAACTCTCCAGCCATGAGCGAGATAGATGGATGGATACTTTATTGCACTGCCAAAATTTGACAATGTTCGTGTTGAGTTGGTTTCAAAATCTAGCAGACCCCAAGCGAAGAGAGGCGAGCGAGACCCTCACCTTGACCTGACTGCTATTAGTCAAGTCAATATGGTGACAAGAAAAAAGTAGTTGTCAGTCTTTCCGAGGTTTCGTTTCCGACTGCCGTTCAGAAGAACCGCAGGCCCACCAACATCACAGAATGAGCGACTCGACCGACAGATACATGGGTCACAATCACGACAAGCATATCATGCACAATATGTATGTAGGAATGCCTATCCGTTCCCACCATAAGAAGAAATGCTTGAAAGCAAGCTGTAGAGAGCTAGCACATCATCCATCACTCATCAGTTCCGTTCTTGCCAAACAGATAATCAATCAATCACTTCACATGCAATGTTGAGTGTCCATGTCAAATTTTTCGCTACAACAATTAAGTCGTTCATCAAGCAAGGAAAACTCTACTGCTGTTTCTGCTGGAAAGTAGTAAACATAAAAAGCATCAAGAAGCAGCAACGAGAACAAATGTCATCACCATTGCTCACATAACGACACGTATATAAAAAGACAGGCGCAAGGTTTTTTATCCACTTCCTGCACCGTACAGTTTTTTTAAGTAGTAGTATATGTGCAACAAAACAGTGCAGAAAGACCTCGTTGGGACTGGGCGAGCCGAGAAATGGAAATTTATGCTAAATAAACTCATATAAACCATAATGGGTAAAAGTCCGTCGTACAACAAGAGCTACTGCTGGCTACCACCCCGTCCGTAGTCGTATAATGCTCGCATGAAATTACTATTAATTACTCCCCATTCATCAACTGATGGATGACAAGCAAGCAAGCGAGTCCGTGGTATGTGGTACATATGACAGGATGCTGCTTACGTCTCAACAACTTTAACTTTACTCATTAGCATGGATATAAATATTGTCATATGCATGCATTTCGTAATTTGTCGGAGGAAACACTAGATTATTATTATGCATGCAGGACTACTCACTCTGTATTCGTATTTAGCAAAAATCAACTTGGCATTTACGAGTCGTTTTAAAAGCTATAAAGGAGTCGTATACTACGACATTCTTGATAAGCATCTACAAACACCACCAACAACGGAAAATGTATTTTTTTTCTCTTGGAAACTATCGAACAAATTGATCAAATTCGAAACGAGATTCACGACCTCAACTGGACTATTTAACTATTCGCTATTTTCTTAGTACTAGTACTGGTGATTACTGCAAGTCCTTATAATTAAGAAATTATAATTGTTGTACAACCAGGCATTAACTTTTTTAACTGCGGTGTCCAATTACAAAATGTGTTAAAAAGCACACAAGCATGAATATTTATTATTACTCACAGCATACAAATGAACAAAAGAATGTACTTAAAAAAGCAACGAAATCCTCACCTATTTTCCAACCAAATGCAGTTAAGAAGCAGTAAGAAAAGAAACATAAAACGAGTGAAAGAAAAAACGGATGACTAATGAAGCAAAAAATTAAATAAAAAAATAAAAAAACGAAAGTACGACGAATGGAAAAGAAACTGATCAACAAGCATCTCGAACCACACACATTATTAAATTTAGTAAGAGACAAAAGAATACGAATACATACCGGATTTTGTCAAGCATAGAGACACTGATCTGAGACGATGCACTTAAACTTGGAAATTGGTTCTCCTTTATGAGAACCCGTCACTTATTATGACCACAACTCCTCCTCCTCCAACACAATCCACAAAGTGATTCAAAAATGAACTCACTTTGCTGTACAAAGGGGCGACTCCACGGACAGGTCTCGAGGACAATGGGGCCAAAGCAAGGGTGCTTCTTCTCTCACAGGTTTCCGCTCCAAAGAGATGCTACAAAATGACCAACCAACAACGCTGCGGACAACAGGTGAAGTGTGGTAATGTGGATTTTGCAGGGACAACTACCGATTCCCAAGGGGGCACGTTCGTGACGGCGAAGTATTCTTGTTTGTCTGGGTTTTCACTGTCGACCACTCCCTCCTCACACACGGATTCCAAATTAATTAACAAATATTGCTCCTGTCAATTAAAATAATAACAGCAGCAACAGCAAAAGTTGGCTTGGGGTTTGTCAAGTAGAAATGATTGGATTGGGGAATTTGCACAGGAGAATGGAGCACAAGTTGACGTGGTGTCCTGGCTGGTTGCTACTTGGCTTGGTTGGTGTTGAATGTTTTGATAAATAATTCGCTACGACCCGGAAAGTAGTACTTGAGTGAGTGTGGTGTGTTTTATATATTTGCGGTTGCAGCAATTGAACACAATGCTCATATATTTTATAGCATTTTCAGTACGTTACATGAAAATTGCTTTACAGAGCACCAACTGCTGATGTGTAATATATATGCTGGCTGTCACTGGTGATGGTACACTAATAACTTTCAAGTCTAGTCCAGCTATTAATTGATATTATTGACTGGAACATAAACCACAACACGACGACGACGACGTTGGATGACTTTTGGTAGAGAAATTTTAACACTGGTTGATGATGTCTCTCACTATTACATAATATATATTCACGGATTTCCTTTCGAAGTCTGACCTTCGGATGGAAGGCGCCGTTCCTCGGACCCTGCAATTGTAAACACACTTCGAATATCAGCAGATTTCACTTACACGGCTCTTTCAAAATAAACGCTTTTTTGCGATTTGTACATATTTTAAAGTAAGATCTCGACTAGTTGTTTGTCAAGCTCTCAGTCAACAATTGGACACGAACAACTCTTGTATTTTGCTAATGACGGTTAGGAATTGGTATGCATTTCCTCACTCCTACATACATACGTGCATATACATACATATGATGACGATAACGAATTATCTTCACAAAACACACTCTGCTGCTACATTCCATCGAGTAAGCGAACGATAATAGCCAAATGCCTACGAGGTAGAAAGACAACAAGAAGAGTGGAAATATTATTAATCTGTTGTCTTCGTGAAGCGAATGCTAGTGCCAACCAATAATTTCATGAACATTCGTACACGTTATTATTATTATTGTGTTGTTGGCCTCATACCAAAACTGGATTCGCATTGAAATCAGGAGAATCTAGTAGTAGAAGTCAGTGGCAAATAAATATATACGTACATATGTGCATACGCAAGTTAAGTACATGTTGTGTAGCTCATTAACTCGTCGTGACTCTCTGGGTCGATCAAGTTGGAAATTGGAAATGGAAAAGAAATTGCCTAGACTATGATATGCTCAAGGCATGAGTCACTAAGTGAGGAATGCAATCTGTCCGCTATCAGCAACATTTCTTTGCTAGAAGAGTCTCATTTTGCATTAAGGTGTTTCTAAATGCTGTGTCAAATACCAACCACGGGATCGACATTGTGTATGTGGTTGCTTATTTTTGGGGCGAGGAACAAGATGAGAAACGAGTAATTAAGAAAATAAATAATAATGAGGAGATTACAATACCCTTGCCTTTTTCTGTAAAAGGACCAGTTCTGTTTTCTGGTGGCGAGAGATTAGATAACGCCCAGCAGCCAAACAAACTCTGTCGATGATTGTATTCAAACTTGTTGTACTCACTCACCAACAGTATCAATTGATATCCGCCCACGACCACGTTGAGAAGTTGAAGACTGGACAGTTGTACAGCTTCGGTTTTTTATTGTGTATTTACGGAGTGAGAAAATAATGAGATTACAAATTTTGGAAGCTGTGCGATTGGACAGCCGAATGGGACGAATTTCCAATTTTCACTTGTTATAATAGGAAAACTCAATGGAACCTTCCTCTGGCTACAACCACGGCGAAAATTACACTAGGGCAGGGTAGGCAGAGTACCAGCTTCCCGAATTCGGGCTTGGTCGTTCGAGTAGAGTTGCGAGTCTGCGAGTGAGTGAGTTCTCCTATACAAACCAATAAACCATCATTCAGTTCGTGTCCAAAGGCGCTATGTCGCTATCAACACGAACAACCATATCCCACGAACCAGGGCTATGTGTGTATGTATGTATACGGGCTTTATCCATCCAAACCCGAATTCCACAGAAACACCAGCTCTAGGAGCCGTCCTACATGCACTCCACACGGCGGCGGATAGAAGGCGAGGAGGAGGAAGGAGGGGAAAGGCTGCTGAGGACATTTTGATAAGTTGGGGACAGGTTGCAGACAGGAAGATGCACCCACCAATTCAGACCCATCCCGGTTGATAACTTTGCTTTGCCCCCCTTTCGCAAACGGTCATTGGAATCATCTCGCACAGAATGCCCAGATGTCATCAATTCATTCCTCATCAACCACAATTCATTAAAAGGATCTGGTGACGAGCTACTTGTATGTAGGATGATGGTTCCTATCAAATCTCATGGCATGCATGCGATATGGAACACAAACAAGAGTGTGAATGCAGAGCCTGTGTTGAGGACATATGATACTCGTTGTCTGTCTCTTAATCGGTCGGACCACAAAACAATTAAACATGTGGGTGGCCATGTCCGTATACATGCACAAGTCTCCTCATAAATGGTGGTCCTAAGGGCCACCAATGAGTTGAAGGCGTTGATGATGATGAGTGAATTGAGGACTCCAAGAACCTACGGTTGCATTAATACGAGTCCCTATATTAATACTCCCTGTGCAGCTTGGTTTAAATAAAAGAGTCCGTCAGCAGATGGGCTAGACTGGAGACCGGTGGGGAAAGGAGGAAGCGGGTGCGTTGGCGTCCCCGGTCCCGGGGAAGGAAGAACTACTTTCACCCGCTCATGCCCACTCCTCCCAACCTGACGTCAACCGAGAGAAACGATCGAAGCGGTGGGAGAGTAAGAGAGAGGGAGAGAGGTGAGAGAGAAAAGGGGGAGTTCTCGAAAATGTGCATGCATGTATATCAAATAATAATATGTTCCCTTCCACCAACCACCACCATGCCAGCCACCACACGGCCCGTTAATCAAATTCGGAATCTGAAAGGCTTCACAAGATTGAAGCCAACCCGGGTAGGCAGTCAGTCATATGTGGATATATGTTTGTCATATATACTTGAATGCATGGTTGGTGGGGCTGAAACATCAACTCTGTCTCGGTGTGTACCACACTACACGGTCAACCGGTTTCGGAAACCTGATCCTCAGCAGAGAAAGTTCGCTAGCTCTGCTAAAAGTTTTTCACGCACGGTCCTCAACAAGCACTCTGCTCCCTTTCACTTGGAAATTTTGCCCACAAAATTTTTCTTCAAAGGGCTCTCTTTCATATCTACCCCTTGTTTACATACGTCGGCACCCTCGCACCACAAAAGCAGGAGTCATCATAAATGAAAATTGCATGTCATGCAACTATATTATTAGCAGACTCATTCAACTACCACTGCTTGAAGGATTTTATTTATTAAGCGATGATGAGACATGGCGTCATGTGGCTCAAGAAGATAAAAGTAGCTTGACGATCAAGAACCTGGTGAAGTATGTAGTTCTTTTAGCTCTAAGCAGCTAATAGTTGGTTTACAAGAAGTACGATACAAAGCCCGGGCTACCTTAGTCGGTTAGTCAAATGTAGGAAGATGAAAGAAATTTGATTTATGGAGTCTGTGCTTTCACCACCCATTTGTTCCTCTACAATCTACGCACCTTCAGCTTGCCCATCGGGAGTCTGCCCCACTAAACAAAAGTTGGAACTGATTTTTTGCCAATTACACAAGCAGAACTTTCTCAGAAGAAGTAGCTCGATTCGGAGTGAATGGCGAAGAAAGTGGTGAATAAAAGAGAGTAGATGAGCAGATGAAAGTAGTACTCGTGGAGCAGCAGTTACATTTTATGCACGTGTGCCCACTTCCTTAGTATTCATATGGACAGAAGAAATGAATAATCATAAATAAATAGATTAGCTGCTCCCCTTTCCGAAAGTGGTCCAGCCAGATATGTATATATTTCGTTTTAACTATGCTGAATATTGATCGGTGCGATAGGAAGATTAATCTATACTCATATAAAATAGTAGTAATGTAGATTAATATATAGTATACCTCTACCACTTAATTGTATGTTTTAAATTATAATGTTTGGCTACATTCACACCGTAATAATGGACGCCAGCAGCAGAGAGCAATTACGAAAGAGCACCTCATCCGCATTCCGAGTAATAGGGTTAACCCACTTCATCAGCCAGACTACTGGCTGACGAAGGTAACCTGTGGGGTGGTAAATTACTCGAGACTATACACTTCCCATGCATGACCAGGAAGAAAACCGATTGTCCTGACATTTCATAGGTAACTGAGTAAGTGAGGTTTTCTCGTGCCTCGTGGTAAACCGACGTCAATAATAATAAATTGTACAAAATCAATGAAATGAGTCGAACCAGTGCCGCTGGCTTTTGCTAATATGTATGTAGCACTGTAATACTGCCACCGTTGCATGTGGCTTGATTGACCGCTGTTGTTTGCTGCTATTTTATACTATGAACTACATCGTCCAGAAGATGGATTGGGGTTGGTGGTGGTGGTGGTATTAAACTATTTCTGGCCTAAAGTCTCAAGTGAAAGTCGGAGAAAGTTTTATGTCTCTCTTTCTCGCTCACTCATTCTACTGGTCCGACTATTTGCCTACTAACGAGACTGTATTGATGTCTCACGCCACCTTCCTCGTGAGATGAAATTTCTTAAAATAGGTGAGGTTATACAACTTAATTCCCATGAGAGACTTATGTATGAGCTTCCTATCAAACCATTATATATTTGGATTATAATATTATTAACTTCGCAATGCGTATAAGGGAGTAGCGTTAATATGTACATGTCATTCTATATGTAGTTATAAATAGTTTGTTAACTTCTAAATATCTGTGTCCTTTGTAAATACGTTAAGAGTTCAATACATAATATATTCCTTCAAAATTCATATTTAATTAGATTCATAGATAATTGAGTATGAAAGCTTGCGTCTTAAAGTTCACCTAGGTTTGGTTTAAAAGAGAGACACAACAAATTAACCTAGAAGCATGTTAGATTTTTCCGATTTGTGTACATACCTTTTTATTAACCTCACGCAACACACACTGATTATCACACCGCAATCAATCCACTATTGTGTAGTTGGTTAACCGCTTCACAAGCAGTTAGTTAAAACCAAAAACAAAGCTGTCAAAAGCACAACTAAGACGTTAATGTACAGTACATTATGTATTATAAATTATAATTTATAATGTGGAATGTGGGATAACTTTCGTTTTTGAGCAGCCTGACTTTCTCCAGTAGAAACTGAATTCTCGGTGCTCTGCTTGATTTTGCTAGCTCACAGTCTGAATAATATCATCACTTGGTTGACGACGAGTAACAGGTTTGCATGGACTAAATTTGCCCAAGGTCACGTTTCTGTCGAAATTTTTGAAATCTAGAATTTCGGTGAGAGAGTGGAGATGAAAGTTTAGCGGCGTAAGTGGTGGGATTTTTTGCAGTTCTTGCCGCCTTTCCCTGGAGCGAAGTAGGTTCTCTTGTGCCGATCTCTCACCTCTGGATCCCATGGATCATCCCTTCAGAACTCCTAAATACCGAGGTAGCGTTTCACCAATTTCATGGAACATGATTGCACACTAATGAACAAGGCCGGTGTTGGTTATTTGTCTCTCTCTCTCAAAACGAGAATCAACAACATGCTTCTTAAATTCACACAGTGAGTACACAAATGTTATATAACAATGATATACTGATGAGATGAAAAACCACAGCTGAGAGTCGAGACAACTTATTTAACTACTGGTCCGAGCATATAGTTGAATTAAACATATTGTAAAAATATTTACCTGAAAACTAGGTAATTATTTATTGTGCAGATCATGTATCATGTATAGCCAGCCGCAAGACGTACAAACAGCGTGGCTTTGTTTATTCTAACCAGACTACAGAAACATACATAATTGAGCTAAGAGTATTGTTTCATGCATGCAATTATTGAATATCTTTACGTCGTTATACGTGAAACCAAAGTTTCTTTTGTCCAGTTGTGAGGCTTAATAGAAGATGCTTTTCCGAAAAGTAAAAGTGCTGGTGGGTGCAGGTATTGGTCAATTTCGACGGTCAATATCATTCGACAGACTTCAAAATTCTTCTACCAAACCATGGCGTGATTCTGGATCGGCTATAATTGTTGCCCCGATGAACAATAATCCACCATATTCCTTGGGATATTTAATGATTGAGAGGTCGAAAGGTAGTGGAGTTGCGCCAGGATGCGTTGTGTTCCCAGGTGGCGTCGTCTCTCCTGTCGATTTTTCTCCTCGATGGACTAATCTTTACAGGGACGCCAACATTGACCTCGGCTCCTTTCAGTTTTTTGGTAAGTCAACTATCCATTACACAAATATTTAAGATACGTGTGAAGATTACGCATGTTCATGCACTGCTATCTGATTCTCTGATTCGTTTAGACAAAAATGCACATACTCCAGAAATATATTCCCGAGAAGGAACTGACGCGTTTCCTTACCCAAGCTCTGTAGTATTTCGCCTCGCTGCTATTCGCGAGACATTTGAGGAGGTCGGAATTTTAATTTGTCGTAAAACTGACAGAGCTTCCAATCTTTGTGATTATGACTATGATTATGAACAACTTTCGGACAGAAAAGTAGTGCAAGCATGGCAAACGAAAATTAGAAAAAGTCCTGAAGAATTTATCAATTTGTGCGTTGAACTTAAATGTGTACCTGATTTAAACGCCTTGAGTGACTGGAGCGAGTGGCTTACCCCCACCTCACTCAAACCCAAAGCCAGATTCGACACGATTTTCTACATGCTCATCCTACCAAAAATGCCCCGTGTGGCTTATGACACCCATGAAGTCGCATCCGCCCAAGTATTTTTAAAATATCCTGTATATAGTAATTCCATCAGACAATCCGTATTTCTTAACTTCTGTTTCGCAGTGGGCCTCCTCCGCATCTCTCTTGAAAGACCATTTGGAAGGGAAGATCAAATTGATGCCTCCGCAGCTGTACGAATTATCCAGGATGCTCAACTTGAAGTCCATCCCAGAGTTTGAAGAGAGGGTGCTACGTCGTCAAAAGTTGGGCATTGAACGATTCTTTCCTATCGTTGAACAAGCTTTAGACGGGATCCTCTTCCTCCTCCCTGGTTCGTTGTCTCACTGTATATGAAAATTCACACGCCATTCCTTATTTTCCTAATTTGTTTTATTCTTATTGGATATTTCTTTTCATTTGGCAAAAGGAGATGACCGTTATTCTAAAGAACCGGACGTTCTAACGTTCTCAAAGCCACAAAAACTTGATCAGACTTTCGAGCAACTACAAAGTTCGGGTCAAAAATTTCATCGAGCCCAACTAACAAAGGACGGTGCCTACACAACTGTGATAAATGTCGAAAGATTTGGTCATGCATACTAGTACCTACATAACTAATTCTAATGTCCGCAACGGAAAGAAAAACAAATTAATTGTCGTTAGTTTGATGTATTCAGACGAAAGCTCGTACAATAAATATTATTTCAAGATAATTTCCTCACTGATACCGTTAAAATCAATACATACATACATACCACGAGGATGAATCTACTACTTAAACTACAAAAATTAGTTATAAATCGATAAATAAATCAGTATATTTTTTTCTAATTTTAATTGTTTTTATTAAAATCTGTATTTCATTTGTTATATTTTCTGTGACGAACTGTGTATGTTTATATTAACAATTTGCGGATTTAAAATCAATCAAATTAATTGTCAATTATGTTTTATTAATTCAAAATTAGCGAATATCGTAATAATAATAATAATACCTAATTAATACGTTGTAATTTTAAATATTTTTTATTTCGTTTAAAACCCATTCTCAATTTTATTTCAGCCTTCTGGCTGAACCCATATTACATTTTACATTACTCCTTTCTTCAAACTACACAATTACTGCGATTATAACCATGTTTCGTTAAATAAATTAGGGCATAACAATATTACCACAATTCACAGTTTATACGATTTCGTGTGATGTGTTCACTTTATGAACGAACTGGTGTCCCATCAACTGTGCAAAGTCGAATCAATCGAATTCATGTCCATTAATTAACCGGAAATTTGCCTTTAATGAACTACCGTCGCTGCTGATTTGGCTATCTCTATTAATGAGTAGTCCGACCACCCCACAAAGTACAATAATAGTCATCCATTAACCAAGTTCTCATACATACATACATATATTCACCCAAACAAATAATAACGCTCTCCATCCGGAAGCAACTATCTCTCGTCATGGTTTGAAATATTTGGAAGTTGGATTGGATTATAAAATTGAAAAATGCTCCTCAACAAATGCGAATCGCACATGACAAATCCATCCACAAGAAAACCAGGCTGCAGGATTGACTTAAAAAACCAAGGGTACAGAAGGGTCGTCTCAAGCTGATCGAATAAAGGTACGCTAAATATTGTTCAAAGCGGTGACGTTAATCTACACACCAATTTCCACCCACCTCTCTAATAAGCTTTGGCTGTCTTGTGCACTGTGTTTGTCTGTCTACTCTCTGCTTGAACACGGAAACATTACTTTTTACTGGTGTTACACTTGACCTTTGCATATATATCAATTTGCCATGTGTCCGTTATTCTACCCATCCATCAAAATACAATCATATAGTGTGAAAAGAAACTTGTTTGACTTGTTTGTTTGAAACTTGTCAAAATTGTTCGAACATAGTTTTCTCTTTATGCATGTGTTTTTTGCTATTTACATGATTAGCTGATGAGTTTTATGCATACCTTAATATCTCACTTCCATGTGCACTATTTTAGCATACAAAATTTTGACAAATAAATAGCGTTGAATAGATTTCCTTTAAACTATTAGTAATCACAGTAAAAGCAAATATGTACTTAAGAGTAGAAGGTCACTACTTGTCGGGCCCCGATTTCGATCTCCTTTGGATATGTTGTAATACTATATGAGTGTAGAAAAAGTGAAGGAGGGTTAGACTCTATGAGCCCATTTACGCCCGCCACACCCCCTCAAAGGCGCCCAAACCCCCAGAGTTGCCGCACTAAATTCATCGCCAAAAATCGAGTTTTGGTCAGATTTTCAAAAAAATTACATTTTTGTGATCCCAGATAGTTGCTCTATCATATCCAATAGCAAACTCAACTTTTTTGGAATTTCGAATTTTTTCAATACATACCCTTGGTCAGAAAATCTTCGAAAATATTGAAAATTTCAAAAAAGTTGAGTTTGCTATTGGATACGATAGAGCAACTATCTGGGATCACAAAAATGTAAATTTTTTGAAAATCTGACCAAAACTCGATTTTTGGCGATGATTTTAGTGCGGCAACTCTGGGGGTTTGGGCGCCTTTGAGGGGGTGTGGCGGGCGTAAATGGGCTCATGGAGTCTAACCCTCCTTCACTTTTTCTACACACATGTAGTACTACAACATATCTAAAGGAGATCGAAATCGGGGCCCGACAAGTAGTGACCTTCTACTCCTTAATAAAAGTAGACTTGTGATTAATTTTGATTGTTGCGAGGATGGTGGTTTCCTAAAAGTCTGTTGTCGACTGAATTTAGTTTAATGCAAGTCTTCCCTTTATTACATCTGGTTTATGCCTATATTTTCCTTGTTGATCTAAATATGTAGTATCCTTGAATCAATGAGACCTAGTTCACATATGTACAACGGATTATTATATATACAAATTAAGTATGAAACTTGACATTTGGACAGTTTGACTATGTTTTGTACAATGAATTGAATCGCGCATACATTGTATATATAAACATTATGCCAAGCCAACAGGAGCAGCCCAGCCGTACGCTTATCCACTCTTACTTACGTAGTAATAATACGCTTCTGCGGCTGACCTACAAATCGTACGCGAATGATTCAAACAAAAAGGCACAAATCATGGTTAAATAAAAGACTATCCACCTAACTACTAATGTGTATGTAGAGCGTGTAGATCAGTACGACGACATACATAAACTTGACTTTCTCAAGAAATAAAAGTTTAAATACTCCAAGAAATCCCTAATTGCACAAATTCCGATTAACTACTGAAAGATTATTTGTTGTCTATGGAAAGAAAGTGATATTATTTGACATCGGCTTGCATGTCGAGATCAATAAAGGCACAAGCACCCAGACCTGAAAGGAAAACAAAATTACAATTATTTTTACAACTTGAAATGAATGAACCGAGAAATTAGTGTGAAACTATTTAACGTCTGATATGCAGTTTAGAAAGATTGATTTGGTTGGATATTGCCTTTTACCTGAACGAGCCATTTGTGAGAGCAGTAGATGGGCATGATTGATCCCCACTTGAAGAGGGGGCGTTCTGGGTAATTGAATGGATTGGAGAATAGCAGAGTTCAGAGCGGCACACACAGGCTCCCTCTCCGACGAGGATAACTGCCAACCCATTGGCGACTCCCAGGGATCAGCATATGCCAGCAGACTAAATGCGTTCTGCATCAGCTTCTTGTTGCTATCATTGTGCCCATATATTCGACGCATGGAGACACTTAGAGCTTGCAAATCACGACCCACTTGAAGCAATTGCTCAACAGCACCCAGCCCATTGCTACCATGTTGAGGAAGTGATGTTATGGAACTCTCTGTCGGTGGGTTAGGAAACTTACACTTGTCCTTGTTCTTCCCGTTGACGACTTGTCCGTTTTTTGCTGCTAACATCTCGTGTGAAGCATCATTATTGCTGCTACTGGTAGAAGTTTCTCCGTTACACATATCAGATGAGGAGTCTGACTGTAAGGATGAATTTGATAGGCTATTTGGTGGTTTCTTGAGTGTAGTTGAGGAGGAATTTGCGATTTCAACCTCTACATAATAACACAATAGAAGCGTTGCAGTAATTAGTTTCCACTTTTTCAAAAGACTGCAATGAAAAAGTAATTATACAATGCTTCCGTGTTTATTTCCTTACCCATTTCATCGCCACAACCATTCGGATATCCATTATTGGAGTATCCAATCTCCATGTCTTCTTCTTCCTCGTCCTCTCCATTTTTGTTGCCACAATTATTTTCTATATCTTCGTCGGGAGATTCCAGTCGAATTCCATCACCGTTACAGTAATTGCTAGATGAACTGATGGTAGCATCACCGTCCAGATCTTCATTTGGCCTATCCTTTCGCGTCATTGACTGACCAACGAGTTCCACAAAATGACGACATCTAAGCATGAACAACAGGTCAGGATTGGAGTCGAGTAAATTTGGATATAAAGATTTCGTCTCATCTTCGGCTTCTTTAATATGACCTGAAAATTATTAAACCAAGTGAGTGGAGAGTACATCTTTTCCTTGTCTCTCACATTGTTAATTTTTATGACAAGAACTATTAGATAAAATTTGTAAATACCTTCAAGTACTAATTGCTGAATTTCTATTAAAAGCAACAAACAAGACAAGTTATAGCTTTGCTGATTTGGAAAATATTTAGTAAATATCGAAACATACTTTGTCTATTTTGCATGGACACTAAATCTTCTGCTACTGCTTGCCCACAGGTTTTGGCAAAAGCTTCTGCTGTAGGAATGGAATGTAATACATACGTACATACATACATTAGTTAGTTATTATAGTTATTATACTATATAGTTATAATTATAATTGTACTTAATTTATATACTTACCGGTTGAGCAATACCCGTGATGTACGAGATAGGACATTACCATCCTACACAAGTGGAAAACAGTCAAATTAATATTAGTAATATAGAGGAGACAGTAATTATGTATTACACCTGTGAGGAACTAATAATATTTGTTTCTCACTTATTCATAATTCCTTCCCAATTTCGGTAAGACTCTGGGATTGGAAATCGTTCTACCGTTAAGCGGGTTTTCCCTCTTATCTCCTTCATCATGTCTTCAATATCAAATACGAACGGCTGCTGACCAAAGTTGGCGTCAACTATTTCTCCTGGAGTTTGTAGTCCAACGGTTGGAAATAAGCTTGGCTGTAGTAAAGAAAAAGTACATAAGTTGTGTAATGCATGTTACAGATAAAAAAAACTAGCATGCATGCAATTGTAAGATAAAAACAATATAAATTACGGGCAAGTCTGTGAAGGCAACGCCAAGATGGTGACCGTTCTTTGTGTAAAAACAAGTGTTGTCTAGTAAGTTCACTCCACACCCAATAACATCCCCAGTGGTGAAAGTGGGCCCATATGGTTGACCAGTGCCAGATGAACAGAAACTATGCCCATCGTCTCCATGATATCCATACGAGTGTTTGTCCCACCCAGGAAGGCGATTCATATTCACACCATGAGCAGAAAGACCAATTCCCATATATCTATTAAAAACAACCAAACATAGCATGCATGAGCTTAGTAGCTTAATATTATTGGTATTATCGCGCAACACTAATTACTGACCCATCACGTCCTTTGGAAACAATTTTCACTTCAAAGTAGTATATTCCACAAGCTGCTGGAATCAAATGAGTAGCTCGTACACTGGCAGCATCCTTGTGACCCTTACCATGACCTAAAATACCCAAAACAAGTACAATCGAATATTCAAGTCTAAATTCTATCTTACTTATGAACAATCCGTGAATTTATTACATTATATAGCTAGAACTTAGAACATACCCTTGTAATGAACTCGGAGATTGTTCTGAGATAATCCGATAAAGTTAAACTTGTCCTTAGGACTCCAAGATCTTGGCAGAGGGGATTCTGCCTCATTCACCATGGGATAAAGGACCTTGATCCTATCCTGGAAATTAGACTCCCCAACCAAGAGTTTTGCTGACAACGTCATATTCCTGACTGCCATATACAAAGCTGCTGCTGCAGATGACGCACTATTGTCAGAACTGTAACTGTCTTGAGGCGCAGAAGAAGGGGGTCCAAGGGATTCTGGAGACCACTCGTCTTCAAGATCGCTCCCTTGATCGGCGGCCTCCGTTCTGAGAAGTGAAACGCACACGATCTGTACTGAGTTACGTCGTCCTACTGACGGACTGCAGGCAAGCACATAAAAAAAACTTATTATTACAAAAACACTTGGATCCCGTCTTTATTGTGCAATTAATTTAATCCGTATCTACCTAAGCTGCTGCCGTAGTAGGGAGGTCGGGTGCGCAGTTATATAAATCCACCACTCGATTCCATCAGCAATGAATATCCGAACATTGGGACATTAGTTGTTGCAGTCTGCAATTATTAAACAATGCAACTTTTGTTAGAAAGCTAACGTTATTAACTCGACATGGAAAAATAAATTAGTAAAATAATTCGTCCTTTGTTAATTTTGGTACGAAGTCATACTCGATCCAGCCAGACCGTATCAATCACCACAATTTATAGAAGAATATATGCTCGAGTTTGTCGAAATAGACAATTGCAATACGTAAATAAACGTAAAATAAATAATTCCACGCAATATATTTAATATTTGGTATTAAACGAATCAAATGTGCATTCAATCCACCATTTAACTTGCCTTTCTTTTTAAGAACGACTTGGCCTCAGAAGGGACCTCTGCTTTTCCTCAATTCGACCAGTTAAACCATTAACCATGAGCTCTAATTAATTTAATAAAGAAACTGCTGATGATTTTATTTTCTCTTGCATTTGATTCTCTCACTCACACCTCAGCTCAAGCAGACAAAAGCACTGCACTGACTTGCTAGCAACAACACATTTCTCTAGCCTCTCTCCTTCGCTGGGATTTGGGATACAGTCTTTTATGTGCCAAAATACCAAAACAGTCCAATATTGCCTGCTTCTAGCTCTGAGCATGTAAATGGCAACGTTCCGAGCAGTGTCCCTCGTCAGCTGAGCCGTTGCCCCTCCTGCACCGCACCTCAGCCAAAACCCCCGCAGCATCCACTTTCCCCCCATTAAACTAACCAACTCTGACCTTCTGAGCAGACAAATTCCCACCTTATCTCACCTTATCTTTCTCACTCCAAAGTTTTCCAAACTAGAAATTCGTGACAATTTTTTACCTCGCTGAATTTGCATCAGAAGACGAGGACCGTTTGTTTGAGTTGCCCCAAAATAGGTTTCTTCAGGTTCGGATGGTTGTTCTTTGTTCCCCTGTTGCCAAATTGGCCAAAGTTGAGAGAAGAGATCATCTACAAGCGTGTGCAAGCTGCAATTGCGTCGCAGTTCCATTATTCCATGCATGAAATGAATTTCATTGAAACCTGAAACCTGATTGGCATTTTTTGAGAAAGTGGACACAAAAACAAACTTGAGCAATGGATAAGTTGCAGATGTGATAAGAAGCTATATAACATTGTATCTATATTCTACGTATGATGGTGCGTAATGGCATCTTTTGTTATTAGACGCCCGAGTCGACCAACGAAATTAGGCTTGCTTGGCTTTTAAGTTATCTAGGTAACGTTAGCCTCCCTCATCTTGGCAAAATATGATCGAATACCACTTGTAATTAACATTTTATTATTATTCTACAAAATTTATTGCAATTTACTGACTGACAAGATGTTCAAAATTACTTTTGTTTTGACCTTGCTAAAGTACCACTATCACGCCTGATATTTCATATCAGTGGTACCTTCTCGCCCTCCTGGTGATATTATTTTTTCATGATGATAGGTACATACATACGTAACATTAGTTATTTGGCTGCATTGCCACTGCCACTTGAATCTCAGAATGTGCCATGGATGTAAAGGCATGTGCATATTTTGTAGAACCACAAACTTCCAAGGCGTCAGATGAGGTAACCAAAGAGGTTGCTACCACCGTTGACCCCCCTCAAACTGGAATGGACAATGCTCCTGTTGACAATAAGGGACCTCTCGGAAAAAGCGTGGGTGGTGATGTCGTCGAAGGGGAAAAACATGTTAGTGATAACCCACAGCAGCAGCAGCCGTCAGGGGACGAGGAGAAAGTTGAGGAGAACGAAGTGGGTGAAGAACCGGAAATGAGCCGACGTATGATAAGCATGCCAGAAGTAACAGAATCCGCCAAACCTTCACCTCCACCCGTGTTCACATGCCACGAAGCCACCTACGTTCCAAATAAGATTTTGACGAGCAAAAAGCAGAAGTCTACCTTGTGGGGTGCCAACGAGAGCAGTGACGAGGACCTCAGCGGGGATGAATTCTTTCCCCAAGCCTCGGACAGGAAAAACTATGCCAAGCACTACCCCACTGACAACGAGGTGCACAAATTGACAACTAATTAAATGCATGCAAAGATGAAAATAAATACTCATATATCCGAGACTTTTATAATTAAATAGTATCGTCCAGCAGCCATGTCTCCATTCCCAGTCATCATCCAACAAGTGGTCAGACTGGTGCACTCAGAACTAGCGAAGCACGGCTGCCAGCGCCTCCTCCCCGAAAAGGCCAAGCCAGCCACCCCCAACGAAGAGTCACAAAGTCACCACAAGAAAAGGGAGAGTCACCTCAAGCTCCCCCACGAGAACATGGAGAGGAAGATGCACCGGCTCAAAATCTACAAAAGAGCCTTCGGTTCCCTCGTCATCTACTTCAGATCCTACTCTCCGCTCCTCTTGTACATCAAGAAGACTTACGACGACGTCCTCTCCTTCCGCCTCCGCCAGTTCAAACAGGCTCAGCACGAGAAGCTCCGAATCTACCATGAGCGAGCGTCCCTCGAACACAAAATGATGACCTACAAGTTTCCTGACTTTAAACGCCTGAAAAAATCGGAGCAGCATTTAAATCTGCTCTATGTCCGGATTCGTAAACAGGACGAAGCTATTGAATTCATTACAGAGATCCTTCGAAAGTATATATTTGCATATGTGTTTTCCAGTTCCAAATGATTCACTTAATCATGCTGTCATACTTCAATAGGATGGAACGATCGCTGAGTGACCACTATGAAAAGTATCGGGACATGGAGGATCAAATTAAGCTCCTGGACATTGAGTTGACAGAGTTGACGCAGCGAAGCATGATCCCGAAAAAGTTTGAAGTGCAAGAGAGTGAAGATAACAATGGGGACGATGAGGTTCCTGCCTTTCTCAAATCGATGGATGACGACGATGAGGAGGAACCCATCGACGAGAATGAAGAGATTGATGAAGACAAAAGGATGGTTCTGATTTTAGCATATGCCGTTTGTACCAAGGACTTGGAAGAGGCGCACAGAAAGTAAAGCTACCCCTCGTGTACAACAATGTCTATGTTGTTATATTCTTTGTTTATGAACCATAATTTCCCATCATCATCAACAGGCTCAAGCTGTACGAAAAGAAGTACCAGCTGCAGCAGCTGAAGAAGAGGCTGCTGCAGGGGAGAATGCATGGTGGAGACGAAGAGGATGCCTTGGAAGGCCAACCAATTGACGACGTTGTGGCGTTGGGTGAGAATAGCGAGGACGAGGCGGAGGAGGGAATGTCGGACGAAGAGGAGGAAGAAGACGAGGACGACGAAGAGGAGGACGAGGAGAACGACGAAGCGGAGGAAAACGAATTCGTCGAGGATGGTCAAGAATAATCAGCAAAGTATTCACATAAATCTAAAATAATTTATTCAATGAAAATAGTCACACCATTTGCCGATTTATAAATACGACAAAACTTATGCATAATAAATTGGGCTAAATTCTCGCATTGATTATAAAGCGTCAATTAATACACGGTCGGTCAACATACATAATGCTCTTAAATTAGCATTGAATTAGACACTTTTAACATATTGACAAACCAGGAATATCTCTTTAAAATCTACTAAAAGGCCTAGCTGAGTATGTGCCAACTGAAAAATAAGCAATAAATCAGTCAATCATGATTCGTCAAAAAAGTGGGGATCTAACCATCGCTTTCGTCCATTATGTCCTGCTGAAGAAGCTCTTCTAGGACGTCCTCCATGGTGACCACGCCGATCCTTTCGTAAAAGGGGTCTCCAGGACCTTCGTCGTTAACCCTATCCACGAATGCCATGTGACCTCTATTACCTGACCGTCAAAGTGTTTGAGTAAGAATTGGTGTGTAATATTTTAATTAATGGAGTCAACAATATATCAGAGGGTAAACCTTCTCTGAATTTCCTAAACATGAAATCCAGACGAGTATTTTCAAAGACGCAGAACAAATTGTCTTTGAAATATTCTACGTCCACTAAATCTCTGAGTCGCATCTCGTCCTTGTAATCCACCATTATTAACTGTTTCACGTTGAGCAGAGCTATGACATTGGTTAATTCTCCGTCGTAGATGGGGATTCTTGAGTATCCTGCAAAATTACCAAAATATAAATATAGTCCCACCCACATATGTACATCTTGGTTAAATGGCTATCCGTAGTAGTTAGATACCTTGATTCTCAATTTTGAGCATGGTATTAAAATCCAAGATCGTCTCAATCGGCAGGGTAAACACATCCGGTATTCGACGCATGATTTGCTTCACTGTTTTTTGTTTAAGGTCCAGAGCAGAAATTATGAACACCATCTGTAAAGAATGACGTACTTCAAACTCAAATTAATGAATTGATTGGCTAAGCATGGGGAATATCTATTTTGGAATGGAATGTTTCAATGTTTGTCTGCACGTGTTTGCGCAAATCACGGAACGGCTGCGAACAACACTATATATCCCTCAATTCATAGACCACTCCCAACGATATTGAGCAATTTGCACACTATTTGCAATTTGCAAAGGTCGTAATACAGGAAAGTTCTCACTAAAAATAAGGCAAGAATGCTAACCTCTTCCTTCTCAAGGAGATGTTCATCTTTGACTGCCTGGAAGCACAATTAAAAGGAGACGCATTCACATCTTATCCTTTGTTAAAAATGATGATCAAGCAGTCACCTTGACGAGTTCCTTGAGACGCTCCCTGGTGAATCCAGCTCCAATCTCCTCACTCAGAAATTGATCCAGCAATTTGCTGAGAGGAAATGCAAGCGGAAACGTGATGATCATGAACAGCTTTGTGACGGCCATCGTGTACCCGGCCACCATGAGTCCATGTCGAGAACACACCGCTGCGAGATGTGAAATTTGCACCATATTTAAATGTCCATTAAATGTTCTTGTCCCGTAAAACTGATTGTGAGTTGCACAATTGAGTACTTATGTCGCAACCACTATTTGTGCCTTTATATACATAGATATACATACTTATTTCAAAATCATGTAAAACACCCGGAATATTTTAGAAAGACTTCGAGTACATATCTATATATAGTTCTTAATAGTCTTATAACACAGCGGCCAGGATTTACTTGCAGATTATGTACTCAATAATGACGAGGTATGATCGTACCTTGTGGAATGATCTCCCCTACGATTACAATGGCAAAGGTCGATCCTATGACAGCTGTGAATCCATCAGTCAAGTTGTCCTACAGGATAACAAAGGCTTACCATCCTGATTTTGCTATGATAAATCTAACATATCGTCATTTAGCTTGAGAATATATTTTTTAAGTTACCATGAGCAGAGTCAGGGTCGAATTTACGAGGACATTGCTGAAAACGAGGCTGCACAGCAATAAGTTCCCGTGAGATCGGACGGGGCGAATTTTTTTGGCATGATCACGTTCCCTGGGCGTCCCGGTATTGATCATAATCTTGAGGTCCATTCGGTCCAAACTTAAAACTCCTAGATTTAGGCCAGAGAAAAGTCCGGATAAAATCAAGAGGAACGCGATAAGAATCCAAAACACCCAGTCGGGCACTTTTGACCGGATTATATTTATCGTCAGCCAAGGGACCACCTCTCCAGTTACATGTTCTCCTTGAAGTGTCAGCTGGTCCGCTGTGGGGCCCATGCAAAAATAGACCTTCATTTCGTACCCACGGTACAATGCTGGCAGTGTCAGCTTCACCACTCCCATTTTGCCCGTTGTATCGCTGTGCACCTTGAGAGATGGTATGCTCATATAATCATAATCAATTACTTAACATGGAGTCAAATGGCCAGTCCGTACTGCTGGTGTGGGTATTGACGTACTTTGACGACTGCGAACGTGTCATTCTGCAGGTGACATGATTTGTGGGTGGTAAGCTTCAGCCATGCTCCGGGTGGAATATTGCCGTAAAGAGTTATTTTCAAAGCCGTCCCTTCCGGAATGTGTGGACTTCCCTTCGCATCGTACACGACTTTCTTCTTGTCCGATTTATGTTGAAAGGACATTCCAAATAATTCTACACTTGATGGAGTCACATCTTGGCCACGTGGCGTAATCTGTTATTGCTTCAAGTTAGCCATGTTAGCCTCGTAATCGTATCTCTCCAATCCACCTCCTCACTTACCTCATTTATGTTCTCCCCCTTTAAAGTTGGCATGCATAGCAAGACAATTGTAACTCCGAAATTTAGCGTTACTGTGGACGGGTGCATTTGGGAGAATAATAGGATAATTTTCACTGGAAAACGTGAATGTAAACGTTAGTCGGAGAATTTTAATCAAATACGACTCGATAGTAAATCAATATTGACACTGAAGAGTCAACAACGACATCTGCGCCTAGAACAAATTTCTATATTTCAGGAAACTAAAAGTTAATTCGTCATTGGTGACACGTTGTAATTGAGTACAAGTTTATTCGTCTGCAAATAAAGTAGTAATGAATTGATTGATTAGGTTGGCGACTGACGACTAAAATACCGTTCTATGCAAATTATGTAGAACTTCAATTCACATGCATAAAGTATTAAATAACATTAAATTTTATTGCCTTGTTTCATTTGGACACTGATTGACTATATAAAAATATTTTGCTTCGCCTGGTTTTTGGACCATACGGCTAAATAGCACAGCACTGTAGATTTTTAACGAACGCACCGTATATCATTTATTGCTTGCACCATCATATTATTTCAATTAATATCTCTAACTACGAATTTCTTCATCGTCAGGAAGGTTTAGATTCATTTCATCATTGACTATTTGCACTAATTTCGTTCCGACCGTCTTGATTCGCGTGGAGCCGTCTGCGGCAAGTGATCACACACGCAATGCCAAAAACTATTCCCAAAACTACAAAATAAATACCATAAACTAGAAATTGAGGGCGTAGATCAAGCGACAGTCCATTCTCATCAGTTAGAACGAACGTCAAAACGCTTTGTAAAACGAGGGAAATGAATCGATTCAACCCGAAAATTAGTCCATGGCTGTCGTCACTGATTCCTTGCGCCACCTCAGAGCTGCAATCCACAAATAAAGGCACATAACTATTAACTATATTTACAGTGGTTCAGTTAAAATACTGCGTGCGGTCATACCTTGCAACGGTAATCATGACCTGGTACAAAGTACGGAAGGCGATGTAGCAGACATAGGCTGCCACAATGGATCCCGTTTGTGACATCAGAATGAGGAGGAGACCTTGAAGAAGGGAAGTCACGAGTAGCAGGGATTCTCCCCACTTGTTCCACGGCCAGGAAACATGACCCACAGCCAACGCCATCACAGCACCTGGGATGAAATTTTGCAAGAATACACCACGATTACTGCACTGCACGACCCCCATCAACAAATAAACCGACCAACCACCGAGCAGTGAAATAAACTAACTTAGAATTGTATGAACTGCGTCCACCCCCGCGTTGTAAATCTCTCCAGTTTTGTACGAATAAATTGTCTCGTACAACGGCTGCACATAGTTCACAACCTGTCACAAATTAGGTCAATGGCATTTAAATTGACGCAATTCAATAGATTTTGTTCCTAATAATTCATCTTCGCCTTTTCCTTTATGCAAAATCCTTACTTGAACAAACCCTGCTGATGCGATTGCCCACCACACGGACCATTTTATGATGTGAGGATTGCTGTACGAATTTCGAAAGTCAGACCACAGTGTTGCGTACGCCCGAGAAATCCGTTGTCCATAGGTCGTGTCCTCCTCCGCGTGATTTCTGGTCGCCTTGTCGTCGCCCGTGTCAATGTTGGAGGTGAGCTCGGAGTTGATATTTCTGTAAAAGTAGATTGATTTTTCCACCCCCGGCAGAAAGACGGAGATGGCGAGGGCGGCCGTGAGAGAGACCAAGGTCAAGTAGTGCAGTTCATGATAGTTCATCCACTTTGCAGAGACGAAAGCCTGCGAAAATATGGCTGCCACAAAGTTTCCAATCAGAATGGCCGTGTATGTGTAGGATGTCACTTTCTTGTACTGGTCACGATGGACTTTGGCGTAGATGTACGTGTAATACGCAACCTCGGTGGAGCAGGCGAGTCCATACAACACCTCAACGACCTGTTACGTATGCAAGTACACGCGTGGAGGTATAAATCACATAAATTAAATAGTTAGTCGATTAGTTGTTTTAAAACAATTGACTAAAGTGTCACCTTGAGCGTGGTGAGTCCATGCCCCCAAATGAGAAGAGTGTACGTGAGAACAAAGGCGACAGCTTCGAGTACGATGATGGCCTTGTACCTTAAGTAGTCAGTGATGAGAAATACAATGGGAAGAGTCGCCAGGTAGGAATAAGTTGCAATTGGATACGCCACGTGCACCACCTTGAGCATAAACAATAATTCCGCTTTCAATATTAATAAGCGACGGCTGGAGACTACTTAACCGCAATGTTTACTTAAGTTGCAACTGGATAAGTTTAGCGACTTACCGTGGACTTTGTGAAATTTTTGTACTCAATCAAATACTCAGTGACGAAGGGCTCCGAGGGTCGAAACTCTTTAAAAAATCCATACGCACACAAAATTAGCGAAATCCACTTCCACTTTTCCATTCTCCTCTCACACTCTCCGGCTCTAAGACTGCGGATCTGCTGATTATCTACACTGGAACACGATGCCAAGAATATATGCCGGGACTTTTTACCGAACTCGGGGTTTCTCCGGGTATCGAGTCTTGTGACTGACCAAGTTTCTCCTCAGCAGGTGAGTGGGTGACGTAAAATTTGCAAGTCTTGGGACAGACAATATTACGCAGGACTTATGTTCATGCAGTAGAGGCAAGAAAAAACTCTCTGGAATTAATGTTTCTCAGGTCAAAGTTACGGATGCAATAAAATCAAATTATTGCTGTGCTTCTCATGTTTATGTAGATGCTTGTTAGGTGAACCTTACACAGCTTAATTGATATGAATACTTTTCATAGATGGAATACAGTAGCGTCAAATATCAACACATTTGCAGACGATGCAAAACAATGAAAAAACACTTGTCAGCTTGAATTGCATGATGCTGATGCAACGTAACACCTCTCGCTGCACAAATTTTTATTCACTCCGTCTCAAACACCTTTTTGATGAGTGCTACAGTTTTTATGTTAACTTGGCCTAGCGAATTTGACGAGATTTGCATAGCACTATTTTCACCTACATTGGTCTCGATGGAAAAAAGACTGGGCGAGATTAAGGCAAACTGGGCGTCCAATGCGTTGAAAGTAGGCAAGAATTCCGTTGTCTCGGGCTTGACGTCAAAAAAAGCTTTCAGCTGAAACGTCTCAAAATTTGGAAGGTGAATTTCTGAAGATGCCTTGTCGTTCTCGGAACATGACTCCAACGTGTAATTGAGACATCGGACAACTGCACACACTTGCCAATCGTACTCGGCCGTCTTTGCTGCTACCGTTCGAGTCCCGTTGAAAACGACGAGTCTGTAATTTTCGAGAGAAATTGGACCCGACACATTCCTCATTTTATAGTTCACTTGACAGCAGAATTCATTCTCCGTGCAGAGTAATTCTTGGTCCAGGGCAAAGTTCAGTACTGCCGTTGTGTAGTTTTGCAGGTCTTCTCTGAGGAAAGAATGGTAGGCGGCCACGTTGGACTTCAACTCGACGTCAGAGTCGAATTTCGTATTCACATCAGCAATCTTGTGTCGGGGTTGTGGCCGAGTGGGCAAGTTTCCCACGAGCATGGTGGATCCAGAGTCAGAGTCGAAAGTGTAGGTCACGGCGCCACGAACACCTTCGTAAATTCCGCTCCCCAACTGACCTCCCAACGGTTGGTGATAGCCCGACCCGAGGAGGTTGGAATTCGACCCGTATGCCCACGAGGCTTGGGCCTGAATTGCTGTGTGTATAATGCAAAATGTGATATTTGCGAACTTTATTATTTGCATTTATTAAAAGGATATGAAATACAAACCGGTCAGAAAAGGCAACTCATCCACCCAAGCAGTTGGGAAAATGAAATGTTGCACTCCCATCTCCACCAAGGCCACTGCTGGATCATGGAAAATAATGTCAAAGCAGGTAAATAGGCCAAAGGTCACTCCAAAGTCGGTCACAAAAGTGTTCAGCTGCACGGGGTCAGGTTTATCAAACTGGTCTTCAAAGTACAAGTTGGCTTTCTCATACCTGCCAGAAAAATACAAAATATGCATTCGCATTACATTCATAATTGGCACGATCCTTTGCTTCATATTTAATGTGCACTGACTCACTTTGCCACCAGATTTCCGACCCGGTCAAATACAATATTGCTGTTGAACTGGAAAACGTTATCGGGTGGGCAATTGGGTTGTCCTGTACAATCTCGAATTTCTCCACAATTCACGACGACGTAGATGTTGAAGGACTGGGCGGCACAGGACATTTCTTGAACGGCTTGGGACCCTAACTGCTCCCTGCAAGGGTTGCTTCCAATTGGAGGCACTGAGAGCAGAAATGGCTTCGCTGCATCTCGGTCCCTTGGAATCCCCAACGTTGTGAGTCCGTATTCGGGGAAAACTATAATGTCGACGCCCTGCCCCAAGAATTAGTTGGTTAATTTATTTGTGTCCATTTCTGACATGGCAATTAGCATGACCTCGATGTTTGCCTCACATTGGCGGATGCGTTTCCGATGAACTGCAGATAATTGGCAAGGTTCTTCGATATGATTTGAGGTCCTGTGTCCTGCCACGGGCTCCCCTCAGGCTGATACTCGACCACTGCTGCCTTGTACGTGTCCAAATCCTGTCCCTGGGGTTTTAAGAAATTAGCCACGCTGGCAACCACACAACTTGCGAAAAAGTAACAGTGACCAGTGTAATGCAAAATGAGTGACAACAACAGTATCGTAAGAACAAAGAGGCGGTGAGACACTGGCATGACCGCTTTCTAACAAGCACGAAGAAAAATATGTACAACTTTGTGTGTACAACAGCAACGTAAAATGAAGTATGAATTTGTTATTGTCATTCGATTTGCTGCATACCCGCTGATTTACCGAGGCACAATTCCTGCTAAGTAATGCCGTCATCAGGAGGAATGGAAATATTGCTACACGAGTATAGGATTCACTTCTTGAGACAAGTCGAGCCATTCTTATGTACAAGGTCACTAAACTTGAAGAAGAAAATATCAAGTTGGAGTGCGGAGACCACTAACCTAAAGCACTTGCCGATTAAACTTATACGAGCAAAGAATGAGCGAATCTCACATGCACGAACGCAATGAATGGTATCACAGAAAACAATGGGTCCAGTGCTGGTCTTATCATCGCCGATAGAGTGATATTGAGCAAATTACATGCTTAAACTTTTCCTCCGAGCTATTATATCAACTGCTGCCAGGTGTTGTGGGACGAGATAAGAAGTTACCTATCTAAACCGTATACAAAACTTACCTTACTGACTTTACCTGCAAAGTGCAAACCACCTAGGTTATGTGACCCCTTAAAGTAGTTTCTCTCAGGTTATATGGAATCCATGTAAAATGTTGCATGCTTATTAAGAGTCAAAGTATATTTGAAAAATACTATGTAAGCTTGTAAAATATATTTCTGGACGAATTTCAACAACAGTAAAAATAATTAAACAATTAAAACTTTTAGAGTAATTAGTAGCGTATAAACCGAGGATGCCCTGGTTTCGAATGGCGAGAGAGGCCGTTGCTGGATGACATCTTCATAAATTGACTCCTGTAATAGGAATGCTGAGGAATTGGGTGTCGGGCAGCCCTCATGCTGCTGCTGCTGGGGGAATCAAGATGATGGGGGACGGAGTACCCATTTCGTGAGTCATCCTTCAGAGAGTCGTAGGTGATGGAAATCATGTCTGCCAAGCGCCCCTTGCTAAAACTACCCCCCAGCGGCGTTGTGGTGGGTGTGGCCTTTGATGTGGACTCACTTCCCGAGGTTTGCATCGTGGTCGTCGATGCAGGGACTGGCGGTGGCTGTGACATTTCCATCGGGTGCTGCCCAAAGTCTGGAGAAGGGATCTTATCATCGTGAATCATTTGTGGCCGCGGTGGTATCAACGCCCCCACGACCCCCAACAACGTTTTCTTACCCTGCACAATGGCACCCGGAATTTTTAATTTGGCCAAGAGAAGCGACTCTGGCAACCCAATGAAGAGGGCTTTTTTGTACTTGAGACGTGCCACGAGGGCGTCCCTCTTCAGGGCTAGAAGCGATCCCTCCCCACCCACTGCGTTCCCCACACTGTCCACAAGTTTTGTCAGAGTTGGGGCAAGTTGAGCAAGGAGGTCGACGGCGGGGGAGGTTGTTGGGGGTGTGGCTGGAGGAGGGACAGATGATGTCGGCTGGGTTGGCTCAGCAGTTGTTGGCATTTGTGGCGGGGCGGCTGTTACTCCCAAACCAGCGAGAAGTGAGGACAGGGCTTTAAACTTCCGACCTGCCTTAGTTTGCAATAGTTGGAGCAGATTCTTCCGTCTGGAAGGACGGCGTTTCGGGTAGAAATGTGAGGGTGGTGGGCCAGGCAAGTAGCCGTAGTTCCCACCAGCGTTATTTTCCGGATGGTCGTCCATCATAATAAGGGGGACGTTATCGCCATAGTATGAACCCCACCCGTAATCCGGCGACGTAGAGTAGTCAAATTCCGCCGGCGGCGTCGTATCTCTCATCGAGTACTGGGTGACGTCTTCTCCTGTAATCAAGCACCATGATAATTGCAGTCAATAACCTTTAACAAAATATCGTATCGTATAATACGATTCGTATTCATATCAATATCGTAGTCTACCTAGGTTTTCATTGACGGAGGATGTCTCATTTTTGGCATCTGGACCTTCGTAGTCATCCCATCGTTCGTCCGCCCTCTTCCGACCGTGTATTCTTCCCACTACCTGAATAACGGGCTCATCGCCACTCACTTTGTAGCCAGAACACTCTGTCGTCACAAGTACGGTAAATATACAAAAAAATAATTGAAAAGTCCACATTTTCCGCAGAACCAAGAATTTCTGGCCTCTCCTGTTTTTACTGTATGTGTTTTTGCTGTGGAATCTTCACAAATAAATTGAGTCTATTTCAAATTACATGCTAGAGAAAAGGAAGGACGAGAATGGTCAGCTTCGGATGAGACCTCAAACCAAAGTGAGAACAGGGAAATATCGTCCCCAGATAAGTGAATGGGGAAGAAGTCCCAAAATGGAGAAATTGCAACATATTATACGAATATTGGTTAGTACATATTGTACTAACTAAATAAATAAATATCCAATTATGAGGTGACATGCACCTCATGCACGTTACACATAAGTATTTGTCTCTCATTATTCGTATCTCATCTCGTGAGAATAAAAATTATGAAATAATTTACATTTTTAGAGGTGAGTTAACAAGCGATTGAGCTAATATGCAGCAAATTATGTAGCATCATTTTTATCCCCTTTTCACTTTCTTGTCCTTTCCTTCTACTTACTTATTTGCACAAAAACTAGTTTTCGACTCTATTTGTCATTGAATGTCATGAACCACTAATGGAGAAGACTACATAATTTTCACCCTCCTACATGATGGGTGGCACGTAATGTTCACTCGTATGTACAGATAAATATAAATACATGTACATTCCTCTTCCCTCGTACGCAATTTTTTATTGAGACATGAAACAAATGAACCCTTCAACATCAATCAAGAATAACTTTAAACCTGAAATAACTTAATGTCTCCATTTTCCATTCACAAATTGCAACAAAATAATTTTAATTTTATCGAATTTTTGATAAGCTAAACATGAAGGTTTGACCTAGTCGCTATACGTACATACGACATAATTGAAAAGCGAGATAAGAGGACGCGGAAGAAACAATTTGACGCTTTCTTTCTCTCTATCTTTCCTCTGACAAGTCAACATACGATATTAAATGGTCACTTGGTTCCTATTTATTGGGCACTTGTGATACGATTCATATGATAAGGATGTATCGTAGTTTGATGGGATACGTATTGGGGGCTGTCTGGAAACATAAATTAGGTTTGCAACATACAAAAATCAACCCAGGTCTATAAAGACTAAGTTTGTCTCCAGTAACAGTGGGAAGCGGTAATCAAGGGGCGGAAAAGTCCTCCTTGTCGCGTAGGGATGCACCATCGGTGAAAGCGACCTTGTGCCATAGTCTCCGAGTTTGTGGAGTGAAGGAGTCCTTTGGAATGGTCTGGGTAATTTTGGTAATTTTGAATTTCGCGAGATTGGTCTCCGTAAAATTGTTGATGGTGGGAATCATCTGTATGTTGGGGGTTACTATAGTCGTCGCGTGCCACTGGATAATCTTCACCCGGATAATAGTCGACATGCGACCATTGTGGAGCCTGGGGTGGTCCCGGGTGTTGTATGTGGTAGTGGATATGATTAGGCGGGGGCACATCATCATGCACTGGTGACAGCGGACCCAACCCATGCTGATCTGGAGCTGAATTCGGTGTCAACGCTTTGTTCCTCTTCTTGTCATTGTTAAACAGGGCGTTCCACAAACTTCGATTGTCCGTGTACAGGTCGTAGTTGAGATTCCAGGCTGTTCTGATATTCCGTCGAATAATGGTCCACAGCGTTTGGAGGAAGTTGATCTGGATTTGTGCCCATCTGGGGAATATGGCAGAGATAAGAAGGTCCTTCCCCAACTTGGTCGAGGACCGCACCGTGTTGACTCCCATGTCGACTTTGGCTTTAAGCAGATGTCGGCTCACGGACAACTTGTGGCGAAGGAGTTGAAGATAGAGGGACAGATGTGACCGAATCCATCTCTCGAGGAGGGAGGCGTCGCCAGGGAGTGGGGTCAACCCTATGCCGGCATGCTCGTGAACCCCAAGTCCGTATCTGACCAGGGCCCTGTGCAACCGGACGCGAGAGAGGACAGCGTCCCGTTTGAGTGAGAGCAGCGACCCTTCGCCTCCATATCCATCGAGGACGCCTTGACGCAGGGAGTTGTAGAGTCTGGGGATGAGAGGGGAGCTGGGGCTGGTGGGTGGACCAGGAGGAGGAAACAAGTCCCGGGTGTAGTGAGGGCCAATTGGGGGTCCAAGTGGCGGTGGGGGTGGAGTTGGCGCGTGGTATTGTATTATTACTGGAGGTATTTGTTGCTGTGGTGTTGGTGATCCAGCGACACTTTCCACCCAGATAAATACCCCCGCTAGTAAAATGCAAGAGTTTTTCCGCATTTTTCGAACTATTTAGTCAAAAGTGTGATGAAAATTTGGGAATGGAGTCTGATGACCTTGTGAGTTTCAGACAACGAGACCAACAACCAAATGAAATATGCGCACGATTTTGTCCCCAAATATAAAGATTTTTTGCAAAATCATTTGCATATCTGTACCGGACTGAGTACCTCAATTATTTTCATTGTCAAAGTCACTTTTTTAGTGCTAATGTCAAATCCATGCATAAAAAACTCTTGACTAATAATAATAAACAATGCAGATGTGTACCAGTTTCATTGGCAAAAAAATTGAACGAGCTTCATTGGAGTCGACTACAACTTTTCACTTTCATTCTTTCTCCTTCTTATTAAACTAGTTTGAATTTGCGGTCCCAGAATTAATTCCATTCCCTTCATCGACAAGATCATCTTGTCGTCCCAACTTCCTAACTCTACGTATTATGGGAAATACATGTACGCGTTATTGAATAGCCGACACACACTGATGACGACCTCCCCCAGTGGCATGTATGTAGTAGTTACATAGGTCTGCAGACACATTAAATTAACAAACTAATATACAGCGAACAATCATCATTAATATAACGTTGCATGAGATGAGAGTGGACGGGAGGATGTGACCAAACCACTTCCTGCAGGCACGATACATATGCATGTCTTCATTTAAGTACTCGTATTTTTGTACATATACGTATCATTGAACAAGTTGGTTTCAATCAAGAATGGACCTGAGGTGATTATCGATTCGCTTTCTCTCTTTTTTATAACGCACAGCAATCACATTTTATTTTGTTACTCGATAATACTCAACTTTTTGCAAAGCTTTGGCACAAAACCTAACAGTATTTACAATAATCATTTGTATAAAAAAAGCTCTCCGACACGTCTTACAAAAAATATTTGTAAGTGTCAACGCCCAACAAAAAAGTATAAAAAAAACTTAACAGGTCCACATAAAAAAACAAGATTGACAAAAAATAGGAGAAACCAAAACCAAAAGAAAAACAAGTCAGTCATCGATCAGACCAAGTCAAGATCATGGCGCAGTTTACGCTTCTGTTCAGCACGTTAGGATCGCGTAAATCCAGATTGGAGCAATTGTGAGCTAAATTTGTTATCAATCTTGATGCTGCTGCTCTGGTCCTCTAAACTGGAGCGTGGTTTGTGACGGTGCAAATCCAATGGGTCAGCCTTGAGGGGAATGGATGGCGTAGTGAACGAAGATTGACGCATTAAATCTCTGAGAAATTTTCCCGACACAACGATCGCATCGTCGGTAGCTGTTTGAGAAAATGGGGACGGAGGTCGGAGGAGGGCAACGGGCGGCAGGGTGGGGAACACTTGCTCGTGTTTCGTGAAATCGCCATAGTTTGATGAGACCTCATCTTTGTTGAAGGAGGGGAATGCGTAGAGTGGGTTGCGGAGCGTGGTGAAGGTTTCTTGAGGAATGGCTCCTCCATAGTTCGGACTGGGTGTGTTTCCGTACTGTTGGTTTGGACTTGCACCATACTGCACGTTGTTGAGCACCTCGGGCTTCCTTTGAGAGGGGGCTACGTATCCATAGCTCAGATCTGGAGTGCGAATTTGACCATATTGTAGACTAGGGGTCACTGCAACGCCATACTGTAGACTTGGCACTTCCGGCTTCTTTAGTGTCGGGACTCCATAGAGCAACTCTGGTTCTGCGGGTATCTGCTTAGCTGCGATCAGGGCCCTCCAAAAATTAACCTTTCCTCTCCAAATTGCCTGCCTCAAGAGTCGCAGACTTCGAAAGAAGTGTGAAATGTCCTTCTGAGACAACGAGTTGAGCAAGTTATTGATGATATTGAGTTTAAGTTTGACCAAGCTTGGAACGGTGGAGGTGATCACGGTTTTGTGCAGACGCAACTTGGCCAAGAGCAAATGTTTCGTGATGGACAGTTTGGCCCGAATCCACCTTTCCAAAAGAGAGGCTTCCGGCTGGACGACCAAAACTTGCTGACCACCACCCCATCCAGATCCATGTTTATGTCGCCCACCAAAGAAACTCTCTCTGAAGGAGATGGCCTTGCTGTCGTGCAGCTTAAAATTGGCGAGAGCATGATCTCTCAACTTTTGAGACACTGCTTCACCCAAACCGAGCTTAAAGTTGGTGAGTGGATGGGACGACCAAGCGGCATTGTTGGGTGCGACTACGGCTCGATTCCAGTACGACGAGAGGAGCCCTTTCCCTACGGAGCTCATTAATTTTGCAGTGTCCCAGGCGAGATGGTTCGTCCCGTGCCATGCGGCCAGTGAGGCGTCGCGGGTGGACCTGTCCGGCGTGGTGTTGTTGGCAATCAATTTCGACGCCCAATCCCAGCTCGAGCTAATTGTGCCCGTGTTGGTTGGGGTGAAGATGCTGTTTTTGGATGCAGCGACGGGATGCAGACCTTGCTTAAAGTTTTGCTTCATCACTTCCCACAGGGAAAGTTGAGCGGCTGCTGGGGCCGATGGTTCTGTTGCATAAAGTTTGTAATTAATTTTGAGATTACGTTGACAATTTTAAATATACTGAGTTTTCGTTTTTAGCAAATATATTTAATAACTCTTCAAACCTGCTTTTATCGCATCTGTTTCTGGCGACCCTTTCGCCAACAAGTTGACATCTCCTCCCGCCACATAATTTGTATTCTTCTCCTTCAACAGGGTGCTAAACTTAGGGAGCGCATCCTGTTCAAACCGTTCTTCTTGGGCGTTGCATGATACTCCGAAAGCCACGAGGAGAAACAATAATGTCGACAACAACATGGGCCCCGTTGAACCTTTCCACCCAACAACTTCCGGCATGTTTGCTTGTTACTTATCTATTTTGAAAACTTTTGTGTCACTCACTCACGCAACCGCAGAGCGAAGATTTAGGGACACGCAGTCAAACATGCGACGACGATGACATTGCTCCTGCCACGACACACTGTCACGAAAACAGAGAGCCTACACGACAGAAGATGAACACAATTAAATTAAATCTTTAATCTTTCAAGGGAAGAAATCTCGCTAATTTTGATCTTATTATTATGATAAAAAATGTCTCAGGAATTACGACAATTAAACAACGGCCTGTTCTGCGTTCGACGTAGCGAGAGAGACTGACTGGGTGGACGGAAGTTGGTTGCGCCCAAATTAGTCCAATTTTCAATTATATAAGAAGGAACGCATGACATCCCCACTTTGAATCTGTGGATGTATGACATGACATAGTCTTTATGCTATACATCTAATAACAACAACAATAACAATGAGATGCACTAGGACACAAAGGAATGGCCAAGTCAAGAGATCACTTCCGCTCAGAAACCGGTTGGGCGTGCATGGATGCGTGTGGGGCAGTCCAACCACGGGGATGAGATGCACTTCCGAGAAGCGAGATCAAGAAGTTTGACCACTCAGATTTTGCATCGTCCATACATTCCGTATGACTATTCAAATTCACAACGTCGTCCTGTTGTCAGATCCGGTCAAATAAATTCCTCTCTGGAATACATAATTTGCCAATTTGCCATAATTTCAACAATACATAGTTTGCCAGTCCTGCCGATAACCTGGACGATCATCGACGATGGTCGTTCCACAATTTGAACCTTTTTTTCTGAAATTAGTCAAAATTGTACATATTTGTCATGCTCGTGTGGCTTTCCCATTCTAAATCGATCAATCACACCAAATGGTCTTTAAGAGACCTATTCTCAGAATTATTGTCGTATCCAAGAATAAATGCATGTGGTGATGGTGGCGCCTTATGCAACAATTGTCAAGTTTTTTGTGGTGTGGTCAGTTTTTCATCATTCACAATATGGCGTGCGCATTACATACTGCACGTTGAAGATGAGAAGCTGGTCCTGTTGCATAAACAGTACAGGATTTGTCTCAATTTTTATTCTTTCAAGAGAAGAAAGTTAATTTTTCGCTACTAGGAACACATCCAACCAACTTTTGCATTCGTCACAGAAGTCGCATTACATCCACACACGGATATTTATGTAGCTATTTGCCATGGGCGGATGTGAGCTTATTATTGTTATCTCGATATGTAGCTCTTATCCCACATGCTTACTTATAAAATAGTCGTATTCTTGAACTTGGTAAAGATTTCCTCCATTCTTTTTGCAAAAAAACGTGCAGAAATATCCGTTAAAATTTCTTGACGGAGGATTTTTGGAGGGATTGACAAATAATAAATGGCACTGGTCTCATTCTCTTGTGCTCTTGATTCCATTTTTGTCTCATTTTCTTTCTATAATGGATTTGCGCAACATAATAAATTCTTCTTTCTTCAATTCTTCTGGTCCTCTTTTCTTCCATTGTGTGAGATATGAGATTTTGTGGATAGCTTTGATTCGGCATAGAGACAAAATCAGACCACATCTCGTTGATCACAAGATTTGCGAGACAGCAGCGACTTAAAACTTAACTTATGAGCCATTTTAACACCTCAGTCACGACGACGGTATGAAATGCTCACATGTCACAAAGCTCAACTATCAGCATTTGCTTTATGATGTATTTCAAAATCGGGAGAAGGAATGAGTGAGTGAGTGAGTTCTTAAGTTAAATGGGACCAGTTCTTAAAAACTAAATGGTCTGCGAGCTTAAAAGTTTATGTGATCTTGGCGTTTTTCAACCAGATCTCTCAAAAAGTTGCGAAATTGCTGCGTGAGTGACTCAATGCGAATGTGTAACAATGAATAAGTCAGAAAACGACGACACAAACGATCCCAAACCACTTTTCTCTCTGCTGCACCACATCTTGGCCATCATTTACTCCATTATTTCTTTCCTAATAATCCTCTTTTACTCCAAGTCACAAATTCTCGCAGCAGCTTTTCGATGTATTTAAATATATACAACAATGGCTCCACATTTAGTCTCGTAATCGACCACTCGAGTCACATGCTCACTTCATATTTCACATGACAAATTAAGTCTGTGAATGGGCTCGTCCTTTCTTCTGCAAATCTCGTACGTTGCAAAATAAATAAATACCCACAGGATCCTGCAAATCTAGTAGTGGAGCAAGTTATGAGAAATTTGGCAAAAATTCGGGACTGCGAGATTCAGTTTATGTACACATGTACACAAATACATATGTATCTCATTGTGAGTGGTGAGAATTGTGAGGCAAGTTGAGAAAATGACTGCCACAGCCACATATTTACCATATTTACTTGAGTGACACAGTGTCATCATTGTTCAATAGCATTTGCAACCGTAGTTGTAGGCATGTAAGGTGACGTAACTATAATCGATGGTGACCAATCATGGCAATTTACCTCTTGGTCTCTCTCTCTCCCTCTGAATCTTATCATCTTGGCCAACGGAATTATGACAGACAATGGAAGTCTGCGGAAATGGGTTTTACATCCACACGATAATAAGTGAGGAATTGTAACGGGTCATCTTGATTCCAATCAGTTGAGGAATTTCGTAGCATTATCGAACGCCGAAGGAAAAGGTGGAAGGTCACAACACGTCAACGTCAAAAATTTGCCGCATACGTTCATTCACGCCTCGAATGTGAGATATATAGCTTTAGTTATGGGAAGACCAACCAAGAGCACAAGCACCGTTGGATTGTTGTTGAGAGAATTGTGCATTATTATTGACAACCACAACAAATTGGTGAATTTCTTGCCTTCATTTATGCACTTTTTATTCGACAGGTCCTCGAAAACCAACCTCAGCACGAGAACAATGCGATAATATGTACATAATGATAATAATAATGCTAATACTTATTACAATGTGCATCTCAGTCAGTCACTTCTACATGGTCGATGAGCTAGAATAATGTGGTCTGTGTTTTCCCCCGTGCGAAAGTATGACCAAGTAAATACTATTTGCTGTTGTTTAGCAAAAAAAGGGTTTTCAAAAATTGGAGTTTTATTTTTTGGGGATTGGATGTTTGCTCATGAATCGGTAGTGCATTTCATTCGGGACTTTGTAGAACAAAACTTTAGAGAGGCAGTTTGAGACGAGGTGAAGTTGTCGTCTCAACATTTCTCAATAAACTGGACAATTGATCGCTCGTGATGCATGATGTGAGTCTCTGTCGTTCTTAAAATTGAGGAATAAAGTCGCTGTTATTGAGATTGTTGTGTTAATCCTCAGAAAGTGTTTGCATGCGTGTGAGTGGATATTCGTAGAGCAGAAACAGGGAGCTTTAATGTTTGCGTAGTAGTAAACGGGGAGAGCCTGGTTTGGTCCTCGTATAGCTGTTGATTACCATGCAGGCAGTGATCATGAGGTTGGTGGTGGTGGTGGTGGACTGGCTTCATTGTTGAGACCAGACTTGAAGAAGCCGAGTTGTTGGTCCCCAGTGCTGAGGTGCCCACGGACCAGAGAGCACACGATCGCATCGGAGGAGGCGTCGTCTCAACTTCTTCTTCTTCTTCGACATTTCTGCTACTGCCCCTCGGCCATCCCAACGCAACGCACCGTTACCCGTGGTCCGACACTCAACACAACGAATAAGCAGATGATAGGGCTTTCGAAACTTAGGATTTCGTATGCCAGTTGCAGCTGATATTCACTTTTGGCAGACATTCGAACCCATAATATTAAACCAACTCGGAGGAAAGGTGTATAAATTGAGCTCTGCGGACAGATGTGTTTTTTCGCTCCGAATTAAAGGTTCGTCTGCTCGGATAAAGGCAGATCTGGCTGAACAAGGACCAACGCTTGAGAATCGTCGGGAGTGATCAGTACTCGGATGGTGGTGTGTCCATTGGGGTATCGTTTTCATGTGATTGTGCGAGAGTGGTGATACGCATTCATCGAAAGAAGTAAGCATACTCGGAAGTGAGAGAGAATGAGAATGTGTCCAGCGGAACTTTTGGCCACAAACGCACCGTTATTGGAAACCACTCCCAAACTCACCGCTGGAAACAACTGTAAGTCGTATACATGTCCTTTTTCCATACTTCAATGCATAATTCTGCACATCCACACCACTCCCACACGTCACCGCAACCACGGATCGAATTTCCATTCGCCATGCTATTAAATCTTTTTAGTGAGTCCAATGACCACGATAAATATTTCATCCCATTAATAATACTTCATTTACATTTTAATACGTTGCATGCACTGGTCGTACGAGCCGTTTGGTAGTCGTTGCTGGGCTCCAGATTTTATCCGATGCCATTCCAAGGCATATAATAGCACTGAAGACAGGGCGACGGAGATGATAATGGAAAAAATAAAGGAACAGGTGTCCGTCCTCCTTGGCTACAAGTCTGAGCTTTCAATCTGTGCAGAAGAAGAAGTGAAATAGTAATAAGTGAACCCATAAAAAAGAGAACAATGGGCCATTGGGCTGCAACAGCGTCTTAGCGTGGAATGAAGCCTTCTGCAACCAGAGTCCATTTCATATGCGCAGCTTCTCACATCATACGCAAGTAGTAAAGTGGTTGTAGATCGTCAATCCAGGTTTCAGACCTTGTTTCAAGTCTGACTGGATACCCTTTAACTCGCTCTTGCTCCTGTAGGAAAGGTCGACTTTGAGTCCAGACTTTTGCCCGCATGCTCGCTCATCGTGTTTTCAACAATGCCAACATCGCCTCAATGTTTATTTATTCATGAAAGGACGAAATAACAGGAACGACTTCTGCCACTGAGATGACCGACCTACTTTCCACTGGTTTTAAAAGTTTTAAAGGAACAAGCTCAAGGGCTGCATCGCATTCAGCAAAACTTGACATTGACCTCAACCAGCTCGGGCTTATTTTCTGGTCTTATTTTCTGTCGTGTGTGGACCAGAGGAAGCCAGCGTGACAATTTACGATTACCATAATCAACATGCATCATCGGGTATGCATCCACTCCAATTCATACCGTGTCGTCGTTATGCCATGAATATTATTAAATACAATAGAAAGTGATAGAACGACGAGGACGAAGAGGAGCGTTCCGGGTTTCGAAAGTGGATCCATTTCACGTGTGAATGTGTGTGGCGTGGAGACGTGAGTTGGTTGCCTGTTTGGGTATCAGCATAAAATTAAAATTGATTTCAACCCAGCAGCAGAACGAGAAGGAAAGGAACCATTTCTTTCTGTCAAGCGTCTTGCCCAACCATCACTTGTCATGCAGTCTACCCTCCAACGTAATCTCTGAGGACCACCTTTGTTTGCCGAGATTTTGTCATAAAACGAAAACCAGGACTTGGTCGATGTCGTCGTCGTCGTCATGTGATTGTGCAACCCATGATTGCATTCAGGCAGTAGATAGTTAAAAGGTTTCTCCGCTCATATGTACATACGTGTGACCATAAACCTCTCTGCTGCGATTTGGTAGAAAAGTAGTGGACACGGGAAGTTGGAGTTAAATTCTTTTTAGTTTTGGTCATAAAATTTGACGGTGTTGAACTCTGCCCAAATATTTGCACTCTTCTTCTTCTTCTTCTCGTGTTACCTCTTTCTATGTGTGTGACATTCATTTCCGTGTTGTGTTGTTGGTTTAATTGCTTAAACGGAGTTTGGTATAAAATGATCATGAATTCGTGCTTTTTACCTGCGCCCCTTCCTTTATTTTATTGCATGCAGAACAAACCAGCTCCAACATAATGCAGAGGAGTGTCATAAATTCATGCCTAAAGTTTCAGCTCTATTACATTGCCCATTCCGGAAAAGTATGTATGTGGTTTGGTTTTCTTATTCCGTTCCTTTGTCAACAAATCCAGTCCACGAATTTGACACATTCTCTCTCTCACACACACATAAATGCAAAAACATACGTGGCATATGGTACGGAAAAGAGATTAGTTCTTGGCCTACTACTTATATGCATATGTAAATGGATAGGTGTCTTAATTCCTCTGCTTTTTTGCATATGTGCGTTGCCCACCCGTCCCTGGTACTAACTAACCCTGTCAGCATTTCAGTGGAGTGTCTGTCACTGCTATTCACCTGGTGGTCCCATCAGCATTCCCATCATCAGCCAAATTCAATCACAAATCGGAAATGAACTTTCTTTCTTTTTCTCCTCGAGTTTTTTATTGGCAGTCAACAACAGAGGTGAAATAGTTATCTCGACGACGCTTGGCATCGTGTGTGTCACTCTGTCCCAGGTGTGGTGGTGGTGAGACGACAACAATGCAATCCTGCGGTGCATGCATACCATTCTCAATACATGAACAAATATATGTATGCCTTTTCGTGATTGATATATATGACGAATTGGGGCTCTCTTTTCAAACAACTCGTTCGTTCGTCGTCCTCTTTTGTCATTTGTCGTGTGGTGCTATTTGCCTCAATCTGCATATGAGGCGACATTTGTCCCCGGTGGCCTGGCTGGTGAAATGGAATGGAATATTTCGCAGAGGTTTTTTTTATTTATTCCGCCCTTGTTGGTGCCCCCTGGTTGGGTCCCATCGAGGATGAAAAGAGGGAGACATTTTGTTGAGCGAGACCTAACCTGAGAGACCTGCTGGCTGAGACGGCTGAGAGTTCGTGGTAACGAGGTTATACTTTACTTTGCGCATTGTGTATGGCGTGGCGTGGGTGCCCAGTAACGGGACTCGGCGGCGGACGCTTGCTATGTGCATCTTGGACCACTTCTCTCGCCTCACTCTCACATTAACTATTTAGCTAACCACACACACAATAATAGCGAATGCGTCCTATGTGCATGACAAAGCAGTGCACATTCATCCCCTCCTCTCTGGCTTGGAAAATTAAAATTATGCACACACACCAACAGTGACACGACCAAATCACGCTAATTATGGACCAATATGTAATATGTCAAAAGGTCATGGGAAGAAATAAGACGGGAAACATTATCATGAGTTTCGTGACGATATGAATGTATACATAAGCATGCACTCTAGTATATAAATTGGACCTCGGTTGACCTGATAAACAATAAGGATTCATAGCTCGGTATTTACACAACAATTTCTGCCCTGGACCATCCCAGAAGACTCAAAAATGTGTGTGTAGGTACGCATTCCCTCATAAAATAGGGCACATCCTAACTCGCCGTCATAAATTCGCCTTGTCATCATAAATCCCAAAATACAGCATACGTAAAAAAACATGGGAGAATGTCAGACATAAACACTTCCTTGAATCCACACAAGTAATAAGTTTTCGCATTCCCGGCTTAATTATTATTACAAAATTCTAGCCTGAGCTAAATCACTGCATTCTTTTAAGCTTTCTTATTAAAAAGTTGTTACTATTCCGGGGTCAGGTTCACATTCACTTGATTTCTCGCAGTCGCAATGAGGTGGTTGGTTATTGTGTTGGCTGGCATTCAGGCGAGTGAGACCGGATTTTCCTGTCTTCTTTCTTTGTGCATGTATTTTCATAAAATAAAGTCGAGTTGCTCTCCATCCCATAACACGATACGTAATAAACGTCTTTGATCAAGTCCAGCGCAGTCACTTCATCGCAGAACAACAGAGAGCAAAGTGTTTCAAATCCACATCGTTTCCTCGTTCTCACACATTTCACACATTCAAGTTCAATGCTCACTCGCAAAACCCCTCTGTCGTCATTAAATGATTAGGCTAACGGGTGCAACTTCCTTGCAAAAGGAGGACCTCGTCTTACATAAATATGTGAGACGCTCTTGTTGCTTGTGGTTGGTGAGACTCGTCCTCCGTAAACTAATTTCATTTCTGCTGATGGCTATAATTGCACAACTTTTTGAACATCACCTTTTCTCAAACAACTCGCAATAGGTAGGCAATAATTCATTATGACGATGATGATCGGGAAATGGTTTACAGGATGACGTTTACGATATGATTAGGTTGCAAAAATAAATAAATACGTATGAGTCGCACCATGTCACACATCATACATGAAAAATATCCTCTTTGTCTTTTTTCATTAATGATGGACAAATAAGACGCTGTTTTTCCTATCCTTTCGCGAATGAATTAGTATTACACATAAAATGCAAATGTCCATGATACAAGTTGTTGACTGTAATTAGAAACTGGGCAGTGCAGATGAATTCGCCATTCGATGCTCATAATTAGTATTCGTCGTCGTCGTCATCAGTCCATTACGGAATCACACGTTGCAATTGAATTGCTTGTCATAGAGAATAAGCTAATAATAATTGAAACAAGTGGAGAACCAAGTCGTTGCTGGCTGGTCGTGGCGTGGTGGTGTCCTTCGCTTCGTTGTGCGTATGTACCACCTCCAATTTTGGGCATCTCTTTCATGTCATCATTATATATCATCATCATCATCCAGCTCGTTACATGTATGTTCACAAAAAACTGAAAACTGATAAAAATGAGTGGTATTATCCTCCTCCTCCTCCTCTTCGCTCGCCTGCAACCTACAAATCCTCCTCCTCTTCCCAATCGATATGAATAAGATTAATAAACAATGTTTACTCCACTGCTCGTTACATATACTGCTCGTCGTCGTCCTCGTCGCATGGGCAGCAAAATCACTGCACAGGTCCATGTAATATACCATGCAAAAGATGGGATCATCATTTTTATCTCTCCTCAGCCGCCGTCGCTGCTGCTGCTTTATGCACAACGAGCAGAAACAAGACGAAGAAAAGAGATCAGTTATGCAGATTATTATTATACGAACCGAACATAACTTACGACATACAAAGTTTGAGTCTGAATGTGAAGGAAGATAATGAAATGAAATGAATAATGTGGGCAATGAACAGTCGCGCAATAGTCATTAATCAATCAGAAATGTTGTGAGCAGAAAGAATGGACCGACCAAAGAGTCGTTTCTCTTGTATGTAAATCTACGTGGTTGCGTTGGTGGATTGGATCGGGGAGTTTTTATATGCGCGATGAATTATCATTATTATTATTATTATGTAACTCTTATGTAGGTTTGAAACAATTATTAATTCTTTCTCTCCTCCATTGTTCCACGTACAGAGTGAGCAAGATGGGTTCGTCGTCGACCCGGGCCTCCGAAGTGGCCGCCCTCCTTCGGGAAACGCGCTGGAACAACAGCGGGGGTGAGGCTGGGAGTTATCTGACTGATATTGTCAAGTCCGGACAGATATTGCCCCTGGTGGCGAAAGTGAGTCAAGGTTCCTACTCGGGGCTAACGGCTGGCTGTCATGTGCTGCTCATTTCGTGTGGCCACACCCACTCGCTCGTAGGACAGTGTGTCAAATTTAAAAAGAAAACGGGCGTCTCCACGACCACGAGAGTGTCGCCCTTTGGCCCCACACTCCTCATCCCCTCCACCTTCCAGGGTCATTTCGAAATACTGAACGAAGAGGGTCGCTCCGTCCCCAGTTTCCTCAGCGTCGAAGCCATGTCACGTTCAGGGACCAAGAGTTGCCTGGTTCGTGACCCGTTCAAAGCTTGGTTGGCGGAAGGGGACGAGAAAACGTACCGAATTGGGAGCAAGAGTCGAACGCTCTTACCGGGTGAAGTGATCACACTGGTCGGAGTGGTCAGCGTCCCTTCAAAGTCGAACAAAGTGGTGGGAAAGTACGTGCGGTGCTTGGACCAGGATAAACTGACCGTATTCCTCCCGTGTGGTGCCAAGGGCAAGTTCAGCCCAGTGGCTGGCGGATGTGGCGATCAAACGGGAGATGGGATTGGAGGGGTACACACAACGAGGTGAGACCACCAAAAATATGTACAATATGTATGTGTGTATGTGCATACCGCACTCTGTGTACATATTGCACACATGTTGTATAAAACCATTAATTAATCTTCGATCGAATAACGGGATGACAATGTCACGAATTTTGTATGGTTGTCACCCGTTCGCAGAGTCCATATGCACGTGACAATCGTGACATAAGTTTCCATCGTCGTTCCGTAATTATTCTAAAAAGAGTCACAGTTACTACCTGATTGGGATGGGTCAATGATGAGGAGTCGCTTGAGGCCTCAATAATAGTACATACATAATATCTGTAATGAGGATGATGACAATATAATGCACACCATCACGGCATTATTGTCACATATCATTCCTGTACCGTCATCCTCTTCCTCGTGACGGTATCAGCAACGTCACTTCTTTTATGTTCCGGACTCATTATTGTCTGATGCGCGAATATGCGAGACCACATTTTATGAAAAAGTATTGCGTATCGCGCCATCATCTTGGTGTATTACGTTTTACATAATATTCCCAAGTCGTTAATCGCTAATCGTTTTCTTCATTGGACTTTTCAGAGGAATTCTGAGCAAAAGACTTCCCCTCATGGTGCGTCTTGTCGAAGGAAGACCTCCGTCGAACGGACGAAACTTTAAGTTCTTTCCAGAGCTGAGACTATACTCCACGCTGAAGGAACAACTCCTGTTCGCCCTGCCCCTCTCACCCGTGAGCAAATACATAATTTCTGATGGCGTATTAAATAGATTGAAAATAATTAATAATGTTGGACCAATATATAACAAACCATTTGAAGAATTTATGATTATTAGTGTTATTTATTATTATGGGGCGACCTTCTTCCATCTCGCAGTAAATAATAGCAGGCCATTACACGACGACGACCACTTTTTGAAGGGTAGCATACAGCTTATTCTCTCGTCCTATCGTGCATGCATAGAATTTTCTATTCTGCGTGTTTACTCCTTTCAGCGAGAAATTGAAATTTCATGCGTAATTTGGCTGCGTTTCTTTATTATTATTATTTATAAATAAGGCTTTTGTTGTGTTCGAGTCGAATGACCACATCTCGCTGTGCTGTGTATTACTCCCATTAAGAGCTAACAGACTGATACGTATGTACAATGAATGGATGATGGTGTGGTCCTCGCATTGGTCGCGGTCATTTTCAAGGATCTAGGCCGGTCGCTGCCACACCATTTGATCAAGGAGGCAGAATAACAGTTAGTTTGCAGAAATTGTACTATTTAGTGTTTACAGCAAGAAGTACGGCCTGTCAATCCGACAGAATAAGTGACATTCTTTTTTACGTTTATGTACAACAACAGACTTTGCAGGAAGAAATCAAATGCATATATGTAAATGGGAAGGTGTTTTTTTAGGTTTAATCTCTTTTTAACATCAATTAATTTTGATTTTTTTAAAATAAGTACTTGTGTGTGAATTCTAAAAAAAGAGCTGAATAATTGTTAAGCACCAAACTACCCGAACTAATAACGTACTTATTATAAATAAGCAACTGAACCCTAATTTGACTAATAATAAAATAAGTACTGTACTAAAATTGATGTATTAATTTCCTCAGAGTTGGAAAGAGTCGCTCGTGCCCCTCCCAACCTCAGCCCCCCTCAAATTCCAAGTGGCCAAGAATATGGACGAGTTGGAGGGTGTGGCACAGTTCAGCTCAGTAGCTCACAAAGCTGGCTGTCTCCTCCATCAAGTCAAGGATCGCATTCAGGTAAAACAAAGATGAACGAGATCATATAACTTTACTTTCCTGGGTAATAAATTAAATAATATGTATGTAAGTTAGCAGCAAATTAGCTACCACTAACTAACCATATGCAATAAAAGTACAACAACAAACACAGTTATTACTATGAGCATGGATTCCATTGTTTATTGGGCAACAAAGACAATTACGTCACATGACTTATTGGTGACGAACAGAATTAAGACTAATCTTATTTCAAAGTAGTTCACATTTCACTTTTATTTCTATTTTGTCTCAATCGTCCATCTCTGTTTCGCCCACCCCCAAAATAGTTGGAACAACCTGAATAAAGAGACGCGTAAATCTCATAGCATAGCTTGGGTCCTACCTAATTTTTGCACAATGCAAATGAGCAGAGCTCCCGTACAGTAATTACAATAGTTCTGACTGACTGATCTGATCAGAAATATTTAGGTAATCACAGGAATGGGAGACTTATGCAAGCACATTATTGTGGAGGGAGACGGATTGGGCGTCCTTTGGCAGCAGGGGTCCTCACATTGGATTGGGTCACAATGGGCGATTGGACCGATTACGGAGAATTCATTCCATTGTTTCCCTTCGACAATAATAAGAGTGCACAATGGGAGCAGCAGCAGCACATAAATAACTTCTCGTTGTATGCACATTATTGCGACATACTGGTCCCATTGTTGTCACTGTTCCTTCTTCTTATTCGTCGTCGACGTCTTCTGTGCGCGTGGGCATAATGCAATAATGACTGAATGACAGTGGTACTTATATTTAGGACTGTACATAAAGTGTGTGATCGATTTTCGGGTAATTTTTACCCTTGATCCATGAGCCCATCCGTCCAATATATGTACAATTATGTAATTGGGGGAAGGGTAGGCCTTGACCCCTACCTACTCTTATCAAATTGGTCAAGTATATTCCGTCCCACTTAAATATCCCACCATGTTTGTGGCTTTAGTTTAAAGTGCCCGAAATTACACCGGAACAAACTAACAGAAATGTTTCTCTTCTCTTCCACAGATATACGACATCAGTCTTCAGAAGGAACTACCTCGATTTGACGGAAGGCAGTGGAAAGCATACGCCCCACCCATTTTCCTCACCCCGAAGAAGGATGGTACGACCCTTATTGTGAGGAGCGAGAGTCACAACAACCCCATTTCCGGCGGTCAAGGTCCGGACGAGGAGGAGGAAGAAGAAGAGTATCAAGACATTGACGAACTCTACGACTACGTGCGTGGCCTAAAACCGTCTCCGCCAAACACTGGTCTCACATCTACCACCTCAACCAACAGTCCTCATAATAATAAACCCTCCACGCCCCAAACGACCCTGGTCACCATTACCTCCTCGGGACCGGACGTTATAGCTCACGTCACCAGTAACAACAACCACGACCGAGTGAATCACCATCCCCCCCACACTCCAGATGTGTCCATGCTCAAATTTAACAAGAATGACGAGGGGTTCTCAGAATTGCCTCCTCAACCGCCGCCCATCGAAACCATCCCGTCCCGCCTCAACAAGACCTTCGCCGCCCACCCCCAAGACCTACTACCCATCAGTCTCCTAAACTCCAAAAACAGTGACAGAGAAACGCACCACCATCATCACATCCACCACCATTACGGGACGCAAATACAAATCCAGATCCGAGCAGATAACGAGGACAACAACAACGACATTATCAAATACCACCACCAATTAACAAAAGGGGTTCTCATCACTACCACCACGACGTCCACCACTGGAGGAAGCAGTTCCAATAACAACAATAAGAAACCGTTACAATTGGACTCTGCAGGTGGCTCCGTCTCAACCACGCCCACAAACACGTCTGGTTCTGCTCAATCTTCCTCATCCTCAAATTCAAACTCCAAACAGTTGAGAACGGGGGGTGGGCTTTACATTAAGCACGGCAATGGTGGCAACAACAATAAACACGGGGGCCTTGGGATGGACCATCAACAAGGCCACCATTATCATCACCACCACCATCATCCGGCAGATGCCAACCACAAAAGTAGTCAACCGGCCCACATTTTCCGTCGTTGCCCAATGTTTGACACGCGTTACAAGTCTCTGACAGACCTGAGCAATCCCTTGGCTAACGGTGGGGGAGGAGGGCTTTACTTTGGAGGGAGGGGCAGCTTGACTAATCTCACGAGCAACCAGATTAGCATGGATCCCGTGGTGAGAGTTGGTAACCCGAGGCCAAAGTCCCTCTCGAACATGTTCGCCTTGGATGACATGGTTCAAAATCACCATCGCCATCCTCATGGCAGCGGTGGTGGAAGTAGTGGCAACGTGAGCAGAACGGTGGGGATGGGCGTCCGGAAGCGGATCACTGAGCTCGTCCTTGGAGGGGACAGCAAGGGCAAGAGCTCCAGCCAACGTTCTGCTCGTCACTTCCGGAAGGCATCCCTCCAACACTCCTCCCTTTTCCTCTGATAAAAAAGCGTGAATTGTCCCCCAAACCACTTGCTCAAGTCCTCCACGAATAAAGATGACCACCACCCAACCCCCTCCAAACTGACTGATTAAATAGAGACGACACGACGAAGGAAAATAACGACGCAAGAGTGCGAGCTCTTATCTGAAGAGGAGACCACCTCCATTATGATAAGCGGCCAAAAAATGTGTGCCACACTATTATATTTGCTACATACATTATTAAGAGTTATACAAAAGAGCTATTATATATCATAAAAAATATAATAAAACATTATTATGCATAAATTTGCTCCATATTATTCGCGTCTTTCATGTAAGCCCGAGCCCGAGTAACACATGCATTTCATTTATCATTGCAAAATGACATACATTTGACATGCATTTGCCTGACTGACTTTCCCAAAGTCTAGTATGTGATATTGATTCATGAAAAATCAAGTTCCATCTTGCTGAACCAAGGCATCATGAAGTTGCACTTGCACATAATGTTGGCACACTATATGCTTCTCTCACTATGCTCATTCGCAGCCGCATAGCATAGCACAACAACACTAACCAGCCAGCAGCCCATCAAAACAAATATCAGTAGTGCTACAACTATTTAATTCTACTATTTAATTTTACTGCTAAAAATACAATTCGAAACCGTCAGAAAATCCAGCTCACTTACTTTAAACTAGTGTTACCAGAAAATTTTGACCAGAAACGCTTTAAACACGACGCACTATTATAAACTTTACACAAATAGTGTGCAGAAAGTTTTGTGAAGTGTTCCTGTGACGATTGTCGACTCAACAAAAACCAGGTAACTTACAGACATAACCTTTGCTTGTTCTACGACGACTTTTGGGTGAGGAAGAGACTGGAAATGTTTTATATATTTGTTTTAGGACTACCTGGACGAATTACCTCTGTGTATTATAAATCTACAATTTAGCTCTGTGTGATTTGGCTATTCAGTGCTAGTGGAAAATGTCGTCATCCGGGACGACGACGACCCAAGAGCCTACTGCTGAAGGGGGCGAAGCAGATAATATGGGCGAAATTGCCTCTTTGGAATTGGAATGTCCCATCTGCCTCCAAGCCTGTATTCATCCAGTCGAACTTCCCTGTCATCACATCTTTTGTTTCCTGTGCATCAAAGGAGTTGCAATGCAGGGTCAAAGTCGTTGCGCCATTTGTCGAGCCCCCATCCCACACAGTGTTCTCACGCATCCACGACTCAAGGATGTCAGCCAGCTGTACAAGCACACAAAGGCGGATCACGAATGGTTCTATGAAGCAAGGGGTGGAGGTACGATAGATGGATTTATTTATAGCTTAAAATTCAATTTACGTTAAAACGATTGCTCATATACATATTTTGTATATGCCGTTTACTTTTAGAGAACACTTTTGCTGACTCTTTTGTATTTTTTTCAGGATGGTGGCAATACGACGAGCGAAGCATGCAAGAACTGGATCGAGCGTATGAAACTGGGTCATCATCATGTCAACTTCTCATTGCTGGACATGTTTATGAAATTGATTTTTCACAAATGTTACAATACCGTTCCAACAATCGTAACTTGTCCCGTCGAATTAAGAGAGATGTTGCCCAGTCAGAAAAGCGTGGAGTTGCTGGAATTAGAGTGGGAACAGGAAGTAGTGGAGGTGGACCAGAAAGTGGGGGAGGTGGTGATGCAAACGCAAATAATAGGAGAGTAGTAGGACGAAGAGGAGGAGGAACTGCTGCTTCGGGAACGGCGCATGGAAATTCTAGTCAAGGTCATAGTCAAACCTCTGCTGCTCCTGTCAATGGAGGAGATAATGGTGGGTCGCCTTCCTCTGATGCAGGAGAAGACGACGGTGACGAAGGTGTAGATTCGGACGACCCAGACTATTTGGGGGAAGAGGAAGATGACGAAATGGATTTGGGTGAGGAAGATGAAGAAGACTTGGAAGAAAGTGAGCCCTCAGAGGAGGAGGAGGAGGTCGAATTACGTGATGGTGCCAGAGCACCCACAAGACGTTCAGATCGTTCCACATCCAGTAATAATCAAACCCCTCCACCGAGCAGTGGTGGGAGCGGTAGAACTTCATCCTCGGCTGCAGTCACGAGTGGGAGTGTTCGAAGCAACGGTTCCAGTTCTAGCCCACAGCAGAATGGTGGAGGAGGTAGAAGCTCTACTGGTCGCGGAAGAAGAAGCCAAGGTCGTCTTTTAAGCGGTGGAAACAATCCTACCAGCACCCACAACAATAACGCTACGACAGCCAATGGGTTGACAGCCTCTGCTGCTGCTTCGTCCGCTGTTCGTAGTGGGACAAGCAGTTCTGCTTCAACCAGCCCATCTCCCTTGGGGGATGCAGGAGGAATAAAAACGCTTGGAACGGGGAACAACATTCGACTTAGCCCGGCACCAAATACAGAAGGAACGAGCAATCCGACCTCACCCACCTCAGCACCCTCCTTACCATCTGTCAGTCCCACGACGTCGGGCTCCTCAATCACAACCACATCCGGAATTACTTGCCTCGTTATTGGTCCTGGTGTCAGAATCACTTTAGATCGAGAAGGGCAACAACGAAATGGTGGCGACTACGAGAATGAAGAAATTTTGTAATTCTTCTAACTTAGGAAATTAACAGACCTAAATTATTACCTATAGGTAATAATTCCTCACTAAGATTTCCCATTTTTGGGACCTTGTTTAATTATAATTAAACAAGGTCCCAAAAATGGGAAATCTTAGTGAGGCAGTGCAATCACAACTAGTAACTAAAATTTTTACATCACCGCTCTCGGTAGAATTTTTTCCTGGAAATATTAATCATTTAGAATACTTACAATTAGTCCCCTTCAAATGGTCTGACCCAATAATTAAATAACATCATAATTAATTGTTGGGTATTCAAAATTATATACATTGGCCACTTTTCTAAATAAATACGTAGTTCACAAATGTTTAGCATTATATTTTATCTCACAATATATGTCAGTTAATATTGTCATATTGTTATATTGTCAGTTAATTTGGCCCACTTCTAGTTCACTTGAATTCTCAATGTATTCAATAAAATTAAGAATGCATGGCTATGTAAAGCTCAGTTAACAGTGGATCCAGTAAAAATGGTTCCGAGAGTAAAAATGATGCAAAAATTCTGCAATCTAATTTTAGTTAGTTGTGATTGCACTGCCTTACTAAGATTTTCCATTTTTGTTTCTAATAACCAAGTGTTAGTGATCATACGAAAAAATCAAGCAGTGATCCACCACTATTTTTTAAATGTGAATGAATTCCTTCTTTCTTTGGTTTATTTATTTACACGTATTTCGACCAGCGACAGACGAATATTAGTGTATTGATTTTGATTGTTACATAACGCCTTATTTTATTTATTTAAGCAAGTTAAATTCTCTCAATACCTCATCAATTATTATATAGAGTTACAATTTAATCAACTCTATTATTGTTTTTTTTGTCAAGCGCATCGACTTAATACGATAACGAATATATACCTCTAATGAATGTTAATTAACGTTTTCACATAAATTTTCACGGCACAATAAACGAGTAATATGAATTCAACATAGCTTCTTGATGAAGAATACGTCTTCCTTGTTGTCACGGATTTTTTTCCTTCTTGTGTAGAAGAATCATGGTCGAACGAGTCGAAATTCGAATATTTATTTTTAAATCAGCAGTAAATATAGATAAAGTTAGTACTATTTTCTAAATTCTCAGTCATCGTATCTATTATTTTAACTATTTACAAGCAGAACTCGGTCACAACTCATCGACCAATACGTCGCAATGGTAAGTTCGCTCACTATATAACAACTTGGCTATTACAATTGTAAATAAATGATTTCTGCAAACATTCCTCGTTCCTGCACATGGCCAGAGTGACAAGGCAGCCAAGAGTGGTGAGCAAGGATGCGCCGTGAATTTTGACCAGCCCCCAAAAGACGTCAAATATGGTTCTTTGGGCAAAGGAGCACAGGACACCACGCGTGGAACCCTTGCTCCAGGTAGCGGAAATAAACGGCCATCACTCGCCTTCCCCAAGAATCCACCCCCGAAAGGGATACAGTTTCCCTTTATGGAGCCCAGTGAAGAGGCGGAGCGGATTGGTGAGCCAAAGATAAGATAAGGGCATGATCCAAATGAAAGTGAATATCGCAAAAATATTGCGCTGGCAGCGAGTCAATCTCCCGACCCTTCATAGTTATCGAACGTTAAAGGTCATGACGAAAATAAGAAACTTCTACGGTAAAACCCGTCACAGTTTGGGAAAAAATCTTCCATCTATTGACACGGATGGAGTGTTTGGCCTAGTGGACAATTATAATGATATCTAGCTACATCTAACATACATATATTTATAAGTTGTCAAAATTTCAATACATGTACAATGCATTTTTTCCAGGCCGTAAACCAACTGACACTTTTGTTTGGATCATGCCCTTACTTCACATAAATTATTTCATGCAATTAAGTACGTCGCAAATTATTTATCAAAATCATTGCTTCATTTGTCTGTTTTTTTCTCATTTGTCCGTGCAGTCCACACTGAAAGTCATCTCCATGAAGGGGCTGGGAACGTCATGGGCAAGATCCGTGTGGGTCACCAGAAACTCATCTTTCCTGGCTGGCTCATCGAGTTGGACGAGGCGAAGGTATTATATATTAAATATTTCTCCCAATGATTCATTCATTCATTTGCAATCTGACTAAATATTTCTAACCGAATGGACTAACCTAATTCATTTACAGTTGAACACTATAATTAAAATCAAAACCACATTGGCCACTGGGAAGAAAATCTGTGACATTATGAACGAACTTGCCACACCGGTTCGCGAGTTGGGCGTCACTATTCCGAAGCAGGAAATAATCGAAGTGTTGCGAAGGATCCCACTGGACGAAGAGAAAGGATGGTCCTTTCCGCATTTTATGTTAGCCATGGGCAGCCCAAAGCTGGCCAGAGAGAAGGGCGCTTTGCAAGGTAAGGTTATGTATTAAACCCAATATTACTAACGCACAAAGAGGCAAGTTTACAAACAAATAAAAAATCAAGTTATATTTTTCACTCTTTTCCTCCTAGACCCAATTCCGTTTAAATCGGATGACTGTAACAATTCTGCTCAGGCGCAGGGGGACAGTCGTACCAGCAATTATAAGAACAGTGGCGGCAAACAAAAGACCAAAGAACAGCGAACACAAGCGTTGGAACGACTCCATCAACCCTACAAATATGACAAAGTAGACACGTGGCCACTTTCGGACGAGCAAGCCAGAGCTTTGGAAGAACTCCGAGCTCAGGAGGAAGTGGAACGGTCCAGAAGTCTCCGTCCGAAGAAGGAGTCGGAAGAGATTGACCTCACGGGATATTCTCTTCGAGAGAAGGTCTTCTTTTCCGGCCTGCTCATCTTTGAGATGTATCATACCATCCGGTGAGGGAAGAAATGTGTTCAGTTCTTGTCACCCAAGATCACATGAAGTATTAAAAAATGTATGTTCTGTTTGCAGGGCCGTGGAAGATCTTTACTTCCAAAGCGACAATATTCCGGTGCCAAAAGAGAAAACTATCCTGGACCAGGCGCGAAGGGGGTTTGGCATCGAATCGGCTGGAACGAGGAGTAAGTCATGGTTGAACAATCTCATCGCGACATATGTTCCAAATAACTTTGATATTGATGTATACATAGAGCTTGGATTTGCGGAGTGGGACCGTCCTCTGCCCCCACTTCCTTCTGCCTCCCCGTACAAGGGAAATTTGCCATTTGTCGCCACAAGGTGGAAGATCACGCGTCCCAACGAGGAAGAAAGGACACGGAGAAGAACGCTCACAACTCTGCAACCTCTTCATCTCATGGTCAATCCACCACCCAAGATGAAGGGCAAAATCAAGGTGACGGAAAATCAAGGGAGAATCAAGGTATACATACGCGTACATTGCAGCACTTACATAAACCCGTCGAGAATTTTAACTTAGCCCGTGCCATATCTTGTTAAATTTTTATCTATAGCGAGCCATTGACTATCTGGCTTCGATCGGAAACTGCCTAGCAAAACTTCCGTTTGCCCATTGCATTGTTCATCTGAGCGACACTTTTCTTCAAAAACTGGAAGAGATAAACGTGCATAATCTTCAAGGGGATCCAATTCCAGGCATGCATTTGTCCACAATTTGAAATGCATTTTATTCCAAATTCGTTCATTTTATTCGTGGCAATTATTATTTTTACATTGGCACACAGAAGTCAAGCCGAACAACGATCTAGCCAAATTGCAACGAGAAGTCAAAGAGCTCTTATATCTGTACGGATTACCACGGAAAATCGACAAGATGAAGCATCTAATTGACTACAATTCTGCCGTGTGTCTCAGGAAAATTTGTGATCACATTAAAAAACAGCACTGGGAGTTTATCTCAGAGAAAAAGGTCCATACAGCTTTTTAGTTAATCTGTACATACATATTGCATGTGCATATCAGCGTCGTCCAAACCAATAATAATAACGCAATAACATGTCTGAACAGGTCGAATTTCGAAACAAGGCATGGGAGCTGATGCATGTAAGAACACGAAAATTGATTACATATTTAAGGTCGATAATTGCTCAGTTAGAAATATGTGTTAGAATTTACAATACGGGTTTTGCAAATTCAGGTGGAACGAATTCCATGCGGCCCTCTTCGTGAAAACTTTGTGTACACGTTCAACACGTACCTGCCCTACAAGTCTCATCTCCCAGTGGTCAGTGATACTACTCCGAATCCACTCTGATAAGCCCTGCTCAAGAGACCAAATTCTCCGTGAACTTCCATTACTTTATCATTACTCACTGCCCCAATATCCAAATTATTGTTAGTATCATGTAACTTATCATACAAATCACCAACTTAATTAGTAAAAGCAGATCGTGCTATTAATAACAAAATGACGTTAACAATTTCTCGATTTACTTATTATATATTTATTACGAAAGATTTGCTGAATCTTTCGTAAAATGCGACGTTCTGACTTAAGAAATGATTGCAACCGTTTGTACAAAAATTTTGCGAAAAAAACGGAGGAATTGTTTAGTAGTTCCTGCACAGCCCTGTTACAGCTTTCCGTTGGAGAGGATTGAGCGTGGGTGGAATGTCATTTTCAAAGCCGTCGCGAAACACAAGGATGATCACAGGCTCCTTCCCAATCCCATCAAATTCCACGGTTTCATCTCCTCCCACGAGTCCATTCTACAAAATAATACGTCATCCCATAAAAGTTACACGAACGATCTAATTGTTGGCCACTCAGCTGTTCTCCGTGTCTTGGGCGATATTGGAAAGTCGTATACGGCAATTCTGGTGCTTTCTTTAAAAAAACTGGGATTGGTGCCTCGTATCTTATATTAATGCTGATTAGTTGAAAATTTGCAGTCGGAAAAATTTGAAATTTGGCATGAACATGCGTGAATATATTCTTAATCATAATATAACATCAATTCCCGTTTGGATCGCTATGAATTTTTTAGGAAAAAACAAAAACCAAACGGAATAGGGGTGACATTTGATTTTTCCTGAAAAATTCATAGCGATCCAAACGGGAATTGATGTTATATTATGATTAAGAATATATTCACGCATGTTCATGCCAAATTTCAAATTTTTCCGACTGCAAATTTTCAACTAATCAGCATTAATATAAGATACGAGGCACCAATCCCAGTTTTTTTTAAGAAAGCACCAGAATTGCCGTATACGACTTTCCAATATCGCCCAAGACACGGAACACCTATGTGGCCACTGCTTGTATAGAAAATACTTGGACTCATCAGTACCTCCACCACCGTTCTATTCAGATCCAAGTTCTTTCCGTACCTGCACAATAACAGTATCAAACGAGTCATAAATGAAACTGTGACACTTGGACAAAATCAAAATTTATGTCAACTTTCGTTTCATACATGTCCTGCCACAGGTAGTATTCTGGGTGGCTCTCAAATGGGGCGTACGCCTCGTGAATGTCAGCCACCTTGAATTTCTTGGTGATCTAAATAATCAGGGGGAGTATTTTACATTGAAATTGAAATTAGTCAAAGGTTGGTCCTGAGTTATATGAGCATCTGCAGGACTCACCGTGAGCCTTGTTTGCTGGTACGTGATAGTGTTGATAATTCGGATGGCGAAGGGTTCAAAAGTGACAACCTTCTTTTCGACCTTCTTTTTCTCCACTCCCGTCACTGAGTTGTTCCTCTCTTTGGCTCTCTCCTTCTTCAGCTCCTTTTTTGACCTCGCCATGATTGTAGTGCTTTAACCCGACTTTGGTCTGTGACCAGAAAAAATTACAACCAACGAGAAAGTTGCGTGATTCCTCGACTTGATTCATTCTCAAGGGACCCGTTACCAAGGTACTTCAAGTCTGTTTGAGGTCGGTTCAGCCAGGGAGCAGCCAACAAGCCGTCCGTCTGAGGAGAGACTATGCGCCATCAGGATGAATCAATTCGTTTCCTTTTAGGGTCCGGCCGTAATGTGGTCAACGAATTAATTCGTTGACCACGTTACGGCCGAATTCGAACAGCGGGCCGCCGAACTTTGAGGCCCAGTTTTCCAGGCTAATCAGGAAAATTTGGTTAAATTAGTAGAATTAAGAATTAATTTTTAGCCCGAACCAGGGCTTATGTAATTGTCATGTCCGTCTGTCTTTCGATAACTCTCGAACGAGTTGAGCGATTGACTTGAAATTTTCATCATATGCATATTGGACAAAGTTAGGAAACGAGTTCGAAGATGGGCGACATCGGTCCAGTGGTTGACCGGTGGGGGTCATCGGTTGTTATTTCCATATGAAGGCTAAAAACCACATCTGGATAGCACACGCTATGGAAGTGCAAGATGTTAAAGGATTTGATGCCAAATAATAGAAAATCTAACAAGCATTTAACTATCCACGGAGTTTGGTAATATTATGTCGGCTAATTTAAAAAGAAAAATTTAGAACTCTGTCCCTGACTCGGCCTATATGGAATCCGCACTGTAGGTTTTACTTTCGAATTTCTCAGGAATCTACGTCATCCATGAAATTTGCATGACTAATGATTTTTCTACAACCAACTCCAATAATTTGACCTTGGTGGTTTCATCTGAAGAAACTTTGCTTGGGTCCGCCAATAGTTCAATTAAGTAGCAGGGTGTTGCTGATTCAGTTCATTCGGAATCTTGAACATCTAAAACATTGTTCATGACGATTAAATGAGTGAACTATGTCATCATAGTTGATTAGAATTTCTACCAGGAAAAATGTTTAAGCACCCTGAATTTCTACCATTAAAACTTACGTCTTTTTTTTCCTGAACATTGACAAAATCTCCGTAGTATACCAGCTTCACCAAGTATTCATCCAACTCTTCACTTTTGAAAAATTGTAGCTCAATAATTCGTTTCGTCCTCGCCATACGCAAGAAGAACAGCATCACCAATATCCTTTGAAAAGTCCTTGGCCTTTAAGAACCGTACACATTATTAATAACACAAATAATAGAATGATAAGAAGGTACGAATAGAATAACTTTATGTTTGTATAGTGTGAGTTAAGTGTAGTCTTCACTTCGTACTACGAAGTTCGTAGTAACTGGGGAGTAATATTACTTACGTCGTCTTTAGAAGTAGAGTCATACTTCAACAATCCAGAATCAACAGCTTCCATTATTGTCCATGCTGATTAAATATTAGACGTTTAATTCCAAATAGATAAATCGGAGATACGCGTGAAGGAGATCATATGCAATTTATTTATTTAATTAGATGAATGAAGCTGAAGATGAACTTTGAAATTCGATCCCACTTTTGAAACCTTTGTCTCAAAGACTCCGATTTTCTGTCCAATCCAATCACTGTAATCATATCGAGGATACTTTCCAATAAGGTTGCCGCGGGTACCGGGTTGGGTACCCAATTACCCGGCTACCCGGCCATTTTTCCCAAAAATCCGGGTACCCGGATGAGGCCGGGTATCTACAATTACCCAAACTTTCCAAAACCGGGTACCCAGAGAAGCCGGGTATTTGCAATTACCCAGCCGGGTACCCGGTTGGGTAACCACTTAGTTTTATTTTCCCATTTTGGGGCATACTATGACTTATTTTTAAGTAGTTTCTTTAACTCTCTCCATACAACTCAACTCATTAATTTATCGCAACTGCTGAAATCTAATTTTTCTTTATATTACGTCAATATTATTTTTAAAAAAGTTGTTATCAGCTCCTCATACTAATGATTTGCAAAGCTGGGCAAATTTGTGCTGATCTACGGAGTTAACATCATGTAGAAATTCTATAATCTTAATACTAACTTACCAATTATTGATTGTTTTTAATCTATTCTTTAATGTTTGGTGAATTTTTTTAGCTACATCTTATGTAAAAATTAATTTTTCTCAAATTAACATCAGAGAATTGCACAAATATTACCCTAAAATTTGTAGTACATGCTACATAATAATAATAATAATAATAGCCTTTATTATCCTCATTTACTAGTACTAGGGAATGCACAAAAATGAATTTAGCATAGCACACTAGCCTATTTTCGTGAGCTTACATCCTATTTAAGCCATTACTACTACCGTCAACGACGTCAAATTATAAATTTAACTAGATGAACAAAACAAAACTAACTCGCTACCTACTGGCGCGACTATGTTGGTTGCATACCAAGACTAGTAATGTTTGTAAAATTTAGATACATATAAGATAATCCAATATTTAACCAATTGACAAATTTTAATTAATAACTTACTTAAATTATAAATTGTGTTGGAAAAATGCACAAAAAACCAACTAAATTTTGAAATACAAACCAATTTTTGATTCCCCAACCAACTGAGGAGTGAGGGACATAGGCCGCGTGGTAATTCAGATTGTAAAAAAACACATTAAAATAAAGAATTAATAAACAAATTTTGACTGGAATAGTTGACCAGCTTGATAAAGAACGATTTTCGCACATTGCCAATTAAAATTAATGTTATTACCAATTAAATTTAGTTAAAATTAATATAATATAAATAAATTTAGGAGAGCTCGTGCAAGAGCAAATCCTCCTCGGTTGGCGCGCAGACGGGGAATGAAATACATAAATGAATTATTTACTTCACTTAAGTCGCATTAACTTCTTATTAAAATTTGCATAGTTCGTGTATGTTTAGTTAAAAACCAATTAAAACGCCGGGTACCCGACCGGGTCGGGTAATTGGCCGAGTACCCAGATCGGGTACCCAAGTCGGGTAGTGTACCCGGCTCACATTAGCCGGGTAGTACCCAACCGGGTAGTGCAACTACCCGCGGCAACCTTACTTTCCAAGCATTTGTGGCCCTAAATTATGTAAAAAAAATACAATATATTAATATATATATATATCTAATCCAATAGTAATATCGCACAATCAGATTTATTAGCAAAATTAATTGAGGTGGATCAATATTACGTTAATGAATTGGGAATATTTTACCTTCATCATTGGTGGCACTTTGCGGAACAAAATCAGGTTAAACCCAAATTCATAACCATTTCAAAGCCAACATGATGTTGGCAACATCCTTCTTGTCACACGTGAGCCAAACTTCAGAGACTCTACAGTCAATTAGAGAAATTGAGAACACTGATGTATTCTTTCCTTGGAACAGCGACTTGTAGTCATACTTTTTCCACTTTTCCTGTTCCTCAAGTGGGACAACTTGAGCAAGACGGCACATTAACGAAAGCTTTGGAAGTCTCAAAAATTCAGTCGACGTTGGATATATGGAATCAGCCGAGATCAAAATATCCACTCCTTGAATCCATCAATATACACAATCACGCCCTTCTCTTCAACTAAATTGACCTCTGCTCGGTGAAATTTCCTATGAAATATACAAAATAGATTCATTATGTTCGTAATCGTATGCTTATTAGCAATGACATAAATCCCATTCATGATCATACCCGTCCTCAAATTTGACAGTTACAGGAAGTCCGTCCTTCAGACAGGCAACCGGTGCACAACCGGCAATGTTGTGCAAATGAAGATCCATTGCCTCCTTAATCTGCCTTCGAATCACCACGGAAGTCTGATCCACCACAATGATTGAAAAATTGTCTGGGCTGTGCATATTGAGCAATTTGTACGAGTACTTCCTATTGATCATCAATGGACGATCCGGATAGCACCACTCGAGGCTGCCCAAATCCTTATCAAGCAACATTTCGGCGTAATCAGTCGTCGTACTTGTTCCTAAAACAAGAAAGAAAAGAAATGGTGATATTTAACTCCACTCCAGTTACAAACTGATGAATAATTTTTTAGCATTTTGACCTACACCGAGTATTAGTTTCTTCCTTTCCCTAGCAAACCTTCTTTCAAGTTTTATGTTCCTTCAATTTTTTTTCGACAGGCTCGTAGAAAGATAACCAACGCTTCGATATCAATTTTTGTTTTACTAGAGGCAGTTTTCTTCTTCGGTGAGGAGAAAAGAACAAAATGGTGACTAACTTGAGTGGACGAAGAGTGAGGAGGCGAAGAAGATGCAGTTGGCATGTAGATTATTCCAAAAATTATCACAAGGTGGCAGATGCAGTGATGGGACGCTCTGATTGACAAGAGTTACATGAATTTATGTCAACTTCTAAATTAGAAGTTCATACAAAATCCAGCCTTATATTTGTAGCTTAATAATTTTGTGTTATTTTAACATAATTAATTGGCCATGTGCCCCTTCTCACGATGTTCCAATCGAAAAACTGACCTCAGATTCGATATCAGCGACCAAAAAACTATCAGAATCGACATTTACCCAACGCTAACGACGTCGAAATAATTAATTGAATTATTCGTAAATAACTGTAAACACGTGAGAATAGCCGCGTGAGATTAGTTATAGCGGCTTATCTCACATGCTATAGCCTATAACATATGTATGTGTGATACCTACGTGTGTGTGATAACTTATCGCTGATAAGTGGCTATACGCATGTATAGCTATGACACATGTGCAGGTATGCGTGTGTATGTAACTAGTTGATAAGCGGTTATGCGCGTGTCAGCCGTATAACACATGCCTTTGACTATAACATAGATAGGTATTGCAGGACTTTCACCACTTTCACCGCCCACCAGAGGGTATAAAAGGAGCTGCACCAGAATTTTTTGTCAGTCTGCGGGCGGAGCTCGCGGGGGACGGACATGTCCCTGGGTGAGCTCCCCATTACAGCTGCGCCCTTGGGCCGCCCTGCCTCTCTGGGGAGTCGGGCCCACCACTGGCTTCGGCCGGTGATCCGACTCTCTTCCCGTTGGAGGGGTGGTCCGGGGGAGCAATGCTGTAAGGGGAGAGCCTTACGGGAAGTTCCCCCTCCAACACTCCGCCCACTAAGCAGACTCACCGGGTGGGGAGCCGACGGGGCTTGCCAAAATGCGTGGTGGCGCTAGGCAAGTGAGAGGGGCTCTCTACCTCCAACCCTTGGGTGACCGGACTCTTTAGCTTGCACTCCCCTTGGGGTTGGCCGGGTTCCCGAGTTCGAAGCCTTAATGGGGGCCGATTTACGGGTGCGCTCCCACCTCGTAAGGCGAAGGTAAGACGAGCCCCCATGGGGAACGCGGTTGCAGAGGCGGCGACGTGGGCAGGGTTTTCTCGGTCGGCGGGAGGTAGACGTCCGCGGACGCCTTCGGGCGCGAGTGGGGGCCCGCCCGTGTGGAGCACGAGGGAGCGACGTCCTCGTCGTGTGCTCTGGAAACGCCCTTCTCAGGGCGGCCAACAGCTCCCACATATAAACGGTTCTGGTTGTCCTACATAAATTAAAGTATACAACTAGTTTAAACCTGAATTGAGACTCTCAATTTGAGAGGATGAATAATACATATCGAAAATATTTATAAATATCTCTTAAAACCTAGAAATATGTATTTGAAAATATTTTGAAATCTTTGTGATAAATACGAGTCAGCGAAAGCGCCCACAAAGTTTCAGCGTCGGTCGTCATCAAATGACAAAATTGAAACTACATATCTGCCCTCTGTTTATGCCTGTTTTTAGAAGAATAAAAAATCTGAATAATTTTGCCTAAAAAATAACGTATGACCACCAATCTGACATATTTCCTGGAACAAAGAGAATAAGGTCATGTGAGGGCAGGAGAGGTATTCAATTATTTATTATGTATTATGTAACTTATTATTTAAATTCTACGTTAGTAAAATCGTGACGCACAAGCAATTTATGTAAAAGTGTGAATTTGTGGAATTTGTAGACAGACACATGGACACACAAGGTTGAGTTACGGCCGAACCTAGAAACACCGGCGCCATGCAAAGTACTTTATGTCCAACGCTATGATTGATGATCATGCACACGTATTTACATATTAAACATTCATGACGGATCTGTTATGTGACTGACTCGAATCGATACTAGAATAGCAGGTGGAGGTCCGTGAAGGGAAGTGAGATGCTAGACGATGAGAACATATGGAGGGCATTTTCCAAAGCCTGGCGCCAGAATGCGACCTGTGAACTGAGCTGGCGTTGTGTGAATTGGAGGAGACTGCTCAGAATATCGACGAGGCGATCCCACCAGATCGCAATTCCGCCCTTGTTGTGGGTGACGAAGGCTAATTGTCGCAAGCCTGGGACCCCATAGGTCTCCACCCTCCTCCCATTCACCGGCTGGGTGGGTCGGTAGTTTGTGTACAACTCGCCATCGTCATTCCGAACCCGCTGAAACGTTTTAATCTGCACAGGATATGAAAATTGAGAACCAGGGCTGGCTAGTCCCTCCTACGTACGAAAAGTATTCGGTTCAGTTCTTCACCAACCTGTCGACTAGAAATGGTGACGGGGTGCCGAAAGACGGTCCACACCACGTTCTCCGTGCAGGGTGGGGTCGTCAAGGAGCCAGAGTAGCGCACAAAGCTCAGCTTTTCAGGAAGCAGGTGCTCGACGTTGATTGGGGTGGAGTAGTGGGTGTACTCATCTTGAACCTCCATCGAACGCGTCGCCGCTCGCACCAAAGGTTCCAGAGCTGGGTTCTCCTCGCCCACCTGTGAAGCATCGCGTTGAAGTATAAGGGCACATGCTACAAATTACTTGAGACATGGCCAAACCTGGAAGAAAATAGCGAAAACTGCCAGTGCTGTGGGATCATTCTCAGCAGATATTGCGTCCATGAGGCTGTGATACTTGATGGTGTTGTAGTGAACAATGTGGAGCTCCAAGGGATATCTGATAGATTATTAAGGGGTTCAAATCAAGTGAGGCCTTGCAGCATGCCTCTATTGGCCACGGATTTATGCAAACATGCGTTTATTCACCATATGCATTTATGTAACAGCTACATACCTGAGCCCATTGACCGTGTGTTCTGATCCCCAGTGGAAATGGAGTTGGCCGAAACGATAATCTTCGCTCAGCATGGCTCCTCCCACGGTCAGGGAAGACGACGGGGTCACCCCCTCCTCAAACTGCGCCTGAACTGCTCAACAACAATTAGTACTCAATATCTACGTATTATGGAAGTAAGTAAGTGGTTAGGGGGCTGTACAGGAGTGGCCAGTGTTCCTGGCGTAGAAAGTGGACTGACTGGAGGTGTAGGGCTGGTTGAAGGTAAAGTGAGTCCACCGTTTGTAAATGCTGACTTTGGGGGCCTGGATGTCGATGGGGGACTGGTGTCGACCGGTGTGACATGTTTCTGGCCAGTTTGCTGGACCACAGCCCAGATTCGGATTGTAGCAAAACGTGTCTGAAATTGAGTAAATTTTCAGGGAAAGTTATAGCTAAGCAGATTTTGGTGCTGATCGTAAGTCAGAATTTGTCTCGCTGCTATCACATATAGCAATTTATTACTCTTTGTTTCTAGTATCCACAACGGATTTGAGACGGCGGCCACTTGGGAGCAAAGCTGGAGCCAAACAACAATAATGACGCCATTTACAACGAGAATATTGTTTTGAAATTGTGGAATTCGCATGATTCTGTTCTCTGAAGTGTATTAAACCAAATTTATGTTATCTATGTAATGTGCCAGTCACTGGGGGTTGGTCAATAGCGTTTTCCATGGAATAACTATTCTGCTCATGATGGATTATTCTATCCTGAGGTTGCCCGATTAGAAAATAATAACACACACACACAGACGAATGACGAGTAGTTTTTAAACTGATTGAGATGGGTCTGTCAAATAAATGTAAGATTGTGTAGTTCAGGTGGACCAGTTATTAAAACATTTGCAGACAAAATGATGTACCCAGAAGCTGTCTGATATAGTCCATGCATACATAATATATCCTCCGTTTCAGTCAAAAATTAAGGTAGTATACATACGTAATAACAGAATCAGGGAGGTACTAGCAGTACTTAGATAAAACAGATAGGAGAGCCAAATATTCTACTTTTGGACATATTACATATTTTGGTAGGCCATTTGAGATGTTATTCTAGCATTGTTGTGTATGTGTGGGGATGTCTGAAAAGGGGGCCGAAGAAGTGATAACCGCACAGCGACTTAGGATTAATAATGATTCATCGTTAATTATCACTACTTCATTTATTAACTACACTGACGCTGACCGTTTATGCTAATGCATAGAAACATAAATATAAAAAGATGCATCTGCAGCTTCCTTCCTTCTAGAATACACTTTTGAGAAGCTGCACCTTACGGTACGGTACAGGATCAAAATTTAGCCATGCATTTATGGAACGGACTAAATTGCTCACCAAGAATGGATGAAATAAGGATAATATAGTCGATTATGAGTTTCGAGATGATAATTGACACACTAAATACGACCGCTCATGGTGATAATTAATTCCTAATGTGTGAAATATTTTGCATACAAACCAGGTGAAGTTGGTATATTTATGTATAAATGTCCCCTGGATGAGAATTTCCGTTTTTATCGTTTTGTGTGCAGGAATGAATGGAGGTATGAAAATACTGACCATAAATAAGTATTTAATAATAAATGGTTCTCGAGGAATGTCTACTGCGAAAGGATGTATACATCCTTTCGCATATGCGAAACTGGAGCACAATGACACTAAAAGTACAGTTGCAAAGTGCAAGGGATTTGATGAACCGGGGGATTGCGATGTATTGAAGACACAATATGATGTTTTTATATTAAGGATGGTGATTTTGAACATTGAATTGCAAAGTAAAATGTTTTGAGCCTTTTCATATTAGTGATTTCCACAGTGCATACGGCGAATTTCACATATCTAAATACGTCGTTTCAGTTTATGTCATTGCAGTTTAGGATAAAATTATTTCAGCATCTCATCAATTCATCCATCCAAATGCTACAAAGCATCCTTGCTGAGGTGAGTATATACTAATTACTAATACAGTCTTATTGAGATTAATGAAGCAAATTAATCGTATACCTTTGCCACTCTTTCAGATTAAAATTGGACTCGATTTTCCTGAAAAGCTAAAGATTCGTGATCCGGAAAATGTAGAGAAGAAACTGGAACGTTTGGTCGAAGGTGGTCCGGATTGTTTGCAGGTGACAACATCCTAAAAATTGTGCTGTACTTTTCCCATCTTCGACTATAAATGTGCAAATTTAGAGTTTACTACATGCTCCCTGTACGTTTTAGGTCATTACAGATTTTGATCATACGCTGACAAAGTTTAAGACCCCAGATGGCCTTCGCTGTGACACATGCCATGGTAAGTTTTTTTTGACATCATGATTTGTTACACATGTACTTATATCAAGACTACGTATGCATTTTGCAGGGATTGTGGATAACAGTTCCCTTGTGGAGGAGGAGTTTCGTCGAAAAACGAACGCGTTAAGAGACAAATATTATCCGATAGAAGTGGATCATGAGATGACCCTTCAACAAAAGTGAGTATGCATTTACTATTTAGACACAGGCATACAAAGTCAAGATAGGAATTTTAACAGAGATAAACTCTTCAACTTATTTTTTTGTTTGGTTTCTGGTGCATTTCAGAATTCCCCTCATGATCGAATGGTATAATATTTTATATTCCAATGAAACCAACATGTACATAATTATAATCTGGGAACCAAAACATGAGGACTACAACTGTCTCATGTTGGATTGTGAATTGTGATGTATATTTTCAAGGTACACGCAGTCTCAAAATGTGCTGGTAGAATATCGAGTTACAAAAAGTCAAATCAAGGAAATGGTTTTGAAATCTCGAGCATTTCTTAGGTATGACATAATCCGACATGAGTTATATAGTGGTAGTGGATAAATTGATGGGTTTTATAGGAGTATTTTAAAAACAGGGACGGGGCGAAGGAAGTGCTCTCCATGTTGAATATGCATAGGATTCCAGTCCTGATATTTTCCGCTGGTGTTGGAAACATTTTGGAAAGTGTTCTGGAACGTGAACAAGTTCATTTTCCAAACATTAAAGTTGTGTCCAACTACATGGACTTTGACGAGTGTGACCGGGTCACATCTTTCCAAAAACCACTCATTCACATGTATGGACAAACAGTTTATGACTATTAAAACAATTAGTATTTGCATGTGATCACTGTGACCCAAGGTTTTTACATTTGGGGATTACTGTGACGCTAATATTAGTATTAGTATCAAGTTAAAACCTTGACTGTGACCATACAGGTTCAATAAAAACGAGAATGCTTTAAGGCATTCTACTTATTTTGCCGAACTTCAAAGCCGCCGGAATGCTTTACTGCTGGGAGACTCCTTGGGTGACGTACACATGGACCATGGGATGCCGTCCAGCCACAAGGAAGAGGGGGTGGTGCTCAAAATCGGGTTTCTTAATGACAAGGTATGTCATACTCATACATAAATGTGTAAATACATTCGACTGCGGAGATTGGTCTAAGAAATTAAAATGTAATATTCTCTCTTCTGTAATAATATACAGATAAGCGAGAGATGTCCCGAGTTCATGGAAAACTTTGACATTGTGCGTGGGTTTTCGTGTATACAACATTTAGTGAATTAAAAATATTACATGTACGATTTTTGTAGGTTCTGGAGGATGATCAATCTTTTAAACTCATGCAGCTTATTCTTAGTCGGATTATCAAGGACGCTAAGCAATAATGACAATAACAAATGAACGGTGTATGCCATTGTACTGTAAGTGTCTTATCATAGAATAGAAACGGTTTTCTAGTCAAAGAAATAACTCTTGGAATAATTTTGAATCTTCACAATTTAATAAAAAATTATGTGCAAATGTAATGGAAAAGAATAATGGTTATTAAATACTTGCGGAGCATGCTATTCGAACTAACTCATAATGTCCTAAGAGTTGCTTTTGGCAGCACTTTTTTGCATCTTTAAATCGTACACTACTTCTTCAATGGCCTTCGAGTCATATCTGTTATCGGAAAAATTAAAATATTAATGAATTTACTTGTCATATTGTTAGAGTTTGCCATCAACATCAAAGATTAACTAGTCAAGAGAAAGTACTCACTTCAAGGAATCGAATCTTCTTCGTAGTCCGTCGTTCTTAAAGTTCATACCACTGAAGCCGAAGGTGAGAGTGGAAATATAGCTGTGAATCTTCCCAACCAGACCGTAATTGTCTAGATACGTTTATCATGCACAAATTTTATTTTATAATAAATATTAATCGTACCTAAAACAATGAAGGTAGTGTGCTAATCATACCTAATATAACACAGTTTTTTGCTAGACGGGCTAATTCTTGTCCAACGTCAATCATACCCTATAAATACGTAATTTGCATGACCTATTAATGAGCGTCGCCACATATGTTATTTGTTAAGAATTGTAAATTAGATGAAGGTCATTTTGAGGTTATCGAAGTACACCAACCTCCAAATATTCCTCCCACTCGAGAAAAATGCCTCCACTTTTACGTGTCTCAGCAGTGGGAACTATAATACCATTGGAACAATAAGCGTATTTAGTTTACCTTAATTCTAAAATATTAATATTTCAGTGTGACCATCATACTTTGTAGAATTGACGCCACAAACTGGACGGTAGCAAATAAGCCGTCCAGAAGAAATTTAGAAAGGCCAATGGCAAATACACTCTTGATGACATTGAATCGGAAAAAGTCGGCATATTTGTAGTACTCGCTGGGTGGCAATTTTTGCCCTATCTGTGCGAGGATAGGAACTACGTCCTTAATTATTAATTAGGTCCATCCCTGTCTCCCCAAGTTTAGTAGCTGCACATGTAATGCAAAATGGATAGGCACTATAAAAAATACATAAAAAACTATGTGCATAATAGTATGATAAGTTAAATTGCACAATTATGACATCTAAAATCCTGGACGGCACTTACTCTTTTCATCAGATTCAGCCTCCAAATGAATGCGTTGGAGGATGTGGAGAACACGTTTGGTTGCTTTTTCAAGCGCTCGTGACACGGTCCTCAGTTCCTGAATTTTCATGAAATTGATCAGCTCAGAAATTGACTGCCATATGACTTTCCTTACACATGTCATAAAATATCTCTAAATATTTCCTACACTTACATTTCGAACATCCACTTCGGTATCAAGAATCTTGATTCAAGATCCGTTTGGAATTGCGAGGCCATGGACTCGACAACTTCGAGGCCCAGTTCGGTTAGTCGGTTTCGCTTAAATTCGTCCACCAGGGCCTTCGCTGCCTCACTTAATGAGCCGGCCATTCTTTCTAATGTAATAATGCAAATAATTCAAGTTCTAATTCCAAAAAAAATAGAGTCGGCTGCTCATAAAGTAAACAAACACCACAGACAGAGATACATTTATAAACACACTCGAGAATGAAAACTGGTGCGGAGCCATGCACTCACTTTAGTCGCTTTAAAGCATTTTGACACTAAAACTACTAATAGAACAATAATAATGGGCCACAGTAATGATGATAAATAACTACTATTTATTTTCATGAATCACCCTATTAGCTCTATTTCATATATCCAGAGTATCTGTACTCTTTTGTACGCAACTCTAAAAAATTCTCGTGCATAGTAAAGTTACATTATGTCAAGCAGATCTCATAAATAGGTGATTCATAATTCATATATATCGTGTAGGTTTTTCAAGATGTGTCCGTCGGTACATACAAAAATTAGAACCCCAATAAGTGTCTACTATTTACAATAAATAATAGTGTATTGAATAAGTAACAATTTTAATGAATATTTTGGTGAATATTTGCCAGTCGGAGCACCTTGAGTTGCATTTTGCATTAGAAAATCAATTACTAATTTTCATAATTCTTTCATGCCGTCGTCGTCTTCTTCACTCCTCGAGTCCGATTGAGGGTAGACCGAGTTGTTCTAGTTGGGGTGACTATGACGCGTGGGGCGAGCTTCTTCTGAGGTCCCCGTTTAGCAGCAGTTTCGGTTTCAGCTGCATTCTTAGGGCTTGAGGGCTCTGATGCAGCTTGACCTACTTTCCCACCTCTTCGTGTTCGTTTCGGAGGAATGGTGTCATCCTCATTTATCACTTCTGGTAGGGGAACAACTTTCTTTTGTGATGCAACAGGTTTTTTCCGGCCCCTCGTCGCGTTTCCTCCACCATTTGTATTAACTGGAGACCCTTTATCAACAATGGGCTTTCTCCCTCGGGTCGGAGGTATAACAATTTCCTCGTCTTCCTTCAATGGACTTAGATTATTTGCTCGTTTGATAGTACTGCGACTAGTTAATTCCGCCTCATTCTTTTCTGCAGATCCTGACCGCGTCCGCATTCTACGAGGGGCGGGAGGACTTTGTTCCACCTTTGCGGTTGGCGATGAAGACACGGAATTTACATCTTTTCTAGAAGGACTGATCATGATCACAGAACCAGGTCGACGACTAAGAGTTGGGGAAGATACAAGTTGACTGCTATCTTTGTTTTCAGCGTCACCATCATCAGCTTCGCCGTCGGACAAAGATATTTTTTGCTTCTTTTCTGGGCTACTTTCATTCCACTCTTTTAATTGACTTTGTTCACCAGTTTTTCCTTTGTATGCGCTTGAAGTAACTTGCACATTATTATCATTGGTAGTAGCGGAAGTCGCATTATGCAATTCCGCCATGCCCCCATCATCCGAGTCAGAGTCGATGATCGCTTTGGATTTTCTTTGTTTACCACGACTCTTAACTTTTAAAGAAACTGTGCTGGTGGTGGATTGCACCTCTAGACTTTCTAGTGCATCATCATTGGAACCAACCGGAAGGTTATTTGTCGTGTCTTCTTCTTCTTCCGAGTGGTGATTCTCTTCATTGTCCAACATCACCGGATCATCCTCGTAACGGTGTCCAAAATCCGTAGGAGAATAATGTGGAATTTCATCCTCACCGGATTCGCTAGGAGCGAAATCTCGCGACTCGTCTGAACCATCGGACTCGTCGTTGTCATCACTGTCGTTCTCTACATCTTTCAACGACTGACCACTTTTTGAGGTAGAGCTTGGACCAATTGATTTCTTTTTCGGAGGGGCAGTAGCTTCAAACACTACTTCTAGATCCGATTCCGAATCTGAGTCGACCTGAGCTGGAAATGTAGTAACAGCACAAATTTTTCTTGGAGATGTTGTACGTGCCGACCTGGTGGGAGTACTTTTACTGCTACTAGTCTCATTGGTATCTATAAAATCTGCTCGCGGCGAAAGTATGGGAAGTCCATTTTCGTATGTTTCCTTATTATTCCCCACGTTTAAACTTTTATGGCGATTTGATGTTGGACTTTGGTTGAGAGAAAGAGATAGTAGTGGGGGTTGTATAACTTTGTCACCTTCATCCATATCATTCCACGCTGGGAGTAGACTGTACCCACTGGATTTCATTGGTGATGTGGAGTACTTGTTAGTCATTTGTGATGAGGTGGAAGGTTTTTGGCTCAGTCGTTCTTCTTGGTCGTATTGAGCAGAGTCGACTATTGTGGATGACACTTGGTAATCATCTCCATCACCTTGTTCGCCACGATCGATAAAGAACATTGAGGTGGAAGTCTCGTTGCCATCATTCAAAGTAGACTTATTAGGCGCAACACGCAGGTCTTCGTTTATTTCATCTGCCATATCGCGTTTTTTCTTTTTCTGGTCACCATTATGCGGCTTTCCTGAGACCACGATTAGGCGTTGCCTTCGTGTCACCTGTGGAACAATAATGAAAGTAATAAAGGTAAGGAAATGAGAATTGGCAATTCAAAATTTGATAATTTTAATCTTACATTTGAAATTTTCCTTTGCTTTATGCCTGTCATGATTTCCATCCAAGTCACCCTCTTACCCAAACTAATGTTGTACTTTTCTTTAAGATGAGCACGCATATCGTTTGGTCGAGGTAAGGTCGCGCTCTTGGACGAATTCAACTCTTGCAATGTATTTTTCACAATCCCGGTATGATCATCCGTGTTCTCGTTAATAAAGGACAGAATAGCGAGGTACTTTGCAAATGAAGATATATCGTGTGTATACAAGTGACCGTCCATGATTGACTCGGTGAGCATGTAATATCCAACACCCTTCTTTGACTCGGAATCCTCAAAAACATTAGAACACACAAGGACATCCAAGACATACTCCAAGTCGTGATTGAAAAGAGTTTTCAAGAAGCTGGACAAATTAGAAGAAACGAACTTTGGTAAGCTTTGATCCGCTCTGCAAAATATACGAAAAAAATTAAAAATCAAACCGAGACTGTTCGAATTTTATAGTGATAGAAATTGATATAATTACATACAGCGACGAGGAGAGGATCGTGTCAATGAAATAAGTACAAATTAGGGATAATGTTGGATAAGCCTGTAACTGCTCATAGTCCGGAAGCGAGTCCAACGCTGTTTTCAGCTTTAGGATGAGTCTCTTCATGCACATACAAAATTTAGTAGCCCGTTTCGGCTTGGACCTTAATTTCCCCAGTTCTGCAGACACACGCCTGTGTTAGCCAAAATTATGACATTATATTACAAATACGTCCAAGTATTATACAGTACAATACATACAATCCACAATAACTAATCTGGATTTAATTGTGGTTTAACTTAAATTACAAGTCGATTTTCATGAAGAACTTACGATTCGATGGTGCGTAGGACCTGGAAGATTTGTTGTTTCTTGTCGTCGATAAATTCGGGCATGAGAAATACCGCGGTCAAGAGCTCGTTTTGGGTGGTAGTAAAAAATGGATAAATCCCCTCCATCTCCATCCTCGTTTTTTCGGACAAGGGCAAAAATGGCTTCATCATTAAGTCAGTCAAATAGTGGGGGTGGTGATTAAAAAAAACGAAGCAGTTCCTAAATAATACTAATGACAAATTATTGTCATTTAAATTGAATAATTCTATTTGAATTGTTAAAAAACTAACGGCGAGAAAGATTTCTATACATCAGCAGCAGCACGTGGATTGGTGGTTTGGTTGGACAGAGAGTTTGCTCGTTAGTGAAACCGCTCGCCCTCGCGCGAGAAAGGGACAAGACACGCGCATGGGACGCAAGAGAGCGCGACTGGTTTACGCAAAATCTGCCTTGTACCAGGCTTCACAGCTGATGTTGTCAACTTTACAAGACTCTGCTTGTGAACTGTGATGGGATTGTTCTGACGACGCCATGGTTGGACCGTCCAGTGACCAAGACTCCCCTCGTGGAGGATAACTCGCACTCGAAGCCGTCTATCGTGACGACAGTTTCATAGGGCTCGTCTTATCATTCAGTATTTGTACTTTACTATATGTGACTCATATATATCTATACGCAGGCAGGAGCAGCAGGCTGACAGTTTTGATTCTTGGTTTTCAAAAAGTGCTGGTGGTGGTACACGGTGGTGGTGGAAGTGTTCTAGGACGAAGATCACACAGCAGAGAGAGAGAAATTGATCATCTTCAACTTTATATTTATTTTGTGGTCTCACTCACTATCACCAACTGCGACTAGTCCTTCAAAAGAAAAGAATCTGATAAATAGTGAATTTTTTGGTGTAATGGCGAATCGTGCAGCGCCTGGAAGTGCGACGAACCAGCAGCAGCAGCAACAGCAACCTGCCGCGACCCGATCCAACAATGGTGCTCCTCAAAATAAAGTTTGTCAGTTCAAGTTGGTTCTTCTGGGGGAGTCGGCCGTGGGAAAGTCCAGTTTAGTCCTTCGCTTCGTCAAAGGCCAGTTCCATGAGTATCAAGAGAGCACGATAGGAGGTGAGTGCATTATCATAGAGGACAAATTATTAGCCATCGTGTAATGCTCAAAATCACAAGTGGGTGTTGCTAATTTTGTAATTAACTATTCCCCGTGATTATCAGGGTGGGCCTGGGCTGGGTTGGGGTGAACATGCATTAATTAATAGCGTATATGTGGAATTTGTGTATCCAGCATTAGTAATGTGCAATAATCAACTGGTTTACTTACTTTTTCCAGCGGCTTTCCTCACACAAACCGTAATGCTAGATGATATCACCGTAAAATTCGAAATTTGGGACACAGCGGGACAGGAACGGTATCACTCCTTAGCCCCGATGTACTATAGAGGAGCCCAGGCAGCCATTGTCGTCTATGACATAACCAATCAGGTAGAAAACTATTTAATTTTGAAAATCCTGCAAACTGCGTGTATTATTGGAAGGGGCGTATATATTTTTATCGATGGATATTTTTTTGTACAGTTTGATTGAATGGATGGATATTTTGTCATCAAATGTTAACATTTTTTTGCAATTCAGGAAACTTTCGCCAGGGCTAAAACGTGGGTTAAGGAGCTTCAGAGGCAGGCATCTCCCAACATTGTGATCGCGTTGGCTGGGAACAAGTCAGATTTAGCAGCAAAAAGAATGGTGGATCACGACGAGGCGTATGCATATGCGGATGAAAATGGACTTTTATTTATGGAAACATCGGCAAAGACAGCGATGAATGTAACGGACATTTTCCTTGCGATTGGTTGGTTACTTCTTTTGATTGAACTGATTGAAGATATTTGCCAAAAACAATAATTTGTTAAATAAATAAAAATAATTAATGTGAACGATTTCCTAATATATTTTGTTTCTCTAAACAGCCAAGAAACTACCCAAAGGAGAGCAAACTAGCGCTCAAGGTACCGCCCAGGGCCGAAGAATAACAGACGCAGATCAAGCTCCTCGATCAACGCCTAATTGTTGTAAATAATGTCGCCCTGTCATAATCATCGTTGTCGCCGTCGTCACCGCCGCCGCTCCCCTCTATTTCTGACGAACCCCTTGTAAAATTGGGGTAAAAACCACGGAACTAAACATAAATATAATAATATATACAACATAATATACATACACATACTTTACACACTACTACTGTATACATTACTGTCTGTCTAGAATGTATAATTAAGTTTACTTGCTTAATCATGTATTCCACCACTGACATTATTGTTTATGGTTAAGCAAAAATCCTAATGACTACATGATATAAAATATACATACTACATAAATTACTAAGTGTTTAGTTTAGTAAATATGTCGACTGTTGTGTCGTTCGTTTTTAGTGGAAAATTTTTGAGAATCTTTATAAATCTATAACAAACTCCGACAAACTTGTTGTATCACGCAACGCATTTGAAGGTGAGGGGGATGGAGGGAGGAGGAGGTGAGCTACCTTTTGTCAGCCAATGCTGCTGCTCCTCCTTCTCCTCCATTCGACCGATATTCCTACCACCAACGTCTATATACTGACTGACGACGGGCAGGATTTTGCTGTCGTCTCACATTTTCTCCATGCATTCCCTCCCCATCATCCGGGGTATTAAACTGATGATGAATACGATTAAATACTTATATAGAACTGTTACACCACGCCACACATTTGATTGAGGATAAGCAATTATGCATAAAATATGTGCTGTAATGTGTAGGTAATAATATGATTTGATAAACTACTTATGTATGAAGATGATGATAATGTATATGCTACTATTAATTAAGACTACTTTAGTTTACCTATGCTCTTCTTAAAACGTGGAAATGAATGGATTATGTTGTTGAAATAAATAAATGCGCTTTCATACACACGAGCCAGTAATTAACTTCATAGACGTTTTTGACTTTACTCTCATATTCGATAAGATGACGAGATCAGAACATTGAGAAAAATGCATCAATTACAATGTGAAACTGACATAAAGTATAAAATCAAAATGCCTACAAATTATTTAGGAGCCAAGTACATAAAAGTTAACAATGCTCAATATTCTTTAAACCGTAACAAACTGGACAAGTTCAAGTAGTAATAGAATGATGGTGATTTCCGTCCACTAACTGCAAACACCGTCTCTTTCGCACCAACGGTGGGAGGCGGAGGGGAGACGATGGCGCAGGCAGCAATAGGAATCGTCTACTTGGACCTTGCCCTCATCTTCCTCCTCTTCCGCTTCAGACGACGCATACGTTTCTTACGCCACTGCAAACGGACAAAAAGAATTATTAGTCAACATACTCTATACCCCGCACATGTCACCGTCAAAGACAGAAAAACGACAAGTGCTGCTACTAACTATGATGTCGTAAGTGTTGGTAAACTAATGAGTTAATTCAGATCTTCCCCAATTTGTGAATTAAACATTGTACCTAATGGGGCGCAATTTTAAACAATATGTGCCAAAAATTTTGCAACAAGACGCCATTTTCCACACATAAGACCATGCCGCCTCACACATGCCGGTAGTAAACGTGTCGAATTTTGTTCGTTTTTCCGACTTTTTGAAAATAGATTTGGTTAAAGAGTAAAAGGGGGTTGCTTACCTTATCTCTCATAGTAGGAGCCCCGAGGGGAGGTGACGGTCAGGTCCGACCAGAAAAGTTGGTTTGCAACGTGAGGAGAAAAATGAAGGAGCTGTGTCTCCTTCAAAGTTGGACAAGAGTCTGCCGAGCAGGATTCTCTGCTGAGTGAGCACGGTCTTTCTGCTCCAGCTCAACGCCAAGAGCAGCACCGGAGCGAGGCGTCCACCAATTTTGCGACCCCGTGACCAGCTCACAAAAAGCGGAAATATGGGCGACTAGAAGGTCGGCAAAGAATTCCACAGGGGTTGGAGTGGGGTGAACGTGGGCGTGGTTGCTCCGACCCCACCACCACGCTCTCTGCCTCCACTGGTTTCGTCGTTGTCCCGAGGGTCGAGCGATGGGGCGAGCGATGTCAGATGCAAGTAAGGACTGCATGGTAAAGCTTACAGCAGCTCGCGACCAAGGTGAGACTGAGGAACGGGGAAAGTGAGAATTGAGACTGAGCGTGTGGGGAAAATGAGATTCTTCTTTTCTCACATCCATTTGTGAAATATAAAAATCGTTACAAAATGGTTAACAAATCTCCAGCATGAAATGGTGAAATATACATGCCAGTTTTCTCTATGATATTTACTAACTTCGAAAAGTCGCCAAGTTGGCATTATGTATTCCTTGGAGAAATGGTCTGCTTCGGGGGTGGGGTTGTTTCTATAGACATGCACGGCCCATACACCATTACAAAAATGTTATAATTTCAGACACAATTTCCCCACAATCTCGTCTCTGGGAAAAACATGCAGTGTTGCTGAGTATTAACGGGAACGGGAATAAGGAACAGGACAATTGACAGTAAACAGGACAAAAGAACATGGACGTAAAGAGTGCGTGTAAGCCGGGGAGGGAAATCCCTCTCATCCAAGTGGCATATCCGAACGAGAACAAGAGTCACATCAAGGCTACCCCCGTTACCGGAACGCCTGGAGTCGATCCGTGTTGTGCCCCTTCGCCTTGTCCAGGATACAACGAGGCAAGTCTCATTTTTTGCGCCCGCCTGGAAGATATTTGCCTATTATTTCCCTTCGTCTCCTTCAGAATCCCTCTTTGTGCGAGCCAGTAGCTTGCACGGCTGGAGCGCATGACCCAACGGCCCCCGGTGCGTGCTACGATGCTCAGACTTTGCATCAGCGACAGTGCGAGTGTGATAAGTGCATCCAAGAGCGTTTGGTGAGTTCCTTGCAAAACTTACTGACGATTTCTAAGTATCTCTAGGCTTTATTATAATAATGGTTATGGGTAGGACGCCATCGAGGGTGGGCAGACCTGTTATCAGCACGTCGATGGGAACCAGTGGCACGATCTGAGCAAGAAGCATCCCGACCCAGAGATCCAGGCCTTGCGAGAAAAGATGCGGAGTTCGGAAAGGATGAAGGACAACTTGCGGTGGTGTCCAACTGACGAGTCTCTCTCCTGCGTTGTCCGCCGCTTCCGCCAATATCCTTTGGGGATCACCGGCCAGGCGACACTTCACTACGGGGCCGCCCAGGACTTGGACTACCCACGTCAACTCATCCACGGGATCCTCAGCGATGAAGTCACACCGGTGAGAGTTATAATGTTATTTATTATTTTAGTGTCAAGTGTCCCAATCACTGGGATGTCAGTATGTTAGCTGAATTGCACATACGCGCTCGATATAAATATGTATTACAACCAAGTATCTTGTTCTCGAGTAGGGGACAAAGTTGATAAACCCTCCGCCGCTCAAGTGGGTGGATCAACTGGAGCTGAACATCAAGGAGAGCGTGTACGAGTCCAATAAGGTTCGACCAGTGGGAAGGTCTCATGATCAAACGCTGAACCTGCCTCCTCACATTGACCTCGAGCTGACGGGATTTGGGAAGCCCAGTGACAAGAGTGAGCATGGAAATCAACTTGACCAACTATGCACAATGGATGTTTGGCGTACACGTCGTTGACGATGTGTGATATCATTGTGTTGTCGCAGGTGTGAACGCCGGGTTGCTGGTGAATCCTCCCAAGAGCAGATACGAGATTGAGCAAGAGTCCAAGTGTAGTCGAGCCCTGTACAAGTTTACGCATGGAGATTATGACCCTGGGGAACAAATCTGTCGAAAGTAAGGCAAGGCTTGATTACTCGTGGTGGTTCTAACCATAGAATAATCATCCATCAATCATAAACAATCACCGATGCCCAATCTTAATTACTACTGGACGTCTTGTCGTCTGTTCGCAGCTACGGAGGGGATTTCCGTCGAACCAACACGTTTGGCACGCCCACTCCGAACGACGTTGCGGGTCGCGTGGCCAAGAAAGTTATTGGCTCCTGGCGGTCTTGTAAAGCCGACTACCCCTTCGTGAGCAAGGTGTATGCGGATCACTTGGACTTTCGCTACCCCAAATTGGGAATGTCACAGGAGCAGCACTGCATTCGACAACAGATGGGCGATGGGTAAGGCAGGCTAAATGTGCAGGCCATGCATAAATACACTTATAATCATAATGCGTTGCACCATATCCGAACTCCTCTCTCATGTCACGAGCTATGAAATGTCCTGCAGGTTTGTCTACGGAAAGAAGAGTGACCAGGAAAAAGAGCGACCAATCAGGGAAATAATTTTCAACCGATGTCCAAACCCTGGGGCAGAGAAAGCAGCCAAAATCATGCAAAACTTAAAAAATTGGTTGGACAAGGCACGCAAAAGTTTTAGAGCCGATGAGGGTCCAGACTTTGAAATGTTTTACGAGCAAATCATAGAATGCGATCCAGTACGTTTGCACATTTTACTATTTAAAAATTATTTTATTCAACCACGTATGGAAATATGAATATTATTTAATTATTTCCTAATCTTTATTAAATGAGCATGTTCTTTTATCTAAGGGATGCAAGGGTGTGGTGGACTGGGACCCCTTCATCGCCGCTATGGAGAAGCACCGTGTTCCCCGGACGATGGGGGAGAGGGACTTCATGGAAGCGTTGGCCATGGTCGGCGTATTTGGGGGGGCCCCTTGCGACCAGGTGAACTACTACGCTCTGATGGACCTCCTCAAAGGGTACACCGACCCGCTCTTCCACTGCAAAACCACAACGCTCTACCCCTTCTACTGCCCACACACCAATGGATGTGGAGACCACTTTCGCACCATGTACGCCACCATGACCTCCAACATGTGTGAGCCGCAAGACTGCGTCACGGCCATGAAGGAGGCGCGAGTTAACGGGATGCCCAGCGTGCGAGTGGACCGCGTCCCGAGGAAGATACGCAGCACGAAGGACTTCACCAACTATGGGGATGATGGGGACGCCTACAGCCTCATCTGGCCCAGCGTGTACACTGTAAATGGGATCACCTGCAGGGACGCGTTTAGGGTGACTATCACACATTGTTGGATTTATTTATAGCAGTATTATCTAAACGCATTACCACTCTCCTCGTCTGCTCCTTTTGTGTTGACGCGATTTAGGAGTTCACAAAGGAAGAGATGACGAGACTCCTGTGTTTGGCAAAAGTTGATATTTCACATTGTGAGTTGGACCGTGCGTGGGAAGCAGCGCAAGCCTTGGACCCTGAGGAAGGAAAATGTCGAGTTTCCTACCAAACATTTCGAGAAGCTTTGTGCCAAGTAAATGATACATTTAATAGCAATCTCATGTAGATTTACATAATGAGCTTATACATACTTTACTAACTGTATGTATGTGGTATGGTAAAAAAAATGTATGCTAATTAATACAGGTTCGAGAGGAGAACGCCAAGATTCAGAACGTGCACATTGCCTACCCCACGGAACCATGTCTTCCCGAGGGGGCAACGGCTAACCCACGTGGCAAGAGGAGGAGGAATCCTTGCTGTGGTGTTGACCCTTAAGGACCACACAATCACACATCTTATATGTATACTCTTCTTCATGAAGTCTTATTTTCAAAGTCGTAATTTAATATAGATAATATATGTTGTAAAATATCGTGCAATGTACACACACACTGAGAAGAGAGAGAATGTCCACTGGCAATTTTATTTGATTTACCGAATAAATATTTGGCAGTATTTATAAAATAATAGTAAGATGCACAGGTATTGCTGCTAGTTAACAGATGTACAAGAACTTCATCGAACATTATTCGCTGACGTTGACGATGTTTGACTTTGTCTCTTGTTTCGTTTAAACAAGTTCTTGAAGCAGCTTCCTCCAGACGCTTTATCGTCCTCATGATCCTCAGGGTGGTTTTTATGATGATGAGTTGTTTTGGACCTGGGCTGCTTCGCCGTTGTCGACAAGGATGGCCTACTCGAACAAGATTTGAGGGACTCAACACTAGAAAGTTTGGAGGACACTTTTGGTTGATGTCCCCGTTGACGCCTGCGGGAGGACGAGCTGTGACGACTGCTGTGACCACTGTTGCTGTTGGCCAGTGAGGCCACTTGTTCTTCCCCAGGTACTGGTGGCAAGTTGTGCTGATTGTTCTTGACAACTGGAGTTGTCGCAGGAGGGAAAATACTTTTTTGTTTTGGATTCTCAACGAGTGGAACAGTTTCAAATTGTTCTTGCGGCCTGCTGCTGCCCCGTTGTTTTCTCTTCACATGGGGCCCCTCTTCTGCTCCTGAACGAGGAAGAGGGACATCCGTGGTAGGATGATCCTTTGCAGTTCTAGCAGCCGTTCCAGCTTCGACCTTATCGTTATTGTTTATTGTTTTATTATCTTGTGATAAGGAGGAGGAGTCCGCCTTCTCACGTCGGGATTCAGAGTCAGCGACTGTGTTCTTCTCGCCGAGCTGTTTCACAGACCAGCCTCGCATTCGAAACACGTCTCGCATATGCTCCACTTCGTTGGACAGGTCGGTGATCACTTGGAGCAGATGGCTGTTCTGCATCCTATTATTCATACATAATTTAATCTGTACAATGGAGGTACATAGCTCGGCGAAAGTTAGTGAACAAAACTTGGACAGTGAGTCTATCGTCCTTCTCGTCATTATTATGCATGGGAGGACTCACGTCAAGTGTTCATTTGTGTTTTTGAGCTGAACATTCTCAAACTGCAAGTTGGAGATGTCGTCTGACAATTCGGAGAGAATTGAGTCTTGCGTGCTTTTGATTTGCTCCAATTGTTTAGTCACGGAGACCAAGTGGTTCTCATACTCCTCCGAAGTCAGGTTCCCATTGCTGCTTTCCCGCACCCCCAACGACTTGACCGACTATATGGGCAAACATATTAATTAGGAATAACTGACTACAAATAATTAGTACTTAATGCTCCAAATACTCTGGATTTTGATGAAATGGCACGATTGGATGCACATCTGAGACTGGGTCGACTATCTTCCGTGTCGTGATGACTCTGATAATGTTGCTGTTGGGCAGGTAATCTGAGGTGCTGGTGGCGGTGACCTTGTTGCTGCTGTTGCTGGATCGTGTTCCACACTAGAACGTCGGAAGGCTCGTCCTCGTGGGCGCCATTGTGCTGTTGGTGCTGAGGTGGGGTGTGGAAGCCGGGGGAGGAGTTGGAAGTGACGAAATGATGGCTCATGTAGTGGCTCGGTATTTCTGACTGCTCCTCATTTCCTGCGACAACATATCAAGTAGAGCAAAAATGAAATGTATGCACATATGAAACTTCAACATATGTCAACATAGATAGGTTACCATCACTGATGTGATGACGATACTGCGGAGGCAATGAGGACATGTTGTAGAAGCCGGGAATTGGTGGTGAGGGCATGGCCCTTTTTGGCTCTGGTGGCCTGCGGGGGGCATCATAGGAGGGGTCACTGCGACTGCTGGAGGCGAGGCATGGGGAATGTGGGGGCGAGTCGTCGTGCCCGTCCTCGTCATAGGTTGGCTGTGGTGTGGGTAGGAAGTTGTCCAGCCCGTCGTCCCATTCCGCGGGGGACGACGCAGGGGACTGGTTGTGATACTGGTTGTACATGAATTAGAATGATCGCAACGAAGGATGTGGGTGCTGAGGTGATGCTGTTCTGGTGGAGTGCATGTTTGTTTTCGGAGGGTTTAATTCATGACCATGGTGACAAGTGACCATTAACATTCAGGGTGCGAGATAAAACATCCACTTGTGACTAACTAATCCTATGCGACAGAACGTTGAGGTCAAAACATTCGGATTTTTCTTCTATTCACTAAGCTAATTACTAGTGTATTTCATAGTTTATCAATGTTTATGTTAATAAATAAAATTATCAACCATTTTGTCAATGTTTTTGTGTTAATAAATATTGTAAACGTTTGTAAGCTTACAAACCTTACGCAAATTTTATCAATGTATTTGTATTAAAGTTAACATTAGCGTCCCAACAGTTCAGGCAGCATAGATCACATCAACGGCGTTGATAATATTTATAATAGCGTTGGTTCAACGCGATTATAAATAGTATCGCAGTGGATTATTCAGTTCACTCCTTTGCTGTTTATTTTTACTTTATTTCTATGTCAGGGAGGGTCTTCTCTTCAGCAGCCTTTCCTGGAATTCATACGAGGGCGAGGGGAAAGAAGGGCTGTAAACTGCATTCGCATTCCATATAAATCGCTGTACTTGTACTTGTTGAATGTCAAATGTGGTCTTTGTTCACTCACGTGCCCAAATTCCCTCGCTCTCTCTCCCTCCACTTCACACTCAACACTCGCATCTGCTCTCCTAACTGACTCTTATCGTCGCCTCTTTGTGCACGTTTTGTGGCCTTTCTTATCGCAACAATTTACTAGTCAAAGTGACTCTTTACCTCCTTCGTCTTGTCCATCGTGTCCCAATATTTAAATTAGGTGAGTACGCACGTAGAGAGTCATTTATTTCTCGAAATTTTCTTTTTCAACCATACAAGCAACTGATCACTGAAATATAATAATAATACAGCCCTTTAATAAATCATCAATAAGATTTAATTACATATTATTGTATTGAATTCCACAGGTAACATCAGCCCAAGAATGGTTCGTCAATCAAAAGTGACGGACTCTTTCGCCGTCAAAAAATCATCCGGTCTTAAGATGACAGTGAAGCGGAAAATTCTCGTGGACGTCGACGAGGACCACGACACGGAAAACAATAAGTCCACCACTGCCTCATCATTACCATCTGCTGCTCCTTTGTCCGTAGAATATGTGGATAACTTCCAGGCATCCAAGAATGCACTTCACATGGGCCGACCGTCAAATTTACTAGCGAGAGAGGAGGAAATCGAAGAAATTTATGGCTGGCTAGATGACCGCTTAAGTAGCAAAAGTCCGGGTTCCATGTACATTTCTGGGGCACCTGGCACTGGGAAAACGGTCTCTGTTATTCACTCCATTAACGAATGGGTCAAGAATAATCCAAACAAAGGCAAAACGGGTTCATCTTTGAAGACAAGCCCGATTTGGCAACTGGTTATCAATTGTATGAACGTGTCCACTCCAAGCCAAGTGATGGAAGAGATGAAGACCGGACTGGGCATGACAAAGAAACTCGAAGCGTCCAAAGAAAACATTGCCAACAAGTTGCTCACCGGACGGAAAATGATGTAAGTTTCAAAGTAACAACGCAATACATGCAATATCATGATAAATTAAATTCTTAATTCTTATCATTATTTTGTGGTACTGCTACAAGTATGTAACAAAGTATTCAATCCGTCTGCCATTATTATTTACACACAGGGTGCTAGTCTTGGATGAAATGGACCAACTTCTGCACGGGAAGGGGACGGAGCTCCTGTACACATTGTTTGAATGGGCAAGACAACCAGAGTCAAAACTTGTCCTCATTGGAATTGCTAATGCATTGGATCTCACCGTTCGACATTTGCCACTCTTGAATTCTCCAGCCGTCCAGAGAAGTCCAAGTACAAGTTCAACGACAGCTTCCTCTAGCAGACGCAGTGGTAACATTAGCAAGAAAACCAAAAAGCAATCTATTGGCAAGCTGAACGATTCATCAGCAGACCTTGGATCCTTCCTCCCCAGTAATATTTCGGCAATGAAAGTAATCAATTTTCCTCCCTATGAGAGACAAGACATTGAACGTATTTTGGAAGCTCGACTTTTAGAGGTTGGAAGTAGTATTTTTGAGCCAGCAGCGATCAAGTTTGTGGCCGCCAAGGTAGCAGCAACCACCGGTGATATGAGGAAAGCTTTGCATGCATGTAAATTGGCTTTGGATGCGGTTGAGAAGCAACAGAGGATGGCATTAAATTCAACGGCGGATGATGGCAAGTGGAGATATACTTTTCTTTTCTCACTATTCCTCATGCATGACTCAAAAAAGTGCTAATTATTATTTTTATCTTGCAGGTTTTAATTTTTCGAGTCCTAAAAAGTTTTGCATCATCCGGGAAAAGATAAATGTAGGGATGATTGCCAAGGTGTTTGCTCCTCCAAAAGATGACGGTCCCCTCCCCCTCCAGCAAATGATCATGCTTGCCACGTTGCTGCTAATCAACAAGAAGGCTCCTGGATCTCGAAACCCTAAAGCCGATGGACTGTCCGCCCCAATTCCAATGACGCTGGCGTACGACGAGTACCGAAGTATTTGTGCTAAAAAGGGATTCTCGTGGATTGACAGGAGTGAGATTGTATCCGTGTGCAGCATGCTTCAAGACAGGTCCCTCGTCACTGTCATTGAAAACATGAGTGGAGCTGGATCAAAGAACAAAAAGTTTGCGACTTTAAATTCTGCAAACAAGACCGGATTTTTATTTAATTACAATGCCGTGGAGAAAATTGTGATGCAGTGTGATATGAAGTCAATTGTGGCAGACATGTAATATTAATTAATAACATTGCTATGATATGATCAATGACGGTCATTCATGTTTTAACCCAAATTAATGTGGTACCCCATCTCACTGTTTTTTTAAATGTGGGTAACAACTAATATGTTAGACTGGCACTAATTGTTTCTTTGTGAGTCTCTTTTACCAATTATAGGTTACATTTCCACATATGTGTTCAGAATATTCAGATATTTATTTACCGTGTTACAATATCATACCCACTGGTGTTATATAGTATTATGAATTACGATATGTGTCACGCAAAGATCTGCTTCTTTGTTAAGTTATTTTATGTAAAGAATTTATAATTTCGAGCTAATAAGCAATGTTTACCTGCTTCGTTCAAACAGTAAAATTATTTTGATTAATATTCTTCATTATTATTTGGTCTTTAAGATTCTGTTAATAAAGTTGTGCTATTATTGTACTTGTGAGCACATGTATAATATTCCATGTGCATGCTTTCGTCATCGGCCTAGTTGTAAACTACTTAGCAAAAAGCAGCATAAATAATCTGAGTGGAATTGGCACTATTTAAGGGGTCAAAAATATCATACGTGTTACACACACAACTTTATTGGCTACCACAACTCATGAATAGTTCAAGCTGTTCAAGTCCATTTGGCTCCAGAAAGTGGGACCATTTTCGGAACCAGATATATGTATATGCGTCTGCGGCATGTATCTAGGTGAATGAGGCTACCTATATATTTACCCAGCCTACCAATTTTTGGCAAAAGACGAGGAGCGCACTTCAATTTGACACTACTATCGATCAGGCTTTCGCCCGACAGCAGCCCTTTCACTGTCAAATAGTGCTGATGGACATTGGACAATTGGACTCCAGGGAATGGTACATAATGGAGTGGCTAGCTTTGCACGCAAGGAATGGACGCTTAAATACTTAAACACCACAATGACCACCCATTTAAAGCATATACCAATATATACATGTCAAGAGAGAGGTAGAGATGACCCATATTTTACTTTGACGACACACATTCAGTCAAGTTTGAACCTCCGATGAGAGCAAATATATCTCATACAATATCGGAAATTGTGCGTACAAGCCCGTGCGAATAATGACGATGAGTGACTCCAATAAATCCTCAGGATCTGACGACGAGGACGACGCAGCAGCATCAAACCCTCATGTCGAACCTTCCATTAGTGGCGATTCACCAAAAATCCATCGTGCCACCCTCAACTTGACGACAGCAGAGGCTCAAAAGTTCATCTCGGAGCAGTTGCAACGCCACGTGGAGGTGACCATCACGACTGCACTGGAGAAAGCCCTGAGTCAAATGGAGAGCAGGAGGACACTGCAGAGGGAGGAGGTGTCTGCTGGTGGGGTGACATCGGACAAGCATGGTGACACGATACAGAACGCTCGGTGTAGCCGAAGCCACTCCACTCCAGCCCCCGTGAAAAGACCACAAATCAGTTCTACAGGAACGGTGGAGAGCAGCAGTGGGGGCAGCGATGATGAGGGTACTGATGACCAGGAAGGAGGAGGAAAGTCATCCTGCCCAAGTGCCAAAGAACCCATCGCCCTCGTTCTTCTCTCGGCTCAAATCAGCCTCATCGTCATGTTTGGATTCTTGGTGAAATATGACGAAGGAGAGGAACACCATTATGGGAATAATGAGACGACGACGACGACGACGACGGAGACTACAACAGGTCCCCCCTCCACTTTCAAGCAGAACAGTACACGGATGCCGAACATGGTGTCTCAGTACTACCAGCGTATGTACATCTAAAAAGTTCCGCTTCCATACTTGTTCATTTATCGCTTCATCAGCTGGACCTCGTGTTTGCAGAGTACCAGGACATTCAGGTGATGGTTTTTCTGGGCATCGGAGTTCTCATGGCGTTCATCAGGAAATATGGATACTCGGCAATCGGTATGAAGCAAATAATAATAACTTTTCGTGCTGCAACTTTACAGTAAAGCTTCTCCGTGTATGACACAATAACTAATTAGCCAAATACTTCAAAGGGTTCACTATGCTTGCTGGAGCCTTAGCTGTGCAGTGGTCTATTTTGGTGCGAGGCCTCATCTTTAACGGTCCAAACCCCATTCCGCTCAACATTGTCAGGTTAGCCTCGCTTCTACTCCGTTGTCCGTGGTCGCCGTGAAGAAATGCAGCATTTACTCCCACATGTGGTAACACCTTTTATGCACTCCTTTCAGCCTTATTTACGGGGATTTTGCGGCCGCAGTGGTGCTGATATCGTACGGAGTGGTCATTGGAGTGGCCTCTCCTCTTCAATTGGTCTTCATGACGTTTGCTGAAATTCTCTTCTACATCGTCAACAAGTACATTGGCGCCATGATTTTCCAAGCTGTGGACACCGGCGGCTCCATATTCGTCCACGTGTTTGCTGCCTATTTTGGTCTCGGGGTCAGCAGAGGCATGCGGTCAGTCGCAGACATCAACACTACCCACTTGGAGCCCTCCTACAACTCAAACATCTTTTGTCTCGTTGGTGAGCTTTTAAAAGATAAAAAACATACAATTGTCAATTTTATATGCGAGCTTTCCACGTGAATTGCAAACCGGATATGAACCAAAGTATTAAATACATATTTACATAATTAACGTATCTGAAGCCGTCGTGTTTTTGTGGCTGTTCTGGCCGAGCTTCAACAGCGCCCTGTCAACCGGGATGGACCAAGACCGAGTGGTCATCAACACGATGCTCTCACTTTTTGGCTCCTGCGTCACGGCCTTTGCCACTTCAGCCCTGTTCAACGGGAACAAGTTTGTCCTGGCACACGTCCAGAACGCCTCCTTGGCCGGAGGAGTGGCCGTGGGGGCCGTGGTGGACCTCATGATTCTTCCCTGTGGCGCCCTCACCATTGGAGTATTGGGAGGATTTCTTTGTGTTTTTGGCTGCCAGTTCATCTCGGTAAATCATACACACTACGAAGCATAGATTTCTGCATGCATAGCTATATCTACGCATTGGTGCAGTGCTAATAAATAGCATACTCATGCTAGAGAACGGGGAATTAATGGCATATTGCTAATTTTTATGGGCACTTTCCACCAGCCTCTGCTGAGTCGGAAATTAGGTTTGCATGATTCATGCGGCGTTCACAATTTGCACGGCCTCCCCGGAGTTCTGGCTGCCTTGGCGAGCGTGCTACTTGCCGCACTTGCCTCCGAGTGTGACTACGGTCCAAAGTAAGATAACCATTATTATGATTTTATTATTATTATAATAAATCGATTTGGCCTCTCCAACAATTAAATTAACTTTCACTCCTGTGCCGACATACTCACCTGCATGCACATATTTTTATGAATTACAGCTTGTACCTCCGCTACCCTGCCCGTGCACCTCTAGCCATGTCCCCCAGGCTGGCCGAACTGCAGGCGCTTTCTCCCAACATTGCTGCCGGGGTGAATCGGACGGGGATGGGTCAAGCCATGGTCCAGCTGACCGTGCTGGGCATAACATTGGGCGTTTCCATCGTGGCTGGAGCATTTACAGGTGAGCGAGATTCATACTTTTATTCAGTTCACTGCTTGTTGTGACCATCACATCAAGTTGCAAGTTGTATATTGTGACAGGCCTGCTCATGCGACTCCCCATTTTCCGAAAAATGCCCAGGAGTCAATGCTTCCTGGATGGCGTCTACTTTGAGATGGAGCCCGAGGAGGTCACCCTTGTGAAACGGGAAAAGAAGACAATCGATCAGAAGTTGTCGAATAAGGTCATCCCCAAGAATTCCATCAATCCGGTTCCTGCATTCGTCAACGGGCGTGACGGAACGACGACCAACGCATCACCTCCTCCAGATCGGCGAAAATTTAAAAAATATGAACTCTGAATAATTATTATTAGGCTTTTACAACCGGTTAAGTTTCTGTTCTGAGTCTGACTTATTATAACGATGCATCGTATGCATACGATGCATATTCCACAGTTTTTCTGAGGACAACCTTGTGACAATACTTTTAATGCCATCTCATTCCTTCTGTGATGGTACAGTTTTGAGAACCCAGTCGAACAAAGGAATTTTTTAAATAATGCACCCAAAATTAGAATTGTAGGTAGACAGTCAGTTCTCGCACCCTTTAACAGTCCTTTTTTATTAGGACTAAAATACCCAACTGCATAAATAACCGAATGAAAGATATTGGTTGGCACTTACTTAGGATTAGGAGTGCACTTTTTGTCCTCGCCTCGCTTGCATGTGTCACACATTCAGAATTTTTCCTCTCTGTATTTTTTACAATGTTGAAATTCCTGTCACTACTCCTACTTCAAATTGGACTGGGCATCGTCCAATGCAGTTGGTTTACAGCAACTGACAATTCCCCAGTAGTGTCTTGGGGCAGCAGCACCACCACCTCTTCATCCCCTTATTTTTGGGACCTTATATCGCCGGACATTGAGGAAAATGGGAAGGAGAAGATATCTGCCAAACGACGCTTTTCTTTACTGAAAATAAAAGATAGTGAGCTTTTCCTTCCCCGAAATGTGGTACCGATCAGTTACAAGCTTAAAATTCGGCCAATTCTGGAGTCAGATAATCCAGAAGAAGTCCTTACCGCCCCGGGGTCAGTGACCATCATTGTCAGGTGTGACGCGGTTACGGACACCATCACCTTACACGCCAACACGAAACAGTTTGTCAACATACTGAGAGAAAACTTACTGCACGTGAGTTCCGTAATGAGACAAAGAAATGCATGCTTTTGTGTTTATTAGTAAATTCGTCCTCTCATCCTTATTGTAAAAATAAATTAGGTCCAGCAGACTGGGGACAACACGACCACAAGCAGAGTAAATAACGTCTCGGTTCTTCGGAGCTCTCTAGTGCTCGGAAAAGAAGATGCCGATTTTTACCAAATCCAACTTTCCGAGAATCTGCAACCGGGGGAGCAGTAAGTAATTAGCCATTGTTTCATTATGTCTTTAATTCCCACATTTGTTTTGGTTATTCATTATTATGCTTGATATGCAGGTACTCCCTCCACCTGGACTTTGTCACAAGGATTTCCAACTCCACGCTGGACGGGTTGTACCTGAGCAGCTATGAGGATCCGTCCAAGAATGAGAAGAAATTCCTGGCAGTCACTCAGTTTGAGGCCATCGCAGCCCGACAAATGTTCCCCTGCTTCGATGAACCCGATCTGAAGGCCACCTTCGAAATAGTTGTGAGTCGGGCGAAGGGCTACACTTCCATGAGCAACATGCCCTTGCACTATTCGGAACCTGACTCTGAGAACGCCGGCTACTTTCTTGACCATTTCCCACCCACGCCGCGCATGTCGACCTATTTGGTGGCACTCGTCGTGTCCGAGTTCACCTGCACCACGGCTCCCGCTTTCCTCCTCGCCAATAAGACGGTGGAGGCCTGTGGTCCCGCGCATCTGGTGGCGGAGGGTGGAGCCAGCCACGCCGCACAAGTGTCTGCCCGCATTCTCGCCTTTTACGACAAGTTGTGGGGGGTTCCCTACCCGCTCCCGAAAATGACCTCTGTGGCCATCCCGGACTTTGAGGCGGGTGCGATGGAGAACTATGGGCTCAACACGTATCGCATCTCTGCCTTGTTCTACTTTCCAGATAAATCCACAGAGTCGAGACGCTTAAGTGTCGAATCCACTATTGCGCACGAACTGGCGCATCAGAATTTTGGGAACTTGGTGACGTGCAAGACCTGGAACCAAATCTTCCTCAACGAAGGTTTCGCCACCTACGTGTCTAAGTTGGGCGTGGAGGAAGTAAGCCCAGAGTTTGAGGGCGAGGCTTTCGGCTGGTACACGGACTACTTCCAGCGCGCGCTGAGGGCGGACGCGTTTCCTGCCAGTCACCCACTCGTCAAGGTGGAAGACTACTTTGGCCAATTTGACGCCATCTCATACTCAAAGGTACACATTCAACTGGGACCTCACCCTCTCCTTCCTATGACCTCTGAGCACACTCTGTCCGTTTCCTCGATAAAAATATGTTCTCACCCTTATATCTATTAGGTTTATTGTATTTATGCAAAAATGTGTGAACAGGGCTCTTCTCTTATCAAAATGATGGAAAATATTCTGTCCAGAAAGACACTCGTCAACGGCTTGAGACAATACTTGGATAAGTTGTGAGACTCAGTTTAATTTATTTAGTTTCTCGTGTCGGTAAAATTTTTAAATCACTTATACAATTTTGCAGCTCCTTTGGAAATGCTGAGTATCGGGGACTGTTCAACACGCTGGATCTTCAGGCCAAGGCAGAGGACACGCACCCTGAGCTCGCCCCTCTTGCTGACATTATGGACAGTTGGACTGTGCAGCCTGGATTCCCTCTCGTTCGAGTGACCTGGGTTTCCGAACAGTTGTTTCACATTTCACAGGTGCGGTGCTCACTTGCTTAGAGCAATTAGTATCTAATTTACGATAAAATGCATATACGCGACCACTTGACTTGTCTCTGTGCACGTGTTCAGGAGAGATTTCTACAGCAGTCGAGCACAGTCAAGGATGGGCAAGTGGGTAGCAAAGACGGCGCAGGATGGAGACGCATGTCCTCGAACCCTTCGTCCACCCCTTTGAATAACACACGAGGAGACGACCCATTGCTCTGGCACTGTCCAATTTTCATTGCCACCGCCGCACACCCCAACCGGACGGTGTTGGTCTCCGAAGAGGGTCATAGTTCCGAGACGACATCTCCTCACCATAGGAGACCCACCATGTGGTTGACCAACAAGGAATCCATCAAGGCTTGGGTCCCAAAGTCAAAAGTCGACTGGATAATTGTCAACCCAGACTCAAAGGGTAAATAAAATTACTGTCAAGCCACCCACCACGTGCAAAATGGGTTTACCGAATTATAACTTATACTACTTGCACAAACTAAATGAAATACAATTTCAACTTCCGCAGCCTTTTTTCGAGTTCTGTATGATGAAAGGTTATCAGACGCTATTGAAAACCAGTTGGAAGACAACTCCCAAATTTTCAGCCCAATCACGAGAGCTCAATTAATTGACGACGGCTTTGAGAATGCATGGGCTCGTAAGTAACCTACACCGTATTACAGACTTTTCCACACATTCTTTTCTCCTTAGTTGTCCTTCACAATTTGATATTTAGCTGCAAAAACACCTCCAAATGTGATAAGTGCATAATATTATATTTCTTATTCCATTTTCCAGACTACAGCCCAATCCAGGTGGCCTTGGGAAGAACTCGAGCAATCCTCCGGGATGAAACGGACCCCAGAGTTTGGGCCACTGCTCTCAACCACTTCAAACAAATTTATGCTATGCTGTCCGAAAATGAAGACTCTGTTCGAGACTTCAAAGTAACTTCTCAATTTCCTCCATTTTGATTTCTTATTCCATTCGATTTTCAACTTTGTACTTTAGAAATATTTGAGCCCGAGGGTCAGCCAAGCTGTGGATGCGGTGGGTGTGGCGCAGGGCGGTGAGGAGAGAGGTCAATCCGTTCTCCATCGAGCCTCCCTCTTCGTCTGGGGCGGAGTTCTAGAACTCCCGAGTGTGCTTCACCATTCCAAAAACCTGGTCAAACTTGCTGCCTCCGAATCTAATCTGAACCTGTGAGACATTTTATCGCTCCTACTCTCACTGATTTGTCTTAAATATGTGAAACCCAATCGGAATGATTGACTGACGACTACTTTCCACGTTCTAGAATCCCTGTCGACATTCGAGGCGAAGCCCTTTGTGCTGCCGTCATTGAGGGTGACTCGAGCACAACCAACTTTCTCTGGGACTTGTACAGCAAGAGCAAAGCCAAAAGTGAATCAAGTGTACGAAACATATTGCTCAACGCCATTGGCTGTTCTAGAAATCCTGCCATGATTCAAAGGTGACCATCGGTGATGTTACTAAAAACGTAATTCTGTCTAATCTCCCATTGTCATTCTCGCGTAGATACCTGGACAATTCTTCCCAGATTGGCTTTCTCCACTCCAAGTCGGATAGGGTCATCCTGCTCCAAAAGTTGGTGGTCAATCCCTTCAGCCGCAATGCAACATTTTCCTACCTGCGCCAACATTTTCGAGAGTTGATCGACTATTTCGATGGTCTCGAAGTGCCGGGGAAAATCCTCAGAACTTTCTCTTATTTTTGGAATACTGAGGAACGACTGAATCAGGTATATATATTTAGAGACCACAGGAATTTATTTATCTGGGCATCACAAATTGTCACTAATAGTTCGATCCATGTCCTTGTTGGGGAAATCTGAGATGTGCATAAAATTTCATCTTTTTTCATTTACGCAGATGAAGGAGTTGCAGAAGGAGTTTTTGGAGGAGTTGAAGCTGGGAGAGAGCCTTGAGCTGACGCTGGCCCTCATTCAAGCAAATGTCGATTGGATGCAGCATCACGGGAGTGACATCAAAAATTGGATGCAAACTCAGGCTCGGGACGAAGAGCAGTCTGCTCCATAATTACTTTCACTCAACAAGCTGTTCATGCTCACTCACAATTATTGTATGCAAATTCTTCTTCTCGTTATAGTTTCTCCCATGAATTAACACGGGAATCATTGAACCTCGTTAATTTCACCAATGTAAATTAGTTTAAACGGTGGTGTCAATGTTCACTTAAATATCCTAGATTGAGCAGAAGAAAGTGAAAGTCTCGCCTTCTCAATTTGTTAATAAATCGTTTTGACTGTCTTAACTTGCCACTTGAGGACGTGGGGTCGTGCAAGGTTTTACGAACAGTTTGTGCACAATAATTTATGTTTTGTAACAAAACTTTCGTTCACTTCATACGTTTTTTTATAGTACTTAATATTGTCCTTTCAAGTAAACATTGTCTAATTTAACTATTTGACAAGTAATAAATAAATTAAGTTAATTTAGTAATTAAGTCAATATTTTTATCATATTGTAATTTCGTGTCACATTTTCCCTTGAAGTCTATTTCTGTACTTTCGAGTCCCCTTGTCCTTGTACATACGGTCGGGTATAAATAAATAAATAAACCACATTTACTTATTTCTGTAATTATCTGATTATTATCTCCGTCATTCTCATTCAGTGTCAGTATATTCTTTAATTTTAACTTGTCTCAAATTCCCCATTGCAAAATGTTACGATGAATCGATGAGTATTTACAACAGTTGTTCCGTACATATTGCATCCAGCTTTACTGTGTGGCGTTCACATCCCCCAGATTACTAATTACTATCAAAAGCCACACCCACGCACCATATTTCGGTGGGAATCATCATCCCCAATCCAGTACATACTTCTTATATTATTTTAGTAAAAGCTATTTTTCGTTGCTGCATTATTATCTTCATATTCCGTTCAGAGGGGAAAATCACTCAGTGTATTGTTCAACGGCACAAAATAGATTGGCAGGCAGAAATTAAATTCGTTAGTGCTTAGGAAGAGAGGTTGTGCACTATCAACTCACGGATCTCGATGCCCTTTGGATATGTTGTAATGTCCCATGAATGAAGAAGAACCCCCAAGTGGTTTGACTCCATGGCCATATTTGCGCCCGCCTCACCCACTCAAAGGTGTCCAAAAGGGGAGAAAGTCGCGCTTTCACTCCTTCAAATCCACACTAAAAATCCAATTTTACTCGGATTTTGAAAATCCGTGCACCATTATACTCCCAGATAGTTGTTTTCTTATATTCGATATCAAATTAAACTTTTTTGACGATTATTTCGCAGGCATAATTGCTTTATTTATTACTACAACAATGCTCATTCAGAATTTTAACTTTTTAAAATACTACAAATTTCAAAAAGTTTAATTTGATGTTGAATATAAGAAAACAACTATCTAGGAGTATAATGGTGTACGGAATTTCAAAATCTGAGTAAAATTGGATTTTTGGCGTGGATTTGAATGAGTGAAAGCGCGACTTTTTCCGCTTTTGGGCACCTTTGAGTGGGTAAGGCGGGTGCAAATATGGCCATGGAGTCAAACCACTTGGGGATTCTTCTTCATTCATGGGACACTACAACATATCCGAAGGGCATCGAGATCCGTGAGTTGATAGTGCACAACCACTCCTCCTTCGTGGAGGAAGAAAGTGTTGAAGCAAGATCTCAGCAACTGTTTGCTATAATCACGCCACGACGCTCACGATTATGCTTTTCCTCGTTATTACCCACCCTCGAGTTGTTTACCATACCAGCGTCAAGTCAAGAGCAGGCACAAAGACTTGAAAATTAGCAACGCTGTGGTTCATTAATTTCAACTTGGTGCAAGGCATAAACACGTACGTACTTAGATGATCAACATGCTCTGCCGAGGAGATGCATACTTATTTATCGCCCGCTGAGTACGATGAAATTCATTGGCTAAAAATTACAACGTCGTCAACACTTTGTCATAAAATAAATAGTATAAGCACACGGCTTAACTGCTAATAATAGAGTCTGGCGGTGCGGGTTTCAAAATCATTGATTTGATTCATAGTTGCATATTTAATTAGCCTGGCTTGATTTCCGAGATGCAACAAAACCTTTCCCAGTTTCGCGTTCTCTTGCTTTCACTCAATTTGATGTCTCATTAATAATGTGCTAATAGTTAAAAATTATTTGGGAGCTGATGCGATCGATATCAAATGATGTCAGGGTTGCGTAGTTATTTTTTCACAAGCAGGCCGGGTTGATGGTGATGGTGGCATGCATATAAATGTGCCACGGTTGGGATAATCTACAAAATAAACTTTCACCACCATGCAGAGAGGATCAAACAACTGGATCCCATGCAAAATACGTAAGCTGTCAAACTATAGGGACGTGTTGCGCAATAAAAGCTTTCAACTAAATTCTTGATCCTGCTCCTCTTACAGCGAGAACAAAAACACAAAACCCAACCCACTTTCAAATTTGACAATAAAATGGAAAGAATCTCCTCAAGTGGAACTGGACAGTGGTGTGCAACAGGAACTTTTAGACATGGAGAAACTTTTGCAAAAAATGGAGTTGTGAATACGTAGTCTGCAGACTTAAAATGCAATGCGTACTATTTATATGCATGACATTATCATAGTTCGTTGTATGCAATGTATGGCTGTGACTTGGTGAAAGTGTAGGAAGAAGAATGGTAATTGTTTAATGGTCTCAGGCAGAAACGGTGGCTGGAGATGGAGACGAGGTGTGGGTGAAGGACAACGACGAAGGATAAAGGCAATTATAGTTCGCAGAGATTAAAAGGATCCCGTATTTACTTTCACTTTGATATCGCGACAATCAAAAAGTATCAATGGAGAGCAAAACAGCACCACGATTCGATTAGAATTATGTACATATTGCAAACGAGAAGAATAAATTGTGTATTGCCTGCCCACAGAGTCGACTGTCGAGTTATGAAACTTTCCAATTTGTGTACATCAATAGAATAGTTGAGAACTAATAAAAGCCACGAAACAAATTGTCTTTCAAAATTGTTGGACTGATTTCCATTTGGGATTGTTTATGATATTTGCAATTTCAAGCTCAACATAAGTGCATACGTGAAGCTTTGAATTAACCAAGTTTAATTGGAAATGTATTCACTCAAAGTGTAATAATTGGGGCGATAATATTTATTTATTTAATTAATTAATTTTAAATTACATGGCATTGGATTGAGCAATATGTACAACATCTGAAACTACACGTTCCAAATCAAATGTAGTGCCATTTGAGAACAAAGGATTTCAGTGTCAGCTTGTTGTGCAGATGGGGAGGAGGAGTAGGCGGGGGAGTGCGGACCGCGGGGGGTGGGGGGACATTTACATAAGTAAATGGCATGGTTTCGTTTGGTAGTAGATTGAGGAAGTCATGCTGGGCCGCATGTTTTCCTGTTTACAACTTTGTTCTTATTTTGCCAGGAACAAGGAACATGACACGTTCTTCGTCTTCTGAGCCTGCAAGTCTCCGAGGGATTTTAATTATCAGCAACTTTCACTTTGTGCTATTTTCGAATATACCAACACGCAATTTGTTTGATGGGTTTCACATTAAGTAAACAATCTTTTAGTGCAGTCTAAATATATTTTTTCATGGATGAACTTTTATTATTATTCACTTTTCTCTATCATTTTTAAATGAATAAACCCAGGTATGGAGTCGTTTAAGAACTACAGTAATTACAGTGATCGGTCTCTATCTGCAAGTATTATTCAGACACGTGATACGAACATATTGGGTGGAAAATAGGCTAGGAGCTTAATTGGGTCGTATGCACGTGCAAGACCTACATGCACGTCCCTTACCAAACTTTTCCAAACGAGAAAAACGGATCGGATCACTTTCACCTTGGGAGCAATTCTTCAGTCTCTCTCTTCCAGATATGTCCCAAGTCGTGGTTCTCGTCCTGAGAAGTAGGAAATTGATAAAACCATCATTTTTCTTTGTTAATCTGGCACACAAAATGTACACCAAAAAATACATCAATGAGCTTTTACTTAACTTTCCAAAATATATTTGGTACAATTGGTATTAACGATATTATGAAATCCTATCGAACCTGTCCAATCGTAAATGTATAAAAAAAACATGGGGTATGAGCTTTTGGAATCAGTAATTTAACTTACCCCAAAAAACCTGCGAAGTTTTGAGCAATTTTTCATTTCTCTTTGTCGAATTTCAATTTCTTACTGGTATTTCGCAGGTGGTATAGAAATCACTGCTCATTAGTGCTCATCCCCTCTTGTCATTAGGACTTTGAAGATGAAAACCTGCGGATAATAAACGGAGCAGGTTTCAGATAAATGTAGATCAGAGTTCACGTTTTGCAAAAAATAAATGGTAGAGTCTTGCGCAGAAATATTTGACGTTGCATACGTAACAGCAAATTTCAGGAATAGAATGTGAAATTTGAGACTTGCACAATATAAATTGGTGCTGCAATTAAGGGCTCTCGACCTGTTGTGTGTTATTGTTGTTGTTGTCAATTTGAATGGTTTATTCCTACGTGGAAATAAATTGTGTAAGTATAAGCATCAAGTTCGTTGGTCCTCATGAATACTAAGATTGACGGATTTTGTCATTTTAAGTGGTGCACAATATGTACATACTTCAAAGTTGCAAACCATTGAATAAGTTGCAAAGAATTAATTTTGATGTGATGGTTGTCGGTTGTTGCGAAATATCCTGAATGTATATTTTGCTTTCCCAAAATCTGAAAGTACATAAGTACATGCCTTCAGGTGTACTATAGACACACAGTTGCATATGGCTGGAAGAGCTTATGTGCTTCACATAACAATAAATAATGCTCTCTTAGAAAGTTCGCCTTTGCTTTCTTTCACCTGTAGATGAGAGACATCTACGTAATGAGCATAATCCCAATCTCCTCATATTTTACGTACTATTACATACACATTTTCACTATTCGTTCGTACGCGATTGTCAATTTCTCTAAGCATATTATACAATTTCTATACACGCACACATGTGGTACAAAATATGTCATTTCTCATGCTACATATTTATCTTAGCACTCCAAAGGGTTTGGTTACACCCCAGAGCTATGATTATGCAGTTCGTTGAGCCAGTCACTTCTGAAATGCTCAGAACAATCCATTTCATTTATTTGCAGTGCATATCGATGCGCATCAGTCAGGCATTTCAAAGCAAATTTTTATCTCACTCTCGGAACACGTGTAACAGAGGACGTTTGATTTATTAGAGTTGCTCATGCTTCATAGCTATTTACTTATGAACTAGATTCGTACATAGGTTGCAAATTAGAATTAAATTGAATTCGATTCCCAGGGATAAAAAAGTCATGAAGGTTGAAGTGGTTTCAATTTCGACTTGTAGTGGCGTAGAAAATCTGGTGGTTTCGATTTCAACGCCGAGCTCACCTACACTCATTGTCGTAGAACTTGCCTGCATAATCTCAGGGTGACTCCCGGTACAATGCTGCGAATATGTATGCATCAGATGCCTAATACGAGGTCTGACAATTGGGGGAATGGTTAGTGGCCCAATTTGACCTGCACCTGAGGATGATTACTTCAAAAGAAAGCGTCGTCGTTGTGAGAACATGACCAGTTTTGGCACTCATTCATGAGTCGCCCATGTCGTCTACAGCACTTCCGTGAAATGAAATATTATTCAGGTCGAGGTGTCCAATTTTTTTCATAAAAACGACGTTGACCTCTCCCAAATTTGTTTGGTTGCTCCACATTTTCAAACGCTGAAGACATTGCCGTCTCGTCAATTATGTATGACACTCGATTTAATCTTTGGCTTGATCGACTCTCTGACTTGGACAGAAGTAGGAAATAATGCTCCATTTGGCGAGAAGGGAAATATTCTCGTTGGATTGGAACAATCAGTCACATCGATTATAAACCTAAATACAAGACTTGTACTATACGCAGTGACCCTTTTCTCCTAATGATACACAGCGATTGACTTCCTCGTCATCAACTATTTGGATTAAATCATCGAATTGAGATTGTTCCGGAAATCGTACGATAATTGATAGAACAAATGTCGGCATGCCCCCGTTTAGCAGGGTGTTAGGCACTGCAAGACGCCGAGTGGAGACTATTGTTGTTGAACTGGTTTTAATAATATGAGCGTTAAACCAATGTTATTTTTACTCCAAGAGACTTCTTGTTACATGGAGGAGCACTCCTAATGGAGCAAAGAGGGCTTTAAAATCCGATCAACAAATGTAGTGAAACATTGTGGAAGAGGATATTCAAGAAGAAATTGAAGATGCATCTGGAAGGGTAGCATGGAAGTGGAGAGAATGCGCTGCTGGAGTGCTGCTGCTGGGCCTAATCAGACGACGACGAACGAGAGGACGGTAATAATGGCAATCGTTTAGAAATTTGTAAGCTCACACACAATTATTATGAGAAGAGGAGAAGGAGAGGAGTGCAATTTAGGAGCAACCCAAATGTCTCACTTCACTCTTAAGAGGTTTGTTTATTTGACTAAAACTATACTGTTTTCTCTGCATTCAACTTCCGACACTTTTTACCCTCTCGAGAATGAAAACCATCGTGCGGGTTGGCTGCATAGTTGCAAGATAAGTATGGCCATTCACTGTGTATGTATGTACACATTGTGTAGGAATAGCCAATCTCTAAACACCCAAATTAGTCTCAATCTTTATCCCGAAGTGTGGCAGGATCCATTCCACACTCATTATTTCCATGGGTTGAGTGAGTGAGGAGATTGTAAGCTCTCCAATAAATATCTGTCCAATTTGAAACACTACAATCGCCTCCGATCTCTAAAGTAGGCATTGTTTCCTCCGCTCCTGCTTGAATACTTTCCTCTTTACAGGAAGAACAATACGGGTGCCAAAAATAACTAGACGGAGGAATTGTAACGTAATCCAGGGAGGGAGGAACAACATCAGAGCATTTTTATGAGGGCATTTGTTCACGGAGTTGACACCTCTGCTGCTGCTGATTCGTCTGTCGGAAGGACGGGTGTGCAGCATGACGGCTTTTATCATAAAGTTCAAACACGTCCATTCATTTGATGCATTACAATATTGACATTGTCAACCATACAGTACTTCCTCTCCTTAACCTATCTTAATCCCGACGGTGATGATAAGCGCTGATAAGCTCTCTCCTTCGGTGTGTGTCACACTATTCCATCTCTGTCATTATGATCATCCTTTCGGAGGGTGTGGGACCAACTGTTTGATGCTGTACGCGAGGAATGATGTTGTAGGATGATGAGACAGGGAAGGATTGGTGGGACGGGTTCTGCATGTATTAGATGTTGAGGAGGTCAGTGGGTGCACACCTTGGTTTTCGAGTAGCAGCAGCATTCATTGATTTATGCTACGAAGAAGGTTGCATGACATTTGCTCTCGTTTGTCCCTTTCTTGCAATGAAGTTTAGATGCAAAATTGCAAACCAGGTGCTTTGGAAAAGGTGCAAGAGAAGCTGCATAAGAAAACGTCGACGGGAGGCGAACAGCACACTGTGTGATTTCATGCGAGAGGAATTCTCACTTTCCTCGGCCTTCAACGCGTTGAATTGAAAGATGAGTTTCTGGCCAGATTGTGTAGCCCACCAGTTGCCTCTCGTCTCACTCTCTCTCTTGCACTCGGGAAATTGAGACGTTTCTCCGGGATTGCTCACTCCGTGCATGGTTGGTGGCCAAGTTACCCAACAAACGCCATCGCATCGCCATCATCTTGGTTCGTTGGAGGTCGTCGTTGCAAAGCGTTGATCCAAGTAAAATCTCTCTTAAAAGCTTTCCAGTCCAGTCGTGGAGTCGCATCGGACGGAACAATAAAAGCCGTGCCAGGCTGCACTCCGTCGCCTGAAGTGAGATGCTGCTCTCCATAAACCGAGTCACCCTGATTCGTCACTAGCTTGGATTATTTCATTTCACTCGATATGTGCTCATCATTGTCGTAAGGAAGGGGACACAACAGAGAACAAGCTTGTCAATAAGTACATAAAGATATTGCTCTATGGGGCATTGTGCGACAGGGACGCCTTTTGAGTAGACCTATCTAACTTATCACGAAATCCGGCAGAAGTGCCGATTGTGAAGGACAGCATAAAGTAAAACTGTGTTACAACGAGTGAAAACTTGCAATTTTAATGCGTGAACTGGGGAAGAAACGTTTGGGTGGGAGGCAAAAGTTGCGGCGAGAAATGGCTCCGAGTGGACGAGGCAGTGATGGAGGCAGCACTCTCCAGAAACGTAAGCATGACCTTAGTTGTAGGAGTGAAATGTAGGCATGAGATTCTGCAGAGGTATGAACATTAAAATAATTGTTGATGACGATGCTGGTTTTGCTAGCCCCCCCAACGGAGCTGGTCAAGTTGACGCCTGAGAATGAAGACTTGTTCGTGACGGTGAAGGAGTGTCAGAAGTGTCCCGAGGACTCGGGTTGGTGACAAGTATTCAATATTGCCTTTCATCGAATATAATAATTGATCAAACAAATCTTAAAAAATAGGAATAAATTTTCAAGTTCCTTACTAATAACTTTACAGCCTGTCACAACAGCTACATCCACTCCACGAAGAAGGAGAACTTTTGCGTCTGCTACCACTTCAAACCACTCTACCCCCTGCGGAAGGGAGAATATTGCCCCAGAAACACAGGTACGTAACCGCATACAAAGGATCCCCTCCGTCTCAAATGGCACACGTGTACACGGCGTCATTCAACCATTTCCCAACAAATTTGTGGCTTCACTATGCATATATCTAATCTATGTAAAATACCTTTGTGGAACTTTACATGAAGGATGTGATCGATTTTCGGATAATTCTGACCTGTTTGCCCATATTAGCCTTTAATGCGCTACCGGGCTGACTTACAATTAGTTGTCTCTATTAATGAGTAGTACCCACAAGTACATGCGTATGTAGGCCCATGCTATCTTACATGGGAAGGACAGAACGCCTTGACTCCTACCCCCTTAAATAGATCACATGTTTTTGCATATAGTCCATTTGTTGTTCGTGATTATGATCGTGTCTAAATATCAAATTAGTGCAATCGTCGTCCCACAAGGATGCCTGGCAAGCACATCATAACAATTTTACAGAGTCTATCCATGTACAGGTAAAGACTTTATGCGAATAGCGTCTTATCATTTTCAACTGCTAATTACTTACTTACTTTAAAAGTGCTACCGGCACAAGAAATTTATGCCCTGTTATATTTGTCAGGTTCCCGGAGCTGCTGTGAACGCCACTGCTTCAGACGTGACGACAACCTCAGTGTTTCCACACGCTTTGGTCTCCTCCCTCCTGGTGACCTCCATCCTCGCCCTCCTGCTCCTCCTCGTCTGCCTCCTCAAGCGCAGAACGCTCCAGAGGCTGGTGAACAAAGGCTCGAAAAATAAGGTAAGGTGGACCAACTATTTGTTGAATTTACTTGGGTCGCCCCTCAACACGTGTGTACTGTTTGTATGCATATTTCATGTTTGGTGAGGGTACGTGGTACGTACGTACGTATTGTGTCTCATTTGGACAGATCCTAAAACTCTGCTCTTTATCATCGCAAGAGAAAGAATTCTCGGGAAAATATACAAAATTGTAAAAATAGCCTTGAAAGTGACATGGGTTCTCTTTCCTCAATATGCTGCACACATATAGATATGTATGTACATAGATAGATATACACATGTCCGCATACAAAATTGCGCTAAGAACTGATAGCGATATATGTAGATGTGCGGATTTAATTGGTATTTATATCGAGGGGAAGCGATGTGTGGGGCAAAAAGGATCCCGATTTTTAGATTGAATTCCTCTGTCTGTTGACAACTTGTTGAATATACTGACTGGTTGTGTTTGGCTTGGGTGCAGATGGAGATGATGGACATGGGACGGAGTGGTTTGCTACTCCCCACGGACCGCTTCGTGAGCAACCCGACGTATCAGTCCCCCTGTGTGGACTTGTCAGTTCGCGTCTTTTCCCCCCAAGAAGTCAACCTCTCCGTCCAGATTGGGCAGGGCTGCTTTGGAAAGGTATTCAGAGGTGAGCAAATGAGAATGGTCGCTTATTTAGAAATCTCCTCGGTCCAAGCTCAGCATACATTCCTGATGCATGAGTTGGGTGAAAAGGTCAAACATATTCACTTTTTAAGAGGATTACGTGCTTTGTTGGTCGTTGGCCCAATAGAACGAGCCAACTCATTTTTTGCAATTGCCGGTGAGCGTGGATGGTCATTGTTATTACGTATTGGACATTATGTAATCTGCAAAGCAAGAACACGTCGGATTACTTGCTCCGGCCTGCTTAGCTGACCATGAGGGACGGATTTGGCAGTGAAAGTTGTGCATAACCTTGTTGGTCATTGCCAAGCCCATATCATAATGTGCTCGTCATCAACCTGGTGGTTGGAAAGATTATTGCTTGCTACGCACCTACTAAAAAGACGGCAGACGGGGTTCGGATCGAATCGGATTTTAAAGTGTTCGGATTATGCTGGGTATCTAATTGATCCGATAGAATTTTTCGAAGCAATCCGATCCGACCGGATCAGCTTCGGAAAACAAGCTTGATCCGATCAGACAAAATCCGACGGATTAAAATCGGATTGGATTAGCCGTCCCTACGGGCGGACGTGTGAAAGGGACGACTCGGAAATTAGGTAATGCAAAATTGAGTTCTACCATAACTAATTGTAAGTATTAAGGGGGACCCAAATCGGCGTTATGCAATTTCCGAATCGTCCTTAATCGTGAATGCTTTTTTGGGGTGGGACTAAATTGTTTGCCGGTGCAGGTGTGCTTGGGGGGGAGGCAGTGGCGATCAAGGTGGTGAAGCGGGAGTACTCGGACGAGGCGGTGAAGGAAGTTGAGACGATGGCAACCTTCTCCCATCCAAACATCCTTCATCTCATCGGAATCGTCCAGAGCTCAGGTGAGATATTGTCCTTCCTTATTTTTCCATGTAAAGTAGACCACACCTCAAATGCTAACCAAGATCCAGCAAATCTATAAAATGCCGTGCAATTGCCACTTTATATTCGTGAGCACACTTTTATCCTCGGCTGCGGCGGCTGGTAGTGCGGTTATTTGCACATGGCTCATCGACTGCTTTTGAACCAGGTCACTTCATTTGTTTTCCTGGAACAGCTTTGTGCTGGCGACTGCTTGATTAACTCATTCCCCTCCACACTATCCGAATGCTCCACCCCGACCACCACCAGACCAATCTTTATCTGACATAAAGAGACATGAGATGATTATTAGCATTCATAGGTCGCCGAAGCTGTGGGTTTGGGGAATTGAATTAACATTCTAATATATTTAAGTGGATGGGGCTTGCATACATTAAAAGGTATCTTTTGGGGACGGTATGTCCGCGGCTCCTGCAAGTATTATTCTTATTACGTTAATGTATCAGATCAACCTGCTGCTGATTTCGGGGAAAGCATAATCCACAAAATATCCCGAGGAGGACCATGCAGAGGATGAACGGGGATCATCTCGGAGTCTCCAAAACCACTCACTTTTTGACAGGACGTGTATTTGTGCAAACTCGACACCAGGCCCTGTGACGTGCGTCATATTCTCAACCTCTCCATCTGTCTCTCTTTTGATGTCTTGTTTGCATGGCTTTTTGTTATGTTTTTCTTGGCCACACTCCATTTGATGGCGTGGTGGCATTTTGGCTACCTGGCCGACTCTCAGTGATGATGGGGTCACTCTCCAGGCTTGTGGAAATATTTTCACAAGACGTCCACCAATTTAGCAGCCTCCTCCCCATTTGCTGCCAAGACGGAGACCTTTCTCCGTGTCTCTTGGCTCAACCCGTGCTTTTTCTTACGTGCCCTCCAGTCGGGACTAATAGCAAGTGTGTAAGAGGACACTTTCTTGCTCATTATGGGAAACCTTTGATGTGATGTGTTTATCGTATTTCAGTAGGAAATGAATCACAATAGGATTCTGGCTGTGCATGAACTTGTGACGCTAAACTGCGAATCGCTCAGATTGCTGCTGGGCTGATTTAATACTTGGTCTCCAGTAGCACAGCAATTATGCTAGTGCTACGTTGTAACAGGAAATTGGTCCATAACAACGGATGCAGGCTTCCAGAATTTCAGGGCTTCCGTTACAAATTACACTTGGTCTATCTTTCGTTGTCGTAAGATGTGCTGACATAGACTTCGCAACGAAATTTGTGGCCAATGTGTGATGTGGATAAATGAATCGACCAAATCCAATAAAAATACTTGAACCTGATCACTTATTAGCTGACTATTTATTACATCTCAGCCGCTGAAAAATTGACGCTTTTTTACGTATTTGTTCAAATGCTTATTATATTTCGCCCAAATATGTACATATATAGTATCAGTACATGTACGATGGCCATAAAATATGAAAATACATATGTATGTGCAAGAATTTGTTCGACTTAAATATTTTGTGTGACATAAACATAACTGGAAGCAAGATCCTAAACTTTCAATTAATCCGGTTTGGTGCTGAGAGGGATTAAAGTACGCTATGCATGACCGTAGTCGTCTGCTTCTTCCGCGGTATTCTCTCGACTGGCCAATTTGTGGCGCACGATGCATGCAGATTCGTAGTCGTGATGTGGAATGGACAATCAGTTGATTACCGTTTTATGCCCCTTGTTTATTACGCCACAACTTGAGGCAGTGCAAGCAAGCCACAGCGCGACACGGAAAATATACTCTTAAATGTTCCAAACGAGAGGATGGATGGATGGGTCAGAATGAAAAAGCAAACAGACGGCGACGGCAATTGACGCCACTGCTGCTTGACCACAAAGAAATTGTGGGTGTCGAGTGTCCAAAATTGATTGGTTGGGCGGGTGGGCTTTTATTGATGCTACGGGCAGGAAAAGTGGCGTTGGTATATATTTAACAAAGTAAACAGAGAGAGATATTATTAACTGAAAATCGCTTTCTCCTTTCTTACACAGTATTATCTGTTCGTGACGAAAGGACGACGTAGTAAACCCAAAGTAGACCTAAACTGGGCAATAGCGGATTGATTGATGAGGGAGAAAGCCAGAGAGAAATGAATTTGTAGAGATGCATGGCATTGTCAGGGAGTTGATACACGCTGCAGTATGTACACTGCATACATATTGTCTCTCTTATAACCCACATAATCCATCAATCCGACTTTTTTTCTATTTTTCATGAGTCAGCGTGAGGACGAGATGTTCATGCTCTTGTCCATTTGACTATCTGTAATTGGAGTGCTGTGATTTTGATTGCAGATTTCGATGCCCCCTGGCTCATCTTTGAGTTTATGAAGTATGGCGACCTCGCTGGAGTGTTGCGGAATGGGGATAAGCGAGGACAACCCGTCTCACCTCATGGTCAGACTGGCCCAACTTCGGCCGAGGGACCTGAATCACTCGGAGGGGAGGACGAGGCAGAAAAACTGCATTTGACCAGCGTAAGTTTGCGTTTCTCAGAAATGGAGACTCCATAGGTCGTCAATATACACATATTATTTCATAAGCCTCGCCATTTCATATATTTATTGTCGACTTGAACCTTTTGAGCAAAGTGAAAGCTTCAATCTGAATGTCTCAAACTGGGTTTCACTAAAAACCTTCATTTCTATATGCACTGCACTACATTCTGTTGTTATTCAGGCGTTTTTACAAAGTGTGGTGAAAATGCCTACATTTCCTAGAGTTGATTGGTGTTGCATCCGATCGGCGTAAATAAGAGAAATGTGGGACACCCACCCGGTGTCAGAAGCCATGGAGCACCATTCATGCACCTATTTTAGATACTAAACTAAATTATTTTTCGGCAGCTCTGTGCTTTCTAAGAAAACAATCAGTCGCAAATCAATAAAAACAATCTTGTGGAAAGTTTTTTTATTATTATTTTCCGATGTAAAATGCTCCTACTTACTTTCTCTTGCGACTGATTGAAAGGCTCTTTAGTTTTTGCTTTAATTAGTGTTTTCTTTCAAGGCAAGACACCCCCGGACTGTCGGAAACAACAACATTTAACCTATGCAACATTTCAAATTAAAATGATCACGTTTCTAATTTCCTCGCGTGTTATTGTTTGTCTACGCCAGGAGCGGCTGGAGGAGTTTGCGTCTCAGATTGCGGAGGGGATGAAGTATTTGTCCTCTCAGCACTTTGTTCATCGTGATCTTGCAGCACGGAATTGTCTCGTCTCTGGAGCTGGCATGGTAAAAATATCCGATTTTGGACTCTCGCGAGATGTGTACACCTGCGATTACTACAAGGTCAGCACGTACTATGAAAGCGTATTTATATTGGAGTGAAAGCCGTGGAGGATTGAATTATCTCAAGATTTTCTATGCGACGAAGATCATTGATTATTTGATGCAAAATATAATAATGGAACGTGTGTCCTCCTCCTGGACAGATTGGTGGTTCGAGATTATTGCCGCTGCGCTGGATGGCACCGGAAAGCATTCTGTATGGGCGCTTCACATTGGAGTCCGACGTGTATGTTTAACATTGAATTCTTAAATAATTATTAGAACCCTGGATGTCGGACAGTTGTAAATAGTTTAAAAATCTGTAAAATCTGTCCTTCAAAAGGTGGGCGTTTGGCGTCCTCCTCTGGGAAATTTTCTCGTGGGGAAAGCAACCATATTTTGGACACTCGAACGAAGAAGTGCGCCTTTCAGTCTACTTAATTGAATATGTTGTGTCCATTCACTCAACATACGTACTTAATTGTTACGATATATAATATTAATTTATTTGTTGTGTAAGGTGGTGCAATTAATTTTGGACGGAGTGCTGCTCTGTCAACCTAGCGATTGTCCTCCCATAATTTGTCGCATCATGGAAGGTTGTTGGAAAACAGAACCCAAGGACAGGCTAAAATTTAGCCAGATTGCGCAAAGACTTTCCATCAAAGATCATCCCAACAAGGTAACAGCAAACGACGGGTTAATTGGCACCTCTTAATTGGCTCTCTTCCTCCATAAAAATGAGACAAGCAATTACGCCCCCGATGGGGCTAGAGTTTTTATAGACTCGTAATATGGATGCATGCATATACTACATAATACTGGCGAATGATATATGTGATGCACCTTTTCTTATAATATTGGCCATGCAGCAGCAATGCGATGAGGGGGAGAGGAGGAAGACTGGTTCGTTGGAGGAGAGTTTTCCCCAACTTTCTCCATTCAACAAGTCATCGTTATCACCTCATCATCCGCCCGAAGGAATGGTCGTCAACTCCGGCTACGAGATTCCAAGAAATATTTTAGAGAAGGACTACCTCAAGGTGGTCTAAAAACCATCATGATTATTACACAAGTCACCGAGTCCTGAGCTGTAAGATACAGATATCTTAGTCACTTAATGTCTATTTGTATATGCATGCAGACGTAGAGTAGAGTACATAGAGTACCGATTATGATATTTGAAACGGGTGTTATCTAAACTATATATCGTATCGTTTCCCTTCCTTAAACTCACTTATGATGCTCTCTAATGCGGACGTTGGGCTATAACCTATACATCCATGGCTATAACGATGTGTTGAAAGTAACAAAAATACCTTTATGTATTTCACGGGACATATTATTGACACAAAAATGGGACGGCTAGAAAAAGAAGGGTACAATCAAATACAATTAAATTAGTCAGTTATATGGCATGCACCATTATTAATAGTGGTTTTATTTTCAAGGGCATTGTAAATAATATGTATTTCTGTACTGTATACCGATTAAGCATGTACATGCGTAGTCAATTTAGTGTAAAATAGGAAATAAACTTTATTAATTATCATGGTCATTTCTGCATTCATGTGTCATAAATTTATTTCTGCGGGAGTTGGTGGTAATGGGTGTGTCGTGCTTGGTATGAATGCAACCCATGTTTTCCCATGCTTTCTGGCATCTAAATATAATAACAACGTTATATTTTAATGTCATACAGTTAAGAATAACAAGAATGTCTTTGGTAGATGCTAGGTCAAACCTCCTTTGGTGACGCATCGATGAGCATGGTTTCGAAGACAAAGTCTGGTTGTGGTCTCATCCAACCCTAGCAGATATCCCCTAAAATACACGGTAGTAGGTAGAAGATAGTAGATAGATCAATCTTTCGACGAGGCTTCGTTGAAATTAGGTTAATAAAATTGAGGAAAGGACTCACAGAGATACGACGTCTTTCGGAGATCGGACTTCGGCCGGTTTTGAAGCTCCGCTAGCGATAATTATATTCTGCGTAGATAATTCAAGTAGAGCTATATTGATCTACGGATTATATATATGTATAAATCTATGGAGAGACTGCATGGTGGTTTACCTTAATCTTTTTTGTGCAAACATCCTCAGTGAGCCTATTTGCCGTATAAATCATATTTTCGCAAGGCTCATCTCCATTAAACGATGGTGCATAACTGAGTTCAAATTGGACATCTTTCTCCGCTGCAACTTTTCCTTTCGACCGATTCAAACGGATCTTGTTAATCCAGTGGGGGCCCTCAAAGTCAAAGGCGATAATGTCGAAAATGAGGGTAGTGGAAATTATACATGCCTGTAGGATCAGCGAGAATGATTTTCACATCATACAGATATTCCGTACCTGTCGTTATATTTAGTAGGTTGACAAGGTAAGTACCTGCAGAGCTTCATGATTTGTTGGAATGACAGCAATGATGTCAAATAGTTTGGAATTGGCTTGACCGTTCAACTGAAAGCAATAATTTTGACACTAATAGTAGTCAGGCGCAGTATTTTCCGTACAACGAATGACAGGTCGTATGTAAATTTTATATATGAGCTGTCATTCGCTTTTACATTGTCAAAGCGTTTCATAAAGTACCACAGCTTGAAGATCAGACACGTCAGAGAAGATGACGCTCAATCGCTGAAGTACTCTGCACCCGGGATGTTTTTGCAAGAGTTCTTGAGCCCAAGAGTCTATCTTCGGAGGGGGTAAAAGGCCTCCCCCGCGGAGGACGTGGACGCAGCAGCTGCAGCAGATAATGCTCCTCCCGTTCGCTCTTCCAACTTTCGGCGTTTTCCAGGTCGCTGGCCGCTGGAAGATGAGAGACAGGCCTTGGCCACGACTGGTGTATTTATTGCCACGACCTCATATCCGACTAGTTGAAAGCAAAAATAGCGTGCATTCAAGGACAGAATGTGCAAAGTATATTTAGTTTAAAAGTATTTCAAAATTGCTTATTGACTTACGTTTGAAAGCATGTTCACACACCTCTCTGCATCGGGGCCCAACAGGGATGTTTAGGTCACAATAGGACAACTTTGAACCACTCAACATTTCTATTCGTATTTCGAGTTTGTTATCAGGTGCTTTATAATAATTCAATCAATTATTTATTATACTCATAGTCTGCGAGTCAACAACACAGTCGGAATGAAACACGTGGGAATTATTGGGAATCCAGATTTTATCCCGGGCCATCGCATTTGCAAATATTTGCAATGTTGAAGTTGTTCTTTTGTGGTTTAATTATAATATATACTTAATTGCTCCTTACTTAAATAAAATTAACTATTAGCGTCATGAGTTGCATTGTTATTATATTTATACATTGACTTCAACTGTTCCAATTTGAGACATTTGCAACAAACTAAATATTAGCTGTACACAGCAAAAACTACTTAATTAATATAGTAAATCATGAATCGAACCAAGATCAAGGTTGCGAAAGCATTTTTAAAGTCCCAATTACCTTTGTCAGACATTGTAATTAACGATAGTAGCTCATTAATTAGTTGGAGGCTTCAACGGGTCAACCCTCGTCGTTGCATGAGTGGCTCACCTATTCAAAGACCATTTCAAAACTTTGATGCAACTAGTCAGTCTTGGTGTCCTTGCAAAATATCTGTCCCACAAGTAGTGCAACGTTTTTCACAAACTCACAACAGTAATTATTTAACCTCTCATCAGAGGAAAGCTGATGGCCAACTAACGGAAGAGGAACAGAGAGTATTGGACGAGTTGGAACGAGAGGAAGCACTATATAAAAATCGAACAGTCAATCATCAAGAGCAGGTCATAGATGATGACCTCTACGGCAAGGATGAGGAAGATGCGTCCTTGAAGCTCCAAGAGTCCATTTCCGAGGCCTACGTTCCATTTGAGAATCAACAAAGGATTATTCAGGACGTGATTGATGAGATATGGAATCCACAAACGGTGGATAATACCCACGTCGTATACCAACCCTCACCCGAGTTCTTGAAGAGTGAGTATTTATTTATTTTACAATTACTAGTTATTCTGAGTCTATAAGTTAATTTTCCATCGCGCAGGAGGCAAAACCGGAGTGTTTGATATGCCCGAATTGGTGGACCTCTTACGAAAAGAAAAGTGCGTTGAAGTGGTAACCATTACGATACCCAAAGAGGTCGACTATGCTGACCACATGATCATTGTGACCTGCAGGTATTACCGATATAAAAAGATAAAGGCAATGGACATCACTAATTTCTTTGTTGTTGCTTGACCATGGGGATGAACGACAGAAGCCCTCAACATCTTCTCGCGATGGCCACCTACGTCCGGAAGAGGTTTAAAATGAAAAATCTCAAGCAGACGGACCTCATTCCTCACATTGTGACTCAAAATGGCGTGCAAGGATGGATTGCACTGGACTTGGGAAATATAGTCCTTCATCTGTTTCTACAAGCCCAGCGTGACCACTTCGACTTGGAAATGTTATGGACTGTTGGTCCAATGTTTGATGACCTTTACAATACCAGAGATCCAGATATTATACAGTTACTCAACATGATTAAATAGTAAGACTATAATATGGACCATCCCACTTGTCAGTTTAGGTTTTAGCAGTTTGTACTTTGTAGCATTAAACTAATAGACAATAAGGACCAGAAAATAAATATGAAATTAACAACATACTTTATTCGGCTCTGATTTCTTTTGCACCCGACAATTAATGATTATTAATGATTATTAATTTCAATCATGCATATTGGTGTCGAGTTGCTATTTAAATTTTTAGTCGCCTTTTAAATATAAAAGGCGACTGCGCAATATCTAATTTATATTACGTATATTATTGTATATGTACATTACCTTAATATCGTAATATATGAAGTAATTATATACCGACTTGTATGTTGACAATTATTTTTATGACTGTAACGATTAATTGGAAACTTCTGCAGCGTTTCGTCGTACTCACCGTCGTACTCTCTCTTTATACATTTACAAGTAATTTCAAAAAGTGTCTATGAAGCAGATGATTTTTAAGTGTTACTATTTTTTTGCTTAGCGTTGAAACCCTCCGTAGGAGCATCCCCCTCCCCGCCCAGTCGAGCTGTAGTAGCGGGGACCATGACCTCGTCCTCCTCCTCCACCCCCATTCATCCCTCCTGATGAGAAAAACATTTGAAATAGCTGGTTTGCGTCGTAAGGATCAACGAACGAACTGCCGCCTTGCCCGACATCCAAATCATGTCCTTGATCATATCGGATACGCTTTTTGGGATCAGATAAGACTTCATAAGCTTCACCAACATCTTTGAAATGCTTTTCCTGTTCCTTCTGCACGGATTCAGTCGCCCCAGCATGTCGATCTTTGAAACAAAAAAGCACACTGAATTATTAACAGGACAGAGCTAGATTATTAACTTGATGATCTCTCTCTTACCGGGGTGGTGTAACAAGGCTCGCTTCTTATAAGCCTTCCGAATATCATTATCCGTAGCTCCCTTTGGAATGTCCAATATTTTATAATAATCCTTCCTCTTTGCTCGTTTTGCAGCAACTTTGGCATTATGAATTTCGTTTCTTAGAAGATCTCGTTTCGTGGGATCCAGTTTTAACGCAGCCTATGTTTCGTTGTGTACAACAAAGATTTTAGAAATGACAATTTTAGCATACAGCGTGCATATTTATAGTTTAACAGACAATGAGATATACACAAGAAAAAAAATTAAATGTTTCAATTGCGGTACAATTACTTGTTGAAAGTGTAAGAAATTACCTCAAAGTCCCGTACGGCCTCCTCGTATAATTCTTTTGCATTGTTGATTCTGGCTCGATGCATGTAGGCTTTGTAGTACGCAGTATTAATCTCGATTGCTCGATTTGCGTACTGCAATGCATCATCATACATCCGTTGTTGGTTGTAAATGAGCGACAGATTAAAGTTAAACTTGGACTCCAGGCAGGTCTGCATAAATACATTTTCAATACCACGTGATTATTCATTAAACTACATCTCAAACACTCGGTATCTTGCTTAGATGACGATGACAGGAATGATATGGATGAAACTTACATTTTTGAGATTATCGTCATCACCACTGACGAGTTTAACACACTCCAAGTAAAGAGCTTTGGATTCTTCATATTTCCCTTGGGTATATAGCTCACTGGCAATTTCACGTTGCTCCTTAACATGTTTCACTTGCTATTTATTTGGACACAAGAAAATACCGTGGTCATATATTTATAGATCATGTAAATGTAAATTTTAGTTCGACAAACATCATTGATTTACCTTGTACAGAACCTTTGGCTCCACGGCATCTGGGCTGCGTTGCAGCGCTCCTCGAAAGAACGATAGACTTTTATCCATGTTGTCAAGCTGGTAGTGACACAGTGCTTTAATTACGTGAGCATCCACGTTATGCCCATCAACTGTCATAATATCTCTAAAAATAGATAGTTACATTAGTTTATAAAATCTTGATATGCATTGTATAGTAACGAGTGATCACAAAGTCCAAATGCAACTTACGTTGCTACATCTGCTGCCTCATTGTGTCGCCCCAATTTAGTCAACATGTAGCCCTTGCGAATTTTGTTGTCCATATCTCCGTTGGCAATCTCCAAAACACGATCGCATAAAAACAACACACGCCGATAATCCTTGCGATTTGTGGAAGCCGTCATATCGGCCAGGAACTTTTTAAGGTCTTGCAGCTTTTGTTTTTCAGGTAAGATGTCTGTCATGCCTCTGCACAATTGATCGTACTGCTGAATTGCTGTCTCACACGCATTCACGTCACCCAACGATAGATTTGCTCGGACAATTCGTAAGTAGCTCTGAAAATCGAATGAAATTAATATTAGTTTAATGCGTATCAAGTTATTTCAGAATGGCATGATAAATTTAAATTAAGCAAATGCTATTCACCTTTTCATATGTCGGATCTATCTTGAGCGACTGTTGAGAGTCGTAAAGTGCTTCAGAAAATCTTTTCATCATCATAAGACACGCAGCACGATTTCCATAATACGAAGCCTCGGTTGGAAGCAGATCTGAAGTTAAAAACCATACACAGAATCGTTAGTTGAATTTGAGTTGATGAAGTCCATTTTAAATAAGTAACTTTACCGAGCGCTCTGTTGTAAGCTGCCAGGGCCTGATTGTATTCGGCCAACTTGAAATGATTGTTGCCAACTTTGCGATGATCTTCAGCCATACTAAAAAGGAAAATATTAAATAGAATACATTAGTACTTATGAATTAATGTATACGATGTATATGAAATTGGATGGAATTGACTTACTCCTTCTTTGAAAGTGGAGGAACTTCAACCAACACGGGAAGATCGTCATCATCATCATCTTCCTCTTCCATATGTCTTGATTGATCCTCCACAATACCCTCCACAATGATATCAGAATCATCAGCTTCGGACACCATGTCTTGATCCTCCTCAGTGAGATCAATAAATTCTGGTTCTTTTGTGACGTGTAGGGGATTCTTGAGAACTTGCTGTTTCTTGATATTATTGGGAGTCTTCTTGGCTTCAAAGTTGCTTTCCAAAATTTCAGGTTCATCGTCATCATCGGAATCTATGGAAGAAATCTCAACCCTTGGCTTCCCAACTCTTGAGCTAAATTTTCTTAGATTAGCATCTCCCCCCGGACCAGTCGTGTTGATATCGTCTTGATCACAATCTTCAACCTCCATGGTTGCTGACGCCCCGTCTGAAGAATCTTCTACCAAAAATATTGGATTTACCCGTGCCACCTCTTCCTTTGAGTCTTCGGGCAAATTTGTGATTATTGTGGCAGGATAAAGTCGCTTCTTCTTGCTTTGTTGGTGGTGAGTAGTCCAAAGCACTGTGTAAAAATGAAGTTTGTACTTGAAGGCTGAAATCGTAATCGTAATGTATATTATGACGCCTAGTTACCTTTCTTGTTATCAACAACACCCTTCGGTCTTCTCTTTACACTGGTCGTCGTAGCCTTTGTTGAAGACTTTTTGAAGTGTATATTTTTAACTATGTTGTGCTTTCCTACCAGAGCGTCCTCCTCTCCTTGTGATGTAGTGGCGCAGGAGAGACCACACAAGTTAGTATAGTCCGCAATTGTAACTTTTCGAAATCAAATATTTCGAATATTTCATACAATTTAGAAAAAAAAACTTTTTCGAGGACTCTGATAGAGAAAAAAGAGGGCAATGCAATGTATGCTGCAATCGCAATTTACGAAACAAGAGCCCTCACTACGTTTGCAGGGATTTATTGGAGGCCAAACTTCTCGAGTGTTCTAGAAATTGGTGGAGGACGGAGTCTGTGGATGCTGAGCAGTGACGTCGAGCAGCAGTGATGGAGCCAAAGGCAGAGTTGAATCCCCCGCGCAAACGTCTCACGCGACACGCAGACAGTGAGCAAACAATGGATTGGAATCAAATTTTAAAAAAAGTTCTATGAAAGCGAATCGAGATCAAAACAGACAGACGACCACACAGATTAACCAGATAACCCTCTCGATAACTGATCCCAAAGTCTGACCGGAACCACCAGAGTTGGGCGAAACCGAAGTTGGTGGATCTGCCTGCTATCATGTTGTCGTCTCGTGCTACGTGAAAGGAATAAACTATTAACCGGTATTACTTACTGGCGGCTGAGTATTATATGCGGTACATTTTATACTCAGATTTGGTAGATTTTAGTTTGCACGATTTGGGATGACTTTTTTCATACTTGAAAATTTCCAGTTGAAATATTATAATTAAATGTATTAAACTGGTTTAGATTGTTGATGATGATGACGACGACGACAAGGATGTTGTGATTGAGCGGGTGCAGGACGACGACGACTTGAAAGATCCCTACTGACTTTTGTGGAGAGATGAAATGAAAGGCGGAGGCAACAGCAGTAGAACAATTATTGGCATTGTCCAAATTCATCATCATTGCAACCAAACATTCCGATTGGGTGGTTCTTCTTCTAATAATACATAACATTCACTATTCAGAATTACATTCAGAATCATAATTTGGAAGTATTTGAGAACAAGAAGAGCTCACTCACACACACACAGGAGGAAACTTTGAGACTGTTTGAAATACCTTTATTTAGTACCAAAAATTATAGTAAGGTGTCAATTGCATAAACGCAAGTATGGGAAACAAACATAGTTGTTGTGCCTGGCGTGGAAGTCGACGTAAGAATACTTGCACATTTATACTACATGCTAATAAACATTTAAATGAAAAGTAACCTCACTTGATAAAGTGGCGATGTCATATAGTTAAGAAGTTATTACCATTTTTAAAAAGGATCTGTGACTGAAGGAAAGTCGAATCATTGGCCAAAGGACAACCACCACGAGTTGGACGACTATCCTGGTCATGATCCAGGGCACGAATCCATGAAAAGGGAGGAAAGCGGGCCCAACCTACAACACATTAGTGAGCGAGAACCTGATGATTTAGATCGTGACCCTTCCGTGCATCCCTCGGCTACCACGCTCTTCATTGAAAAGTCAAAGAGAGCTATTCAAAGTTAGTCATAAGTGGAAAAAGAAGCTAATTAATTGTTTCTGGTTACTTAGTTTGGGTTATAATATAATTACTAATCGCAAACTCTCGTATTTTTGCAGATGGCATGATCAGGAAGAAGAGTATGAATCAGGTAAATAGACATACAGACAAAGCATTTCTATTTTCTACTGCCTGCTGATCGTGCATTTAATTGATCTAATAATTAATTTGTTCTAATTGTTATAACTCAGATCCATGATCCTAGCCCATTGAAGAAGAGCTCGTCATGTTCCACAATTTTCCTGGATGATTCCACCGTCTCTCAGCCTAATCTTAAGAATACCCTTAAATGTATAAATTTTTGGTTGTAACCTTAAAGTTACAATGAGGGTATTCATTATTTCTTCGTATCCTTAGTATTCTTCGTATCGTAAAATAACTTACGAAGCTTACGAGATTTTGTAAGCGTCGTAAGATTTTGTCATCGAAAATCACGTTACTACGCTTACGATTTTTACTAAGCTTGACCAGGGTTCGGAAAACCCCGGGGTTTTTGTAGAAAAACCCAACCCCGGGGGTTTTTCCGGGGTTTTTGGGGTTTTTGTGGGTTTTTGTGGGTTTTTGTAGATTTTGGGGCAGGTTGAACCAGAATTCCTAAAATTATATATTAGAGATAAACTAATTTAGTATACAATTTTAACATGCAATTTTAACCGTTATCATTCATTTGGACTTTTACATCGAAAATTCATGTTTGACATGTAAACCTGGAAATATGCAATGACATTTGGAAATTCAAGTCGCAAATGAAAATTCTCAAAATTTCAAGATGAAGCAGAAAAGTTAATTAGCATTGATCTACGTTGTAGTTTAAGGGATTTTGTTTCAATCTGCCTCAAACTCCTACAAAAACCCCGCAAAAACCCACAAAAACCCGCAAAAACCCCATTAAGCATTAGGGTTTTTCCGGAGATTTGATACCCCAAAAACCCACAAAAACCCCAAAAACCCCAACCCACAAAAACCCGGGGTAGCGAACCCTGAGCTTGACCCCTTGTTTTTTCTTCGTAAACTATTTTACGATACGATGGATACGAAGAAATAACGAGGGTATTCATTATTTCTTCGTATCGTAAAATAACTTACGACGCTTACGAGATTTTGTAAGCGTCGTAAGATTTTCTCATCGAAAATCACGTTACTACGCTTACGATTTTTACTAAACCTGACCCCTTGTTTTTTCTTCGTAAACTATTTTACGATACGATGGATACGAAGAAATAATGAATACCCTCAATGAATACCCTCAATATATTACTAATGTTAACTTTTGCATGTCTCTATAGGTTTAAGTCTCGCAATTTACTATCATATTCGAAACCGCAACTCGGAAAGGGCCATGGATATTTTTGACGAAAGGGTAAGTGTTTGCTTACTCACCCTCCAAATTCAGGTTTGTATTTAGTTAGTTACGTAAGCCTGAATGGAGAAACCCCGATTGGCCCCATTCCTTCACTTACATTCTCTAACCTGAGTGTAGGTAGAGTGATGTTCATGTGTCATCATTTCAGTCAAGCACTTGTACTGAACTTGGAGGATAAACAAAGGCTGAAAAATTCCCCTTGAAATTAAATTTATATTTTGGAGTAAATATGGGAAAATCACTTGTGAAAGAAACGATTGTTGATAAGTTCAACAAAAAACAAGGAGACCTGGATAAGGAACAGAGGCAAGCTGTTTATATATGCAATGGTGGTGGGAAGGGTTGTGCAAGTAAAAAAGGACCGTATATGACTGACGATGTCAAGAAATTTAGATGTCACGTAAATAAAGTTCACAAATCTAAACCAGCTAAAGTGAAAGGGTCTAAAATGTCACTAAAATTTAACAAGTCAATTCAAACTCGGGATGTTGAAGAAAAGAAGTTCATTTACGTTTGTAAAGGTGACAAAAGCAAAGCTTGCAATTTCAAGAGCAATAGTCAAGGATCATTTGATTCACACATCTCTCGGATACATAATGCATCGGATGAAATGTAAGTTTGCACAATTACGTATATATATTATTAGTAAGTACTAAATTTACTACATATAATTGTGTGTCATTTTATTTATTTCAGGCGCACAGCCAATTTAGCAAGAATGAGGCAGTTTGCTTCCAGAAAAAGTGCATCAAAGAGCTTGACATCTGCTATAAAACTAGAAGAACAGGAAAAAACTCCATTATTGGAAATAGAAGATGTGACATCTGAGGACGATGAAAATAGTCCATCATTTCAAGAGTTTGACAAGTATTACAATGATCTTGCCGGAGAAGAAGAAATGCATTTACCATATCATGCTACATTTTTTGTTGCCTATTTCGTTCCTGGGACCACTGATGTGGGATTAATGAATACGTATGAAATGGAAAAATATACAGAAAGATTCACTTTCTTTCTGTATTTTGCAACCTCTCGAAAGGAAACGTGCATTCACCTAAAACAAACCAAAAATAAAACAGCTCAATCTCGCCTCGTAGAGTTGATGAACAAAGGTGCTGTTTGTTATCGACAGGTAAATCAAATTAATAATATATCAAATTTCATCATTCACAATTTTCCCGTAATAATGAATGAATACTGTATTCTTCTCGCAGAATTTTGTGTTCAGTGGTCAAACGACTACTGAAAACAGAGAAAATGCCTTTAAATGGCAACAATTTTGGAAGGTGAGGATGAGTAGATGTAACCTGGCCTTTATTCACAACCAACTCATTAAAATATCATTACAGAATGTTAAACAAATGAAGAAACGAGTGAAACCAGATGGAAACACATGCACATGGGAAATTCTGAATCATGCACTCCTGCGAAAAGTTGGGTACACGACGAAGATAACTCGATCAAATTTCCACAAAGCCAGGCGATTCGCAACTCAGAACAGGCCTTTCCTTCCACTTGCACAACATCTCCTTCCAGTTGATCAATTTCCTCAATTCAAGAAATATCGACTTATTTAGATTTTTAACATTTGTTTTGTGTCCCCGTCTTAAAATCGATTTAATTATTGACAACAACTCTTTTCATTGCGTACAAATAAAAATTCGTTATTGTTAGTAGTATTTTTGTTAAAGTTTTAGATGTACGAGTGTAATATGTAAAAAACGTAAGTACTTTCAATTCTAGACCCACCCACTCTCCAAGGATGGCCCCCCACCTGACGTCCATAACCCCGAGCACCGGCAAATTTATAGGTATAAACTTGGAAGATGATAACGACGTTCAATGATTTGCGTTGTTAATAATATTATGAAAGTGCACATGATAAATATCAAGTGGTCTGGGTTTAGCAATGTTCAACCCAAACCATTTTGTGATCCACGCAGTTTGATAGACCAACTCTTTAGAGAAACATTTTCTTTCGCAAATGTGCAAAATTTAGCGACTTATGTTGCTGCATGGTCACAAAACTCGTTGTTTTTCAAAGAAACTGTGTCATATTACTCTCACTTCCTCGTTCCAATTCTCGCACTCCCATGCGGGGTCAATGTCTTCGCGTTCATGCAGCGCCCATAAGTCGCTGAATTTTGCGCAATGGTGAAAGTGCGGAACCCCTTTATAAGTTATTCATAAAGAGTTGGTCTATCAAACTGCACAAATCACAAACAAGTCTGGGTTGAATTCCTATTAAAAATATTTTTGTCGTTGTAGGTTTGTGAGAACTCTGTTTAATGCAGCCCAGCTAACGGCGGAATGCGCTATCATTGCTCTAGTCTACTTGGAAAGGTTAATTAATAGTAATTTAATAAAAGTATAAGGAAAGTTGCATAAATCGTCGTTTTAATAATCAACTAATTATTGTAGGCTGTTGACTTACGCTGAGATGGATATTATGCCTTCAAATTGGAGGCGTATGGTCCTAGGCTCGGTATTGCTGGCTTCAAAAGTGTGGGATGACCAAGCCGTAAGTGAGATCAAAAGTTACTAATAATGGAATATGAAAGATAAGGGAAATAGATATGTGACTTGAAACATCGAGTTTCCTGTCAATGTTGAAAGAGATTATAATAACGCTAATCTATTCCCAGGTGTGGAATGTGGACTATTGTCACATACTTAAAGATATCAGTGTGGAGGATATGTAAGCATTTTTTCTAAATATTAATATAAATATTAAGTACATGGCTGGATGGATAATGCTTATTTCAAGGATAATTACGTCTCTAATGAATTCATGATTAACAGGAATGAGTTAGAACGCCAGTGTCTCGAACTTCTTCAATTCAACATCAACGTTCCCTCGAGTGTATATGCCAAGTATTACTTTGATCTTCGGACCCTCGCCGAAGCCAACGACCTGACTCTTCCTCCCGAACCTCTGAACAAGGATAGGGCAATGAGATTAGAAGCAATGTCCAACATGGCGATGGGAATTCGTGATAAATCCACCGCACCCACCACCCCCGACACGTCTGGCATGATGATTCACATCAACGGCTTTACAAACGGACAGGTGATGCGAAGATGGAACAGCTTGGAAGGAGTGTCCAACGGGTCTAAGTCAAGTGCTGCCATTCTCTCATAATGCACATTTATTAACGAGACGTACCCTTTTTATCTAGCATTTATAAAATAACACCAACACGCACGTGTACTTTTTTATTACTATGTTAAATCAATCGTGTCGACTCCAGTGATTTTGAGACTATTCTTACTATTACTAGTAGCCAAAAACCAAGTCGCTCCGTTGGATGTGACAGGGTGGTACAGTAAAATGACAAATATTACTCCTACGAATTATGTACTTTTACTGTCGTTTGATCACATTAATTATGAGTTTCTCTAGTCTTAACCTGATGATCAGATATGTGAGATGGGACGGCAGACATGTAGGTAGTAGAGGGGGAGCAGAGAGGATAGTCCGCCTGACTATTTATTACGAAACTGACCCGGCTTGTTATTCTGACTCGTCGTCGTAAGTGATTTCAACAATATGATGCCATTTGTATTACTTGTCATCTCTCGTACTTTTTTGATTAACTTTTCCATATTTTGTGTCAATTTTTTTATCATATGCACAAGTACGATAGAACACACAAACTGCTATAATAATGCGACCAAGAAAGATGGTATGAAGCAAGAATGACGATTACCAAACAAGTGAATGCTACCCCAATATTACTCTAGAGATTATTCAAAGACTTTCCACATAATTTTATGAGCTAACAACTATTATTATTAACTATGTATTATTATACGACTATGCTATTTACTGCAGTATGTACTGTACTACTTATTATATATAACTATCAGTTAATGAATGATACTTTTAACATTTTGTCAAACCAGTAACAAGTAATAACCAAGTCTAGAGAATGAGAACTATGATTGAACTATTTTTTAAGTGAAATGATTTGACACTGAAACAAGGTAGAAGTTATACTGAATTGTATGGTGATTTATATTTATTTTGTCGAAAATAAATTTGTAGCATGATTGAATTTTAGCACAATTGAAATTTGAAGGGAAAATTTACATCGAGATAAGCAAGAGAAATGGGAATAGCATTAGAGTAAACTGGGGATATTTATATTACTTCAATACCGGTAATTTTGATGTCCTGCGTGGGGTGTGGGTCCATATCGCATCACATCCTATCGTCTCGTCACTGGTCAGTTACAGAACTAGCAGCAACGACCACCTTGGAAGAGATGGTTACAAATAAATGCATGATTATAGACACAAATATGCATACAAATTGCCAGCAATTGATGAAACCTCAGTTGATTAGACGCAACAATCTCCAGCCGACTCAATCGGACTCATCACGGCCACCATTTGACAAGCAGAATTCTCTACACGCGATGAAAATCGAGAGGGGCACAAATTGCTGTCAGTGGCTGGGGGGACACTACACACCCAACAGTTGTATCTGCACATTTTAAACATTGATCAGAAATTGGGGGAATCATTGACAAGAATTGAGAAATAAAAAATGATCGAAGGATTGGCTGAGAATGAGAAGGAAGGCCAGACGAATGATAAATACCATTTCCCACGCCACATATACTGCTTTTATTATTGTTAGTAAAGTACTTTAAACTTGGGCACTCTGTCTCGCGTCAACTGAGGTTTCGTCAAGTGCATGCATTTAAATATAATTGCCAAGATAAAATGGCACCCCGTCCGCCTTGTGCACCACCGTCCGTCGCTTGAGAAATTATTAATTACACCCAGGATTGCTTGTGCAGTTGTTACTAGTAGTGTGAAATTGCTTTCGTGCAGACAATTTTAGATAGAGGCTACTACTTAATGTGAAGAAAGGGAATGATTCGCCTGACCTTGATTCTGGTTCAACTAAAGCCACCGATAAGAAAGACAAGTATCGACTGGGGCTACCTTTGCGAGAGAGATGCGAGTGGGGGGACGGAAAAGTCGACAGATTGAGATGCACACTTGGTAATCGGACTGCCATTCCATCTTGGTTTACAACATTGGCGAGAACCGTTACCACCCGATATTCCTCCGCAATTGCCTTTGGGTGGGCAGCAAGATGGTGGCATTGGTCGCACCGTCATGAAACACATGTCGCGCTCCTTGGGAGGACAGTTACTGGAACAGCACATGTCGATTTTGGGAGGGGATGGCCACGAGACCTGCTGAGGACAGTCCTCTCGCGGTGCCATGGGACTAACGGAAGTCGGACACTTGAAGCTCACCACCATGGGCTTTGGGCAACACCTAACAGAGAAAGCAGCAGAGAGGTTAATGAAGGTGACCCTTTGGGAGATGCGTTGATCAATGGAATTAGGAAGGAGGAGAGGAGCAGACCTTGGGTCAGGTTGAGGACATGCGGGAGCACAAAGCGTGGGTGGTGGACAACAAGGTGAAGGGGGGCACCTGGGCTGACACGGCTTCACTATTACGCAGCAAGGTGGGAGAGGATTGCAACTACGCACAGAAATACAGTTGTATGAGAGCCATGCTGACCGTGACGTATGGAAATGAATGGATTCAATATATATGCGATGAATCGCTTTTACCAAGGGATCGGGCACTGCTGATTGTTTGGGATTCTGGGTGGAGGAGGACAGCAGTTGTTTCGAAGAGGCCGAACTAACAAAATCCCAGGATTTAGTTACCAATAATATGAATGTAAGCAAGTTATGAACAAGCCATTTTAATGATCAAGAATGTATGAATTGTGATGATGAGAATGTTGTACCAATCATGGCTGGTGATGGACAGCAAGGGCCACAACATGAAGATTGACCTCTGGCACAGGGATCGGGACAATTTTGTGGTTCACAACATGGTAGCGGTGGACAACATCTAATCGTGGTAGCAAACATATCAGAATGAAATAATATACGAGTCAGCCACTCAACTAATCTGCCATTGGAAAAAGTGTAAGGAATTAAGGGGCGGGGTGATTACTTTGGAGGGCAGATGGGAGAGCTCACGACCAAGGCCATCTTCTTGCAACATGGTTTGGGACAGCACGGAGGGGGGATGAAGCACTTTCGACTGGGCTTGATGCAAGGATCTGGGCAGCAAGGCGGGGGACAACACACCTACCATGCAATTGACGCCTGTGAGATAATTCTGAGGGGAAAAGATAATGGTGATGAGGATATTGAGGATTACTTTTGGGAACACTGGATTGGGTGGACACCGAGGAGGACAAGGTGGCATGGGTGCACAACATGGGCCACATGGATCTATATGCAAATGAAAGGTGCGACCGCGTTTATTTAGCAACTCTACCCAAGCAAGTCTAAGCCATTGTGTGACCCTATTTCGCCAAACTAGACATAATGCAGTAACCTGGTTGACACAAGCTCAGCCTGGGTGCAGGACAACACGGACTGATGGAACATGGTGATCCACAACACTGGGGACGCGGGGGGCACAGGGCGGCGTACCACAGGATGAACGGGCGTTACCTCCGCATTGTCCATAGACCTTGCATAAATATACGTTACGTTCACAGAACCACTTTCTTTGATAATCAAAACCAAGCAGCTTTCCCATTTTAACCTCCTCTTCACACTTTTGAATTAGAAAGGATGGGAACGATTTGATGATTTGGGCGACAAATAGAGCGAAAAGGGGAGTAAAAACATAGGAAATAGTTAGAAAACTTTGACCTCCATCAATCGTATCTTAAGACCAAACAGTCATTGTTCTTTCTCGTTAGTTAAAGAAAATTGAGAAGAAGAATGAGTGAGGTGGTGAAAAAGAGAAACTACCAGTACCCGTTCGTAGCTCGGAATAAATGGGGTATAGCACACCTGCCGCCTTTGGTTGCAACACAACTTTTGATAACACGGGTCTTGCATTAAGCTGTACAAATTGCAACAGTTCTGACCTCGCTAAAAAAATTGGAAAAAATTTATTCTAACGACTGCTTGATCTTAGGACGAGGATGATCCCGGACGAGATTCGACGCCATGGAATGAGCAAGAGTGAAAATGAGAGAAGCGCAACGCAGCATGAAAATGTAATGGTTAGGTGATGTGATGATTAGGAGTATAAATTGTTATTTTTTTTACAGCAGCGCAGCGCATAACGCAAATATACATATAGAAAGTAGCGCAAAAAGTATTTTTACATGCAGCATTATGGTGAGCAAGGTGACAAGCGATTTTAATTGATAATGTTAAACCGTAGGAGTAGAGGAAAAGTGACAGAGGAAAGTGGTGGTCGGAAGGACGGGACGAAAAAATCGAGAAGAAATGACAAATGAAATAAAAATTACGAGGACATGAAAACTAAATTTACGCAAAATTTACGGGTTTGATTTTGAAAAGCGAAAATTGAAACGAAACGAGACGAGCTCGTGTGATGAGAAATATTTGCATAGAATATGAATGCGAGCGCAGGGGTAACAAATAATCGAAAAATTTTTTTACTCACGCCACCAGATGATCCACCACAGCAGGACATGTCGACTGGAAATTTGGGAAGAGGTTGGGAGTTGAGAACAAGAATTTGGAAGGTGGAAGAGGAGAGAGAAGGACGATGATGATGGCTGCAATTCCTGGAAGCTACTGAAGGGCTCGCATTTTGAGTCTGACCTTTTATACTCTCGGCGAAAAGGTCGCCAGGAAAATTTAACCAATGAGAAACGTTGTTACAAAAAGTAATCAACCAATTACAGCTCGAGACACAATTTCGCCACTATCATAAAATGCGTTGGCAGGAGAACCAACCAACAAAATCAAAATCTATTCTCGTGGTAGTCACGATTGCTTGACATTTAGTGCCTAGTTACCCTTAACGGTTGCGACAAATGGTCGAGTTATAAATAAAATATTCATTTTTAAAATTATTTTAAAATTGGTTTTTCTCCCATGGACGAAAAACCAATTCTCCAGCCAAAATATTAAAAAAATAAACTGTAACCCACGACAATTTAAAAATGAAAATTCATTTGTAACTCGGGCATTTGTCGTAACCTTATAGATTGATAAAGTGTCAAATAATCTTGCGTGGTAGTTGTTGTGAAATTGCAAAATTAAACTTCTGTTTATATTCGGAGGCGAGATCCACGTCGTTGAGCAAATGATGGTTGATGAGATGTCTCAAAATGGCCAGGTCCAACAAGACCCTCTCCTCCTCCTCCGGCCGGTCGTCAAAGTCTTTCAGTCTGTCCATACGTTTCTCCCAAATATTGAGAATGAGGTCACAAAAAGAACTGTAATTCATCCCATGATTTGCTTTCAAGATGAGTTGGCACTGCTTTTGATCGTTGATTTCAAACCCCTCTGCACAGTCCTTCAGACTCGTCCATTCTGCAATCTCTTGCTTGACCTCTGCTAGTGCATTCTGCAGTTGATGCCAAATGTAACAAATGTTGGCTCCATTAAACCAGTTATGGTTTATAGAAATCACGTCCGAAACGTTCCAAACAACATGAAACCAACCCGAGGGGACGAAAATAGTCTCTCCCGCTTGTTGAACTACTTCAATAAAGTCTTGACCTTCAATGCCTGCATTTTCAGAATTGTATTGGGGATGAGATTGACGGTTGCTCATCTGAAATCGGCGTTCATTTCCTGGTGGGTATAAATGCCATTTCTTTTGTCCAGCTATATTAACTGACCAACTGAATGAGCCGTACACGTCGGCGTGGAGTGGGGTCCAGGATCCCTTTGGACCCAAATAGACAAAACGATAATCATCATCTTTACTAGACGTTTCATTAAGCCAGTCAGAGGCAAAAATGGGGAGTGTCTCATATGGTTTTTCTGGCGTTCGAGTACCAGTTTCATCATTGCCATGATTCACTAGAATGTGCCAGTCCTACAATTAAAATTAATACTGTCATTGCCCATTTTCGAGATATTGTATATTGAATTACTTAAAAGGGAACCTTAAGTACTGTCACATCTCGATTTCCTTTCGGATGGTCTTAATTGATAGATAATTTAATGTAACTAAAACTTTGTCATAGAACATACGGTGCAAAATCACTTTTTGCGAAGCTGCAGTAAAACGTGTAATTTTTCCAATGCTTTTAACATAGATAAGAGCTTTCGGAATAATGAAATGAAGTTTATAAATAATATATGTACCTATCCGCAATTTTGTGCTGATCACCAATATGCAAAAAATATGCAAACATTGGCAAATTTTGTTCAAATTGCTAAAATCTGCAAAATTTTCTCAATTTGAATTTCGTCGTTTTTTTAAATTTTAACAAAATTTAAATGTTCAACTTCTTTTAAGTATTTATGCATTGCAAAAGAGTTTTCAAGAAATAATTTTTTTCTTATTGCAACAAAATTGGCGAAAATTCTCAAAAATTGAAACCATATTGAAACACAGTTTTTCATGAAAAAAATACGGTGACCAATGCTAGTTTATTTTACTTATTTTTCAAAATTGTTGGCTATATTTATTTTAATTTTGGAAATTTATATCATTAGCTATTAACATATTCATCAAAATAACTTTTCCACACCTCGTTCGAGATTTTAAGCTGTTTTGCAAAACCGGAAAGACACTCATCTCGGAGGGACCCTATGGGGTCCCTCCATTATGGAGTATATATAGAACGGCATAAATATAGGATCCTATATCCTATATTTCCTATCCTCCTATCCTCCTATCCTCGTGTCCTCGTGTCCTATATTTATGCCGTTCTATATATACTCCATAATGGAGGGACCCCATAGGGTCCCTCCGAGATGAGTGTCTTTCCGGTTTTGCAAAACAGCTTAAAATCTCGAACGAGGTGTGGAAAAGTTATTTTGATGAATATGTTAATAGCTAATGATATAAATTTCCAAAATTAAAATAAATATAGCCAACAATTTTGAAAAATAAGTAAAATAAACTAGCATTGGTCACCGTATTTTTTTCATGAAAAACTGTGTTTCAATATGGTTTCAATTTTTGAGAATTTTCGCCAATTTTGTTGCAATAAGAAAAAAATTATTTCTTGAAAACTCTTTTGCAATGCATAAATACTTAAAAGAAGTTGAACATTTAAATTTTGTTAAAATTTAAAAAAACGACGAAATTCAAATTGAGAAAATTTTGCAGATTTTAGCAATTTGAACAAAATTTGCCAATGTTTGCATATTTTTTGCATATTGGTGATCAGCACAAAATTGCGGATAGGTACATATATTATTTATAAACTTCATTTCATTATTCCGAAAGCTCTTATCTATGTTAAAAGCATTGGAAAAATTACACGTTTTACTGCAGCTTCGCAAAAAGTGATTTTGCACCGTATGTTCTATGACAAAGTTTTAGTTACATTAAATTATCTATCAATTAAGACCATCCGAAAGGAAATCGAGATGTGACAGTACTTAAGGTTCCCTATGTAGTTAATTATACCTTGAGATAAAGGCACGGCATTGATGCCGAGTAATCGCTTTCTCTGTATTTTAAGAAATATTGAACATAGTTCTGAAATGACATTGTGGTGCAGTTCATTCCCCCATATTCCATCGAAATGTCCTTCGTGATCTCGGTGACTGGCACTTGCACATCTCCTGGTATTGGTAATGAGAAAAGCGGATATTTGTTACACACATGATATGAATAATTACATTGTGTTTTCCTGTGTTGCATGCAAACTTTCCTCGCAATTTCTTGCCTCGTTCAATTCAATACACCATTATATTCTGTTATGTACTTACGATAAGCGTCTATGAGGTATTCAAAATTGATTTCCCCAGAGGAAGTGACCCAATTTCGCATTGCTGGCCACTCCTTCATGACTCTTGCTGGTCCTTTGACAAGACAAGGCCGGTTTTTAAGCAAAAATGTATTCCAAAAGAAATGAGGACACAATTCCGGGCCATGCACGTCCTCACTTTCAAATTCCACCCTCTGGATTTCGAGGGGGGAGGACGTTTCATCACAATTGTTCAACGTGGGCAGTTCGTAGCTGCAAATTGGTAGAAGCAGTGACATGACAATGGAGATGAAGATGAACAATGACAACAAAAAGCAAGTACTTATATTTCAACCAAGCTCGAATGTACAGATAAAAGAGCACAACTTGTACCAACAGCTGATCCAAATTACGCACGCACGTGGGTCGAACAGCAACACAAACGAACGTTAACAAACGTTAAACTTTCAACGTGCATAAGTGACGCAACAGAAAAAATATTGAAATCATATCTCAGTCGTCAACAGACTGCATTGATAAGACGACATATGGCAGCATCATTACAGAAGGTGAAACTTGGTAGTAAAAAGAAGCTCCCGAACATGGAGGTGAGAGTACAAAAGAAGGAGGGGAGAAAAACGAGGGGCTCCAGAATGGTTACGACGACGATCGAAAGGCATTCACCCCCTTCCTCGTCCAAGGAGGAGTCCTTGGACGACATTGTCGCTGACAAGCTGGGACAGCTAGCCCTTAACATGGAGAGTAATGAGGTAATAAATAAGTAATAAGAATTATTCTGAATATAAATACGCAGTTGTTAATATAATGTATGTACATAGATTCAAGACGACGAGACTAAATTGCCAAATAATGTCCTCTATTACGCCTGGTTTTTCAGTAGCAAAGTTTCCCTTGCCCTGAAAGAGATTGCAGAGCGTTATTTCCAAGAGTGTCTCAAAGTGACCCAGTTTAAGGAATTTATAAACAACGCCTGCGAAGTTCATGGAGTCAAAGGTAACAAACAACATTGAATGAATACAATTCCATATCTCAGTATCAGGCACGAGTCGTTATCTTCCATACAGACCCTGAGACATTCTACAGACATCCACGAGTAAAATTCAAGTCGGCAGAAGAGTTTATGTTTCATGTTACGGCAAAGTTTCTCGGACGCGAGTCTCATGTCGAGTATTCCACACTTGCAGCACGGTTCACAGGGAAAAAGTTTCACATAAACTTGGTCGGATTGTTTTTTACGGAGAAAACATTTGGAATCCAGGTCGAGTTGACTCCTGGCCAGAGGAAACTCTTTGATGAACGTGATGGGGGGAGTGGTGTGACTCCCGTCTCAATTACTACAAATTCTATTGCTGCTGCTGGTGACTATTTTCTGAAATCAACCTCTGTTCACCCTCCAACCCTAGCTACCACGGAACATGAAGAAGATGCCGTCCGCCTCTTGGACCAAGAGTTAGAAGAGACGAATTCTAAAAGTTATATGTCGGTCAAGTCTGTTTCGGAACAGGGCGACAATAAGACATCCTCACATCATCTTCATCGTGGACCACGCCTCTTAGACTTAGAATGTGATGAACTTAAATTTGTACCTGTCGAGAAAGAATGTCATCGGTTCTCTATCAATTCCCGAGCACATTGCACCATTGGCTGTGCTCCAAAAGTCAAACCTATGCAAACGGGGGTTGACCTTTTGGACATACTCGACCTTGAGCGGAGAAGTAGTGACAAATGCTCCAGCAGCACCAGTGTCTTCGTTCATGACCATCTAGTGGACGGAGGGACGTTGAGACAGTTTGGTCGCAAAGGGGACGCCTTTACTTTCTATCCTTGTCACAAAGTCGTGGCGGTGGGGGTTTTTAATCATTTTATTTGACACATAAAACTAGGGAGGATACTAAATGAACATACTTTCAAAATAATTGTTAAAAGATGAATAAATTCAATAAACTGGGGATGGGTGAGAAGTTGAGGGGATTTTTCTACTGCTGCTGCTGAGAGTGTTGACTCGCACTCTGCCCTGTTGTTGATTTCGCTTCTGCTCGCTCCAATTCTTCAGAAACCAATTTTTTCAGCTGCGGAAAAACCTCAAACTTAAGTTTGTTCCGATACTGATAACACAATAAACAAATTATTGCTAAAAATTTGGCATTCCTACGCCAACCTCTCATCATGACGTCTGTCTTTTACTAGTTTTGTGAAGTGACAATCAACAAGGCCGGTGATAGAGGGCAAACCAACTAAAAATCATGATCGTGTTCTCATTTTTTGAAAAGTCACCGTCACGGAAGGTGCTTATTTTTTGGTCCGCATTACTATTAGTCCAAGTTAGTGCGGAGAACACTGGTTTGGATGGTGGAGAGAAGAGAGGAGTGGATGAGGGGTTGCCTAAGGACTTTAACTCAAAGATAACCACAAATCCAGCTTGTCAAGCAGACGTTGTAAGAATTTGTGGAAAGACGCCGGAAAATCTCCCAGATCTGGATGCACTCGAGTGTATCCTTAATCAAAAGGTAATTACGGCAATTTTGTATTGAATATTAGTGCATTCAATTTCATGAACTTTTAATCAATTCGTCCAATCCATGCTATCATAGAGAACCGCAATTGATGAAATCTCGGACGCGTGCAATAGTGCGTTGTGGCATTACCGGAAAAATATAACCGAGGAGGCTGGGTTTCTTCAATTGTCGGATAGAAACTGTATCGAGGACTTTAAAAAGACAGGTTGCTGGACGCCAAGTGGACGACGTCAACCTGGGTTTAACATGGTCAACTGTATCATCGACAACAAGGATAAAGTAGAGAAACAGCGATGTCAAACTCTTGTCACGAGGCTTGAAGGGGTTATCTTTGGAGATTACGAGATGATTGGGAAGTTTGCCACGGATTGTGAAGATGATATTGTTAGACACAAATGTGGGAGGAATGAGTTAGACCATGCTGCGCTAAAGAAGGTGAGCAGAACGCGAAATAAATAGTTAAATAAATACATATGAATAATATGGGTAACGTTGCAGACTGATTAATTTGTTCTATATTCACTCAATTTTATTAGTTGCCACATTCCCAGGGAAAAACTATCGAGTGTTTGTCGGATAAGATCCAAGATTTAAATAAAGAATGTCAACTCCAAATCTTAAGAGTGGCAGAATTGCAGAGTGACGATTTCCATTTGGACAGAGCATTATATTTTGCATGCAGAAGCGATAGAGAAAGGTGAGCAGTTTGGCCAAAACTAAATAAATACACAGTAATATCTACTCTGTCTAAAACAAATATCATCATCATCAAATTACGATCGGTCTTGATACTCTGGTAGATTTTGCTCTCGCGTCGAAGCTGGAAATGGTCACGTATACAAATGTCTGCTTCGCCACAAGCTCGAGTCTGAGATGAGCACGGACTGCAGAGACCAGATCTACCGTCGTCAGAAACTAGGATGGCAGGATTACAAAGCAAGTGGAATTGTTGGCTCATGCCGAGATGAAATAAAAAAGTACAAGTGCCGACGTCGTGTGAGTTCGAGTGACAAGCCAGTCCGCCTCTCACAAATCTTGCTCTGCCTGGAGAATGAGTATCACAAGGGACAAGACATTGGAGGAGATTGCTTGGAAGAGATTAAGCAACATCGAAAGTCGCTAATGGAAGACTACAGAGTGACTCCGGAACTTCTCTCAGCCTGTATGGAGGACAAGGACAAGTTTTGTGCTGAAAAAGGGATTCACGGGAAAACGTTGCACTGTCTTATGGCTCATGCACAAATGAGACAGGACGAGGAACGGCTAAGTGACAAATGTCTCGTTGAGGTATTTAATTAATTTCGCATCGTAGCAATATATTCAATGTAAGGCATGAAATGTAGCAATCTCTTTTGTCATCATATTGTGCTTTGTCTCACTACTATTTTTCTAGTTGGAGAATTTATTGAAGATGTCGGATGTTTCAAGTGATTGGCAAGTGGACCCTGTGCTACAGCAAAACTGTCAACGAGTTGTAGACAGGTAAGGCGAACTTATTTAAACAGTATAGTGATTATTTGATGGGAAAAGTCACGATATCCTAATGTAACATTATTGTTGTTTTGAACATAAAAAAACTTATTATTGACACAAATGATATCATTTAATCTTATAACCCAATATAAATTGATTAACAAGATGCGATACATCCAACTGCTTTTTTAAAAGAATTAATGATTGTATTTTTGAAAATCTTACATCAATAGTAGTTCCTGCTCCAAATACCAACCTAGTCGAGTTCTAGATTGTCTCTTTAATTTGCTCACAACCGAATCTGGAGCGGAAGCCAACATCATGACGGATGACTGCGAAACGACGCTCATACAAATCCAGTTCTTTATGGCGCGCGACTTTACCATGGACTCTCTGTTATACGAGACTTGCGGAAAAGATGCTGCGCGTGTATGTGGAGCCAAGGCAGATTGGTCCGACGACCCCAACAATATGGATCCTGCTCGAGGCCCCATAATTCTGTCCTGTCTGTTCAGAAATATTGCTACTGAAGATCCATCCAAGATGGTGAGCAAAAAATGTGCTCAACATGTTCGAGAAACAATGCGTCAAAGGGCCTTGTCTGTCCATCTCCTCCCTGAAATTGAGGAAGCATGCATGGGTGACCTAGCGGAGCTTTGCAGTGAGAAGACTAAGGCAGGAGAAGAGTTACAATGTCTGCAAACACATCTGGAAGATTTGGAGAAAGAATGTCGTCAAGCGGTGTCAAACTTTACTGAGTTGGAAATGAAGAACCCCACGGTGGACCCATTCATATGGAGACATTGTCGAGAATACATCGAGGGCAAGTGTGATGGAGACAAGTCTGAGGAGGATGACGTGTTGGACTGTCTCATTGACTTGAAACCCGAAATGAAGAACAAAAAGTGTAGAATCAGTATTGAGCACTTGCAACTTTTGAAGCTCAAAGAAATTCGGTTCAGCCCGAAGTTCAAGTTGCAATGTCAATCAGACGTGATTCGATACTGTGGTGGGAAAGATATGCAGCCATTGACGTCGTGGAAGGTAAATCAACGTCGTATTAAGAACTTCTGACGCGTCTGTATAAATATAGTTATAAAATTACAAATTGTGCTGGCTTATTTGTTAACAACTACATACGTGCAGGTTGTCAATTGTCTAAGCAAAACTATTCGGGATGACATTGTGACGGAGAACACACTTCGAGTTAGCAAGGGATGCAGAAAGCAGGTTCGAAACCTCTTGTTAGCAAAACTTCAGTTGGAGACTGGGATATCTGATGCTCAGTCCATATACAAAATGTGCAGGTACGTACGTGTTACACTATTAATACTAACGACGATAAAATCAACTACTCGTCATAGTTGTGATGCATGATTGATGATTTTCATGTTTTGTTTGCTCACATAAATTCATAATAGCAAGTACATCATGGACTTGTGCTCCAGCGTCACACCGGGAGGAGGCCACGTGCTCGAATGTCTGAGAGATAACTCTATAAAAATCCCTACAGATTCTGACTGTCATGAAGCGTTGTTTAGGGTGGAACAAGAAACGGATGCAGATTCCAAACTGGATTTGGTGCTCAACTCGGAATGTTCTTTGGAAATGAAATTATTCTGTAACACTAATCCGGACAATATGCTCAACTGTTTGAAACTCAGTAGTAATAAGGAGGTAATACTATACATTGTAAATAGATGCGCTCTAGCCTCTAGTATAACGGCACTGTTGTTGTTCTTGTAGGGATTTAGTGTCAAGTGTGCCAGAATTGTGCGAGAGCGAATGATTGAACAGAATACAGATTCCAGATTGAACCCACGTCTGCACAAATCCTGCAAGCTAGACATGAAAAAGTTTTGTCCATCCGTTGCTCCTGGCCAGGGGCGAATTCTGGGATGTCTCAAAAATGTATATATCAATCCAAAGAACCGTTTGACTGACACTTGCAAAGCATACATTGAAGAAATATTGGAGCATGCGGCAAAAGAGGATGTCAAGTATGATGCTGACTTGTATTCATCCTGCACTATTTACGTGAGTTCCTACATAATATACAGATATCGAAATCGAATCATATCTGAATGTGTATGCCGAGTAGTTGGCCAAACCTTTATTTTGAGGCAGAATATGCTTTTTGTAACGTATATAACACTTATTTATAGATGAAGCAATGCCAATCAAAATCATCTAATGACGATGAGGCAGCACCAGACAAGGGCTACACTGAAGAATGTCTCAAACAGTTATACCACGATGGCAAGATATTGGACAAAACGTGTAAAAACAAAATTGCTGTACTAATCCAGTCCACTATGATCGACATTCACGTGGATCCCACTCTCAATCGGGCATGTGCAGTCGACCTAGTTAGACATTGTGAAGGAGTGCCACCAGGAGAAGGACGCCGTATGTTTTAACCATCATTATACAATAACTATACAGATCTACATAATATATCAATAATGCTGCGGACTATATGGTTAGTTATGTATTATTATTATTAACTAATGTGGGTGCGTTCTGTTGGCCTTCCTTCTAGTTTTGAAATGTCTCTTCGCCCAACTGAGTGAGGAGCAGAAGGGGACAGAAAAAACCTATCTAAGTGAAAAGTGTAGAGATATGTTATCCAAAAGAAGCGAATTATTTCACATGGCGGACGAGTCAAATCCCATTGGCCGAATGGAATCTCTTGTAGACTTGGTTGAACAAGTTCAAATTTCTCCTCAGCGTAATTATTTGTTGACGACGGGAATGAGTGTCGTTGGTCTCATTTTTATTTTTGGCCTATTCTGCGGAAGAGCGACCAGCAGACGGACGGCGGAAAAGAACAAGTAGCAGGGAATCTACTACTCTTTTTAAGCCCATGTGTGTCTTATCCAATTCAACGCCATACATCCGAAATGATCCGACCTTTACCTTACCTACCTACCAATTATCTACATATGTACCTAGGTTATACATACATATGCTAGGTTATCTACACGCACATATATTTACTTAGACATAATATACATAATTGTTCCGCATTGTTTGTGGGACAAGGAAAGAAGAAAAAACAATCATAGTCACACCCTGCTTTTATCTGTCTGTTAATAATCATACTAATAATAATTAATGATAAATCGTTTCCGTGAAATTGGATAAGAACAAATAGTGATAAAGAGATTTGGGACTGAAGTCAAATTGTTCATAGATATAAAATAATTGATGCGTAATTTTTCACAACGTTTTTATCCTGATACATACTGTTACACCCCAATTTTTCTATGTGCATAACTCAATGAAGCCTATTTCCAGTGTCGTAAGTATGTAAGCATGTGATACAGATTTGGATGTTGACGGTTTGCTGAACGTTGTTTCGACCTCGTGAACTTCTGATGCAGCTGCTTTTTCCAGAACGATCATGAGTTCTAATTCTTTAATTAATTAAAGCAGATTTTACTTATGTATATCCTACTGTTTGCCGAGTCATCATTATTCTCATTGGATACAAACGCAAACCATCTTAGGTAATCGTAACTTAATATGTAAATATGTATGAAATGATGAATCTAATCAAATATGGTTTTTATTTAGCTAATAATTTATCAATATGGCTTTGGTAAATACAATATATTTCTCTTGAATAAAAATCCAGTCTTTTAGTGTGTAAGATCAAATACCCAACTTGTCTCATTTTTCGCCGCTTTCGGACGCATTTTCATAAAAACTAGCCAGCGCAATACATATTTTAGCCTTTTCATCCAAGAGTTTGTCTGAGTAGCTCATCATATGCGGCGAGTTCCTATTAAGGAGTTCATTAATGTTATACCACATGTATTGTAATAAAAAAAAGTTGAACTGCAACTGTGTTAATACCTGCCGAATGGCATGAGCCTTTTCCAAGTCTTTCTTTCTGAAATATGCAAGCAAGAGTGCTTTTTTGAGACTTCGGGTAGGCTTTCCACTTATCACAGCTTCTTCGTGTAGTGCTTCAAGTTCAGATACCGACTTGCCCTCCAGTTGTTGAGGCATGATTTTCCTGTATGGTGCGTACATTTCTACTTTAGGGGAAAGAGCTCCCGAGGTAAGCTGAGCAATAAGGTTTGCAAGTTCTGAAGTCAGCTCATCCCCCAGTCTCATTCGAATCAACTCCCCACCACTGTTGGACAGCCCGATGCCGCGCTTCAAGAGCTCCTTGAATATCGGCAAAATGAATTCTGTCTTCTCCCTGCAACGTTCCAATATGTCCAAGACCATGTGACCTGCGGCCTCTCGAGCATTGTCTTCACCATCCATACTAAAATGTTATCAATCATTATACCGACAGTGTGTGTAAGGTCTGCCGTATAAGGCGGGTACAAAATTGGTTACAGTTAATCAGTACCTTGCTGTGCCGATAATTTGGACAAATGTTTGTGCATTTCTATCTCGAAAGTAGGAGTCAGCTATGGTTTTACGGAGTTGTGCGTTTGAGAATCGCAGGCGAAATTGTTGAGCTATTCTTACAGAATGTATACATAAGCTTGATTGATAGGTATGCACATGTCGTTGTGAAAGTTGTAGCTTTACCAAACTGGATTGCCTGCTCGATATTCCTTTCCGAGAGCAAGTATTGCATGACAGCAGGGACGAGAACGACGAGTGGCCTTCCCGTGTGGGAACCTAGTTTCTCCAATATCTGGGCAGGTGATCCTTTTGATTTCTTAAACAGGGCTGGAATTACATAGTCCCTCAGGGTTTCCAGGCTGGGTGGAACATCCAGATATCTCATGTTTTTCAGCCCGTCATACACGTCTACAATTTATAAATGTGTAATGGATAAGTAATAAATATAGTAACACACTGCAATATTCCAAGCCCGAAACCCAGCGTAGAGCGTCTATAGATCTCGCCTGTTTACATCAAACTTACTTTTCTCGGATCGACTCCCAGCAAAGACAGGCCAGAAAAAGTGTTGTCGGATTTGAGCCCCCGTCTCTTTGTAAGCATCCAGCAGGTCAAAAGCTTTGTTAAATTGCTGGGTTTGAAGGGCAATGTCACATGCCTTGGAAAGTGCATGGTTGTGAACTTCTTCGGCCATCATCATTTTACAAAACTTGATGATTTGTTCAGGCTCCTACGATTAAGGTAATTGGAAATGGTAGTGTTAGTTAGTTATTGTTGTACCACAGAATCATTTAAATCAAATACACATACCGAGGTCTTGACAAGTTGTTGCAGAAAAAAGTTGCCGGAAGGCTGGACTTCATCGTTCCAAACTATTTTCGACATTTCTTTCAAGATTCTACTTGTTAATACATACATATTTACTACATTGCTAGAATAATGACGAAATGCACATAAAAGTGAATAGTTGCCTGTAAGCACTGTCCAACTGGCCGATGCTAACTAAGCGTAAAACCAAGTTTGTTGCATCCTGGTTGAATCCCGTTCGCTTTTTCAGCAGTGGAAGCACTGACTCTACCAAATTATCATGACCATTTGCAATCAGGGTGTAAATGACGTCCAAGTAATCTTTATCAATGAAGAATACTTTGCGTTCGTCGCACTCCTGCATACATTTGGATACAATCCGACAATAATTATTCGTTATTGTTATACAGAGTGGTGACGGCAAAAAGATTAGTATTTAGTTACCCGCACAATCCGGTTTACGTTGTCCATATCTCCCTTTCTTGCATAGCCGCACATCAACTTAACATAGGTGTCATCATTTGGCTCCAGACCGGCTTGTCGCATAACGGGGATCATTCCCTCTGCACTCTCCATGTCACTATAATATTGATCTTATTAATTGGCGTATCACGCAAATTACTATAAAACAGTTTAAACACCTACTCAGCTTTTGAATGACCCTCAATGAGAGCATTAATAATTTGTTCGTTGATGGGCAATTGTTTTTCTTTCATGTGTTGGAGAATCGTCGTCGCACCGTCAATGTCTCCCTCTAGACAGTATCGCGCAATGAGACGTTGGTAGGTGACCCTGTTTGGCTCCAGCCCTTTGTTACTCAATTCTTGTAGAAATTCCGTGGGGTTAAACTTTTCTTCATTTTCGAGGTACACTCGGAGTAAGGCATTGTAATGACTGATGTCGAAAGGAACATCTGAACTCAAAAAGGAACACAACCATTATCACCATTTTTTAAATTCTATTCTTAGGACATGATAATACCAACCACAAACGAACGAGAGTTGGGTTAAAGTTTTTCCTTATTGGAACTCACTCAACATCTCCATCGTCTTCCAAACTTCTTGAACCAGTTTCGTTCTATTTTCTGGAGTTTCTGATGGAACGAGTTCACCACAACATCGGATCATCATTAGACTCTGGTTGCTTGTGGCTTTTCCTACAACAAACATCCAAATAATTAATCAAATCAGATGATAGTCTCGAATAGGATGCATTATACTATATGGACTACATACTCATATCCCGAATGTCCTGAAGAAGCTCGTCAATTTCCTGACGAGCTACCCTCCCTTTTCTTCTAATCTCATGATCCAGACGGAGCAGGGATTTGTCAATCTCTTCATGCGAGTCGGCGAAGCTGAACCATGACACGTTAGTTAATAAAATAAAGTAATTAAGTAAAGTACTTTAATAAAGTAGTTAATAAAATCAATTGCCCACAGAATTAATTAATAATTAATTACAGACGTCGCTTACCTAGCCATGGCCGCGGTGAAATGAATTTCTCGACTGAGCGCTGACCGGTTATCTCTCTCCACTACTCCTCGACGAATCGCCGAAGAAATGACCACAAGGGGACGATTAACTCCGGCACTCGCCTTGCAAATACTTCTTACGGCACATATGGACCTCAACATCTCGAGGCAAGTCTGGTCGGTCGAACTTGCTTATTTATTATGCAGCTAAACTTATTTGTGATTGAGATTTGACTAGCACAAAGACCAGCAGCAGTAAGCACCACAGTTAATTAAAATAAAATATTAGCCGGTAGTGAAAAGCGCGTGGATTGAGTAAATTTTTGAGTGGGGAAAATCACATGGTTGCAAAGAAAGAGGTAAAATGAGACGCCATCGTTGCGGGAACAACTCTGTTTATTTTAACGAACGGGCCCTGGTTGAGATTTTATTTTCATTTCAACAATTTTTTATATTTTAATTTGCACTCAATCCGAACCGTTTTTATCTTATCGATTCTTACGATTCTTATTGTCACGTATTCCGCGAGGCATAAGAGGCAAGGGGAGAAAATGCCGCTCGTGTACACCAAGGAAGAAATCAAAGCCTATCTGGCAGATCGGGGTTTTGATGTCAATGATGATGAAGTTATCAAGAAATTTATTCATGGTATAAAAATTAATATGTAATACAAGCCAACGAAGCAAGTCAAGTCATATTATCATGTTTGTTATTTGCAGATCTCAAGAAAATGGTAAAGTATGAAGACAGACAGAGACGACGGGTCAAATTGGGTCATGATCCTGTGGACACTAATTTGGAGTCTTCAGCACCGTCGAATCATACTGCGAATAATTCTACATCAAATATCCAGGATGTGAGGCCAGTTAGCAGCAGGTCTATCGGCGTTGGAGCTGATCATGTTGCTGCCCGTCACGACAAATCCGAGCCTTTGGGACCAAGTAGACAACGCAGCAGAGATCACGTAGTAGAAATTCTGAGTAGAAAGGAACCACCAAAGCTTGCTTGGGACTCGGAAGAACAAATCCCACACGATGGGGTAGATGGAGGTGGTAGTAGATTTCTCCATCGACATAACCACCCAAATGTGCAACTAAATAGTCGTTCGGAACTCAATATCCGTTCTAAAAAGCAAACACAGGGAATTCGTGGGGACCAGCAAATGATTGGAGAAGATGGCGTCAGTAAGGAGCGAAATATTTACTCAACATCACAAAAGAAACCAGTTGATGAGAAGAGAAGACCTGCCACCGCTGCTGGTACACATGGGCATGGATTACTAGTGGATAGACCTTCACAAGGAGGGGGACTTGCCACACAGTCGGCAACAATGCCACGAATTGGGAAGGAAAATGAGGCTAGCCATGACGAGACTTCAGAACTCTTGTATCTCTTGGGCGGTATGTTGGGAGAACATGACAATGAAATCGAGTCTGTTTCTTCTGGTAAGTTATTTCCTCACCCTCACACCTCGTAATTTAATTTTGTTAATGTGCAATAAAAATATGTCACGTCTGTCCCTCCCTCATCAATGTCAGGTTCATGTTCTAAAAAGCCATTCCGGGGACCTTTGAATGCAGTGAAACGAGATCCAGTGGCCTTGTACTACTATTACAAAAAGTTTTGGGATAAGCAGAGTTTTCCTGGAGAGAACCGTCACATGAAGTTACGCTGGTGCGTTGTTATACATACACACACGATCTCATGATATAAAGGTTTAAATATTGAACCATGTGTTGTTGGTTACAGGAATGTTCGGGCACAGACCGTAGGAAACTATCCATGCATTGATGGGCACCCTGTAAAATATCTGAGGTGATGATAAACCACAGGATACTCACAGAATAATCACTACTAATGGTCTAGGTTAATTAATTAGCTTCCTTTGCTCATTTAAAATTATCTGTTATCATTTTATTTGTCACCGTACTCTTTACCAATAGTTCGGTTGTCCATTATCAAAGGGGGGCTTTTGCGAGAGATGCTATGGTCATTATAATACTCGTATCTGTGTAAATATGTGAATAGCATATATATTATGAATCTCAACTAAAACTACTTGTATGTGCAGCGAGTGAAAATTAACATTTGTTGCGCCTAAACCACTTCATGATGTAAGAAAATCAGTTTTTATTGTGAATAACAAAGTTTTTAAATATAAAATATGTTAAGATTCTGGCATTTCTACTTGATGCCACTGCATTATTTAATGAAACTTTACATTGTAGTAATAATAAGATAAACTTCCGTCAATCTGTCACTATTGGCATACGGTAAGTTTTCATGTCGAGCTTGAAGAAGAGGATTCTGATGATGAGCTAGAAGAGCTGGAAGAGGACGAAGATGACGATGATGTGCTAGAAGACGATGACGACGAGGAGCTAGAATCTGAGTCCTCTGACGAGTCATCAGACGATTTATCTTTCATGTGTTGCAATGGGGGGACGATGGCTGTAGGCTTTGGGGCCTTCTTTAAATGTTCTCTCAGCTCGTCGCTAGAATGGGAAAAGGATTATAAAATGAGGATTCTACTAGTATAATGTAGGAGATTATTAAAGTTTGTAAGAACTTACGTCAAGCCGCCCAATCCAATAGATGTGAAGAAGTTGATGGAAAATCTTGAATTCTGAGGATGATCCCTCGGAAAGACGCCCTCAAAACAAATGGCCATTGTTTTGTCGCACAATCGCTGATGCAGTTTGGGCAATCCCATGTATTCGCTCAGCTCCTGAGTAAGCACACAAAATTCATCAGTTATTATTTTTGCATAGTAGTATTTATTACATATGTAATGGGACGTCGGTCCGTGGAGTATATGATTGCGAATTATTACCTGGAACAATATTTTTATAAAAATTCGGCTCGAGCTTGTCGTATCATCCTCCGTGAGTCGAATATTTTGAAGAACTTCCCAAGTTATGGCGTCAGTGAATAACAAATGAGCAAAGAACTTTGCAACGTTGCGCAACTTGTTTGTATCCAAATGGTGAACTGCAATAAAGCATCACAAACAAAATTCCTTCATTATTAGATATATCTGTAGAAGATAGCACTAGAACTGAGCATTTTTCATTGTCTACCTGTGGCATATGTATCCTTAAACAGCTCTTCGTAAGGGATTTGGTATTTCCGATTTAAATTACAGAATCTTTGGGCTAGCAAACCAAAGAACTTTTCATACGTTCGTTGTTGAGCACAGCAGTCAACAATCATTGCGCATAGCTCCGTTTCCTGTCCTATGAATTACAAATAATTTGTAATGAAAAGTTATTAACAGAATAATTAATTGTATAGAATCAAAAATTAATATTTCCTGGTATTAAAAATTACCTTCCTTTAAATTCATTCTCAACAATTTGTGAGCACATTCTTCAAAGTCTAAGGAAGACTGAATGGTGAGGTAAATGGTTCTCCTCAACGCAACCAAATTTGTTTCCGTCTTATCCAAAATTTGCTCCTTTTCCTTCTCGGCCGCCTCAGCATCTTCCTCGTCTTCTTCCCCTTCGTCTCCCTCTTCCTCATCTCCTTCTTCTCCAGAATCAGATTCGTCCAGAATTTCCTTTTTCAGTGTGGCATATTTCTCCTCGTTTACAATGTATTCATCGTCCAGCTTAAACACATCTGTAATTAAATTTCAGTCGTAAGTTCATTATTAAGAAATCAATGTCATTTACGATCACATTTGACCAATTGGCACTATAGTACTTAATTCCTAGTCAATGCAAAGCACAAGTAGCGTCAGCGTGTAACAAAACTTACTCAGTATATCTTGACCGTCAGTGGCTTCGTCAAGTGTGAGCAAGTGGGTGAACTGGTCCTCCTCTTCCACAAGATCCAAGTCTTCCTCCACGGATGGATAATCTTTGAACTTGTCTTTTCGCACCTGTTTCAAGAAAATCAGTGCTCAATAAAAGCATTCTGCTAGGATAACAATTCCATACAAAGGCATGAGACATACCTGAAACATGACCTCAATCATGTACTGCACTCGTTTCTCAAGGTGGCCCTCGTGCAGCACGTGTCTTAGTCTTTCAAACACAGCATGCGTTCCTTTGGGAGACACGTCCTCGAGTCGATTGCCAACCTCTTTGAGAAAGGCAATGGCCAACTCAACCGAGTCCTCCGTCGGGTGTTCCAGTAGCAATGTAAGAATTTCTAGGGCCACGACCTCGTGAGCCACCTGCTGATTCACCAGGTGAGCCACAAATTTTGCAGCTGAAATCAAGAATGGCAATTTTGTTAATGTTATTGAAATGTGTCAACGAGCATGTATACTCTTTACTCCACATATAGATTTTTTTGTATTATATGATTCACTTTTCATAAAGAAAACCCCATCAGTTCCCAATATAACCAAAAGTAGTTTCTACCTGCCAAACATCCAGGCTTATCGTTCCTCATGTAGCCGCGACGAAATTGGATAATAAGCCTTTTGAGCAGCAATTCTCCAATGTTTGGGAACTTCGTATTGATCACAGACACCAGCGCGGCATAGACATTTGTAAATGTCGAGGATGCTGATTGTGCTTGCATAATTGACCTGCACAACAACCCACGACCACGAATCAAGTTTTCCTTAAATAGTTCCCGAACAATTACCTATTTGAAAAGCAAAAAATAAAATTTATGATCATCGTCATTATTACGAACGCAAATATTATTCCATTGAAAGTTGAATAATGAACGAAGAGTATCAGAATTACTACACTTACAGCAATGTTGGATATGTTGATTTTATTAATGAGTCCGTTGATCGACTTTTTGAGTGCTTCCCAGGCCAACCTTTGGAAAGCCATGCTGCTCTTATCCGTAATGTCCTTTTGCATCATACGGAGCTTCGCGGGTGGGATGTAAGCCCCTACATATGTAGAACGACATATTAGATAATTATCAGTATTACAAGGGACGGAGAACATAAATTGAAAATTGTTCTCACCTCCAGTACGGGTAGTCAAATCGTCGACCACTACTTTCTTCTTTTTCGGAGAATCAACGTCTTTGACATCAGTTTCCTCGCGGCCACGCTTACGGCTCCTTTCAGCATTGGTGGATCGTCCTTGTTCATCATCATCATGTTGAGAACGGTCACGATGTCGACGTCGTCGTCTACTATCATCATCCCTTCTGTCCGATCTTCTATCCTCGTCATCTCCCTCTCGTCTGCTTTCTTTCTTCTCACGCCTCTCGTCCGTCTTGTCGCGTCTGCTCACATTTTTGTCGCTCCTGTCTCTGCTCTTGTCTCGTCGTTCCTTACTCATCCTCCGCCTCTCATCCCTCTTCTTATCTCGTCGACCTTCCTCTCTGTCACCCTCATTGCTTCTTCTTCTCCTACTCCTTCTGTCGCTACGACTATCTGCCGACCCGTCCCGATTCTCACGGGAGTGGGATTTGTGCGATTTTTTCTTATCTTTCTTGCGGTATTCGTCCTCGTCCTCCGCCTGCTCTTCTCGTTCAACAGAGGGTGATCTTTTGGAACTTCTTCGACGATTATAATCCGACGTTTCATTTTTCGTCAATCCTTCATCGCGCTCATCGTCCCCTCGTGTTGTTCGTACCGACCTTTGAACAATTTGAACCCTGCTCCGCATCGTACGATAACTCTCCGACTGTGTAAAAAGAATTTATGTTTAGTTATAACTTAATCAGGAAATCAATAAAGATCAAAATTTGGATCTATATAACTTAAAAAATTGTTTACGTCGACAAACCACAAACTTTGTAATCAGTTGATCGAATAATAAGTAGTTCTCGACTAATTTTATTAAAGTAGACTTACATCGGGAGAATCTCTTTCGGCTTCTTCCTCTTGGTACATTCTGTTCTGACAACTTTACCCTTGAAATTTATAGATTTATTGGGGTGTCTGTTCCACTTGAGAGTTGTGGGGCGCAAAATAGTTGGGGTATAAAGGTTCAGCTTTATTCAATTAAGCAGCAACTAGTCGGGAATATTTCTAACTTTGCATTTATTGTCACAAATTGGGTACAGCGAAGGACGATTTGTTGGTGCGAGAGAGAAAGCTGCGGCGGAATCGTTCCAAACTTCCAACTTCCCACAGGCATATGGGCATCGTGATGAGATTTTTCGTGTGACGAGGAAATTGAGACTGTCTCATCCTCCCTCCATACTTACGCAATAAACTAATCCTCAGTGAAAGTCAGTAAATAAATAACTTTGCACCGAAGGTGCGGAATAAGCCAACAAAATAGATCACAACTCTTATATATTCATTATATATATGCCGTTTATGGTGCAAAAGATTCGGCCCACCATTGCACCATTAGTGCAGAATTAGCGACCATTCGGGTTATATAATTTTTAAAACTTTGTCAAAATTGTATGATCATTTCTCCCGGATATTCTGTACTATTGGTGCGTTTTGCATCCCATCCCCCAATTATTTCGCATCATTTTGTGTTACCGATTATTAGATATCAACTGTGCTATTTATTTACTAAAAAAATTCGATCCAGTTTGTTCAATACCAATGGTGCGCCTAACATAATCAATAATTGTGAAGGGGATTTTTAATTAGCATCAATTCATGCAAAAAACTCGTTAACAGACAGACAGACGGACGGACAAGAGGAATTCAATAGCTCCCGTGCTACGCAGGGTGAGCTAATAAGGTGTGGAGGTGGATAAAATAGCAAGTACGCACTCCTTTGTTGGCTCAAGTCAGTATTATGATATTTATTATTGTCCGCTATCACACACATTGTCGACTTATCAAAGCACCAGACAGAACTCAAGGAAATATGCAAAAACGCAACATGAAGACTGAAGAATACATGTCTGTGTATATTTTCTACTTATGCATGCGTGAGCATCATCAGAAGCACCATGTTATTGTGTTGTGTAACATGACATTTTGGTTAAGATAATAGCAAAATAACGAGAATGGAAGTAAAACATGTTTGATACTCGGTACCATTTTTCGGAAACTTATTGGGTATCATCATTGACAAGCAAGTTCCTTGAAGCAACAAATATTTAGATGGTACATACTAATCGCCTGTTATTGATCACATATAGAACTAATTGGTAATTATGAGAAGGTTGAACTCGTCATTTCCTTAAAACAAAGGCACACTTATATATTACACTGCGTGACGTGTATTACAAGTCATTCTGTATTACATGGTACTTGGGATGATTTGATTGTTACTTTTGTTATTTTTACCAGCTAAGATTTCCAACTACTTTTTCCATCTACTTTTTCCTACTACTTTTCTTCCACGCTCTTTTTTATCCTCACCACCAACTAGACTTCATCACAATTAATTAGGGTTTCGACTAATAGCTCCGTGTCCTACTTTCCCATTCCTTTATTGATATCTTGGGCAAGCAGCACGTGGCGCATTCCTGGGGTTGATGTACGCCTTGTTTAGTGAGTGCTATGAATTATGTATGGTGGGTAGTGGGTGCTATATATTGCTACTATTTTACTACTGCTAATTGCTGCTCAGTGCAATAGGAATTATTGTTGTTTGTCTAAAGTTTGTGTATTTTGTTTTTGTGGTGAATTCTATCACATCAAGATTTGTCTTAATCAGCAAGAGACAAAGACGACGGCGTATTATTTCATAGCCTGCAGTGGAAGGGGCAGTTTGACCTGTAGTAACTATTTTCTTGGGTACCCTATAGATCCAACATACACATGCAGCCCTTCTTGTGGCGTGGGATGCCGTGCACACGGTTTAAAATTAACATGTGTCGACGACGACAGTATGTACACAATTCAAATTCTAATACTGCACTTATCTGTACTACTTACTACTCATATTCAGTTGGCACCTTTTGTCAACCCCCTGCGTGTGTACATATAAGATAAGAAGTCATCTTCGCCTGCCACTGAAAATATTGTCCCATTAAAGTTGCTCGTTTCATTTCATTTCTTACTTATTTTCTCTCTACGTAGGACTGAGACTGAGAATAACTACGTGTTTGATCACTCACTAAGTATTCGGTATTCTTGGACATTTCAGATTTTTGGAGTTGAATGATTTCAGACTATGCAATAAAATGAACAGCTTTGTGTTGTTCTATCTACTTATAGATTTACGTCTGTATAGCTCCAAGTGCGATCCGTAAAAATAGTTGCATTCTTTGCCCACATCTAAAATATTCTCAAGTCGCATAAAACTAACTGAAAATAGGGGTCATTGCATACATGTGTTTGGAAACACTGTTTTCAAGAGATATATATGCTGACTGAGAACTCAAGGACTGATGAAAAGAAAGCAAGCAGGCGCAATGCTTTCTGTCTCTCGCTTTTCTCCTTTTCCGCCTTTACTATTAAATCATACTCTAATTTTTAAGATATGATCGACACAAGCAGGTCAAATACGAAAGTAACGTCCAAACTAATGAGCGAATCACGTTCATAACAAGTAGCGCCAGTGAGTACTGAGACGTTGCACTTTTAGAAATCTATGGAGGATCATGATCATGGCGACGTCACCACTTAAAGTTTGGAGTTATGAGGGCCACCATGCGGAGAGGGGACAGACTTCGGAGTTTGTTATGTGAGGGGGTCGTCGTCGTCGTCCTCGTGTTCCGCCCCGCCCACTTTCGTGGGGAAGCAGACCCCTTCCGTCCCATCCTCTCGGAAGCCGAAGAGCATCCTCTCCAGAGGGGACGGCTCGTAGGCCACAATTCCATGAAAGTCTCGCAGGTCGTTGGCTATATCATAAGTCATAAATATGCTGTCAGTATGTGTAACTTTCTATGTTTCGTCATATAAGCATTATGGTAATTTCATCAGTTTATCTATGTTCTCTACCTGGAAACCATGAGGCCTCTTCCTTCGGCATTATTTGAATTCCCAGCGCCCTGACACCCCAAGAACACAATGATTACTAGATAATAAACCATATTATAGAGTTGCTGGCAATAGTCCTCGTTCGGTACCTCGTGATGGCAATGAGTGGTATCCAAATGGTGGCGATAAGGACGAGGAAGACGGCAATGGCCAGTGCCCACGTCGGCCACTCGGCAACCTTTGCCTCCCCAACGGAAGCGTCCCATCTCGGATACGTACTCCCTGCGCCACAGTAATGACTCATTGCATCATTGTACTCTAATTATACAGATACTTATTCATATACGGTCTCCCAGACTCACCCTCGGTGAAGATTTTGATCCAGCTGGCGGTGAGTATGATGACCATGGCACTCGGGGACACGTACTTCCAACAGATCATCCAGTAAATGTGCGGTCTCTTGCCAGTCATGAGTTGAATGTCCTCCGCAAACCTGTCATCATCCGTAGGAACGTTACTTTTCCAATGCATTGTATTAATGGTCTATCGGTGTTAATGGCAATACCTGCTCAGCCCGTAGATGTAGGCCACCCCAATGACCTCGAAAAACGCGATGATGAGCAGGGGCACGTTTCCACTGAAGGAGTCAAACAGGATGAAGATGTAATTGCCCGCCCCATGTGCAAACATCATGGAGAGTCCCAAACATGACCCGCACAAGATCCCTTCGAATAGCAATTTCATGTTCATATGCAGTTTACTCCCTTGTGTGAAGCGGAACTATAGAACCTGAGATCTGAAATTAGTTTTGGTGAACCGACCTGTGAGCACTTCTTTCCTCATGTTGGGAAACAGCTTCAGGTCCGTGATGGATGTGACGACCCCTTCCAACGTCCCAAACTAGGTTTTATTTAAAAGCACAGTGTACATATATTTGCAGTTCATTTATTCGAGATTAAATGTTCCGTTTTCGGCACGTAAAAAAGTGTAAAAGATTACCTGCGAGTCGATTCCGAGGGTGAACAGCATGGAGAAAACTTAAAAACCACACCCCGGGTTAGTCTGCAGCCACTAATTGTTAAAGGTTGAATAACTTACAGAGGATGGACCAGAAGGGAGCATAGCTGAACTGGTTGATGGCGTCCGTGAATATGATGAAAGCCAGCCCAGGCCCGGAGGCTGTCTGCAATGGGCAATAACAATTAATTAATTACTATAGTCTTTATTAGTTAGTCGTTTCGCTATCATGGCTGTCCGTCACACCTTGTCCAACTCATCCTGGAGATTGCAAACGGTGATGTTTGGCATGGGGATGGTAAGTTGCGAGTGGTTGGCCCAGTAAGAGACGCTCTCCCCCGCCCCAGGGAGGGCGTAGTCTGGCTGCGTGGTGTTGAACAGCATGAGCAACGTCCGATTGTCCTGCTTTGCCAAACAGGCTTTGTGAATCGTATGCGCCTTAAAGCCTGCGACCGACAAATATTACGTTTATTACTCTCATTCAGATTACTCGCAATTATGGATAAAAAAAACGGACCAATCACGGAGAATATGACAATTCCAGCAAACATGGAGGTCATGCAGTTGGTCATGCTCACAATTCTGCAACAACGCGTCAACACACCATGATTATTCGCCATCAGGATGTGAGGAGAATGGAATAATAAGGCCTACTTACAGAGCATCTCGACAGCAGTTGTTGTTGACGGGGTTGTAGGACGCGAAGGCAATGAGACCTCCGAATCCGAGACCCAACGAGAAGAATATTTGAGTCCCAGCTAAAATAATATGCATTTACGCGGTCAGATAATATTAAACGAAGAATGATAAGAAACAAAACTGGACCTTCCAACCATACGACAGGATCTGCCAGCTTTTCCCACTGGAGACGACAAAAGGCAAGTTAAAGTCAGTAATATAAATAGCAATCGGTGGTTCAGGCTATTCAGGGCTATGGCCGTGGTGTTACCTTTGGGGTGAAGAGATGCAGAATGCCGTCGCTCATCCCCTCCAGCGTCACTCCTCGACAGAAGAACAGGATGAGTACGCAGTATGGAAAGAGTGCAGTGACATAGACCAACTGCAAATATTCCGAAAAGTGTAAAGGTGAAGTTGCAAAGATCTTTTAGTACCTTTGGACTGGACGCGAGTCCTTTTGCCAGACACAACCACACCAGAGTCCTGCAACACAAATTGTAAGATCCAATAGTTAAATATGTATTTAGCGCTTGGGTGATTTGCATAGTCTTGACTAACCACGCAGCCGTGAGTGATCCCGCAATTTGCAGGTTAAATGTTTCCGACGTGTTGATGTCCGGAGAAATGTCCAGCGTTTCTCGATACCAGAAATACTGCGTGGGTGAACTCATCTACAACGACCAGTTCAGAAATGATAATAGATTTTCGGGGTCAAAATTAATTTTTGAACATACATTACACTCCCGATTAATGCCACTCCCATCCTTGGCTGGAGGGCATGCCGACCATGGCAAAGGACTTTGGAAACTCTACCAGATTACAACAAACTTCATAATTAAACATACGAGCCCGAGGCTAGCAGGGGACGATACCAACCAACCTACCTTCATGAAGTAGATTAGACACCAACTAATGATAGTGTTGTAGTACAACGCCCTGGAAATGGGACATGGTCGAATGAACGTGGTTAAATGTAACATGGTTAAAACTTGTCGATGAACGAGTGAACTCTTACACGTTATAGGAGACGACGGCAGAAGCAATGCCCACTCCGGCCAAGTAGGGTGACACCTATTTTTTTAAGGTTTAAAAAGTTAAGGATCAAATAAGTGAAGAAAGAACAAGGATATCAATTACTAGCTACCTGACTCCACACTCCAATCGCCCCCTTCCTCAACCGCTGACCAATGGCCAACTCCAGGAAGAACATGGGAATCCCCTCGATGGCCAGCATGATGAAGTAGGGTATTAAAAACGCACCTATTGTAACAGACTAAAGGTGTAGTACCATTTGTAATTTGCATGATGCGAGTTTAACTTTGTACCAGTGTCAAGTACGAGGACATACAATAAGTCTTAATTTTGTCGCGTGTGAAATTTTACCTTCTACTGTAAATATAAATCTATTTTGCGTGTAATAAATTTGCATACGCACTAAATAAAATACTACACTTAATCCGAGTCTCAAATCTAATAGTTATTCACATATGTAAAGTGCATAATTATAGCGTCACGCACCTCCCCCGTTCTTCTGTGCCAAATAGGGAAATCGCCACACCTGTAAATTTTAAATCATGGGAACGTTCAGCGATTCACAATTTGGAGACTTCGCAGTCATGCGTTATTTTGTTTGCCAATGAGCTCTTACATTTCCAAGACCCACGGCATAGCCAATGGTCGCGAGGAGGAAGGTGAGTTTGGAGTCTGCAAAGAACATACGTTGACCCAATTAGAAGAAACTAGTGAGAAGAGACTGGAAGATATAGGACGTACCCCAACTCTCGCGCTCCTCCCCTTCATCCTGAAATACGTCTTCGGTGGGGGGCTTCTTGGCGCCAGGGGGCAAGGCTGCGTCGATGGCCACCACTGCCGTCACTCCCTTCCCTTCCTTCGTTACCACCGTGTCCCTCTTGGCCTTCTCCTCCAAGGGTCCACCCACGCTAGGCTCAGACTTGGAGATCTGCCAACAATAGAAATATACTTACAGTTATTTGTTCCAACAACCATTCCGCTCCGCAGGTATCCAAGTGCAGTCCCCGTTCAGCGTACACGCATCGGCAATAACTCTAATTTTGAACTTTGTCCCAGTAACTTCACTCACCAAGTTGGTGACGGCGTCATCCTTTGTGAAGCCGGGGTTGACGGCACCATAGTTGGCGGAATGCCCTGGAGCCGAGTCACTGCTCAACAACCGTCCGCGTACTTCGCGCAGTTCCATCCGATCGTAAGATTTCTGACGATAGAGCCTGAAAGTGAATGAGAGACAAAGAGAGAGAGAGTAATTGCAATGATTGCGAGAGTTGATATTATGATTAGTATTGATTGATTGACTGTTCCGAGTTACGTACTCTCGCGAGCTCTGTCGCCGCGTGAGCTGTGCCATGTTTGCCATTTTGGTGACGAGAGAGGGGTTTCGTCTGGCCCAGCAGGAGTTCTCGTCGGGGTTGTTGGGATGACCTCCTCCCTCACTACTGGTCTCAGTAGCTAGTTAGTTAGTAGGACGATAAGGAGATTATCCCAAGGTGTGGGGAACACCTGTTGTCTCCAAGCGATGAGCTTATGTCTTGCTTGGATGATGATGCACCTCCACTACTTGACCATTATTCAGTTTCCAGACCAAACGTGGTATACGATATTCCATACACGATGCATGTGGTGTGCGTGATGTCGTCAACTCTTTAATGTGTGTGTTTGCAGCTGCTGTGTATTTAATGTTTGTGTTGCGAGGAGAAAGTAATTTGCATAGAGTCGAAGTAAGGTACTTTGATTAGGTTTACGTTGTATGAATATTATTGTCGGGTTCGGGAACAATTAATCAAAAAATGATCGGAAACAATTATTCCCCTCTTTCGTCGGCTCGTGACTATTTTCGTCTCACGATCAGTGGCACTTGTTTGATTCAATTGAATATGAAGTAGAAGCCCATGTACATTTCTCTGTACCTCGTCGCTTCCTCGTTTCCGTCTACTCTGGGCTGCATGTGGGTTTATGTCACTGAACTACAACTTGCTCTGCACATGTATTTTAAATGTATTGCCAAACAACTAGAATATTGTGTAGTGCATGGTGTGAAACGGGTGAAAGTAGAAAGAGTTTGACTCCCTCGTCCTTTGCCAGTAAATGCAATTAGAGAGGAAAGTAGTGGTGGTTGTGAAGAAAGGGGTGATCAAAAAGGGGTGGTGCCAGGGTGGGTGAGAGGTCGGCGTGTTCTAAACCTGGAGAGGAGGACGACTGATGATGGGAGGACGAGGAGGAGAGAAAGTGAAAGTCGGGAGGCAGCCTGTAAAGTGCTTCTATGGCTCCAAAATGTGATTTCACTCCGTTTTCTGTCTGCTTTCTCCAGCCACTTTCTCCTCTGTGGCTGAGTCTGACCCAACCTCTCTCTCTCTCCGCTTTCTCCCAACCAGAGTCTATAGGCCCCCATCCACGCTCACTCCTCCAGAGAAAGGAGGACGCTCCAGACTTGGCGTCACTCGGACGAACATCAACTCGGAATGCTGGTGGTTATTTTGGAGTAAATTGACGTGGTGGGTGGGCAAACATGAAGGTGGGTTACGTGGTGATGGACGTACGTACGTTCGTATAGGAGAGCTAGCTAGCTCTTCTTTCTCCATCCATCCGTCCGACCCCGTGCTGGAGAAATGCAGAGCTACTCAGCAGCACGCACTCCTCTCATTGATTGCTTTTATCCCCCATCTCATAATGGATGGACGGATGGACGCCATAAATAGTAATCGTGAAATAGTTTCTGCTAATAACGGAAGAAAAGGGCAGCTAAGTACTAAGTAATGCATGAGCAGGAGGAGGAGGATAAATCAAAATCGATTCCTCCTGACGGAAATTGGTGGGTCGGCTTGACCTGATATTATTGTGACATGGCATGATTTGCAAATGTGATTGCATGGCCCGTGTGTGGAAGCAACAGTCTATAAATACAGAACGCCACCACGAATACTGCTATTGTTGCTACTTTTTTCTCTTCACCAGCCACCACAACCGGAACGAACAAGACGAAGGCGGATAAGAATGAAAAGGCATGGATGACGATTGAGCGAGACAGGAGGTGGACACATCCAATCCGAACTTTGATAAACTTTAGTCTCATTTTTCCATTTTGATACTTAATTGCCAGCTCTGTACACAAATGTCATTTTGATGGCTTATCATTTTCTTTATGTGTCCTTCTGCCTTCTGGAGGAGGAAGTAGGTAGAAATTATGGTGTAAATGGTTCAACGATGGGAATGTCACTCGCTGCTGGGCTAGCTTTATCGTAAATCTGCATTTGCTAATCTCAAAGCAGTCCGACCTTACCCCAGAAGGGCTTGTCGAGCTTAGGATGATGGTGATGTGTGTTTCTTCAAGAGGGGAAAGTGCATGGATGTCATCTATTCACGGTCTTATCGCCCTCTTATCACCTACCCACTAGGTCAAGTAACCAGTCAGCCACTTTACCACCCAGGTAAGGAGATGGACCGACTGGGAGAAAGTATGCAACTTGACAGGATCTCACCTTTCCCCACCGGGCACTCGGGTTTGAGACGGCTCGCTCTGCTCTGCTCCTGCTACGAATCCAGTCGACAGATTTATAATAATAACTTCAAATGCGAATATTAATTCCCAGTTACTTGTCATTTAATAAATAAAATAATTACGAAGCATAGCAATTATTAGCTATTTAGCTGTTGACGTTGGACAGATTAACCAAATTTTTGTTGAAAGAAACCTACATGAAAGACGCACTTCGATGAATCCACGACTTATCTAATCCTGCATACTATTTTAGTAAATATTATTTACTGCGGTATTAGTTTCGACTGACTTGACTTTGAATCCGACGAATTTATCATGACAGAAACAAGTCAGGAAGTGCGGCTGCTGTTCTTTGGCACATTTTTTCATGAAAACACAGTAATAAATCAGTAACATGTGTATTTATTCTACAAATTTTGCAAGACTTTCATAGCTCTAACGTTAATCATAATTTGTAATTGTGATTTACAGGAACTTACTGCCGACTTGATTCAACTGAAGCAACCAGTTAAAGTGACGGAGATTCGTGTAATTCCCCTTGGTGCAACGGTGGACTTATCCACGGGGGCATTTCAACTCGGGTAGATTACGAAATTTGAAATTATGCATTGATTTAGGATTTTATTTATTTATCTGGGTCTAATGCAACGTAAACTGATTCTAATTTTTCTGTGGCGGATTGTAGAGCCACAAATCCATCCGAATTTGAAGTTGACTTTTACTATAATGATCTTCAAGTTCCTTCAAAAACTACGTTCGAACTTTTGCAACGCTTCGACTTTAATGACAAAGCCCATATTCAGCTGATTTGTGATCCATCGGACGACGTGAGTTGGCGACTTTTAAGACTTAAATATGACAAGCACTGAATATTATAAATGGAGCTCTGTTATGACATTATTTCTTGCAGATAATTACGGACGGATTACTCGTGCGAGGTATATACTCTACAGTCACCCTTGCCGTTTATGGACACTCGGTGGACAAGGTGCACATTCGGGAAGTGGAAGTACCCAAGAAAGAGACTGTTCTGTCTCCCAAGTCGTGTATTTCAAACAGTTCTCCCCCCTCACCCGTTACTGAATCTTTGGAACAAGTCAGGATAGAATGTAATGGTACGAACGCACAATACGAAAGTAGTAGTGTTTGGTTGGAATTGGGTTGGTCTGAGTGGCGAAAAATTATGATAATATAAAAATACAAATTACAATTTACTTCTAGAAGAAACTCCCACGGTCGACGTGATGCCTGTTGCTCCGATCCCCATAGAAGCTGAGTCGCCACCCATTGCTTCTCATGCAATTCCTACAATAACCACTCGGGTGAACTATGACGCTGTTCAAACGGCGTCTGCAGAAGAAGAATGTGGAAGAGTGGAGGAGGCGGATGAGCAGGAAGAATTGATTCCGGAAAGCGAAGCAATTTCAGAGAACAATAATAACGAGTCTGACATGTCGGATACGGAGGTCACAGAGACGAATAAGAGTGTAGACTTGATTCCAGAAGCAATGGATACTGAGGAAATATCAGATGGGGAGGTCTTCCCATCAGACAATGACCAGGAGGAAGTGGAAGAGGCGGACGAAGACGAAGAGGGTAACGTAGCTTTCTAATACGAGTTTTACATATAGCTAGTTCTCATTCATGTGTAGCTTACCGTATATTTTTGTGGTAAAGTTTGCCAATCAGACAGCCAAGAGGTTGCACAGAAAACTGTTTACATTGACCCTCTAATTGAGGAAGTGGAACCAATTTCATCGCCTCAGGAGCCGACGAGTGATATGGAGGACTCATTTATGGATGAATCTTCGGAGCCTGGCTTTGAGGAGATCATCTCCGACGAAGAGATTGATTTCCCAGAGTACGACTACCGAGAGTGGGAGGAGAACTGGGCACATAAATTCAGTCGACCTTTTAACCCATTCTCAGACTCATTTGAAGTATTACCTCTCAAGGTTTGCCCTTTATATATTTTTAGAAACTTATGTGTAATGTTCACGCTAGTTTATCATGTTCGTACACATTATTTCTAGAACACCTTTTTAAGTGTTGGGTTACCGGTGGAGAAAACACTGGAGGAATGTTTGGCCTTGTTGTTAAAAAAATGTCGAACGTGGTCACAAGATCAGTACAACTCAAGTTTGTCAGAACGTTGGGTGGAAGATATGGAAAAGCTGTTGCCATTCATCCCATCGGCCTTCTCATTTATTTCTTTACATCATGGACATCAGGCTAGGTCTCCTAGTCAAAATGGTACACATTCCATTCTTGAAATGCAATTGAAAAAGCGATTATATTTAAATTGTAGATTTAGAATCTACACTCATGTTTTGGGTCGATATTGGGACCAACATAAAACTAGCCATGGAGCAGCCATCACTCGCATTCAAAATTCGACACTTGAAGGTGGGTATCAAATTAGTGGAATGCGTGGCCAACATCGAGGGCGAACTGTCCAATGTCCTTGTCTCCACTAAACTCTCGCATTCGCCAGTCATACAAGACCTCAATCAAGATGATGAGGACGAGCAAGGCCGTATTCCAGCAGCCCAACGCCAGGACACGTCTGTCCAGCATCACTTGTTGGACTTGCTAATGACTCCTCATATGAGCAACTCGTGTAAATTACTCATTCTTCGATCCTTGGATTCCACAATTTCCTGCAAATGTGGTAATTCCTTTGCTACATGCATAAAATAATAATACAATATGTGACTAAGGTTTACTTGTTGATTGAAATTTCATTTCTATACTTTCTGCCTAGGATTTGATGCTTTCACGTCCATTACAACTTCGACTTCATGTTATCAACGCCTCATCGAATACTCGCTGGATTCGTCATTCTCAACCAGAATGTCCTTTTCGTTGAGATCCCTTTTAAATAAGCTCCGGCTAATGGAGGGGCTCGGAAATTTGCAAACGTTCGTGAGTTTGCTGGCCAGCAACTCCTACTCTTCTGGCACTGACTCGGAAAGTCGGCAACAGCCAGATGAATTAGACGTCTTGCAAGACTTGCGCGCCACGGCGACTCACATCACTGAATACTTTTCACTCCCCAGCAAAGTGCTTCCTGCCAAAGCGGTTGTTGACCTTGCCGCAATGAGCTCATCAGGTAAATACGAAATAACGAAATTTCTTGAGAGTGCACTCTTAGAGTTCCAAGATGTCGGTTAATATCACGACTTTTACTGATTAATGACGTATTATAATTACTACATATCGTAACAGGACATGACCCCAAAGTATCATTCGTCCGAATGCTGAAAGAAATGCGATTTCTACAAATGGCGACAGTTCTCATCAACGCAAAGGAAGAAGAAGTGACATCAAACGCAATCCACCCTATCACTGAACTCCTCACCATTCTGCTTGGCTGGGAGGTTGGACTTGTTTATCTTTCCAACGAAGCCTCCTTTACAACAATCCTCGTGAAAAGCTTACTTCAGTTGGATGATGACGCAGCAAGCACAGGATGTTTGATTGCACACTGCATGGAGGTATGCAACTCATGTCAGCAGAGCCCTCTCATCATATTTACACTGTCCTGCCCTCGTATAAGATTGTTTCCTGTTATTTTAGGTGATGCAATGTGTCGATACCTTGTCGACATCTTCCAACAGTGGTGTATTCACGGAGAGTAGAGACTTGCAACATTTGCAGACTGCCGTGTCATTTTTGACGACATCCGTTGGACGTGACGCAATTATCAAGACTTTGTCCCAGGGGAATTTTATTTTACCTTTACTAAACTCTGTCTGGCCGCCAGAATCGGAATCTGAGCCTGATGAAGACCAACAACAACAACAGCAACGGCTCAGCTCAGAATTAGAAGTTCGTCGTGGTTATGCTATTGAAATAGTCGATTTCTTCTTGAGATCGAATGATTCTGTTGAATTCCTAAGAAAGGTATACATACTTCACATATACACAATGCAATTGTCAGAAATAAATAATGGTAATATTTCAAAATGTTTGAATCTAGCATGGTCCGAAAATCCTGCGGTTTATGAATATATCGAATGAAATTGGTGGCGAAGGAAAAAAGTTGTCAAAGAATCTTCCATTTTTAAAACCAATTCTAAACCCTGTCGTATTCACGCTGGACGGACTAGATGCTTTGTGCGAAATAGTAAAAAGTTACAAGACAAATCTTTTACAGTCCCGAAATGCTGGCTGTAATTGGGGATTTCCTGGAGACATCACGACGTGCTTCCGGATCATGTTACATTTGGGTACGAAGTTCGTACTACGAACAAAAAAACTACCAACTTATTAGTTATGATAGATTATTGAAAACTTAAGTTAATGGACATGACCACTGCAGCTACATAAATACCACTTGATTTTGTAAAATAGTAAATGGGAACGATGACAATGACCTAACTCGAGCATTGGTATTTCAAACGGATGAACTTCGGATTCGAGTATTGAAACATGACTTGGCAATTGCGAAAATTCACTGCAATGATTTATTGCCTGCAATAATTGGGATTCTTCAAAAGATTGCGGACGAATTTAGACAGCCCGTGATCAACTCGCACGTCTTTGTCAGCTCAATTGGTGATGCTCTGCTCGGATTGTTGCTACCGGTTGTAAAAGTTCTCAGAAAGTGTATCACACAAGTTGTGCAAGTTCGAAAAACAGGTGATCCGGGAGTCACGTTAAAAACAACAATAATGATCTATTTTTGTATATTGTATTATTTGCTACAATTTGTTTGTGCTGCTTGCAGAGTATCGTGACACGACTGCAGTCTCGGTCCTTTTGCAGATAAATCGACTCATGAGTTTTTTCCCTGCAACTGCCATTGGCTATGCAAAATCACAAGAGGTTGCGAGCGATGTTGTTGGAATTCTTCTTGCCTTTACCATCCCAGCCGTGAAACTAGGGCCAGAAACTGAGGACGAACTCAACAAAAGCACGTGGACAGCTGTGGTTTCAGAGATAATAAAGTATACCGTAGTTGTATATTCATATTTTCTGAATGAGCATAATTATTATAAATAACATAGCTGAGTGACTGTAAAGAACGGAACTGACATGGTGGGTGATTTGTCTTGTTTGACAGATTCACATTGGAGGAACCTTCCAATTTCCAAGCTGGGTTGACCTTGTTCAGTGAATTGTTACCTTTGCCACTGCCTATTGCTTCAAAGACTGATTTGACTGATGAGACTTGCGAGGAGGCAATCCGGCTGAGACGACTTTGGAGTGCTTATATTCATGGACTGTCCTCGCAAATGCACGAAGTATGTAACTATGTGCTACTCACTGCTGATAGGTTGTATAAATTGGCAACTCCATAAATAGGAAATTTCTTGCGAAAATTTGTAGATGATTGGAATTCTCTGCACATCTACTAATCCCCGATTGCTCCACCTATTGAAACGTGTGTGCATTCAATTGGCGGATCTCTCTGTTTCGACCTGTCTGGTGGTGTGTCGTGCCATTCTCGACACCTACCTAACCTCATTGGACGCCGAGTCTGATACACAGCCGCCTTCAGAGTCACAACCAACTGTTACCCAATCCTCATCCTTTATCAAAGCTTGGGTGGACACGGCAAAAACAGCGGATGAGAGACAGGTACGCGATTTATTAACCCGTTGAAAATGTTGGCCAAATATGTTAAGAAATACAACTAGAATGATGAAATTGTTTGTACACAGTATTCGTCACACACAGCCAGAGTGCTGGGGTTCTTGGCCTCCTTGATGAACAACTGTCCGGTTATAAAATGTGGAGTGATGCACGTTTTGAAAGGGACGGTCAAGATGGATGAGAAATATTGCGACGTTCTCAGCTTCATGTGCTCGATCCTCTTGGCTTGTCCGCCCACTGGCCTGTCCAGCTCTCACATACAGGTTTGCTATAACGATGATTCTCTAACGACTCATTCTAACGATGATTGAATATTCTCTCTTAAAGGAGTTGTTTATTACATAGACCTTATATTCGCTTTATCTCATGTCCCTCATTTAGGCTCAAGACAACGTGGTTACCATTTTCCAATCGTTATGTGACGTTGAAATCAATATGCTGGTTCCCATGTTTGGGAAGCGGAGTAAAGCGTTTGAACCCGAGTTTGTCCTCGCATGTTCCTTGCCTCTGAAGGAACACTTGTTCTCAATGACTTCGGCCCTTGTCTCCTATTTGGCCTCCGAATCTAAGTCCCCAACGATGCAAGTTTTAGAAGGGGCACTGAGAACCCTGGAAATAATTGCGGAAACTGATTATGGATTCAGTGTCATCTCAATGTAAGCACGACACTCGATCCTTAAAAATCTAATTAATCGCATATTGCGGTGGTTTGCTCGTCATATGACTCATGAGATATATACTAACATGCAAATATGACTTTATTGTGTAGGAATTTCGCCAAGCATCACGCCATTCTGGAGAAGGTCGCCCTGTCTGTCTTGCCTTTTATCAACAACTTTGAGAGTTTTGAGTCGTCTCTTCCTTGCATAATGTCCTATTTGGACTTTATCAAATCGATCACCACGTCAAGGGTGAGATTGGCAGACTTTGTATTTTTAAACTAACTATATTAATAAGTACTGTGTACTCTGTGTAGACCCAGCAAATTGGGAGCTTTCCTCTTCGCCGAAGTAAGACTGCCAAAAAGGATCTCCAGGCCCTTTTTAACTGGACATTAGAGTCTTCCGACACCGCGTCCTCTGACCCCCCCAATGATGCCAAGTCCGACGATGCGATCGTCAATGATGACAAAGAAAGGGAAAAGCCCATGGACGAAGGTGTTGCTGCGGCGATGAGGAGTCCGGGCGGAAACCATTCCTTGTACCAGTTGAAAAAAATGTTTGAGGAACAGTTACGATTATTTAGAGAGAGTCAGCAAAACTCGAGCAGTTTGGAATCTGCGGACTTGGAGTCTGCACTGCAAATTATAGATCAATTGATTTCTCAGCTGACTGAAAACTCATCACCATCAATGCCACCCAGTGAGGAGACAGCATGTGACTACAATTTACAGTGTCCCGAGGGGTTGTCCGAGTTATTTAATATCAGACCAGTGTATGTCTTGGTTGACAGACTTGGTGGTTGTAACAATGACAACCTTCCTATCTTCTGGCTGACATCTGTTCCCCCGGCTTTTGAGGTGGATTGTGACAACGAAGAAGCAGATCTGATGGCTTGTGATTTGGAAGAAGTTTCAAAATCCCACCTCAATGGATTCGATATATCACGAGAAATACAAAACATTGCCAAATCATCGGATCTGCAATCGTCAGAGTCAGCCTCTGCCGTAGTAAAAAATGGAAGCCCACACCAAGGCTTCAGAGGAGGCAACCACCATGGCCGAAGACCAACCCACATGCACGCTTTAAATTTACTACATCGACGATCAAACTTTTCCAACTCGATGCGAGGTGGTCGGGGAATGTTTTCTCGCGGAATGATGTCGTCCGGGGGAAGAAATTACGACCCATTTCGATCCCGTCCACCAAACACCTCGAGACCACCATCCCTGCATGTCGACGACTTTGTGGCCATGGAGGGCGGCTCCAATTCGATTAGTGGAGGAGATTCATACAACTCTCGAGGTCGTGGAGGAAACCGCGGTGGTGGAAGCGTGGGAGGAGGAGGAATGATGAACACTTTTGGGCAAGACAGGAGACGAAATGTGGCGAATGTTGGGAGGTCAGGTGTAACACAGGGTGGAAATTTCTTTCACGGCAGTAATAATAAAAGACATGAATCTTCCACACCATCTGCGAGGTAACCCATTTGTTTGCCATATACCGCAACTTTTTAAAATTTGACTGATGAAGGTCGTTATAATAACTCTCGTTCTTGATTGCGACTTCCAGGGTTGTGCGAGGTGGACGGATATTTTCCACCCCGAATAGTGACAGATGGACGGCAGATTCCCGCAACTCCTCCTCTTCCTCATCATCATTACCTCAGCAAAGTTATGATAGGAGTGGTGTTGGTGGCAACATTCGGTCGATCAATTACGATGATAAATATCGCTCTTCCCCCGTTGGCGTTGGATCGAGGACGAGCAGCAGCATTTCCTCTCCTCGTTCTCAGCCATACCCACAGCAGCAGCAACAGCAGCGTTCTTCCTCCACTAGCGGTACCGGTGGTGGTGGTTACCGAGAACAAGGGAGGCAAAATAATTCAGGTGGCTCCTCTGCACAAAATTACTCTCCTCGATGGAGAGATAGGACAAGCTCAAAGACCTTCAATAACAACAACCGATGACGAGATGTGATGTATCTCAAAGTTTATTTTCTTTTAACTGTATTCTTTTTAATGTGTCGTCGATTGTTTGTACCATTATAAGTACCATATTATTATACGACGTTTTATTGCCAATTAAACCAAGTTGTTATCATGATTGACATGTTACATGCAATTATTGGGAACTGGTTTGACCCCAGCAGTCATAAAATGCATTTGACCATGTAGAATACGTTTTGCATAAAAGTATATAGGTTTAGTGAAACTAAAAGTGGTATGAAAATGTAAACGAGAGGAGAGCCAATCCATGGAGCGTTGGGAGACGTGGAATTGCCCGCTACGAGTGAGATTCCACGCGATCAGCATTGGTTTTGGGTTTCTAATTTTTCCATCATACAACAATTAGTCAATAGCTTATTAAATAAAGGGTGACATCAAAATCCACAATCGCGCATCAAAATTCCTCGCTGATTTTGTTGCAGTGTTTTTTTGTTCACTCCCCCCCAATTTGTGGTTGACAAAATTTTGTGTGGAGAAAGTCTAATTCCTGGACCTGGCTGCTGGTCATTCGACTCGTGGGTTTTCAAACATTGGGCATCCGTTTGATAGGTGAGTGATAAAGCCTGATCCTAAAGGCCTACATAATTATTTAGTATGATGGGCGAACAGATTTGAGAGTAACTAGTTTCATAGGTACTTAGTCATAATAATGACGCTTTCCTTATTGAGTAGCATGAAACTGATTTATATGTATGCAATATATTTTAAGAACAATCATATTGCAGAGACGTATTAAATAGTGCTGCCATGCAAAGTATTCCAAAAATGGGTCAAGATTTGATGCTCAAGTCGCAAGAAGGCGTCCAGATAACGACGACGATGACCCAAGACACGCAGACTGACTTTAGGAACGACTACTTTCGCCACTTCCCTCAAGGGATTCCTGTTCCACTGCATGGCGTGCGAATTAAGGTCAGTCGACCCATTTTTTCTTTTCGTTCTTTATCGTTCCGGTTGAAATGGGAAGAGGTGATCTCACATTTTCACTCAATCCCAGGTGACCCCTAAGCATATAGACGTGTTGCATAACATATATCCAGCCCACAATACTCTGTGTGTTTAATATATAGTATGTGTGAATAGCTTAGAAGGTGGCAGCGCAGGGAGAATGTAACCTTATGATACCAGTTGGACGCGTCATTCTTCCTCAATGACAACCATTGTTGGAATTGCTGAAATTCTCAACATTCTTCAGTGCCAGAAAACAAAGAGTTGACATGTTCCGAGGTCTAGAATTCTTTCATCATTGCATGACTGGAACAGCGAATTTCGTGTAGTATGCGGGTTCTTCGTTGTTCAAATGTTGTTATCACATCACAATCCGCCCTGGCACTGTGGCTTTGCGTGTACGGTACACTGTGGACCATGATATATACATAATTCGGGATAACTCATACTGCCATCCACAAAATCAAAGCATATTTACTTCCATGATTCAACAAATCATACATAACGCTGACAAGTATAATCATCGTTTAATATTATTTCTGTTTTTTGAGAGACGCGATGTCATACTAACTATAAACAGTACGCCATTGCTAACGCTAGATAAATGTGGGTTTAAAAAAATTAAGTGTTGACACGAAATAGAGGTGGTTTCAAAAATAAGGTTAGATATACTTCTACGGGTGAGACTCCTTCTAAATAATCGTATGTGTAGCTATTAAAAATCTTGTATTTCGTTCTTGTAAAGTTTAACGACCATTCGGCACTTGTCGAATGAATGATCCATATTTCTTCGTGTTTGTTTGTGTTACGCCGTATTTATCATTATTAAGATGAGGATAAACTGAAAATGTGCCAAAAGAAGGGGTCTCTAGAAAATTGGCAATTCAATGTGGCGTCTGCACAGAAATTGTTCTCTAACGGCTTGACGTTGATGGGGATGATCAATTGATCACTCTTCCATCGTACACGTCCGTCTTCCGGAGAATACATAAATATATTATGAAGAAAGGATAATATTCTTTGCTCTTCGCAGACAGTGGATGAGGACGACGACGAGAGAATCGATGCATTTAAATCTTTAATCATTGTGTACAAGAGCTCGCAAAGTCTTCCAATATTATCCACCTCACTCAATGGTAATTAAATGATGAATGTTTTAATAGGTTCATTCCTAAATTATTGGCACTAAACTAGTATTAGGAGGTACATAGGAAGGTATATACACATGCATACTGCATGAGTTAGATTAAGCCGTATAATATAATGGTCAAGGAGAAGTCCGGCTTTTGCTTGTTGCTCGAAATAATGGCTGTTGGAGAACGTGCTTACTGTCCTCTGTCGATTGGATATGTCCTCGTGAGGTCATTTTCAAACTCTTGGTTGCATTATTGAGTTGATGACAATGTCGAGGAGATGGACACAAGACACACCATTCGCATGTATTAAACCTTCACTGCTCCTCTCAATAACCACGTTACGTTCATAATTTGGTATATCGTTGTTCGAGAGCTATAAATTAGAAATTCTGCGTAGATTGGACGGACTGTTGTCCAATCTCGTTGCTTGCCAGTCTGAAAATTAGACAGCATCTCACGTCATCGCATCTCTTCTTCTTCTTATTATTATTCTCTGGTCTTATCGACATGGCATTGGATTTGGTTCTCGTCACACGTCATATTTATATACACATGAAAGAAATTGTTGGGGAATGTGTGATAATGTACAGTGTGATGGCGCATTCGAAAGTCAATCTTGAGACTGTGTAGCTGTCACATTTTCGTTTTGAAAAATGATCGAGCCTTCGTTATGATAATTCAGTGCCTATGATCCGTTGCAATTAATTGAACCAACAGAACACTTGGTTGTGGCAATAATAATGTAATAATCTATGCAAAAAGCATTTCATTGTCCTTCCTTTGGGTGGTTCGCCACGTGTGCGCACACCTCACCTCACCTAATCAATTGTGATTGATGAATGCGAATAGAAAACAAGTGTGAATAACATCTTCGGCAGTGAAAAGAAAGCCCGTAGTCATAATAATACATCGACTAATCCGCCCAGGAAATGGATGATCTGAGCATCATATCTCTATACGTATGGCTGAACAATGATCTGCATAACGTATTCATTCACTCACTGCGACATAGGCGACGTTGTATTTGGCATGTTTTTTTATCTATGTGATTTTGTCGCTTTCTTGCAACATTCTCAGGGATCAAAACATCTCAAATGGAGTCGCGGTGCTTCAAAGTTTATTATCATTTTGTGCTCATATGATGACTTACTCGTCATCGTGGTACACACACACGCCCGATTTTACGCCAAGTCGGGTTGCGTGTACAGGAAGAAAAGCCTTTGTTTGCTTAGAATTCGTCTCACCCTTCATAAGCAGATGTACCCCTTCTACTTTTTTTTCGTAATTTCGTCTCCGCCTTCCTGCGTACTTGCACGACCCGTTTGCCTTTGTCATTTGAGTGTGTGACTCTGTATAAACATCATCGTATGAGTTGATGACACTGAACATGTATGCATTTCTAATTTGACATTCAACAGATATCTCACTCACCAACGATTGGAGGAATGTGAAAAGAGTCGGGTTGGGAATTATTTAAAAATCGATTCGCAAGAGAGGAGGATGTTGTTGAGTGAAATATTGGCGTGGTTGGTGGTGAATGTGGCTGTGTTTGTTTTAATACACGGTCTGGCAGTTATTGTGGGCCGTTTTAGTTATTAATTTGAGGGTGGGACACACTCGCTCGCTCGTCTTCGTCGTAATAATAATTTAGTCTTCCTTGCTCCCCATTCAAATGCGATGCGAGGACATAATGCCGTGGTGACCGATATGCTTAAAGGAATTGACAGTTTGAGTTTGACATTAGCATTCATTTGGTATCTCACATGGATGGGTTTTGGTGTAATGTGTGTATGGCGTTGCAAATTTCTCCTGGTTGGTCACCAATGCGCACACTATTAAAATTGGTGACACGCTGCCCAAAAAGGACATGTCGCACGTAGTTCCTGCATCGGAGGAAAGAAATAACAATTGTTCATTGTTGGTAGCAGTGCGCGTCTTCCTTTTTAAATCCCCACACCACCACAACGACGTCTTGTTATTAGCTTTCGTAGGTGGTGGTGGTGGTGGTGATGGATAATAATATGATAATAATACGTATACGATATGCATGTTGTGTTGGACAAAGGTTAATTTGCGGAATGGGTTTTTTGCCCTCTTCGGCTCATGACACTATTTCAGATTAGTTAGTTCTACACTGCTGCAGATGTGGTTAAGAAGGTGACAAGATGTTCTTGCGGAGATCCCTCACGAGGAAGGAAGGGGAGCGAGACATTGTTAAGCCATCCTCCCGATTTTGATCTCAAAGTCTCATTTTTGCCCCGAGCATCGGTTACGATTAAAATGTTGATAATTAGAGAATTGTCAGAGTGGAGTGATCCCTTGTCCTCGTCTCTGTCTTACGTATGTCTCTCAATTAAACGTGATGGCGGTTGTGACGTGGACCTTGCAAGATTGACCTCAGTGTCAGAGTGGTGTAGAATTTTAAACATTCTGTGTCAGCCGTCTCACCCTGTTGTGCAGTACGATGTTGTATCTAATTCCATGGTCTCACCTTACCTCCTCATGTGCCAAGTTGGCTGAGACTTATTGGCTCGTCTCCACTCATTCTCACTCACTCGCTGTTGTCTACATTTTGGGCACGCAGAGGAGAAGAGGAGTATTTGAGACGAGTCTCGGTGAGTCGCAAGTCAGTGCGAATGCGAATTTTGGCTCAGCTGCATCTTTTCGCATCTCTCTCCGTTCCCGTTTTTTGCACTGCTACTCGTTGTCTCATGTACTACTTCTCACTCCACCCCCAGTGGCAGAGGCACACCTGCTCCCCTTCGAGTGAGGGCGTCCTGAGGAGCAGCTAACCTCAGCTCGTTGATTAAATGAACCGGAATCCACTTTCATTCTGTAAGTGAAGCAAAGCAAAGTTTCCAAACTGGAACGTTCGGAGAGTGCATTGTTAGTTGTTAAGTCGAGTTTAAGGAAGAAGGGGCCAAAGTAGCGGAAGAGTTGTGTATCATCGGATCGATCTCTCATCGTGATTGATTGCAAGTGTAATCTGTGCTGTGTGATCCTCCTCCGCCCTCCACGAAATGAAATATGAGACCAAGTACGACCACCAAACTGTTTGCGTTGAAAGTTGAAAGTTGGAATTCCTTCGCACCGGATTGCATTGCATTGATGGAGACGACGACGAGGCTCAAACTTTTCTAGTAAACCAGCAGCAGCCCAGCAACCACCACCGACAGGAGAAAGCTTATACTTTGTACGTACACACGTACATGTGTGCTGGCGAAGTTGGGGAGGAAGATCCCAAGTGGCAACGCAAAGGATTTCGGTTCAACTGAAATTGAAAACGCTGTTGTAAAGCTTTGTGAGCCGAAAATTTGACAGAAAGGAGGCTCTTCTTACCATTATTATATTTCATCCTGCTATTGAGGAGAGGCTTTGTTGTTGCTGTGTTACTCTGATCCAGATGTGAGTGAGTGTGTGGGGATTAATTTATGGGGCGTTTAATATAAAACGGACCAGATTGAGGAGATAATACAGCCTTTGTGCTCGCATGATGGTGGTGGTGGCGGCGGCAGATGTTGTCCAAAAGATTTAGTGGACGAGTGATCCAGAGTGGACGAGAAGGACTTAATTGTGCACATGTCACCTGTCCCAATCTCTGCAGTTGAACTCTTCGGAATGTCCTGTTCGTGTGTCGTGACTGACACCAGCTCACTCTCCGCAGAGAGGCAATAATAATGGTCTCATTGCATAGGCACAGGTGCACTCATCAGTGCAGCCTCCTCCGCGATCCCGAGTAGTCAGTCTCATTTGCAAACTCACGAGAGTTGGAGGTAGACGTGTGGGGGGATCAAGATCAAGAAGAAAACTTTGTGTGTTTGGTGGTGCTGGCACGGCTGGCTCATCTCTGCCAAAGTTTAAGCAGTGAATTTCAAGTAGTTGGTGCTTTCTTCTTCTCGTCGTCTTCTCTGACTGAAGTGGACGACGACCTGCTTTTTCTTCTGGAGCTGAACATACGCCAGGGAAAAGCTGGCTCGGATGATGATGGTTCAATTTCCATTGCTGCACTTGTTAGGTCTGCTAAGGAGCAGGAGGGCACATAACTAGTCGTTAGTGTGTGCGGCGGTGGGAGGCGGTATTAAATCTTGATGATATATGATACACATTCTCAACTCGAGCATCTCAAAGGCCCCACAAAGTGATCCAACAGTAAGAGTTTCCTCCTTCTGTGCACAACTGCCTACCTGGCTTTCTCTCTCCCAAACTGTCTCCATAACTTGTCCTCCAACAGCACGAGGCTCTAAAAGTACAACCTGTAGATGCTGGGCTCTACTATAAATGCGCAAAAGTCCGGCTACAATGTGAAATCCTACAATTATAAATCCAGCAGCAGCGGGTGATAGATACGTAGTTGGGACTATGTACTTGCTAAGAATAGCACATTCCTCTGGTGCTTTTCCATTCACGGTGTGTTAAATAAATTGCGACGACGACGTTAATGTAATTACTTGACGAGATGGAATGAAGAGAAACAAAAACTGATATGTGATTTATGTTGGAGATAAGAGCCACAAGCAGCAGCAGCCGTTTAATAATCAGTCGTGTCGTGCATACAAGTAAAACGTCGTGTAACAACAGCCAAGTTGAGGAAACTCTGTAAGGAGAAGATATTGCTCTCTTCCTCGGCGTGTCTCTCCCTGTGTGAAACTGCACCTTTGGGTTTAAAATTAACATTCACATCGCCAAAGTGAGACAGGGACTTGTGCGAGCAGTAACAGCAGCCAAGTTCCGTGGCCAAGTTCAATCTTCTGTGACGATGAGGACGACTGGGAACGAATGAGAGATGAAGAATCATTTCCTTGTTTCTCCTGCCCATGGTCTCCTCCTCGCTCAACTTGGATGAAAGACGAGCACGAGAAAGTGTTTCAATTTTCCAAGGTTCCTCCATCAACCTTAGCCAATGAGCCCCTAGCCCAGCATAGCAGAGAGTTGCATAAGAACAAGTAAGAACAATACGTTGCCGTGTTCTTCCCGGTCGGGACTTTGTGGTTCGTTGGTGGTCGAAGGAAGTACGTTGTAGTTGTTAGTTAGGACCCACTCAGTCGGCAACTCGAAAATAGTATCTCGCTCCTTTGAAATCTCCGTCTGCGGTGGCTGGACTCTGCTGTTTAGAACTACAATTGAAGAAAGTGGTTGACACACATATCTTAGTTCTCCGTCCGTCTCCCATTGTGTCTGTGCTACTTGATGCTGCTTCAACATTTATTGAATTCAAGTGTGACCCACGAACAACGTGAAGCGTTTCATCTCACCCTCATCTTGGGGAGCATTGTGCTCTGTGAGATGTGGTGACACGCAGACAATTATTGCTGCTACTTCAATGACGTGAATGGATCATAAAGTTTGTTTCCCCTCCTTTTCAAATCCATGAACACCAACTTCCTTGTGCCGAAAAACTACACACAGCGTGTACGGGAGAGGTTAGGTTAGGTTATTATTGCATTTTGGTGGCCCCATTGTCAAACTACCTCTCTTGTCGAGGAGACGGCACAGAAGATTCCGTTGTGAACGGGCCATTATAATAAATCAGACGACTCTCTCTCTCTCTCTTCGCATGCCTACGTATTACGTGCACCTTGGCTTGGCAGCAACCAGGAGACCCATTACATTAGAATATAATGGTACTAAATTAGACATTGATAACCACCTCGCTCATTAAACTGCTCCCCTTATCCTCGCCGTACTCGTCATTGTCCTCTTCTTGGCTGAAGACGCCGCCGTAGAAGTTGTTGAATTCAGTCGAAAGTGGAACGAGGAACGGAAGGACCGTTACGAAAGTGGAGGATTAGCTGAGAAGATGAATATTCAAACGCCGTGGATATTTTTTCCTCCCGCATCTCACCCTCAACAGCAACCCCACCCCCTCAACCCCCAACAACAACAACAACAGGGACCGCACATCTCGGCGGTTGGCAGTACGAAAGGGGTCATGGGTCATGCCCCTGCTGGGATGAGCCTCATTCCACTCAACTACCCAGCACAACTACTCCCTCACCCGCTCACCCCTTCTGGCAACCACCTCGGAACGACTTTCAGCCTGCCCCACCACCACCACCCCCACATTGCTCAACAGCACCCCCACGTCCTCCACACGCAACAATCTGCTCAACAACACCTGCTCCTCGCAGCAGCAGCAGCAGCGGCCGCGTATGAACAACAATGCCAACAACAGCAGCAGCAACAATGTTCCACGGCTGTGGTAGCAGCGACCCGCTTTCTCCAGCAGTCACAACAACAGCATCACCATCATCACCACCACTTGGGGAACGGGTATCATCCCCACGTGGTCGAAGTGGTCCACCAGGTTGGAAATGCCTCACATAATAATCATAATAATAATAAGCCTTATTATTTTTATAATGATGCTGGTGAAAGTAGAATTAATGGGGAGTACTAATTGCCCTCTCACTCTCTCTCCGGTTGGCAGTTTCCGCTGGGGTGTTGTTCCTGGTGAAAGTACACGAGTTTCATTTCATACCTTTCATTATCTTCATTATTCTCACCATTATGCATTGATTATGGTTCTGCTTCTTTCCTCGACTCGTCCTCCCTCGAAGGCTAAGGGCTTTGTTTGTACATGTGTTGGAGGCTTTGTTGGAGTAGGAGGAGGAGGCGCTGCGTGGTGGCCCAGTGTTTCATGGAGCGAGTGGTGGAAACAACAAAGCATTTTATTGTTATCATGATGGCGGAGAGAGTTGGATGGAAGATTTCTCCTGCTGCTCTTCTCCGTCTCCTCTGTTCCTCCATCGTATTGTTCCTCCATATCTCCCACCAAGCAAGCAGCTCCACTATCTCGAACCATGTCGACAGAGGCAGCAGCGGAGAAAAGATGAGAGCAGGGCTCTGCGGGATTGATTAATGATTTGTCACGACGTGACCCTTTTGCTTGCTCGGAGCCATGAGTACGACTGACTGAGATATGATGATGAGGTTATTTCAATTTTGCAAACGGCTCTCTCGCCAGCTCATTCTTCCTTCAGCCCCGTCCTCGATTTCTTATCTTCTAAAAGACAATATAACATGCACACTCTAATCTGCATACACTCGGATGATCGATAACTACCACAGCGTCCATCAGAGGACATGAATCACTGGGATCTGTTTGCTTTCTATTTTAACAATGCAAACTCTGGAGCAAGGTGGAAGGTGAATCGGCCTGAATCCCCACCTCCTCCTCCTTCCTGATCCGGCCGTAGGGAACACGTGTCTGAGAGGGAGGTACGCCACCACCAAAGTTGGAATATTTAAGCTGAGGTTGGCAACGAGCGTATGTTTTATCCTAGTTGTTGATTCTTCTCATGTTCATCAGAATTTTGCAGGCTGAGGAATAATTCATGAACGCTGTACGTACTGATACATATCATACAAAGTTAATATGCAGGTATGTTTGCGTAATGAGAGTTGATGAAGATGGGCAGTGATGTGGTGGTGTAGTGAGCAACAGTGTGACCTGCAGGGTGGGAGACAGCGGTGTAGGGTTGGTGGTGCGGGGAGAAAGTTGTTTCACCTGTTATTTATTCATTCTAATTGGTTCTCCCATGGATGGATGACTCTGTTTTAGAGTAAACACACACCACTCTCTCCCTGTCAACTCGATCGGCCTGACTCCTCCGCCACTGTCTCTCCAACATTTGCCTGGTCAATTGCAATGCATACACCACGACCACGCATACCTACTTGTCGCACCATCACTCGTAACGATGATGGCGACGAGGACATAAGGACCACAGCATTCTGCACACACACAAGTCTCGGGGAAATCATTACAAGATGTGGGAACGCCCGTTGACATTTTGACGTGTTATTTTCTTCCAACAAGTCTTTTCCATCCGCTCATTTCTCTGCTTTCCTCCCACCGCTGGCGAACCTCTCTCTTTCTTTCTCTGATGAAATGGGAGAAAATCGATCCGTTTTTCATGAGTTAAACCATCCGACCAACTGAAAATTATTTATTCATCATTTTTAATAATAAATGTGCTTTCATCTCCATTTGGCGAGTTCTAACGGGGAACCAATTTCTTGAGTAATATTGATCAAATACTTTTTCATTAGTCACAGAAGAGAATGTGTGTTGCTGGTCTGTCTGTGTTTGCAGTGAATACACGCCACACACGCCTCGCCTCCTTCCTCAAAGGAAGACAAAATGCTGTCTTCTTCCTCCAGCTTTCTTCTTCTTCTTTGACTCCATTAAGAAGAATTGGCTGTTGTTGGTTTGCTTTCAATATTTTATTCAGACTGCTGCTGCTGCTGGCGAGAATCAATCCCTTTGCTGCCCACCTCTCCGTCCAGCCACTTCCTACCTACCAGGTTGTCTCGGGAGGTAATCTTCCTGGGTGGGTGAAAGTACACCCATTGCGACGCCTACCCACGTATGCATGTGTGTATGTATTATGGTCGTACTTCTCGGTGGTCGTGGTGGTGCTGAGCAGTTGCCCGGATATCAATTTGATCAGTAGCATATAGCCACGTCAGTCAGGCAGTAGCGGTGTCAGTTTGGTTGGTTAGATGTTATTTGGTCTGGTCGTTCAATCGTTGTCCTCGTCGTCAGTTTTCCGACATCGTCGACGTCGTCTGACTGCTCCTCACCACCTTTCACACTACAATGTACAGCTGCATGTGGGGGGAGTGAGTGAATCGCGGTGATTTTCCGGATCCCAATTGCGTTCGCTAGTCATGAAATATTGAGAGAGGATAAAAGTCTTGTTTCCATCACTGGTGGCTGTGGTGCACGCGATCAAACTGCGAATCGACCTTTCACCCACCCCTGCCAGTGGTGGTAGGAGGTGCACACATACATATGTAGTCGTCCTCCTGCGACATGCACGTCCACAACAGGTCTAGATTGCTTTCACCCCGTGTTTGTCTTGTCGTTCATCATCATCAACCACCGCAGCAGCAGCAGCTAAGCGTCAATCGTCATAGGACACGGCTGCTGCCATGCCACAAACACGGCTGGAAGCGAGGGCGAGCGATAATAATGATAAACCAATTTAATATTTATGTCCAGTCTCAACTCGCTCATCACCATCATCGTCCTCCTTTTGTCCTAATGGGAAAACGATAAATGAAACGCGCCTCGTTGTCCCGGCCAGCTCTGCGGAGAGGCCATGTCGGAGCAGTGGGAGGTTAAAAGGCTGACGACGACCTCAAACTGGAACGACCAGTTTGAACATGACAGGGACAGAATCATTCCCAGTCCTCGTGGTTTTGGTCAAACTAGGTAATTTAGAACTGGACAAATAATAGCATTTATGTAGGGACACACATATCGCAGCTCATACAAGCATACCCTAGCAATATATGCACATAACTAGGTATGCAGGATGTCCATTATGCCAATTATTATTTATGCACGCGAATATTATTCTACTCGCAGTATTATAATACCTGTGCACATAATATGCATTGCACTTGTCGTGCTTAAACTTTGTTCTTTAAACCCTTTCATACGGATTTCGCCCCGTTTCTAAACCTAAATAATATTTGGCTCAATAATAATTGGTTTAATACCACACAAATAATTGGTTTTTTCATTGGTTGGTTGAGATGAGATGCATGATTCTCATTTAGCAAGCAGTTGGTATCATGAATGGGGTTTCGTGGTTGAGAGTGAGGTTGATGATGGATGGCCACGTTGATTTGACGAGATGAGTCAAATCCTCAGCAGTGTTTGATGATGGAGAGTTTCTGTGGTGAGTGAGAAGATAAAAGAATCTGCTTCTTCTCGCCTCGGCATTTTTGAGATGAGGCGACTTTGGAGTTCTCATGAAGTACAATTACAACAATACATCCACACGAGTGATGTAGGGTTTAAAGATGCGGAATGGGCAGTGCATGAGGAAGGCAGGACGCTGTGCCCCCTGGTTCATAAATACTTTTTATTTGAATTGGATTGAATCGGATAGTTGCAATCTGCAGAAATTGCCCTCTTTGGCTGCCAAATAATGCTACTAACTTTGAGCAGTGTTGGGCTGGTTGGTTGCTGTCCCCTGTGTATCACTCCATATTTTCCTTCCTGTCTATTCGACACGAGAAAAATAATGAATGCAAAGCAAAATCGATCTTATTTGCCAAGTTGTGTAGCGATGATGTCTCTATAAATGTGAAGCCTGTGTGTTGCATTGTCCTCTTCTGCTACATACTGCATCCCGTCTCTCTCCTCTCTTACCAAACTGTTAGCAAGCTCTCTTGTTGGGTCGGGATGTGGAGAATAAGAGAGGCTGCTAAGAGTATAATCAATCAGCTTCACGGGAGGAATGGGAGTGGAAACTGGATAAGAATAGAATAAAGAGAGAGATGTAGATTATTTGGAGCAGTGCATAACCCGAGTAGCCCAAACTATTATGGATATCCCTGCTCCTCGAGGAGTTTGGAAATATGAAAAAGTGGATGAGACTCTTCTTCCGCGGAGAGTTTCCCAAGATATTATTGTCTCTTCTAATGGGCTCTCTTCTGGCTTGGATGGGATCTACGTGCATACATCCACCAGATATACATACGCGCATCGTGTGTGCCGTGGTAAAAGATGGATTGCAATGCATACTTCATGTATTATTATTAGCTCAGCTTCTAATCCGCTGAAATAGTCATAGGAAATCGTCTCTTGCTGCTACGGCGTCACTTTTTCCTCTTCTCCTTCTTCTTGGCGTGATATGATCTCCATCCACAGTGGATGGTGTTCCCCTCATCAGTTGTTGGTTGGTACGTTGCCCTGTAAATACATGCACAGCAGCGAGCAGAAAGAATGGCGTGTGGATAAATGTAGGTTGTTGTGATTCGTTGAGTGATTTTGATTGCCTAAATGCTTTATTGTGTTTCCATTGTTTCATATTCTGCTCCTGATGTGTGCTGGGTGAGATGACGCTAAAAACTGTGATGGGCCTGAGGAGCTGGTGTGATGGCAATAAATTGCCACAGAGCAAAATGCAGAGATAAATCTACGCTAGAGATTGGTCTAACTAAACCACTTTCAATAAGTTTCAATTGACGGCTGCTGTTGCTGCTGCTGGAGGGTTTACAACCTGGAACCTGGCAAAAGCAGATTTTTGGACATCAACAATGCGTGCATGATGAGGATGATTTTGTTATGTCCAACTCTTTGAGCGTGTATGTATGTATTTGGTGGAAGTGGATTTTTATTCCACGGTTTATTATCATCATGACAGAGATTTATGGTTCTTGGCGTGTCACATAAATAAGTATGAAGGAAACATTTCATCGCATATTTAGCTCATTTGTGGTCATGTGTCACACCGATAATTTTCTATCGTGGACTTTAATGTTTGTTTTTTCCTCTCCTACTACGTCTGAATTGACGATGAGCGGATGAGCCATGGGACGATTGGTGGATGAGGTTCGTCCGCACTGCAAATGAAGAGATTATCCACTAATAATAAAGTGAAGGGTGAAAGCAGAAGGTTGTTCGTTATGCTGCGGGTGTGGTGGTGGAACTAGGACGATAATGGCCATCCGGGGAATATAAAACGTGTCAAGTTTCTCAGTAATTCTCCACGAGTCTCCAGTTTACGATGTCTCATATTCCCTCCCGTTCTCCTCCCACCCACCCAGCTCCCTCGTGCCTCTTGTATTTACGTATGTTCCTACGTTTGTCTGACCAGCGTGACCTCTTGTTTTTTGCAGGTGGAGGATGGGACGATCGCAGGATGTGCGACGACGAAGCGGAAACTGTCCGTTGACGAAGCAGACTCTGTGATTGCGAGAGAAATTAAAAAGGTGAGACGACAAGGTCGGCTGGTCTCACTTGAGAGACGCCACAAGTATGTCAGCAACATGATTGTAATGACCGTGAGTACGTGTCAAGAGAGAATATTACATAAAAAGAAGGGGGTTCAGGGAAGCACTTAATAGCAGCCATCAGTTATTGCAAGTAGACACAAGTAGTAGAACATTATGTTCTCCTTGCATATGACAAACAGGTTCCTCGATCTGCTTCTTCCTTCCTTCCGAGCGTCCCTTGGATAAATTACGACATGTTTTCCTATGAAAACGAGAGAAGAGCTGTTATTATTCTGGCTGCGTGACCATAATAATTGTGGTCAGAGTTGAAAACTTTGCGGACACGCTGCCTGATTACCTAATCGTAATGTCTTCCTACCATGTACAACCCCCACCCCTCCCACCCTACCGACTGACTGATGGAAGGAATATGCAAAGTTTTTTTTGGTCGAAACCCAAGAAAAAGAACCTCGCTCAAACTTAAGCCTTTGCTTGTCAAGAGAAAAACGTGGCGTAATCTTGTAGCCAAATTGTAACTCATCAAATTTCTTATTGTCCTTATTTCAGGCCAAATTGGAGACAAAGGCATTAAAAGCAAAGCGGCCTGGATTCACGGACGAGAGATATAATGAGACGTCGTATTTCGTTGAAAATGGCAAGTTTTTTGTTTCAATCCCACGAGCTGAGCATTACGACATGACATTAGAGACATTTATGGGCACTGGTCAGAGAGAGAGAGAGAGAGAATTTGTGAGAGAGCTATTATTTGAGACTTGTCTTGATTGTTGCAGGTCTTCGGAAGGTGTATCCCTACTACTTCACCTTCACGACTTTCACCAAGGGTAATTTCGACTATTTAAAAGTATTTTCGACTATTTTACATACTTTTATTATATTGAATAAGGTCGCTGGGTTGGGGAGAAGATATTGGACGTTTTCGCCAGAGAGTTCCGTGCTCACCCCGTCGAAGAATATGTGAGTCCTTCTCCTCCCCATATTTCTATCAACTACGAACTATCACTCACTGTGCAGTCGTGGTGGGGATACATATTCGCGTGTGTGTGTTTGCTTTCTTTCCGCTTTCTTCCCCTCATATTCCAATCCGATGTTGTATGCATTCCACGATACGTATATTCGCATGGGACTTTACTTCCATCCAGGAATGCACTCATCTAAACACAGTGCTTATTGTTTGTCATGCATGCAATGCAATTATGCAGCCTCCCAGCTACTGTGATCGCTCAACCAGAGTGCATACAATCGCTATACGAAGGGAGCACTAACATTCGCCTTGTGAAAGCCGGAAAAGAAGATAGATCATAAGCAGTACTGCTCTTGTTGTGTGTACACTGTTTATGTTTGAGCTTATTTATTATTACGTATATTTAAAGACCAATATTAGACCGTATATACATAATAAGTAACATTTTGATGTACAGGAGAGGTGCATTAAGAGCGGCACTCTAACCGTGAATTACACCAAGGTCGGAACCGACTATCGACTCAAGCACAATGACTTACTTGCTAACATTGTTCATAGGTAATGATGAATCTTACTTCTCTCCCCCCTCAGTGTGTAACCATGTTGTCGTAATTCCGTACTTTTAGCGCTTGCCATTACTATACGAGTATTTTCTAATACTTGTTTGTTGTGTCTTACGCTTATCATTCCTCTTACCGCGAAGGCGGGTATCGTAGATAGTACGTAGCAAGAAAGTACAGGGTTGTACTTTCTCACTTTTTTGGTTGCCCTGCTTTTCCCGAGATACCGAAGTGGGTAAGGGTTCTCCGTGTGGCTGTTATTTGTAGGTTGGTTGGGAACTCTGGCCGTCGTCGCTGAAAAAAATTTCTTGCCGTGTTGCTCAGAAAATAATGAATTTGTTCCTTACAACAGGCATGAAGTACCTGTGACGGCGGACCCAATCGAGGTGGTTTACATGGATGACGACTTGGTTGTTGTAGACAAGCCGGCATCAATTCCTGTGAGTGATTTGAATCAGTAATTTGACAGATTTCAACATGACTAACATTAATTTTACTTATTTTCCTCTTTTCTTTGTTCTCGCTCTGCGCCGCAGGTTCATCCTTGTGGTCGATATCGACACAACACGATGGTCTTCATCCTAGCCAAAGAGTACCAGTTGAAGAACTTGAGAACAATTCATCGCTTAGATCGTCTCACATCCGGACTTTTACTTTTTGGGAGGAATCCCAAGAAGGCTCGTGAGATGGAGCAGCAAATTCGAAACCGCGTCGTGTCCAAGGAGTACGTTTGTCGCGTGGAAGGAGAATTCCCAGAGTAAGGGAGCCCCCCCCCCTTGCAACTAATACAAATCATATGCTAGAAGGTGGCGAAATATGGTTGACATCTTATCGTGTTTTCAATTTCAGTGGGGAAATAGAGTGTTCTGAGCCCATCCTGGTGGTCAGTTACAAGATCGGCGTGTGCAAGGTAATTGTCCGTCGTAACAAACATGTCTGAAATGATTTTTGAAATACTGTCTAATGAAATAAAGTGACATACAATTTTTTAATCGACTAGGTGGCCAAGGATGGAAAGGACTGTAAAACCACTTTCAAAAAATTGAGCTCGAATGGGAAAACGAGCGTCGTTTCAGCCAAACCCAGAACTGGCAGGATGCATCAGATTCGGGTTCATCTCCAATACCTGGGTACGTAAGCATGTACATATGAGTGAGTGATGACTACTTACGTGATGAAGAAGTGAGTGTAAATGTGATGAGAGCAGAGGGATCGGGTCGACTACTCTACTTGATTGATTTTGTAAAGTTAGTAGAATTGCACACTTGGAGCTAAAATATATTTTAATTCCCGAAATGCAGGCTACCCAATCATCAATGATCCGCTCTACAACCATCCCGTCTTTGGCCCTGAGAAGGGAAAGGCTGGTGTTATTGGGAAGAGTGACGAACAACTGATTCAGGACCTGATCTCCATACACAACGCCGAAAACTGGTTGGGAATTGAGAGTGAAGAATCGGGTGGAAGAGGAGGCGACATGTTCGGACCCCCCACGTCAAAACCAACTGGGTCGCAAGTGCTGGGCATGATTCCCCCCTCGCTAAACTTCAAGTCCTCACCAGATGAAGATGACGATGATGATGACAGCGACATTGGAACAAGAAATGCTGTCAACTTGTTGGAGGGTGACGACTCGGCAAGTCCTTCGTGTGGAGATGGTGGAGTAGGAGGAGAAAAGGAATGCGAAACAAAAGAGGAACAATTTACGAATAATTCCGAATTGAAGGATTTGCCAACTGTCCAACGCGGAGCGGATCACGGAACTGTTGGTCTCAAATGTGATACAGATCTTGTTTCTCTTCTCGTACCTGCCGAGAAGGTGACCGTTGGAACCCAGACTTGCAGTGAAGACGAAATTTTGGGGAATGTTTGCTCAAGCGGGACCACCAGCTCCACCACTATTGCTTGTACGACCATTGGGACGTGTGTGAAGGAGGGGAATGAAGGAGAGGGAAAAGCCGCGGAGACAGGAGGAGTAGTTGATTGTGGGAGCTGCAGCAGTGAGTTGAATCAACCGTTACTTTTGAAGGACAATAATAATTCCAGCATTACCGACTGTGAGGACTACAACAAGGAGAGGATGACGTATGACCAGCATTGTTATGAGTGCAAAGTACGATATCGAGATCCTAAACCAAAAGACCTCATCATGTACCTTCATTGTCAACGATATTCAGTAAGTTCGTTGTCATTATTGTTATATTGCACTCAGAGGAACTTTCCGCGTTTCCTCGTGGAATCACATTTACCAATTTTCTTTTGATATTGCAGGGTCCAGAATGGGAGTATACAACAAAATTGCCTCCATGGGCCGCCGCTGACTGGGTTGAGCCGGATTAGATAATCAACGTTTATAATTTTTAAAATAAACAAAAAATAGTAGCCTGTGCATTAAGACAAATCGGAGTAATAAATTATTCTCACCAAAAATATATCAAAGAGCGATCACGTGAGATCTCGAACTTTATTGTTGTTTTATTCATTATTTTTAATATTTTTATAGTTTTGCTAATAAGAAATTGGTACATTTTTAAGGCGGCTCACATACCGTACATGCATACATAATCTACCTATATTTATACGACAAATACGTGGATACTTTAATTAATAATTAAATAAATTTGACTCGACAAACGATGACAATTTTAAAGATTGAATCCTTGAATTGGAGAGGACGTGTTTGCGGGTCCTCCTCCCCCAACCGATCGTCTGTGGTGTCTTTCGTCAGCGATTTCGCGCTGACGGTCCCTCCTTGACGTCCAACCTCTGGGGGATCGTCTTCTGGGAGAATCTGAACCCGAGGACTGCCCATCATCAGAATAGTCCCCTCTTCCTCCTCGTATGGGTGAAATTTGATCCTCCAAATCCGAGTATGTCGGGGACACTCTTCCGAGGGGGGCAGGTCTATGGACTTCCCGATCATCATCATCCAACGGGAGTGGTGGGGGTGGCATAAATCCATCTCCCAGCCCAAAGTATGAAGGGATGATATCATCAGGTAAGGGAATTGGCACCATGTCCGGAGTTATCAAAGGATATATGGCAGTCGATCCGTCTCCATTCACACCTGAAAAGGAGGATAAAGAAATTGAATAATAACAATAAAAGTAAAAAAAAAGAGCGAGAGAGAAGAGATATGACATGAATGCATGAGCGAGACTTCTTGTACATACGTATTTATTACATGTGTACATAGTATACGTACCTTCACCTTCTTTCTCTCGTGTGACTGCAGTCAGTTTCTGTCTCAACATCTCAGACTCCTTCCGAGCATCTTGTGCCTTTCTCTCCGCTTGGCATAATGACAGCTAGCAATAATAAAGATTGACACATAATTTGGGTGGCTCAACTTTGTGTGTGCGCACACAACACACATGTGAACAACAACACGAAAAAGGAAGCAAATAAATATCATGTGCACCCACCCAATGCTCGTGACTCTTTGTTTCCTGTGCTCGAACTTCATTTCTGTGCTGCAATTTGGTTTCTTCAAATTCAATCTTAAACTCTTCAAGTTGATTCTTTAGCACTTGATTTTCCTCTGCGCTGGCGTCCAACATTTGTAAGAGTTCATCCTTCCCCTTCCCTCGAAGCTTCTTCTCGGCCTCGTATTGCTCCACTGCCTTCCGGAGGTCTTCTTCCTTCTCTTTGAACCAGGCCTCCAGCACGACGAGACGATTCGTGGTTTCGTCCTTCTCCTTCTGCACGGAAGACAACGATTCGTTGGCTTCCCTCAAATTTCCTGGAATTATAAAAAACGTTAGGAACAAACAGCATGTATGCACACATCGTTATGCAAATCATAGTCAACATTATGAGAGCAACAAACTTACGAGAAAGGGAGGCATTTTCCAAGGTTGTGGAATCCAACCTGTGCTTCAAGGCGGAAATGGACTCTTCTGCGCCTACTAACTTGCCTTTTAATTCAGCAATGTCTAACAATGGAGAGTCCTCTCCCAGCGTCTCTTGGAGGGCAAACAGCTCATTCTCCTTGTTACTAATCTCGGTATTTAAGGCACTCACGGCATCCTCATATTGTTGGCAGATTTGCTTTAAACTGACTAGCTCATCGCCCAGGAGAGACTTTGATTTTTCGAGCTCGTTTCGTTCATTGTCCACAGCTCGACGGCGATCAACTTCGAGAAGGAGTTTGGACTTCAGTTCGCCAACTTCCTTCTCGAGCATGTCACATTTCATGGTTAGCGTTTCGTTAGTCTGTCGTTCCAACTCGAGCTCCATCACCGCTGATGATGACTGTGCTTGAGAATCCGTTAAATCATCGACGGTTCGTCGCAATGCATCCTTCAAACTGGTTACTGTCGTCTTGAGTTTTTCCTTCTCTTCCATGATCTGCATTCACAGTGAATTATGAATATACACATTACAGCAACACACTATGTAGCAATTATTTACTAGCTATTGATAGTTAGTCAATTTTTTGTTCTTATAGTTTGACTTTTAGGTTATAATTATTGGTACCTTTTTCTTTTTTTCCACCTCCTTGTCCAAGAAACTTTGCATATCACCGGTCAATTCCTTGTGATTTTTCAATTCCTTTTGATATTTGACAACCTGCTCCTTTTGCTTTTCTTCCAGCTTTTTTAAAAGAACAAGCTCGTACTCTAGCTGCTCCACACGCTTCTTGTCCTCGTCATAAGCCAGCGCCTTCTTCTTGTAGTCTTCAAACTCTTCCTGTTGATTCTCGTAAGCTGTGCTCACCTGGAATGGTCAGTCAAAAAAGTTTAGGATTCAACTACCAAACCGACGACGACGCCTTACAGATAGGACATGTGACGAGTGGATGATAATAGTACAAATAGTTTACCTTCCACAAGGATTTGTTCAGCTCCACCACCTTCTTCTTCAAGGGGCGCACAGAGAAGAATCCCTCGATGAGAAAATAGGGAACGCAGATAGAGACGAGTGTGAGGGCAATAATCCCTGTGAATACCAATGCATCGTCAACGTCCAAAATTGTATCCTGAAGATGCTCGGGGAGGAAAGACAACAATGTGGAACTTAAATGCTTTGCGATAACAATAAATGAGGAGGTGTCCTTGTTGATGCCCTGATCACTATGTGAATGTTGATGATCATGGTCACCGTGGTCATGGTCGTGGTGGTGGTCTTCACTGTAGGTCGGATTTTGTTCCGATGACAAATGTCCTCCATCATCCAGATTTTCCCCCCAACCTTTCTTGTCTGTTGGGAGAACCTTGCTGTCAATTGGTGATGATGTCTCGTTGCTTTGGGGCGGTTTTTCCTCCACTGGACTTGGAGTGGTGCTGGCTTCAATAGTCGCCTCATTGAAATCTGAATTTATATCGATTGATGAAGAACTATTGATGCTGACCGATTCCTCCTCATCTTTGCTAGCAGGTGATGAAGATACGTCCCCTATGAGTAGGTTAATATCGTCGCTTTGCGGAGTTTCTTCTTCCACTGGACTTGGAGTAGCGGTGATTTGAGCAGTCGACTCAGTGGTAAGAGAATTAATGTCAATTGAATCACTCTCCGCTGATGTGTCCTCTACGAGTAGCTCAGTGTGTTCGACTTGCGGCGTTTCTTCTTCCACTGGACTTGGAGTGGTACTGGCTTCAATAGTCGCCTCATTGAAATCTGAATTTATATCGATTGATGGAGAAACACTGACGTTGCCCGATTCCTCCTCCTCTTCGCTAGGAGATGTCGAAGATGTGTCCCCTGCGAGTAGCTCAGTTTCGTCGCTTTGCTGCGTTTCTTGCTCCATCGGACTCGGGGTGGTGATGGTCGTGGTTTTAGCAGTCGACTCAATGACAGGAGAATTGATATCAATTGAATCACTGATGTTGGTTGACTCCTCATCTTCTTTAGCAGGTGGTAAAGATGTGTCTGTCGTGTCGACGAGTACTTCAGTTACATTGCTTTGTGGCGTTTCTACTTCTATTGAACTTGGAGTGGTGGTGGTTTCAACAATCACCTCATTGGCATCAGAATTTATACCGATTGATGAAGAATCACTGACCTTGGCCGAATCCGCCTCCTGTTCTTTAGCAAGTGGTAAAGATGTGTCCTTCGTGTCGATGAGTACTTCAGTTCCATTGCTTTGTGGCGCTTCTACTTCTATTGAACTTGGAGTGGTGGTGGTTTCAACAATCACCTCATTGGCATCAGAATTTATACCGATTGATGAAGAATCACTGACGTAGCCCGACTCCTCCTCATCTTCTTTAGCAGGTGGTAAAGATGTGTCCTTTGTGTCGACGAGTACTTCAGTTTCATTGCTTTGTGGCGTTTTTTCTTCCACTAGAGTTGGGGTGGTGGTGGTTTCAACAATCGTTTCATTGACCTCAGAATTTATATCAATCGATGAAGAACCGTTAACGTTGGCGGTTTCCTCTTCTTTAGGCTCGACATCTTGCTCTAACCCATCTAACCCAACACTACCGAGCAGGTCCTCATTTTCTGGATTAGGCCAAATTGGAAGTTCGTTGAGCGGATATTTAAACGTAGACGACCGTCGTCCAACTTGATCTTCTCGCACCATACTCTTGGGAACCAGTCCAACTTTTGTTCGTACCTGAAAAAGGGACGACCTTATTTCATTGGCAAATGGTAACAGCACATTCAAAATCACTTATTATTTTTTACCGTTCCAATCCAATCCGGCCCATTTATATCAACCGGTTTTCCTAAAATCTTTATGTCCTCATTCTGCCTGAATGATAAATGGCGATCCGTCTTTCCCATATAGTTGAGCAGAGTTTTGCCTTTGGAAATAAATTCTACCCAAACAAAAATTATGAATTTAGATAAAAAGCTTTTTAAAAAGTACTTAAATATTAGAGTGTAGAACACTCGACTTCCTGTTTACCTTCACAATTCCAGTCGGCGCAGTAAAACATTTGAGTGTCCGAAGTCTGATTGAGGATGAAAGGTAGGAAGCCCAGGGTGACAATATAGTACCGAAATTGGAACGCCATGGTTGGTTGGAAGATTGGTCGAGATGACCACAGCCAAAATAAAAGTCAGCTGATCACAAGTTTACAACCTGCTCGTACAATATTCACAAAAACCCATTACAGAAGACAGAAGAGAGTAATTTTGCGTACTTGATTCAAAGAACAAGAGTGCACATGAGGGATGGTTGTATTTAAAAGAACTAGTAACAAGTAACAATTAACATGACCAATGACCAAAATAGATAAAGCACACGTCCTTACCAGCGCGACGCTGAGATAGCTGCATCCCTTGTAGATCAAATACGTCGACTCGAAATGTGACAACGCTCCTCTCGGTGCTGACCTCTGACCTGTCTGCCTAACCACACAGAAAATGAGGTGGACAATTAAATCCAAGCCAAGGATCGTGAAAGGGTTCTCCTGTCCAAGTTTTTTTGACACGTTGGCAACTCTCTCAACAATTCCCGCCAGCCACTCAATGGACTCTTGGAATAACGCAATTACAGCGTCAATAATTTGTACATGCATTTTTTCAGAAGAAATAATTTATACAATAAAAAGCAGTGTCGTTTTTCAGTATTTTAATAATTTTAAAAGTAAATTCTTACAACAACATAATGGAAGAGAGGCGAAATACTGGGCACGAGTCACATTGTTAATGTAATTTATGTACTAGAGACGTCACAATTTATGGTAGTAAAATAACGGATGAAAATAATTTTGTTTGTTAACCAATGAATTGATCAATTAACGATCTCAAATTAATCATACTCATTAATCAATAATTGATTAATTTATCGATTAATCAAAGAGGCCTGTAAAAATAATCTTTGTGGAATCACATAAACGCGTGCATACCCGTTGTTGTGTCTGCATTGTTCCGCATAATAGTCACAAAAATTAGCAAAATAAGATGGCCAATGGTAGTGTGTCACATATATTGTTCTACATTTTCATAGCAAATACATCGTGTCAGACTAATAAGAGAGTAGCGTATGGTAATAAGAGTTCCATTTTTGTTCAATATCATTGTCATTATCATTAAAGTAGTTACTAACAATATATTATACTCGTAACAGTAGAGCAATAATAATAAACTGGTATTTTGATCCAGTCAAAATACTGATTGTTTCACTGGGGAGTAGAGTCAGGACTTCATAATTAAGATATCCACACACCCGATTATCGGTCGTATGTGATAGCAATCGGAAAATACCACTAGTCAAAAACTCTTTTACCTAACATGTGGCATAATAATAAATAATAAATCCATAAGATAATAATAATAAATAATATTGATCAACCCAGAAATTCGTGTCCCCCAGTGAGTAACATGGAAGATTGTAAAGGAACGCTCAGCGCTCATAATCGTCTCGCATCTCATCTCAAATCTGCATATATATACATTTTCTGAAACACTAGGAAAGAAATTTCACAATTTTTTGGCAACATTGATTAAGGATAGTATGTGTTTGTGGGAGAATTGTGACCTTCCCAGCACAGCTGAGAAGACGTATACATTTACTAAAGGTATTCCGTTGGAGTTGGACAAATCGAGAAGGTGATGAAGAATACTCCCTCAGTTGCGAGTGGGATTGGCAGAGTTCCCAAAGAGGGTATACTCTCCAGAGCCAGACTGACCATGTATCATAGATGAAGACGTCTGAATTCCGGAGCCTACGGGCCCCAGCCGAGGTTGATTCGTTGGGTCAGGGGATTGGAGGCCCGAGGGGGGTGAAGGGACACCATAGGGGATGTTCAGCAAGGAGGATGGTGTTCCAGCAGCCGCAGCCGCAGCAGCAGTTTGCTGTTGGAGCGTGTCTAAAGCTGAAGTTGTGACTTCAGGGTCAGAGCCACATGTTGTTAGCACGACACCTAGAATTGTGATATGATAATTTGGTTAATACCTCAAAGTTAGATAATTATAGTTAAAGTGGACATTAATAATTGCATATTGTGTGCAACTAAAGCATAACATTCAAATATCTACAAATTGAAAAAGAGTCCCTTTACCAGGCATAGTTTCAGACGGCGGCCAGAGCGACGTTGTCTGTGGTTCATCCTCATCCCCAGCATCATCACCATATTCACCTCTGGACTCTTCGAGTGGAATATCTCTGAGAGTGTGGTTTGAGGGTGTGGGTGGCTTGGTGGATAAGAGATTAATGGCGTCCATCAACCCATAGTCTATGTCCGAAGGTTCTGTTCGACGACCAGAATCTGTTCAAAAACCGCAAATCCTATTAGTTAATCATGTACCAACTCAAATACATTTAACACGAAATGTTATTCATATTGTTGTGTACATATGTGAGAGATTATTATCATATGAGTGAGATATGTTGGTTGGAAAAAGGCAATAGTAATCATCAAATGTAATCTTAGACCAATAATGGTAGGTCGCTAGGCGCGTAACAAGAGGTTACGATTTCGATACCGCTTTCGATGCCGGTTGCATTCAATTTTTGCTCACTTGCCTTACTCTGACCAATATATTTTCCAATACATATGCCTACCTGTAGTACTTCCAGGGGGTTGATTAGCAGGGACTGACCATCTGCGACTAAATGGGAATGCGGACGAGAGAGCGAAACCAGCTCCAACTCCACCACCTCCACCACTAGAGGAACCTCCACCATAGCTACTGCCCGACCCATATCCTCCGATACTAGAATAATTTCCCCCGGAGGAACCAGAATTGCTGCCACTGTTGTGACCACTCCCACTGCCGATGGTAGGATTTGCAAACGTGTGGGTGTGAGCAGACCAGCGACGGAAGAGGTAAGGTTGGTAACTATCCCCTCCGTATGGCATGAGCGGACTTGGAGGTTGCGAAGGAGTGAATTTTACGGAAGGACTGCTTTCAAAAAGACTTTTCGTCGACAGACGAAAATAACAAAATATAAATTTAGTACAACCAAAAACGAGAAGACAATACATTAGTGAGTACATGAGAGGAGTATTGTCTACCTAGACGTGCGAGATCTTCCACCAAAAGGGTGTAGATGAAGACCGCCCGGACCAGGGGATGAGCTTCTAGAAGAGAATGAGGACACGCCGGAAAAGCTGCTTCGGGGGAGGCTGAATCCAGACATACAGCTCTCAGTGCTCTCTCGTCGGTCCGAAGATGAGCTGAAGGACGCCATAGTGGGCGAACGAGCCATATGAGTATCCGGACTTCGAAGGAATGAGCCATGAGCAGAGGATGCGCAGGAAATGTACAACTGGCAGAAACGCCACTGGATTTGAAAGAAGGCAGAAAAACAGGAGCGAAAGACCTGAAGAGGAAAATCACAACTATGCACTTTAATCAGCTTTACTAGATTTGTCATAAATAAATACTAGGATACATAATAATCATGTGTTGTTATTGCTACACTGAGAACGAACCTCGTAAGTATTTGCTGAGTTGAAGGAAGCAGGATCATGCATTACACTCTGGACGGTTTCCTGAAAATCATAGTTCAATTCTTAGCGTTATGTTTCCTGAGAAGTAATACATGTATGCATACATAATGTAAGTAATTAGACATTAATTAAACATGGTTTATTCGTCAGGTTAAATATTTTAAATATTTTACCTGAAGCAGTGGGAGTAACTCGGAAATGAGACCTATACAGAGTTATGCATCATCAGTCTTTGTATTTTGAACTAATCGTGTTGCTCTCACCATTCGAGTCCGCAGTAGCAACTTTGTGAGCCAATTCCCAAGTAGATACGGATTGGGTGAGCATATCACTATCTATCGTCGTTCCGGACGACGTACAAGCCCCTAGAGCTATACAACACGGAGGAAATAATAAACAATAGTATACTATTATTATATAATAACACTGGTATGTTTTTTGGTCTTATTACCTCCAGGCCCAGGGGACAAAAGGCGCTCAAAGTTTTTGGCCAGCGTCACTCCACTCTCGCACAAAACTTCTAAACTCTGGAAACCAGAACCATAATTACTTAAATATACCTGGTAATAATTAGTCATCAGAAATCTCCTCCTTTAAATACCTTAATGTACGTTGATAAGTTTCGAATCATCTCATGCAATGAACTTAGAGCCATGTTTGTATCACTCATAGTACCCACCACACGAGGAGCCCTGTTGGTTATTATAGCACGACAGATTGTAGACTTATACTTCTCTCGTTCTTCAAGTTGAAGACTTCAACTACAACTTGACACTTATTTAAAAACAATTGTTCAGCTTCTGGCTGCTTAAAAATATTTTCCTGTCACGGGGTTTCTATCTTTGCGTTCGACAATGAGGTTGCAGCGTGTTCGGGAAAATACTGACTAGGAATGTAGTTCTGTATGGAATAAAGGAAAATAAAAGATTAAATTTAGATCCAAAGTTGGTCAACCAAGGTGTAAACAAATACCTTGCAAGTATGAGACGTTGAGTACATTCAGAAATTGTCATTTTTGTTGAGAGGAAGTAAGGCTATTGGAATAATTGAAGGGGGTTGGATTAATCGTGGGTGGGTCGTTCTTACATCCAAGTATTTAACCCATGGAACAGAAAAAATTGCAACGACGAACCATGTTTAACGTTAGCCCAGGGTCAGTGCAGAGCGTTTAGTTTTGTGCAAGTCTCCGCAGCAATCCAGCACTATTTGTTGTCTTCCTTGTATAATAATACTCGAGAGAAGCAGAATATTTTTGTAGGTGAACAGTTCAGCTGCTCCGAGGAAACTGTGTGTAGTTCCCAGATTTCGATGGGAAAAGTGGGATCGCTCGTCGTCTCACTCGCTCGCCCGATGTGGCCACCACTTTCTCTGCGCTTTCTCCTCACCTCCCCGCACTCCCCCTGAACTTGAACTTCTCCTCCCCAGCGGGACGTCCTCCTTATTTTCCTACTCTGCCCTCACCAAGGTCTCTTGTCCCATTCTTGTCCCAGCTGAACGGAGCTGGCCTTGCGTATCCAACACGGAGCTGGCTATAAATATTCGTATCAGCCAATCAATTGTGCCCTTCTTCTTATTCTTGCTGTTTGGGACATAAAAGGTAAGGTCATTGTCAGGTTATCGGGGGACGTTTGGGGACAGACCAGGACTGTGCATGCATGTAATTATGGAGTGTGCACAAAGGTCAGACGGCAACGCAACAGCAACAATTCTCTCTCCTCGTGGATGGCGATGGTGGCTGCTGATGGAATGACGCACATGTACTTTCTCTCGCTTTCTCCTGTGTGGCTCTAAATAAAAGCAGTAGTCAAATGCCAGGGTTGAATTTCACGAATCTCTCTCTCTGACTGTAGTTCTGCTATGCATCTCCTCCAGAGAGAGATCCGACCATTGTAGAGACCATTGCATTTACGAGGGAGACCTGGATGGATGGAGAAAGCACACGAGGATTAGGAAAAGAAGAGGGTACGATGATGCTGGGATTCCTCTTTCTGAGAAATGCTCTCCTTCCACTTCTCCAATAACAACAATGAGTGAATTGAGGGGATTTAGTGTCGTCGGCCCGTTCTCATTTCTCCTCAACGCAGGCAGACAACACTTTTATATTTTTTCTCCAACTCTTTCCCAATCTCATCTTGTTCCCGATTTCTTTCTCCAAAAGTTAAATAAGTTTGGTCCAATTTGTTTGCTCAAGAGTTGGGAGCTCTCTCCTCGCAATCATCATAATAACATCATCCTTATGATCCAATTTATTTTATACAATAACAACAAGGTCCTCATAATCAGATTGAGATGATGATGCGCATTTCGCATTTCAACGGAAATGCCAGGGTACACAGGACGGCTGCTGTTATTTGTACAGATATATACAGGTGCGAGATCAAGAGTTTTTTGCTTCTAAACATCTAAACTTTTCTGCCTACGTGACAATTATGGGAATATTTAGCACAATTCTCGGAATTATCAAACTTTCCTCCGTGTGAACAAATATGAATATCGTGTCTAAAACTTGAACTCGAGCAGCTCAAGTTCCAATCATCAAGTGTATGTAAATACATTATGAAAAGGTTGCTCAATTGACATTATGCAAATATTGCTTTCCAATTCCAACTATATGCTTTGCGTGACGATTGAGCATAAGGAACTTTGGTCGGTACAACAGTTTTGATATTGCATGTAATGTGGTCACTTGGTCACCTATCATATTTGTAACCGAGGGGGCTGACGATTCCATAAGTAATGAACTCACTCTTCCCCTTGACCGAGGTGGCTAGTCAGCATGCTTATTGTCATTCAAGGAAAAATGCACTGTGGAGAAAGTCCGAGGCACGAGTGGAACTATGCAAATAAGTCGGAGAGAGGTAATGATGGAAGTCAATGGGAAACAAAACTTGTGGTTGTGATGCTTTTTCGCACAGTGAATCCAAAACCGAATGACGTTTGTTCCGAGCAAATGACGTATTCTTCCACACAGAATCGAGTTGTATGCAATGCCAAACGTACCGAAACAAGGAAGGAAGGAGCTGCTACACTGCTACACAACAACCACCTCGAGGAGAGAAAAGCAGAGAGAAAGTAATTATGCAGTGTATGACCTCATTCGCACCATGGCGAGTGGATGAGAGGACTTGTACCATACACAAAAGTATTTAGTGGATATTTACGAGCGTCCCAAGAAGGCGACCTTGACATTGGTAATCCCTCCTCTCCTCCAATTTGTATTTGTTTTTAAGCCAAGTCAGGGCTTATGGAACCATCATGTCTGCCCGTCCGTCCGTTCGAGATAAGATGGGAGCCAAGACTGGAGTTCAAATTTTGCAAACATGCATACGGGGCAAAGTTAGGAGTTATGTTCGAAGATGAACAAAATCGGTCCAATGTTTGACCGGTGGAGGTCATGTAGGGTGTAGTATTATGCACCAACATTTCAAAAGTGTCGGTAATTTGGCACATGTGACACCGAAGTTAAAAGTGAGGAAAGTGTAAAAGAGTGACCCATGCCGTTTTTAAAAGTTGTCATTTTCAGCTGAAATTTGGTATGGAGGCTAAAAAAACATTTGACCATCCCCACCAGGGGTGGTAGTGGTCGTCCAATCAATTCAGACAACAATTTGGATGCGGACTCTGACCCTGTCTCGGGCTAAATGCAGTGTATGTTTATGTATATTCATGTTTTTGTCATTACATATGTACATGCATATGAATAGGCAATGTGTATCCTTGCTCATAAGTCCAATGAGGCTACGAAAATTCACGTAACAATTAACAGTGCAGATTGCATACACAAACCCAGCTAACAGAAATTGTCCACCACTTTTTTTACATGCATGCTATTTGCTATTTATATAGAGGATATTCATTATTTCTTCGTATCCTTAGTATCGTAAAATAGTTTACGAAGATAAAACAAGGGGTCAGGTTTCGTAAAAATCGTAAGCGTAGTAACACGTTTTTCGATGACAAAATCTTACGACGCTTACAAAATCTCGTAAGCGTCCCCTAGCTGCACAGACCGAGAAATACACGTGCTCGATTGGGGTAAAGTCGTGGCAATCTGGGGTTCGTGTCAAATTCGTGTAAAATATTTTGGATACTCGTGTTTTTCTCTGTTGCAGAACACCAAAATCCACTGTGTTACAAAACACGTGTATTTTCCAAGGCAAAACTCGTGTTTCATATCCGTGTATTTTTGGTAACCAAGTCAGGGAAATACTCGTGTTAAAAACGTGTTAAAATGGTGTTTAGTTATTCTTTCCAAATGTTGCCTCCACCGCTAAACTTAATAAAGCACAGTACAGACACGGCAAGATTTTTGTGGATTTATGATAACAATTTATTTTAAGTTTAATTAATTACATATTTCTGAAAATGAAAAAATCCCGAGATAGACAGATGCAAAGGCAAGTTCGCAGCGCTGTAGCTGACTTTAATTTAGTTATAAATACTGTGTCACCAAATTTAACGGAAAACTTGGAAATTTCAACAATCGACGAAACTTTATATTCGTCCCAAGCTGAAGTCGACAGGTTTGAGGTTGAAAGTGATAGTGCTTCGAGTGTGAAATCAGTGTCAAGTGTTAATGGTACGAGCACCGAAATTGATTGTGAATCAGTCACCGATTTAAGTGATAAGCTAAGAAGTTGGACAATAAGTCATAACATAACCGCTTCCGCAACGAGTGACCTGTTAAAACTTCTTCATGGTCATCATTGTTTTAAGTACCTGCCCCTTGATAGTAGGACTTTATTGCATACCCCGAGGGCGACAGCAGTTATTAATGTACCACCCGGACAATACTGCGCGTTTGACTAGGTAGCATCAATCCGCAAAATAATTATGCAACGCGATTTAAGAAATACAAGAGTGGAAATTCAAATAAATATTGACGGAATACCATTATACCACGGCTCGTCCCAACAGTTCTGGCCAATTTTAGGCGCAATTAATGACGATGTTTTCGTAATTGGAATATACTCAGGTCAACAAAAACCGAATTCCTTAGACGACTTCTTCTCACCATTTCTTCAGCAGTTGGACGAGGCCCCAAGACAACTATTAATTAATGGCGTTGAATGTAAAATTAAGTTGAGTGCCTTGATTTGCGATGCCCCTGCGCGTGAATTTGTGCTAGGAATAAAGTGCCATGCAGGATATAGTTCTTGTGGAAATTGTACTATTAAAGGAGTATACTATAAAAACCGAGTAATATTTCCATATGGCAACCACCCTGAAAGGACCGATGCATCATTTCGTGCAAGACTTGATCCACAACATCACCATGAAGCTACATTCATTGAAAAAACCGACTTGGATTTGGTCAGAGACTCACCAGGGGAGTATATGCATTTAGTGTGTCTTGGAATTGTAAGAAAAATCTTATTCTTGTTGACAAAGGGTAAAAAGTGTCCTGCCAGATTGCGGCCCCATCAAATCGAAGAGATTTCAAATGAGCTACTAAAACTTAAAAAGAGCATACCATGCGAATTTGCCCGTAAACCTCGCAAATTGAAGGACCTTGAATATTGGAAAGCCACGGAATTTCGTCAGTTTATACTGTATACGGGCCCACTGGTTTTGAAAAACATAATTTCCAACGACTTATATGAACATTTTATGTCACTACATGTTACAATATCGATTTTGGCTGACAAAGTTCTTCATATAACACACAACAACTATGCAAATGAATTACTTAATTATTTTGTCAAGCATTTTGGAACACTTTATGGTGAAGAAAATATGTCGTTTAATGTGCACGGACTCCTACATTTAGCAAGCGACTGCATTAATCACGGCCAACTCGACAAATTTAGTGCATTCAAATTTGAAAATAAACTTCAAGAAATTAAAAACTTGGTGAGATCAACAAATTGCCCCTTACAGCAAGCGCACAGAAGACTGATCGAGAGGGAGAACCAAATCCTTCCAGCCGCCTCCACTCCATTCGTGCCATGCCTAAACTCGCCGTGGTCGTATTCCAACCCTCCAGCCTACTTCGCTAATTGTTCTGAATTTTATAAGAAGTTTCAGAACACATTATTTAAATTAAGTGTTTTAAGTGCAGATAGGGCGTGTGAAATACTAAATGGCGATATTGTGATTATTAAAACATTTCTTAAGAAAGACGGGAAGGAATTATTCGTTGGACCACAGTTTATAGATAGGACTAACTTTTACTCGACTCCGTGCCCATCTTCAGTGTTAAATATTTATTTATTGTCAAAACCTGGGCCAATTAAGTGCTTTAATACGTCTCAAATAGTGAAGAAAGTGATTTTACTACCGTGTGGCACTAAATATTTAGCGGTTCCTCTCATTCATCTGTCGGCATAACCATCACTAATAATTTAAAGTGAAGAATTTTATGCGCCACCGTAATAATGTCCACTAATAATTTTGTTCTTGTGAAATTTATTGACACTAATGAAATTGAGGTAGTGTCAACTGCATGGTTATGCGCAAATAATACTAAATGTGCATGGCCAAATTACAAAAATCCAAGCCGAATTGTTAAAGCTGTTGGTCAACATGAAGCTTCAGAACAAACCTGGTCAATTCATGACGGGCATAAATTTGGTAATTTTAAATAAACTAGTGAATATTTGGTGTTGCGTTTAAATGCGATTCTTTTCAATTGCCATTTGTATTACAGCAACTTATCGCGAAGCCCTCCAAAAACTTCCAAAAGTGATGGACCAGTCAGACGCAGATGTTGGGAGCGGAAATGATAAAAACAGGTTGTGCCGAAACAAGGGAAATGCGAGCGACAGTTCTGGAAGCGATGGGGACGACTCACTCAGTCCTAAGATACCACGTCCGCCCATGATAGGCAAAAATTGTTGTAATTTCTATCATGATTGTTGACCAATAGCTACATTTTAATTGATGTTTAATTAATCATTTTAATTAATTTTTTCCCTTGTAGATTTACAAAAAGCTGGGCTGAAAGAATCAACTGAAGGGGAGCCGATTCCAGGAGGGAAGTCTAGCAGAAATAAGACATTAAGCAATAATAATATGCCGTTTAAGCTATGCTTAGGTAAGCTTCATTTGAAATATGTACATAGATTGATCATATTTTTATTTATCTATGCACTTTCTGCATACGCATGCAATAATAAATTTATTGTTTGCAGCTAATCAGGACAGTACCATAACTGTGAAAGGTACACAACCGGAAGTTATGGGTGGGAATCAAATATCCAACGATAAAGGTGCAGGCACGTCTTCAACAAGCAACGGCGACGCCCAGCTCTCCATTATTGGGAACGATAACGAATCACCCGAAGTTGGAATACTTTCCGCTGCGCTGCCCAAAGGAAATTCGATAGGCGCTCAGCAATCATCCTTGGAAGTAGAAAATTTTCTTCCCGGTACATAAAGAACGTTAACTTATTATAAAAATTAGCTAATGTAAACGAGTTATTTGTTTTCATAGGAAATCAATTTCAGAGTTGGGTGGTCAGAAATATAGCAAGCTTAAAAGTTCAGAATCGTAACATTCAGGATACCTTGGATGCAATATTACTTCATTTGGATGGACAGAAAAAGCCCCAAGATGAAATTCGTCATCAAATTCCACTGATGAATATGGAGGATGTTAGCAAGGGGGCCGGCTATTATGAGATTTTGGCCAACCGCGAGTCCCTGGTAAATACATTTCAAATATATTATTCGTCTAATCGGATAAAGTAAATTTTCGTATCTACTTCAGGTGACACTTTTAAGGCAGCGTGGTTGTAGTAATGTTGCAAAGTGTACACGCCGCATATTATCAAAACTTTGTGGGGATCAGTTGGCCAACTGTTACAATTGGATCGGGTCAAGAGGAGGAAAATCAGCGTTCTGTGATGTATGGATGAAACAAGTAGTTTTCGGTAAATGTGTTCACGTACTATTTTAAACCTAACGCGTATAATACATATCTGAAACAACACCACGTTTAATAGTGGAAGGTCACGTTAATTTTTCTTTGAATATTTTAGATACGGTTCGTCAAAGTTTACCATCAAAGGCAGTGACAGATGACGAGATGGAAGCCGTAATTAAGGAATATTTGAAAGCAGCAGCAAAACGGTTGAAGAAAAATCATTGTGCTGATATGTATGTGAATACAATAACTAAATCCCGTTAAATTTTAAAGTTTATATTCATATTAATCTAATGTGTCAAATCATAGCGCTGGGACAATTTCCGATGGTGGATCAGACTTTATTAATCATGAGGAGTCGGATGACATATAATTTTTAACCATTAATCATTGTTCTCTGTTTGTTATGATTAATTGAAATAATTAAAATGAAATAAAGGCATGTCATGAACGGGAAAAATTGTGGCAATTCTCGGTGTTTATTTAGCGTAAAACACGTGTTTATTTCATGTATAAACACGAAAATTAAACGAGTTTATACCCTAATTATAAACGAGAATATCACGAGTTTTACACGTATTAGTTCTGTCCTAGACACGTGTTATACACGAATTTTACACGAGTCTGACACCGCAAAACGGCGACAATAACCCCCAATATTCACCATCTTTTACACCAAATCTTCACGTGTTAACCACGAGATTTCGTGTCCGCGGACTGGTGTTTTTCCCGTGTATTTCCCGAGTTTGTGCTACCAGGGTCGTAAGTTATTTTACGATACGAAGAATACTAAGGATACGAAGAAATAATGAATACCCCTAATAGAAATCTAGATCCTTCTACACAGTTGACAGTCCATTTATACTTCATGTGCATAAAAAATTATACTAACGTGGAGCTCAAACCCACGGAGCCTCTTAATTTTTACTTGATTGATTAAACTGGTTCGCATCAAGAAGCATAGTTAAGCACATCCGTGATGACTTGTGGATAAACCATAAATAAGAATATAATTTTTTCTCATTATGGCCACAAGCACGGGAAGGAAAGTGAATCTGTCGGCTGGAGAAAAAGGTTAATGGTCAAATTTTTGGTCAGATTTTTACCAGTCAATTGCATTAATTCGGTATGATAAATTGGACAAGTCAAGTGTCTCTCACAAAATGCGCATGCAATTTTGTTTAGGCCATAATATCGTTGGCTAAATTATAAGCGAGCAATCTGTTCTCCAAACCGGATGACTGAAGAAATTGAAATAGCTCAGGTTTGAACATGGTTTGAAGCCTTCTTCGTAGGACGTGTTCTTTCGTCGTTGCGGCCTGAGAATCTTTTGCTAGGTGTACCTTAAAGTGGGATTTATTTAAATATTGTTCTCATCCATCAGGGACAACAAGCACATCAAACGAATGCGATCATAAAAATAGGAATAATTGCAATATATTTTGAAGACCTTTGCTAGACATAAAGCTTGCTATTGTCTTCCCTAATTGCTGAAACATTGCATGTCGATTTGACTTTCTCCTCGCCAAGTGCTCACGCTCACCCATCCATCCATAATATCAATACATATCAATATCAATCATAGAATAGGAATAACATATCAATCCAACTGCCTAGTAAGAAATCATGGGTTAGCAAAGTAAGTTGAGTGAGCTAGTTGGAATTTCCAACTTGGAAAGCTATGAGAGTTGAGACTTGTTGAGACAACGGCAAAAGGCAGGGTACACATGCATATGTATGTACATCAATGAATGTCCTTATTTGTGTGCGGGGTGCTTTGAGAAAGAACACGACAGGACAGGGCACTAGGCCTTTGTGCCACGATTAGGTATAAATATAGATTGGTTTGACATTTGATTTGATTTTGTTTAATGTCTCGCTCACTGGGGCGGTGGTGGTGGAAGGAAAGGAGAGTAGTTCCCCTTTTGTAAAGTTTTGGGTCAATTAAGGCATCTACGCCAACAAGCAATTCCTAATGAAATCACTTCCACGCTCGAAGGACCACTCACTCGATCATTATCCACTCCACTAAACTAACAAGCTGCAAGCACAAGCCATTAAAAAAATTATGGAGAAAATAAAATACCTGTTGGAATAAAGTTTTGTCATTAAAATAAAAATAGAATTTTCCTTCCATCGCGAGATCATGCTGTCGTGGCGTGACACTTTTCTGACATGCACGCATCAATCTCTTTGATATGTACCCATCCATAAACATAATATAGGCCGGAGAGGTAGGGACTTGTGTATGATGATGACAAGGGCTGAAGTGGGGACCATGTGTGGACACATCTCTCGAGTGAGATTCATAAGAAGAAACTCGAAAACGACCACTTATTAGACTCGAAGAACCTTCATTGGAGATGGATTTTGAGAGATTTTGTAATTGATGAGTGGTTGCTCGACACCTTCCTCGTGAATTTAGTGTATTACCACTCAAGTACTCTTTATCCTTGTTACATTTTCGTCGTACAGATTTGTGGTCCATCCGTGCCCCTGCATTTATTAGGATCGTCCATAGTCCATAGGATATCGTTCGTATGAGGCGCATGAGTCCAACCTACATGTTTAATACATGACGAGAGAGGGAGAAAGTCCAGCCAGCCAGCCCAGTGGGATGCCGAGACGATGGGACCAGGGGAAAGTGCGAGGCAGAGGCGGACGGAGAAAGCCTCGCTACTTGAACGAGGATTCTGGTGGAGAAAGTGGTGGTGGTGGTGGTGGTATAAAAGTGAACGGGTTCTCCTCCTCTTCTTTCTCTCTCTCTCAACCATGCCCCACATAACTTTCACTGTCAAAACCACCACCAAACCCAAACCCAATCAGTCAACCAAATATTTCAGTTCATTCCCACAAAGCATAATATGTGCACATACCTAATAGTTAATAATACCTATTCCACATTAAATTAAAATTGTCCTAGCACTATAATAAAGATTAGCTAAAATTTCCTCGGCTAATCTTACTCCCAAACCAGACCCACCCACCCAACGCAACCTGGTACACTAAAAGAGCCTATGAGGATCCATGTCGTCACTGTTATTACAACTTATCTTTTAAGTAATTTATCCTTAATAATTGACCACCATTAAGTCCCAGTCTAAGCACCCACTTACGCACAAGCCTCAGAACACTAGAAAAGGAACCAGGAAAGATAACTAGGGGAAATAATGGCTGGAGTCAATGGAAAAAAGACAGAGGAGGCATTGGAGCACATTAAAACAGCAGAGAAAAGGTAATGCTAATTCGTAATTCATCTTATGGATGAATTGAGTTCTGTTCAAATTACTTAGTATGCATGTTTCTAGTCTAAAGACATCATTGATGAAGTGGAAAGCCGACTACGACATTGCGGCGGACGAGTACAACAAAGCAGGTACCGTTTTATACTTTGATATCTCTTCAGAATCACACTGTTTTGGTAATTTGTCCAATTATATGCAGCCCTGTGCTACAAGGGCATTAAATCATATCAAGAATGCAAGGACTGTTTCATGAAGGCGGCCGATTGCTACAAAAAGAACTCGAGGTATTTATGATGACCAAGAACTACTGTAGTTTGTGCTATGAATTTTTGATGGCAGAAAGTAATTTGCTGTTTATTTTTAATAGTTTGTTCAGTGCTGCAAAATGTTATGAACAGGCAACCCTGGTTTGCAAAGAGTTGGGTCAACTGGTGGAGATTGCGGATTTGTCTGAACGAGCATGCATCATGTACCAGCAACATGGTAATATTGATTATTATAGAGCCTTGGTATATTAGTATATATATAATTATAATTTGGTCCAATAACAAACATGTATGTTTAGGGTCTCCTGATTCTGGGGCCCTGTGTCTTGAAAAGGCTGCCAAAATGATTGAACAGCAGCATCCAGACAAAGCAGTTGATTTGTATCGTCGAGGAATGGATGTCGTTCTGACAGAAGATCGACCTAGACAAGCGGGTTGGTTTATTGGTGTTTTATATTGATTTATTTAAAATCCTCCAATCAAGCGTTGTTGTAAATTTGTTTCAGCTGAATTTTGTGGCAAATTTTCCAGACTACTTGTACGGTTAAGAAGGTAATTTATGTGTTTCAATAATTATATTTTTATTTATGTATATATATATATATACATGCGTATGTGCATGACCTTCAGATATTTTTATGTTGGTGAAGCTGTCGTGACTTTCTGCTACTACGAGAGAGGTTTAATTGTAAATACTGATTCTATATAAAGGTTTGACGAAGCCGCAGATGCAATTCGCCGTGAAATCAGTATAAATCAGCAGGGAGAAAATTTACCAGCCATTGGCCGTCTAACAGTTGCTCTAGTACTTGTTCAATTAGCTCGTGAAGATTATGTTGCGGCAGAAAAAGGTACACTTATCTCCTTCGTCTCGTCTGGATATGTAACGAGAAGAATTTATTCTTGCAGCCTTTAAGGAATGGGGTAATTGTTGTGAAGTTGAAGAGATTCAGACACTAGAAATGCTACTAAGGGGCTACGACGAGGAAGATGCCGATGTGGCAAGAAAAGCTCTAAACAGCCCATTTGTCAAGCACATGGACGTTGAATATTCCAAGTACTTATTCCAGCACATTTATGCATATATTTATCAAAATGAGAATTAGAGTAAATACGAGTATTTATTGGCTCAGGTTAGCTCGTGACTTGCGGTTACCTTCGGGGCTTGCTCAGCCAGCATCGAAACCGGATGTTCGAGAAAACGCAGCTCCTAGCTACAAATCTGTGGCGAAAAAGGAGGACGAGGAAAGAGGCGGCGGAGGGGGTGGACTATGCTAACGACATTGTTTCAGAAAAGTCCAGTCAAACAACGCTATCAATTTTTATTAGAAGAGCAAATCTAACCTTACTAAATGAATAAAGCATACAACACATTGGTAGCTTTGAAATTCACAAAAATTTGACTAAAAAACTACTAGAAAAATATAGTATTCTTTCTAATTCTGTTAACTGTCGTATACTAAATGCGTATTGTATTCCCACATAAGATTGTAAAATTGCATGTCCTCTTGATTTAAACACCTGAGTCTGAGTTACATAAATTTATTGTGACCTACTAACTCTCTCATTATTATCTTGACATATAGCAATATAAACACGTTGGCTTTACGTTGAATTCCGACGACGACACGTGTAATAATAATAAAAAATAATGCAACCTGGCGCATACTATTGGGCTTGTTACATAGTCTAAGCTTCTCCACATAATAAGTAGGAATGTACTACACACATAGAGTGAGATAACATGTGGTCACCAATAATTAAGAAATAGCCACAAGACTTCTTAATTGAGTATTATATATTACACGACGATGATTATACCTGAATTTTAGAATAATGGTGTTTGTTTGTTTCACGCATATGAAAATTGTTGCATAATATAGGGTATTAGGTTAGTATTAATACACGCGTGGATCTGGGTGGGTATACATAATGATGTTTATATTTTGTTGGACTTACTTTTATTACCTTACAGGGATAGTTTTAATTAAATATTGTTGTCATTTATACTATGAAATATTGTGATCTTTATTAGTATATAGATATGTATGTACATAGCTACTACGAAAAGGTGTAACAGTCTGACTGTCACCGGTGATTGATTATGCAAAGGTAGAAGAAAAGAAGACGTTTATTTATTCTCCTGATTTTTATTTGATATATATTTCAAAGCAATGAATAAATACTACACGCACTTGGTAAACAATTATGTCAATTACATAATAATGATAATAATAATAATTTTTTGCTCGATTTGTTGCAAACTATAATTAATTGCTGCTGTAATACTTGTTGTTCGGAGCTCCATGGACGTTTATTGCATATCATACAAAATACCATACTTTGAAGTGTAATTGGAAAATTTGAGCTATTCTGTTTACAAATTGCAGTTAATTTAATGTCAATTACACCAAGGAAGAAGAAAAAGGTAAAGATAACTAGATCGAATACAAATTAGTCAGTTAGCTATGCAACTCATAAAATTTTTGCAACTGAACAAATAGCATAATCATAGCAATACCATATTCACACAAATTACAAAACTATTTTAACCTACACCCTCTCGCTCTCTATCTCGTGCATAAGTAAAGTAGGAGCATTTATTGCCCTGGTTAAAAATTCATGTCTGCGTTAATGAAATTCGTATGAGCGTGTGTATGCGTGCACGTGGGTAAAAAATTGTGCAGAAAAATACATTTGTTCGTATTAATAGATAATCAATAGTTGTTTTGGGAAAGTTTGTTAAATTGACGAATTGTAAAAATTGGTTGGTTGATAGTGGCTCAGGTACATTGCAAAGTCCTCTTGGATCATCATCATCATTATAACAATAACACTAACTATGCTAACTCTTATTCTTCTACTAATTATTATTTACACAATGATAAATAGAATATGTAGTGATCCCGTAATTCGGCCAGTTTTGCATGTTTCCTATAATTTTGTTACATGGAGCTAGGTTTTGGAAGTCCCAGTTTAGATGATCGTGGTCTTTTCTTCTTGTCCGCTTTTTCATGATACTCTTGAAAGCATGGAACAATGCACAAGTTTATATGACACTCGGGACAATGGTATTTAGTTTTTCGACGAAGGATTCGTCCACAATTGTCGATAGAATTCCAACAAAAGTTACAACCTAAGGCAGGACCTGGTCGCAGGGCTGGGCAGTGGCCAGATCTGTTGACCGGTAGCCCGTCATCAAAGGAGGAACTGCTCGTGCTTGACCCAATGTCTTCGGAGGTGGAGTCCTCCCGGGAGAAACTTCCAGAATGTTCCCCACTGCTGTCCTTTTTAAGTTCTCGTCGTGGGAAACCCATGTCTCCTCCCTCTTTCCCCACCACGACGGGTGGCATCAAGTCAATGATGAATGCTTTGCTTGTAGATGAATTATCTTCAGAGGAGGATCGTTCGGCATTGGGTTGAGTACCTAACCTAACCTGAAACATTGTCGTGGTTGATGATGTTGCTGCTAATGTCCCGTGTTTGAGTGGTTGAACAATTCGACTCTGTTGCTGTTGACCCGTAGCTGTTGCTGGAGATGAATTTTGTCTACGTATGACTGCATTTCCCGAACTGAACCCCATGGGACTCAAGGTTTGTTGGCTAGGGAGGGAGGGCTGAGAAATTTGCTTCACCAACTGGTTCCCTGTTGAAGAAGTGGTGGGGGAGATGACGGGAGAGGGGTGGTTGGTGACGCAGACCGACTCTGTACTGGGTACTTTAAGAAGCGTGTTGTTGGATGATGGTGAGTTGTGTTGATGTGTGTGGTGAGTGGGCGTGATGACCATTGTTGATGTTGATGATGATGATGAGCAGGAGGGGTTTAGTCCCGAGTACCCTGTCGCAGAGGAAGCGATGGATACGGATGTGTTGGAAACAATTACAGGTGGTTGGGATGAATCATCCTCCCTGTAGTGAGCAGGGGATGAAGGTGATAGTGGGGGCGGATGGAGAAGAAGAAGTGGACTGGATGGTGGAGTGGGCGAACACGAACTCACCCTCACGATTGGGAGGTTGGATGAATGAATCGACGAACGTTGGGGAGAAACTTCACGCTGCTGCGAGGTTGTTGTTGTTGCTGTTGTAACCCTCCTTTCAAAGCTGGCTTCACGTCCACCATCGCCCCCCCCTGAAGAGTCGTCGTTGGAGTCATCTCCTCCTCCTCCCCCCAGTGGGTCTCGGCCATAGAGCTCGGATCCGCTGATGTGTTCTCGAAATCCAGAACTTGGCTCATTGTCGCTTCGTTTGATTCTTGGTTGTCGGAGGAGTGGTCGCCCACGTCTTCTTCTTTCACCGTCGTCAATGGTCGAATCTAATCAGAAACAATAACAACTCAGCTTATACATTGCCCAATGAGTGATTCTGCAAGGAATACATTTCGAAGAGTATAGAATGGGGATAGCTGAAGTAAGTAAGTTGGAAAAATGTTTCAGTCATGAATTGTCAGTTGTATGTGTGTAGTCAATCACAGTGTAATAAGTTTCAACTTTTAGGAATTACAGCTCGCCTTGGTCCATCTTAGAGTGAACAGTAAGGTAAGTGATTCGTCGTTTTTGTTATTCCTCGACACGTGTCAAATTATCCATTTGTGTATATTGATAATCACTCAAATGCATCATTGTTATTTCACTTAAATATTTAAGTTATGTTAGGAGACCCAACTCAAGCCCCCCAGTGATACAAACAAATATGCAAAAAAATGTGTAGTTTAGTCAGAACAGGATCAAAGAATCAAAAGAGAAGACGAAATATAATAAATATACTATACATATATATTAAAAAAAAAAACACAAAGTTGGACGTTGTATTCACCCCGGGTTTTCGAGAAGTGACGCCATGCTGACGGCTTCGATGCCATAAATACGTCTTTGAAAAGCCAAACTTGGAGGCAGCTTCTCTGTATGTTGCCCCTTGTCTTAAAAATTCCATAGCCTTTTCCAATCGAATTGGATCCATCACTGTTCGTTCACTCCGTCGTCGGAAAACTGGACCATTGCTGAAGCGAATACCTTTTAGGAAATTGGGGGAACACACAAATTATCAAAATGCTTTTCACACACGACCAAAATGCGAAACAAATAAGCAGAAAAAAACATTCTAGGAGAGAGATAAAGAGAGGACTGTACAAAATTTATGAAAATTTGGAGCAAAACTATTACTAACTACGACTAATGTTGGAAATTCGCTTTAGAGACAGTGAGAGAGATAGCGAGAGACTGTTGAATTAACATGGTCGCAATTGTTAAAAATTACTTGAGGCGTGGAGGAGATCACGAACGTGGTGAGTATTTGCCGTAGAGGATGAGGCGTGGGTTTGAGGGCGTGAGGATTTGAGGGTGGGCATGATGAACGAAGGTTTGCCATTAAGAGGGGTATTGGAAGATGAAGAAGTCTGATCTTGGGAGTAGTAGAAGGCAAACCCTTCTTCCTCCTCCCCCTCCTCGTCGTAATACTCTCCCCCGTTCCCTTCCTCCCCGTAGTACTCTTCACCCTCATCGTACTCTTCTTCTTCGTTGCCCTCCATCTTCATTTCTTCAGCTACCTCTAGATCATACCCTGACCAACAACAAAAGCACAATAAATAATAAGAATAATAATAATAATAGGAACAATAATAAATTATAGGCAAATACGATGATTATCTGTATCCCATTCACTCATTGCGAAGGAGGAGCGATAAGTAATTCAGGATCTCTCAAAAATAACTTTTACAACGGCAAAAAAAACATTGACAAGAGCATCAACTGGATATATGTTTAAATAATCAAAATCAATCAAAACGACACATTCAAACAAAGAGAGACTATGGGTAAATAGCAATGCACTCAATGTTGTAGGCACACGCATCCTATGTGGAAGGGATACTCTCTTATCTTAAAACTTGTACAGAACATCAAGCTCAATTTACAAAGGCAACACACCAAAGAGCTATATCAGCATCAAGTATCCAGCTTAAATTTTCCAGGGCGTTGTCTTCCCTGAATGCACTTTTTACTAAATATTATGCAGATGGGTTGAGTAAGATATGCTGATTAGTAGCAAATTGTTATCAGTTATTTCAAAAACTACCTGTTAAATAAGTTATCAATAATTTATATTTGCTTAGCCGTGCCGTAGCGTCTAGTAGCGGAGGCTACAAATCTTCATAACAAGATATACTTTGATTCAGTTGTGTGTACTTTTTTATCGTGACGTGTCCATTGTCAATGTAAAAGTCTTGTGGTCGGTAACGTTGTTATTCCACTGATTATTTTTTTGCGGCTTACCTCTGTCGAATCTATCAACTGAACTATCATCATAGGACTGGCGTTGATGATGTTCCGCCATATTCTATGAGAGAATCAACAAATTAATTACCATTACTAGCCAGTAGTATCCTCCACACTTTGTACACAAAATGTGGAATTGGGTAAAGTAAATGCTTGAATGCATGCTTACCATTTCATGGTCGTCCCTATGAAGGTCCAAGCTCCTGGATTTGGGTAGCAGTGGCGGTGGTGCAGGAATAGAGACACGTTTATGAAGCACTGTGGGAGGAGTCTCGTCAGGTGGGCTACTCTCATCTATTGACTTACTAACAGATGCCCCCACCCCCGAGTCAACTGAAGTGGAATGGTCACCTAGAAATAGATATCAAAAAATTACGTTAAAAATTTATAATAAAAAATCTGCACAATCTCAAATTATCTTACACATGGTAAAAGCTACATACATAAGTGGGTCGGCTGAGAGTCACTGTGATATTTACACAATGCATTTATTAGTCAACTTACCATTTGTATTCAAAGACCCAGATGCGTACGAAGTGCTTGCAGACTTTTTTAATTTTTTTCTGGGAATGTCGTGTGCAGAGTCAGAAGTGTCCCATGACAAAGAAGAGGCAAGCAGTGGGGTCTTGTGAGGTCTGTTTAGACTTGACAAAGGGTCTCCCCCACTACCCCCCACTACCGAACTCACCCTCTTCAACTCATCTGCTGGAACTTCTGCCAGCCCTTTAACTTGTAGAGAATTGGCCGTCTGCAACACAAAACACAATCAATATCCTCATTAATTGCATATTCATTGTTTCCTATTGATAGAATTTGACAAATTAGTCTAACCTTTAAAATAGGGGTCATTCGATCTTGAGAAATGTTAACTTCTCCATTGTAAATAAACTTTACGATAGCCTCAAGATCAGAGTGTTGAACATCCTTAAAAAACAGACCATTTTATGTATAATTTTATAATGAACAAGACGATTGCACCAGATTTTTCAAAGTTTTAAAACTTACCTTCAAAATGACGACAGGATGGCGACAAGGATTGCTTTCGAAAATGTGCTGCAAAAATATTCAGTCATTATTAAAGAAATGAAGTAACTCTTTACATATTTTCTTAAATATGTACATATGTACATAAATAGGGGGGAAATGTTTCAGGCATTTATGTTCTACCTACATTTCTTTGTGAATAATTATTAATCTGCTTGACAAGCGATGCCATTCTTATCTACCTAACACCCGCCCGAACGTGCATATGATGTGACCCAGTGTAGCCATTGTTAAGTTCTTACATAATTATAAAACATAAATTGGACGAATCTGTGACGCATTTTGTCGCATCAATTTTACCAACTCTCTGGAACTATGTACACATTCTCACGTAGTGGGGAAACTGATTTGCTAAAAATGTGATGAAGTTGGCTGACACTTTTACTTCAATTTCTAATTGATGGGGGACGATAATAAGTTAATGAATTGCTGAACTGGGTCTTGTTATGTACATTCTTAGAATGTGTGGTGTGGCATATGTAATGGAAACGATGGGTGGTGAAGTATTAACTATACCAATCAATGGAGATTGAGTCTCAATACGTAGGCAGTAAGCATGAACAAAAAAGCGTCGACATATGACACCAACAGCACTGACATTGACTGATAAGTGGAGATATAGAGGCATTCAACAATAAATGTCATGATAAAGATGGATATTATTGTGCCAATGACGTAAGTTAGTCAACTCATAGAAGTAAGCCGTGTGGTATGACAGCATACATAATGTATGCTGCATCATATGTTGTATGTCACACCTGATGATGAAGTGTGATATCTGTCAGAGCACTTATCACGGGTTCATTCAATTCACTAGAGTAGGGAATCAATTATTATAGTGTAAAATTATGAATTCCAGCAAGTCACCCATATATGCATCACTATGTATCTTGTTTAGTTTATAGATATGTTGTTGCGTGGCCGCCGTAGCGGTCAAGTTGATGCTTGTGATCCTGATAAAATTGGATGGCAATGACTGTGGACTTCTGACCGAACACCTACGCAGCGTAGGCTACACTGTTGAAGTGATGATGACATAAAACCAAGAAATTAATAATGCATAATAAATAATTAAACCGAGACATTGTTTGTCTTCAGTTAAGTTCCATGATTCAACACAATGGGAAAATTTTGCAAGAATGAATTATGTTTTTTTTACGTTCGCCTGCTACTATTAATGCCGTATTGTATTTTATAATTTAAGTTTACTCCACGACGATATCGTTAGTTAGCCATCAAGCCAGCAGCTCTACAGTTCTTTCATATTTTTTAATTAACAAAATTAACGAAGCGATAGAATGATGAGTGGGTTTAGAGCTTACCTGGAAATATGGGGAACACGCTGACAAGACCAATTTGTGACAAAGGACTTTATTCCCCTCCGCCGACACTAAGGTCACGTCCACGAGGGACTCTGAACTGTACAGGCTGCTAAAGTACGTCGCCATGTTGGGCTGATGATTGTTCCAACGAAGACAATACTCTCGCGAGTTGTTGGACATTGATGCTGAAGCCATTATTACAATCCCGTCGTTGCTGGCTCCACGTCGCCAACCACTCGATTATTGACGATTAGGTAACTTTTGTCGGCGTTGTCAGTTACATCTGGAAGAAGAGGGCAGCGATGACCGGGATTTATTATAGCAACAATTTGCAATGGAGGAGAACAACGTTAAGGAGACAGCAAGTAGGCAAAAGTTAATGTTTGGTCTGGTCGCACTGACTTTTGTTGGGTTTCAGTTCAGTATCACCACCACACCACTTCTCTTTGAAATATTTAACGAACAGGGAATGGTGATGATGATGAAGAGGAGCCAGTCAACCTGTTTGTTCTTACGTTATGTATATTCTTGCTGATGAACAATGAATGTTTCAACCTCCAACAAGCGAGACGACGAGAAGAAGAGGATAGCAAGTCACTGAACGCACGGACGACGGCGGACGGAACCCACCAGCAGCAGCAGCAACTCGTATTATTATTATAAAAGCAGTCTTTCTTATTATTATATTCTCGTTTGTTGGGAGACCCTCAAGCAATAAGCGGAAAAAAATCTTCCACCACCAGATTTTAACTTTTATATGTCAGCAGACTTTTACTTGCACAGCACCAACAACCACTTCTTGTTCAATTGTACCGACTCTCTTAATATTCCACTTATTATTACCACGAGAAAATCCAACCAGTTACAAAACCACTGTGTCGCACACATCCGAAATGTTCACTTGGATGGAGGACGGGGTTCTTCAAATTTCCCAAGTACAATGCCAAGTAGGCAACAACCTTGCGACTTGTTGAACTAACTGTTCCGCCCGGACCACTGATACTACTTCTACCACCTGCTATAGAAATCAGCTAATTATTGCTGTTAATTAACTAATTATTGGTGGGTTTTTGGATTGGTTTATTTAAACTTTGAAAACTTGTGACCAAATGATGACCAGCCAGCCACACACCATCATCGTGGTTGGATGGAATTTGTTTAATGTCCATAGTATTATGATACGAGTCCTTGTCGCAGCATGCATGCCATGGTGGATGGAACTGCTTAGCTTTCGTTCTATACGAGAATTCTGTACATGAAAAGTGAACAAGACCAAAGGAACGAAACGAACGAACGAGCTGTGCGATGACGGCGACGATCAGCTCCAAAGTTGAGCAAAAAATGAAAAGAACGACGTCAATGTTCCGCGGCCAATCGTTGGTCTGACTCCACCCAGGCACTTCTTTGGCCAGTGATGACGTAATTCGTGACATTCTCACTACTTGAATGCATATTATGCTGTGCTGCTGCTGGGACTGGGTATTGGAATGATTACGGTATTACGTGATGTTTCCTCGCTCACCTTTACCTCAAATTACCTGATGCAAAAAACAGCAGCATTTTGGTTTAGATTCATGACAGGGAAACGAGAGAGAAACTCAGGGACAGGGACATGTACGCACGTATGCATGAATGAATGCCATGGACATTTATATTTGTTCAGTGAACATGAACTTGAATAATCTGGAATTGTGGTGTAGCCCAAACATATATGCCAATTCAATAGTTTATGATTGCATTTACATACTAAGGTCGAGCTCGAGGGATAAATTCATGGAGAAGCAATGAATGAAAGTACTAATTTTTACCATACCATGAAAATACCCTAAAACAAAGTGAGACAAAGTGAAATTCTGAGATTGAGGCACATTGAGACATACCTTAAGATTTTGAGCTCAGAATTTTGGTGGGATAATTTTGCGTCGTCTTTCCATCGTGTCAGTCAGTGTCAGTAGTCAGTGACTGGCTTCTTCATTTCACACTCCACCAAGCAGATTTTGGCTTTGACCTTTATTTTTTTTGTCGCACCATAATGTCGTCTACCCCCCAAAGAAAGAAGCTAAAGATGACGCCTTTTACGTCGTTTATGACCATACGTCGTCGTCAGTTAGAGGCACAAGGGATGACCTTTTCTGGTGGATGGGAGGATGTCGCATTTGTTTTGGATAATGAATGGCGTGTAAGTAGTGTACTCCGTGTTATTTTTAATTTCATAAATAGAAATATGAAATAATTGTTTGTCTTATGTTTTCCAGAGAATGGATAAGACTGAACAGGACAAGTATGCCGTGTACCACGAGCAGGAGGAGGAATCAACGCCGCCACCACAGACGCGACCAAAAGCGAAATCCGTCTTATCTCCACCAGACCCAGTTGTGCATGGGCAACAAGTCCCGTACGTTGTTCCAAAGGGGGAAGGGAATATGTTCCTCCGTGGACGACCAGGTAAAAGATTAGCCGATGGACGAGGGCAGAAACGAGACTGGGTGAAACCGGAAGTGCAGCTTGACATTGATCCAGTGGTACGAGTAATAGAAATTGATTCTTCCATTAGAAATTTATGTGTCATTCTTATTTTATGTTCTATTATTATTTATTATAGAAAGAATTTGGATCATTTCGTGATATACTCTTGCAAACTGGAAATAAGATTGATAAACACATGCGTCAACATGGCCATCTCCCTCAACCAGGTTCAGAACCGATGGATTTACAGTTACCTGTGCCGTCGTCTTTACCTGCTCGGCCCAAATCGAATCCATCTCCATTCGTTCTTCCTAACCCTCTCTTCAAACAAACCGCAAAGAAAGTCAAGGTGGAAGTAAAGGAATGTTCTAAACCAGAATCCAAAAAGAAAGCACCTGAACATACAGAAGAAACTCGAAAGGAGCCAGAGCCTAGTTCTGTTTTTCACTTATTTCAACCACCGAAAATGCCAGTTTTCAAAAATTCTGGTCCTCATAATGTCAAGTAAGCATTATATATTCTACATTCACCTCTCTTTCAAATCTATTAATGCCTTTGAATTATTATGAGCGATGGTTTTAATGTTGTCTTAGACGAACAACACTTCCCGATTGGTCGATTAAGAATGTTCAAATTAATATTCACGACCAGGATGAAGCATTTTCAAAAATTCAAGACTATTTTGCTGCCGTGCTGGATTTTGATAAGTTTCTTGAACTGACGTTTGCTTACGTCCATTTTAACAACTATTGTCCTGCACCAGGACAGACTACTGCTCCTGCAGAGTTTTGCTGCCTCACCTGGAACCTTAAGGATGGGATGGTGTGGTATGGGGGGTCACCAATTGATCCTGGTAAATCTTCGATCTTTTACAATTCTTGTTATGCCTGGAAAGCATTATTTTAACTATATTGTATTGTTATATGTTGTATCTATCTGTCATATTTAACTGATTTAACTCACTTTAATTGTTGTGTTGTGCAGGTTCTGACAAGCTTGGAGATTGGAAGATGGTGCAGGAACAGAGCAGGAAACTTTCGCTGCCAATTCCTCCCTACACCTACAGTCGAGGACTTGCCTATTCTGTGGGGGAAGACCGATACGACGAGGTCGTCAAGTCAATCTGGGAGCAATCACGAACGTTCGAGGTATTACTAACCATTAGCAATTGTGTAGCATTCCATTGCAAGAACATAAATGAAATGAAGGATATGTATTGTAATGTAAATATCACTCTTCTTGCTTTGTAGCTGTCGGACGAGACCCCACGGCGTCCCTACCACTATGTATTCGCTGCTGAAGATAATATCCCGATAGCTGTTGGATGCTTGGCCTGGCTGATGGCACAGCATGGTGAGCAAATTTCCGTTCCAGAAATAATCATATACGAGTTTGCCAAATGTTCCTCTTTATATTTATTTAGGAAGCAACCCTCGGATTCGCGTTCTCTCAATGGAACGCTTTGTCTCAGAGTTATTTCGAACCTGTCATATTAGACAGTGCGCCATAGACCTACAAGCAAAAGTGGTTCAGAAAGTGCAGGGACCTGTCAAGAAGTCAACCGAGTCCGTGGTCAAGGCGAGTGATCCTGTAGGTACCGGAGTGGGTGGTGATAAAGCGAAAAGTACCACTACCAAACATGTTCCTCTTCCAGCAGAAAGTTCAAGTTTGGCGTACGTCGCGTCCATCAAGTACGCAACCGCTACCCTTCACAGTTTTGATATCAGCTCATCACTGGACAAACGCCTTCGGCTCGGATGTCTCTGGCACCAGCGCGTATGTACTCTCATAAAACCACAAAATTATTATTCCTCTTTTAATTTGCACCACTTCAACAAATAGTGATATAATAATGTGAATTTCCTTGCCTAGGAAAATACATCGGATAGTATCGTGCACTGCTCTACGAAACAATGCAAAAAATGGATGTACAAAACACTAGAGAAAGCATTAGAGATTCTTAAAAGGAATTACTCGGCCCATGCCAAAGAACTTGCCAAGCGCGACATTGAACCAGTCTTGTGGGGGGAAAGTGATGCGATGGGAGTGGAAGCTCGCCAACGTTTAGGATTCTTTGGAAAAATTTCTGAAAAGCGGACCAAGGTCCTGGAACGTGGATTTATATTTCCAGATCTGCTCAAAGAAATGCAACTCCGAATGCCTAATGGGTTGAAAACACCACCAACACAACTCATTTGGCCTCTCGAACGGTGTGTTGAGCTAGATCTCAACTGGAGTCGGTCCCAACGTTTCAAAATCGTGGACCTGGAGCCGGAAGCTAGGGCTCAGAGACTTGTCGACCTGAAACGACAACGTGAAGAGGGAAATCGGATGCGGTTTGACGATGACTGGTGAATAATACTTTTAAGAACGGTGGACATTGATTACTTGTCGATATTCAGCATATTTTACGCTCGTGTTTTCATTTACTTTACATAAAAATCACTAGTTACGTTAATCGACAATTGAAAAGTTTATCCATGATATGATACATGAATTACTTAATATTGTTTTTTTTGCTTTAATACAATTATTGACTGATGGTTTAATGAATTTGATAAATATTTAAATGGGATCAATTGTATTGCATTTTATTTTTAACTTATTTATTCAAATAGCATGATGCTACATTAGTATTAATGAATGTTGTTGGTCGTCAATTATGTAGTTAGTCATTCCAGTTGCATATGACATACTTACATACATGAAAGGTCGCTAAGAGTTAGAAGAACAGTCAGCTCCTCAACACAAAACAATTACAAATAATTTAGGCTTTGTTTGTTGAATGTTTGTTAATGCAGTTATTGGTCAGATTGTTTCGAAGGAGGGGGTGATTTAGTAGCTTTCTGTCTGATTAGCATATGATTACTTATCTCATCACCTCCAACGTCAAAACGAGATCGCACACTTCCTGGAATAGGGATGCTGGGGAACGTTTTTTATCCCCCTTTTGGCGAAAAACACGAGAAAAAGAATTGGTCATAAATTCTAATTTCATATGTACCCATAATAGCACAATATAAATATTTCGTCATCCGACGGCTTTATTGATTTTCTATATTAAAGTAGAAAAGAAATTTGGATACAAAACTTTGAATCATTTAGTATTGTTAGTGGACGAGGTGTTTGTTGTCGTTGTTTGTTGTTGGGTCATGGCTGAATTGGACTGCTGCTGTTGTTGTGAAGAGGGTGGAGGACCATTATCTCGATTGTTGATGGGACCTTGAGCTTCACTGTTAGTGGCAGTCCCAGCGGCGTTGGTCGTGGTGGCGTTGCTGCTGCTCGTCCCCCCACTTCCTGCTCCTCCCGGTCCTGGGACAAGTTTAGATCTTTTCCGGATATAGTGTTGCCAGTGAAGGATTTGTTGATCATCTATGAACTTTGCACACTTGTTATTCATGAGTTCCTTTCGAAACTGGGGGTACTGAAGAAGGTCGAGGAAAGTGAGGGCCATGGGGTACTTGAGGAAACGTGCATACTCGGGCTCCTTCCAGTAGAGGAGGTAGCGGAGGTAATTGATAAAGCTTGGCTCCTTGAGATGCTCCCTCTGCGCCAGGAAGTTGAGATAATTGGGGTTGGCGAGACACTGAACAAATTCTAATTCCACTTGAAATCGAAGTCGAAGCTGGTCATCAGATTCGCCACGGGGCGTGCCCATCATCATCCTCCTCTCTTCCGCCTGACCAATAAATAATACCGTAGGAATCTAGGAAAGGGGACCCCTGATTTTTCCTGTTTTTTCGTGTGATTTTTTTTGTACTAGACAAACAAAAATTCACAAAAAAAAACTTTAGGCTCAAACCAAATTGTGTACAACTTTAAAAAATATTCCCTTTTTCATTTTTTGCAGTTTATATGAGAAAATAAATATACACTTACTACTGAATACGAAAAACAATAAAGCTGAAGGCAGTGAAGCACTTTAATGTCTTTAATATTAATCACAATTTTAAAAGTATATTTTTATCTCACAACCCCGAACAAGCAGTCGGATTATTTTACTACAATTGCCAATCCCTTTCCTTCTGCTTCTTTAATTGCGGCTCAAGACACAAGACAATTTTATTTTGGAAACTTATAGAAATTTCTAAAAAGTTTCATTTATGGAATGGTGAATGGTGATTGATTGCAGACGAAGACGATGAGAAAGAGAAGAATTTAAAAGTTTCTCTCACCGCTTCTCGAAAAGTAAATAGTTCTCATTGTCTACATTTGGCTCATTTCATATGCAATGAGCGATCTGGTAAGGATTGCTCTTAGATTAGTATATAATTTTGAGGCGTTTTGAGGTTGTGGGGTGCTGTTCGTTATGCTAGTTGCCAACTTGTAGACTCGGCAAGTCCACGATCCTCGTCAGCGGAAAACAGGCAACCCTTTTACCACCGTCCGTGAAATTCGGCATGTAGTCATCACTCCGCCCAATCGAGAGCTGCCTCTGCCAAGTGCCCACAAACTCTTATCGGAAGGCACGTCTTGAGGAAGACACAAAATCATCATAAACGTTCACAAAATACTATTTTCAATCCAACAAAAATCTGCAATAAAAATCGAGTCTTGAACGTCCTTCTTCGTGTGTAAATAACAAGTTATTATTCGTGACTCATTCAAGAAATGAGAATAAATAAATGAGAAATGTAAAGAAAATATATCTTAAATATATGACTTAAGTATCAGTCCTTTCTGAGGAGCAGAATGCTTTCCCAATTTTTGTATATGTGAGTTTCGTGGTCAATCTGTCGTGCTCAATATCAGCCTCAATCTGTAAAGTCAAAAACAAATACTTTAACACTACATTAGCGAATTGTATTAGGTCTAATTAAACAGGTGAGACAGTTACCCTCTTCTTTTGGTCCAAGATAGCTGTATCCGTAGGGTCCCGACGTAAAGCTTCTTGGTTCAAATTTTTTGCATCCTTCCCTGCACCCAGCATTAGTTTTCCCTCAGCAAACCTAATCAAGAGAGGACAAAAACAAGTCATAAATTCAATCCATAGGTAGCATGCTCTCTTAGATATGTGCAAGTACAAATATATTACCTAAAGTATAACTTTGCATCCACCGTTTGCTTGGAAAATTCTGCACTTCGAAGAGCCAACTTGCAGGCGGTGCACACTTGCTGAGGGCGTCCCAACTTCAAGTAGCAAGCACTCAAGTTCATGTACAACGTGTAGAGGAATTGTTCACGCTGTTTTTGGTCATCTTGGGTTTGGGTGCCATAGTCTTCAAGGATGTTTATAGCCTTCCTATACCTGCACACAAAATGTATGCATGTATGTATCGAATGAGTATAATCAATCGTTATTCACATTGTAGAAACAATTATGTTGGTCTGCCTGCGTACTCAAAAACAATATTAAATATTATATTACGCACTTTTTGACTGCTGGCCACCAGGCAGCACCCACGTACAAACCATTTGCAATAGCACGCAAATCCTTGGCCGCGTCAAAAATTTCGCGAAACTCCAACAGGCCTCGCTCATCCGAGGTCATGTACGGGACCAGCTTGAGCTGATTCTCTTCAATCAGATCCAAGATTTCCAGGATGCAGAAGACATCCAAATCTATGGAAAAAGGATTACTCAACATTATGAGACGTATGGAAGGAAAAAAGGATGTCGAGACAAGATGCGACTGAGTTTGCTACTCTTATCGCGATAAATACCTAAAATTTATTAATCTCTCTCCTCATATTTTTTTGGAAGCCACCCAATAAACATCAATCAGCATGCATCAAAAGATTCAGAAATATTTAACTTACTTTCAGGAATTCGAGGTGGGCAACCAAGGGCTCCATAAGCGTAGTCACTTCGAATCCAAACTTTGGCCACTTCACGAATATGCATACTCTGGATGGCAACCAGTAGTCCGGGAATTACTTCCGGTTGCCGAAGATCAAGGCACTGTGGATAGCCTTGCATGATAGTCGAATCAAACGGATCATCCAATCCATTTCCGGAGATGATGTAATGTAGAAAAACTTTGCAGTTTTGGGGAACCAGCGGACCTTGTCCCTCTCGGATTATCTGGATTAAGTTTTCCAAACCATAACCATTTGTATCAATTGTGTCCTAATGACTTAATCAATAACAATCTATCTTACGGTTTTGCGAACAGCGCCGCACTCGACCAGGTTCTTCATCTCTGCCATTTTATCCTCTTCGTAGAACGAGATAAAATTGATCTGTGGGTCTATCCCATATGATTGCAAAAGTCCACGTCGCTTCTCCCTGGCAGCATAGCGTTGCGGATCAATGTCGGTAACGGGCCCTTCGTCTTCGTCATATCCGCCAGTTGCATTGTCATCATCCTCTAAAACCATGTCCGAGTCAAGGTTGGACTTGTCAATCTCGAAAATCACTCGCTTGCTGTCTACCAACTCTCTATATATTATATTTAAATTAATTACATTAAATAGAATGGCCAATGTATGTCGAATCATTGAATGATTACATGTGAAATCATTGACTACTAAATAGTGGATTTATCTATTCAGTCATTCCCGTAAGATAACTGAATAGCTACGCTAGTCAAATAAAATAAAATAAATCAAACCAGTAGAAGTTCTAATGTAGAACCATTAATTAAACTACGTAATTTACCTGAGTCGGATGGGTTGTTTGAAAGACGGTAGAATTGACGAAGCGTCCATTTTACACACTTTCGACAAAACTAAATATTTTGTTAAATCGTTTTTTGATTTTTAGTGAATTGAATTCATTCAGTAAGAAATAAAGCAAGAAGGAAGCCGGAGGACGAAAGAAAGGAACAAACATGTCAAATGATTGCTCGCACGTGCTACCCGCCAGGAAAATACCACACACAGGACATGAAATTATGAAATATGCATTCGATCGGACACTGGAGATGTGACCGAATTTTCGGTCATCTCCATCTTCTGTCACATTAATTAATAATAATATTCAACGACTTGGATTCCTTCACTCTCCATGTCATTATGCTACTTTGCATGAGCAATAATCGATCGTCGTTCATCATCATGTTTATGATGATAGTTGGTGAACGATTTATGTCCCATCATGGGACTCCCATCTTGGGACATAAATCATGCCACATGATTCATGTCGAAATGCTGTGCTGTTCGGTGTCAGCATTCTGATACGGCATTCTGCATACTTTTTATATAGTTTAGCAGTGTCAAAGTGCAATTTAATAACAATGTTGCATAAATAACTATCGATAAACTCCTTATTACGTTTACGAGTGATACTTAACCAGATAACAGACTGCGGCTAAGCAGATTGTTTAAAAATTTTAGAAATTGCATATGTACAGTGAGACACATAAACGAAGTTTGGTTTATTAACTTAATTATTTCACAAATCAACTAGGCGTCAGTAAGTAAAGAAGTCTGTCGAATACGAGGTTACATATTACATGGTTTTACACACAATAAATCTAGATTAAAGCAGAGTGAGTGTCTTAAACAGGAGTTTCGATGACGCGTTGAAAGACGACTAAAAGTCCAGCCCAGACCTCTGTAAAAATAATTTGCAATATCAATTAGCAATAATAAAGCGATCGACGTCAGAACATTATTAAGATGCCATGCCTTCAGCGTTGGGAATGATTTGATCGGCCGGAAGGATAAAACCATAACCTTCTTCAGTGTCCCTCATCTCAATGGTGGCCGTGTATTTTATCCCATGGTCCTTTGCCCAGTCATCACTAGCCCCTCCTACTCCGTCTGGATAATTTACACACAAATGTGATAATCCACTGTTCGGAGGCAGGCAACGCTGAGAATTACATACGAACGATTTCACTTACATAGAATATCAGCTCCTTGTCCAGTTTGATAAGCCGTTCCGTGGACGGCTTCCAGGGCAGCAATGCTTGCCTGACCTAAACTGAGCTGTTCAGCATAGTCAGGGGGGTACACACCCTGAGTGTAGCCCCATGGCAGAAGCCACAGCTACAGCGACAGCATGAGTCATATTAATCTGGCTATTATTTTTCAGGTATTTTAGTGGCTAACCTGAGAATACGAGTGAAAGGTCATGTACGCATAGAACTTGACCCCCTCACTTTCACGGGCAACAACAAAGTCACGGATTGCAGCAGTCTCGGGCTCGGAGAAAGGTCCAGCTCCAGTGTAGGTGTTAGAGCATGGATCTGGAGAAGTCCCTTCGCCGCCTAAAACGCCATACAATGCACGTTGTTGAACATACATACTTGGTTTGTGCTAGCTTATCATGCGTATGAAACTTACCAAACATGAAGGCGAAGTTCCTGTTGGGATCGCACCCAATACATGATGACCCAGATCTGATTGAACGCGTTTTACGCCACATGCGATCTCTTGCTCGAGACCATTCAAACCCATCCGCATTGACCATTGGAATAATGTAAATGTCCACTTGAGCAAGAATGTCTGCATATGGATCAGGATTGGTGACCAGTTCGTTGATTATCTGTAAATTGTTGGAGTAAAAATGTACATTCTATCAAATCATGACCTAATTTTGTAAATTAGCTGCGTTGGTAGTTGTACCCAGGTGGCAGTGGCGCCGGCGATCCATTCCCGAGCATGTATGTTTGCATCGATAAGAATTGATTTCTTGGGGGCACCTCCAGTGGAAAATTTAACCACGAAAATAGGTCGATTTTCGTGCGTGTAACCAATTGTCGACACCTTCATAAGTACATCTATATAAATACAAAGGAACATGCGAAATTTTGAACTTAAAATAGTAAAATTACTTCTGCGATGGGGCTATCAATCGAGGTCAGCCAGTCCCGAATCTGGATTTCAAATAGATTAGTTGATACTGTATTCGATGATTATTTTTGCTTAAGTTTATGTACCTCAGCAAAAGAGGGATATGCTGTCCATGAAATTCGTCCATCACTGGAACGTTTGTTGGATGCTTGTTCTTCTAGAATCAAGCTGCATGCAAATAAATACAGTCAAAAGTTTGTTCAGCTTACTCGTGTCCATCGCAATTATTCAGACGTCACTGCATTCATAAACTTACTTTCCGACATCCTTAACTTTGACCACAAATTGCATCCCATTTTCGGCAAAAATCTTGCCCAATTGTTTTATCTGCTCAGGCGCAGCCATGATATCGGTAGCGCCCAGCTTACGAGGAGTGGTCCAAAAGTCATACTCATCGCTATCGTAAAGTGACTTGACTACCTCAAATTGAGCTGGATTCGTTACCTTCACTGTGAACACCTGGTACCTGCAAATTGAATGCACTTGCTAATTAATTACCTTTATTTTCGCGCAGTGCCTCCCAGCAGCACCCTCTCTTTCTTGGTGTGTTACCCCTTGTAAGTCCGAGTACCCATTTCTTTGGCGTGGACGAAGGCCAAGAAGGCCACCGACAAGAGGAGCAAGAACTTCATAATAATTCGTAATCAGACAGCAGTTTGTGCAGAATGTGCCAAATCCAATGAGCCTCTGAACACCAAGTGTGCTGTACCTCGGTCAGTGTGTGAAACTTGGCAAAGGGCGTCCGATTTACATGACTACCCTTTTTCTCCATCTACGTACTCTTAACAGTAAATATGTCATATGTAAATCTGATATCTGATGAGCATTGTCCATGTTCCACTTCACGAAGGAGAATTCGTCAAACTTTCAAGTGGAAACTTGTCTGTGTGTGAAAGTGTGAAACCGACAACGGGATTCCATTGATAACGGATCTTTCAATCACACGTTTGTGGAAGTGTGTGTGCAGGACATAATTGTGAGCTTGTCTCGCGGACCTAATTGATTTGAGATTGATTTTGTGTTTGTCTGTCTACACAAATCTGTATTTAATGACGTGGTGTTCTCGAAAATATGGTACATGATAAAAGCGTCATTGCATGATGCAATGATGCTAAGTTAAATGATACAATTTGCATCATTTAACTTATGTAAATGTGAAGCTCTATCCCTTCAAAGTTCAGTGCACAAGAGAAAATAGTGTGTGCACATCAATATTAATTGTGCGTCAACGTGTACATTAGTTTATTTCATTTTAACTTTGGAAGATGACATGAAGTAATTTTAATTGATTTACATTAACAAATATAATAGAATTAGCTACACTGAATATAACAGACTACACATGCATCTGTAAAAATGTTAAAATTGACAATTGATAAGCTTAACAAGATTGTGCCCATATCGCTATGCATACTCATTGTGACCGAGATCATAGAAGGTGTCATTATTCCCTTCTTCGCTTTGAATCCAAGATCCTTTGAAATTTATGTTTTTGGATTTCCAAGTCCAACATGTTTAAATCCCCTAACAATTGGTCATCGCATGGAGGATATCATGGTACGAGTAGAGGGGCGCCTGTTCCTCTCGAGCGTGTTGCGGGGGGAAAATACTGCTCAGGGATGCTTGTTGTGCAGGAGCAGGGAGATACCCGTCTCGGTGCTGCGTTAATGAAGGGAGCTGCCAAAATTGGAGTATTTTTAGCATCAGGTAAAGCTTACTGGGCTCATTCAACTGAGCAATTGTTTACCTGGTCTGATGACGACAGTCGACCATGGGGAAAACGGACAGTAATTTGTGACTGGGGGATTTCTTTGTCCGGTTTGATCCCTGTAAGAACTAGGTGAGGCCATGTCCCGTTAATTCCGTGCAGATAGCTGTCTTGATAGCGAATTTCAAAATACTTATATGCCGACTCTGATGCCACTGTGGGATTATAGATCATAAGGTTTGTAGATGATCGTACTTTTGTTCCAGTCTCTCAATAAAGTCAAATTACGCTAAAAAAACATACCAGTCGTATTGTCATCAATGGAGTACTCTAGATCAAAGTTTGAGCCAGGAAGTGGGGCGCAGTTCAGTCGAACCACATTAGTTTCTGACTGGGATGACACATAACCTGCACAAAATTGTCATTAATCTAAAAAAATTTGACGACGCTGATGAAAACAAATAAATCCTTACCATCATCCATTCCAGAAAGTTCAGTGTCTTCCATGTGTTCATTTTTGTCCTTTTCAGAGGCTTTGGTTGAAGTAACTCCTGTTAAATGGGAAGATGAGTCCCTTCTGGCTTTTTTATGATCAATCGGGCCGCCAGTAAGACGAACTGTTTAAAAATAATACTTATGATTAAGGATTAGAGCCTGAAAGTGGTGAGACTTACTTTGACCCCTCTTCAGGATAATTGGTTGAATTGTGCTTGACATTTTTGCGGAAATTGATAAATTGTTGAAATTGTCTAAAAGCTATGATACGCAGCGGACGCGTGTAACTTGGCGAAAAACCGACAAGCAAGTGACTTCTTTTCTTTTGCACTTTGTGGAATCGCCAAGCGAAGGAAGCCATGAGGATAAGCTTGGCTTGACAACGTGTGCCAGCTGCACCGTATTTTTAGTACCCTATTTCCTATTCTATTCTGCATGTGGCAGCCAAAAGAATGCTCTTCCTCTTATCTGAATAGCAGGCGAAGAAAAGCAAGGCCATACTGATCCTGAGACTGAGACAGCCCGAGATTCTGCAGTACATTCTGCGATAAAGAAACACGCGTCGTGCTCGCACTTTATTTTTAATTTTACATATAGTTTGTTGTACAATCTACAAATTAAGTAAAATATATTGATCTAATAAATCAACATCTTGAACATGGCTGGCATTAAATCTACTTGTATTTATTTCTGCTAAGTAGATTCACTAATTAACCTTGTTCCACTCTTAGCACTGGTCCGAAACTTCCGTCCCCAATCCATGAACAGGGTCCACTGGGTCTTCCAAGCAATAAGATAACCCGGCTTCTGCCGGATGGCTCCTCACAAGTCGCTTTTTTCGCCTAAAAATAACAGTAAAATGAGTATTTTTTTCCTGTGTAGACCAATCAAAATTTCCAAGAATGACCAGTAAATAATTTTCATCAACCTGAGACGGTCGAGTGAAGGTCTCATTATCCACTCCGGATAGTCAGACACATGCTTTGCCGACGCTACACAAACTGATGCAAATGAAATTTACATAAGTAAAAGATGACCAAAATAAATAAACAATAAAAATCAAAGAATTAAAGCTACTCTTACTGTCGACAGTATCCGCAAATTTTTTTAAATCAAATGCGCTATACAAATTTTGCCAGGTTTCATTTGTTCTTGCTCCAGGATTAAACCTACAGCGGAGTAAGTTATTATATGGAATATTTGCGTAATTGTATTATATGTTTACCATCTAAAGACAATTTCCGAATTGAAAAGTGATTCAAACTTGATAAGCATAGCGCTGTGGTCGGCAGGTCTCTCCTTAAAGTATTTTGCACAATAGTAGTGTGCAAATCCAACAATTTTCCAGACAGTCTGAGGAGAACCATTTATGTTACGATTTCAAACTCGGCAAATTATCCTACATTTTTAGAAGGCTAATAAAAACAGAGGACAGTTTGGTTCCAAACCTCGACAGGAAAATCATGATAAGAGCCGTTAAATTTCTCAGAGACTGGAATTAGTGAGAAGGTGTGGTCTGAGGGAAGTGTGAACTCATCGTGAGTGAGGTTGAACAGCTCGTTGGGATTACTCACATTTTTCGTGTAATTTAAATTCACTACGTTGAGCTGCAAAACGTAAACCATGAAATAAGATAGTAGATAGCGTAAGATATACATAGTGTAAACCTGCATATGTAGGTTTGGGAGAAAATCTAAAAGTATAGTGTATCAAGAGTAACGTGGAAACCTTATCGGAACATTGGCAGTATATGTGTTGCGTGACCGCGGGTGTGGAACCATTACCCGTTGAAGAATTCGTGGCTGGGTCCGTCACAGGGGCGTCCACTGTGACGTTCTGAAATTAAGTGGTTAATCTACATATTGTGTAGGATAACTTTATTGAGAGAGAGAGGGGGACGTATATACCTTTGGGGCACAACTTCCTTCCACTTTCTCCAACTTTTATTCCAATTCCAACGGTCCTGCATCCTTGATGCCTTTCATCAACTTAGTTTAGTTTCCATACAGAGTCAGTTCTTATACTATGCAGATTGTCTTACAGGAATCCAGCGCGTCCGCGATTCTGACTGATTGTGGTCCTTCCTCGAAAAAGTGGTTGTACGGGTTGGCATCCTTGGAGTGAATGTAAAGATAGCGAAAGAGTCGGAATAGCGAATTCACAAAGAACTTGGGCACTTCGACTTGGGGACACACTTTGATGAAGGCCTCCTTCGCTCTCTGAAGCAGTTGCCAGTTTAGGTGGAGATGTTTTGGAGGCTTTTCCCGATTCAACAGGTACAAAACTTCGGTCCGAATGATGCGAAGAGTCTCTTCATTTACGAGACGCTGCTTCTCTTCGTCAGTATTGCCACCAATTTGTATGGGTGAGTCTGGTTCAGACGAGAGGATTGGGTGGCCAGGGGGCGATGGTGCGGATGCGGATGATATCTTTGACGGTGCGGCGGAATGAGGTTTCTTTGGCGCGGAACGTCGATAACGAAACCAACCTTTTTCTGGTTCTCTCTTTACTAAACTGTTGGCAACACTCTGAGAAATTCCTAGATTTTCTGACACTACGATTAGATAAGCAATGCTCATCAAAATTGTAGAAACCCAGTTTGACCGACCGACTACCGTCACAGATGATCTCATGATTATTTGAGATGGACGAATTTGTTATGATGAAAACGGTTGTGACGAAGCCCTAATCAATCAGGACAAGTTTCTGTGAGTCAAAATGAAAGAGAAATTCATGTTGGACAGTTATTATGAAATCCTTTAGAGAAATTAAGTAACAGCGAAAGTTGCACAAATGAATATGCATAAGTTTGTCCATTGTTTGTCACTATTTTGTTGTCAAATAATTACTGTGCAGTCAATATTTAACGACAGGGTCAACTCAACTACCGTGTATACATATGTATGTATGTACGTTTTATTGGATTTATAATTACAATTATCACATTAACACAGATACACGACGCACATCTTTTTCTCAATATAATAGCAAAACAATGTGTAAGATATTTTAGATTTATGATAAATCGAACAAGCTACGAATTCGGATATAATAAGCAACAATACACAATCAACATAAAACCTTGGATTACGCTAACCACACAGGAACATTGAAAATATTTAATTCGCAACATGTAAATAATTTAATCTACGAACTTTTGGTTGATAATCATAATAATTACGAATTACTAATTACGAAGTAATTTGATAATATATTGACAAACGGTTGGGAATCACAACTTGCATTTTGTGCAATGAACAAAAGGCTTCTTTATCAGCAAATGAAACCTCGAAATATGTACGCACATGAATAATAAGCCATAATATACATAACTAACGCAATGCGTCATATAAGTTTTTACCAATTACCAACTCCTACTCTTTCAATCCGAGGAAAACTAAGTTTTCTATACACCTTTTTAGAACACATTTCGCCATAAAAATTGTACAAACTAGTACAATTAGGAACTACACTAAACTAGGATTTCAATCACTCCAAATATAATTAATAATTTAGATAAGGGATAAGATACATATTTTCTAATTATGCACTACTGGATTTATGTTTCAATCAACATTACTTATTTAGGTATTTATATGTATTACGGCGAACACATTTCTCTCTCATCAGTAATGGTAACGGGATTGATTGTTATGCTTACTTAGAATTAGTACGTTAAACGACGGGGAATACATATTAGGGCACAATGGACGATAGAACAGTAAAACATTTATTTTCTCAAATAAAAGATCCATCTGCTGCTGAAACTTAACGGTTGTTTGCTACTACGTTTTACATTTTCGTATTTTTCACTTATACCAAATATAAATAAATTAAAAAGCAAACATTTTCATCGTCATTATCATTGTCCAACTGAAACACGCAGAAACTGATACAAGTCAGTTATTGAACTTAAATCATTATTAGCAGAGCAAGCAGGGGGAGGAGCGAGCAAGATAGTCTGGATTCGATTACAACAGGAAATGAATACATGATATCTAGATAGACAAGTATTTTCATACTTCACCACACACGAAATCTCACAACCTACAGTCACTGACTTATCAAATATTTCAGCTTAGTTAGTTAGTTTGAGGGAATGTTCGTCAAATTAATCCTCTGGAATCGTTTCGTTATACTCGTATAATAGTTAATGGAAGTGACAAAAGTTATTAGTGATAGAAGAAGTTGAGAAAGTAATAGTACAACTCTATGTAACATGAAAAAATAGTGTGACAGTACTCTTCTACATGTTCTGTTGCCGATCCAGCTCCATTCTCTTGGTGAAGATTAACGTTTCTTCGAAAATCATCTCCTTTAGCCTTTCCTTGGGAAGGTCGTCGTATTCCATATCCAGTTTGAAAGGTTCTTCAGCAACGGGCTACGGAAAATTATGTATGAATTTAATACAGAGTTGCATAGTATCAAGTCTCAATTGTATGGCGTGTGCAGTACCGTACCAACAGGGGTATATGGTGGTAGCAAATACCAGGCCCGGGGCCCGTAAGGGCCCGGGCCGGGTCGCTAGCTTTACACTAGGTATAATAGACTTTTGTGTATTGAAGATTTTACAAAAAAAATCCAAAATTCATTTCTTACATGTAAGAAAATTTATTTGTGTGGAATAATTTTTGTTTGAATGTATCTAACGTTAAACTGCTAGATATTATTTGTTTTTCATGGGTTGTTGAGAGATAAATAATTAACCACCAGCTAACTTTTCTTCTCAGTTTAAAAATGTGAACTGCGAGTGACTTATTAAGTGAGATAAGTAAACGTGTAAATGTTCAATCAAAATCCTCTCCTTGGAGGTAATTTATTAAATTGAACTAGAATAATGAGAACAGATTTAGAGAGACACATTCAGTACAAACTCTACAATCGCACTGACACTAAAAAACCAAGAAAAAATCCAATCATACACACGTTCACCACGCTTCCAGAAAGATCCAGAAAGATGATGAAATATCCCCAAACCGGGATACTCGAATAATAAAATAAAATGGGGAAAATGAGACAAAGTGAGACTATGATTCTACTTTCAACATGGGTAATTATTTTCGTATGAATTTGGGCAGACATACATACTGGACAATTTTTTATTTTAATAGTCTGACTTTCGGATTTTAATTAATATGCAAAATCGTCATTTTAACTGAACCTACATGTTTTATGGCAACTTGAAATGTGCCTTGCTAGGGGGCAAATTTACCATAACCTAGGGACAAACTTTGGTATAAACTTAGGACCCTTAATCTACAATGCTATGACGTCAGAGGTCTTGCTCCGATTTTGACGAAACCACGATAATTATGTAACCTTAGACAAATAAGTAATTGAACATGTGTTCCAGGATTTTTCGTAATGCTCAGCTTAAAATAAAATTATGACGGAATCCGTGAGCGAGAATTTTCATTTTTACCTTGACATTTTTCATGCGAGGGAGAAAAATACAGATTCTCGCATACGAATTCCATGATAATTTCGTATAAGGTTAAAATGCGTCGGCATGAAGTGGTTTCCTCAAATTTTGACCCGACCAATTTTAAATTGCTCACGCACTCAAGTAACCCGAAGGGTAATTTTCATCTTCCTGAATATTCGTGTTTTCGGTTGTGGAAGAATTTTTGAATACATTTTCAGCCAAAGCAGGATTTTTCAAAAAGTTGCTAATTTTAAAATTTGAACGCTATTTCAAAAATCAAGGGACATGTTTTCTAAAAAATTACCTCTATAAAATTATAAAAACCTACTCCAAGCAACTTTGCGGGGCCTTTTAAGATGGTATTAATGTCATCTTGATAGTTAATGGCAACACATTTGGGTGGAAATGACATCCACTGGCCAACCACTTGACCGATCATACCCATCTCCGAACTCATCCTTACTTTTTACCTGAAGATGAAGCATGCAAAATTTCAACTCGATAGCTTTTGTTTAAAGAGAGTTATCGTGTCTACAGACGGACGGACAGACAGACATCTTGACAAATCTATAAGGCCATCTTAAAAGGCCTAAAACTGTTTTTGGAGAAACTTTTAATGTTTGAAACTTTTATGCTATTTCGAAATTTTGAAAAAATGTTACAGACCAGAAAATTCGAAAAATCAAAAGTTTTTGAATTGTGGAAGTTTCTTAAACTCAATGTAATTATGTGCAAAAATGTTCTTTCATTTTTGAAATGGGGTCAAAGTTTATCACTTTGAAAAACCCTGATTTGGCTTAAATATATTCACAAATTCTGCCACAACCGAAAACACGAACATTCATGAATGTTGTCCTGCAGGAAAACGTAAATTATGGTTCGGGTAATTTTGGTGTGTGAGCAATTTAAAATTACAATTTAATTGTCACTATTTTCCCGTGGATCTGGGAAAATAGTGTGCTCTAAATAGGTAAAATATTACTTCGTTCCAAGATACTATTAGTATTCTGGAGCGAAAACGATTACGTAATATCGAATATATTGAACATGAAGGGCCCGGCACTGAAGCTCATACCAGGCCTGAAAATTTCACGGTACGGCTCTGGGCGTGTGCATATGTACTCACCTCATCCGCAGGATCAAAGTATTGCTCTAGGTAGGGGTGAGCTAGGGCATCTTCGACACCGATTCTCTTGTGGGGGTTGAAGGTTAGCATTTTATCCAAAAGGTCAAGTGCCTTGGGGTCTGCGTCCGGGTAGAGCTTATCCCATGGGACTTTGGGTTTGTAGGGAAGAGACTGAAGGTAACTTCTTGCCTTCTCATTGATTATGCAAGCCAAATCCTCTTCTGAAGGAGTGCCCAAAATTCCAAGAATATGATTTAGCTGATCTAAATAGTGCTTTCCAGGAAAGATGGGTCGATTTGACAACATTTCTGCTAAAATGCACCCAACGGACCAAATGTCGATGGATTTTGTGTACCCCTACAAAAATTAACCACAAAAACTAATTATGGTTTCAATCTATTATTATATTATACAACAATGACAGTAAAGCAACAATGACATACTTTGGAATTCAACATGATTTCTGGAGCACGGTACCATCTGGTTGCGACATATTCTGTTAGGAAGCCGGTATGATCGTGATCTGGATCTGCTATTCTATAATATTATTTTTAGTTATTAGAATTTATCAAATTTCTTGCACCGTTTTCACTAATGTTACATAACCATCTGCATTAATTTGAAATGAAGATCATACCTCGCCAGACCAAAGTCGCAAATCTTTAAAAAAATGTCAGATCATTTTAAATACATGTTTATACCCCATCAATATTTTTTTAAACTCTCAGTAAATTGTCAGGAATTGTGGTTGACCGGCTTACCTTGAGGTCACATGTCGTGTTCAAGAGGAGGTTACTCGGTTTTAAATCTCGGTGGAGCACGTTTGCTGAATGAATGTACTTCAATCCGCGAAGAATTTGATATAAAAAGTAGCAAATGTGGTCATTGCTAAGCTTTTGTGTCTTTAAGAAAGAAAAAAACACAATTAACTAATGAGATCAAAATTAAATTCTAAACACTGTGAAATACTGTGGAACAATTATTTCACACACATGCACGGGCAAAAATTCAATTTCAATTGAAACTTTCATTGAAATTTTGCCATTGTTATTGTTATTCATTTTTATTGTTGCAACTTGAACGAGGCATTTAAATTACCTTTAATAACTTGTAAAGATCCGTCTCCATCAAGCACTGAACAATGTAGACATCCTTGAACAAATCCAAAGTTGGAGATGTGATGATGTCACGAATGTCGATAATCTATTTTTGCGCACAAAAGTAACATATATACAAATAACTTAGTTCATGCTAAATTCCTGTTAATGAGCGGCACCCATTACATTTTTATGTAATTATTATCTAAACGTACATTTTCATGTTTAAACCGGGTCAGAATTTTAATTTCACGGAGCGTCCTTTGACAATATGTTTGGTGTTCAAATGGCGAAATCTTTTTGATGGCGACTTTGGTCTTTGTGAGGTTGTCGTAGGTGGACCTATAAACACGAATTAATTATGTTACCGCTACCACATAAAATAAATTAAGCAATAGTGGTAATATACTACTCACACAACCATTCCATACGCTCCCTCGCCAATGTAAGCCAAGTTGGTGTATCTTGGCCCCACCTCAAAGATTTGTCCACGAATGACTTCTGCATTTGGTGGAACATGTTGTGGGGGTTGATTTGGAATAACTGCGGACATTGTGGCCGACATTGTAGGCAGATTGCGTGGCTGCGACACTACTGCTGCTGCTGCCTGATGATATTGCTGTGACCGTGACCTCTCTTTTCCCCACTTTTGTCCTATCGTAAAGTCTCGAACGAGTGTGCACTGCTTCGACACACTCAACAAATCTGCAACATTTGATCAAAAACTCTGTCAGTATAATATTATACTAATATTGTTAGCAAATAGTAGATACGTTGCAAATTGCAATTATATTCATGTCCTATATTATCTAACATCACGTCATCCTATCCAACCAAATGCAATAATAAGCCTTGCAGATAAGACATATCTGTTGATAAGGGAGAAGATAGCAAATTTTGTGTGTATCCAAATAATTTCACTCCACTTACCATTACAAGAACTCCCTCGCGGAAGAAAATTATTTGTACACTTTTTGAAAGGTCAAACTAGTAACGTCAACTTTAGTAGCCGCACGTATAGATTGCTGACCCTGAGTGTTTCCTGTCACCCAACAAAGAAAATGAAAGTCAGCTGAGCAACAATAATCACCTGAACCATCAAAAATTAGAGGAGAGAATGTATTATTGGATTCATGTGCAATATAGTTCTTTAGGTGAGAGGAGCTACATATAGAGAAGAGATCGATGCTTTACTTGGAAAAGTTTGGTCTTCGGATTGGCAAGGAGCAGGAGCCGCATATCAGAAGGAGAGCAAGCAGTCTGGTAATGGCATATTTGGCCATTTGGCTCTATATTGCATTGCATTGTGTATGGTCGTTGTCGGATGGAGTCCTAGAGGCGCTGCTGCTTGGGTACAGCAGCTTCCGGCCAGCTTTCTCCTCCGCCAATCCTCCGCTTTCACCTCCGCGCAGTCCAACAGCAACAAGTCTCTCGTCTCCTGAACACAGAGGATCAAATCCTGATAAGATGGTGGCAATATGTTGCAATTTCTTCCTTCCTTCACATTTGGCAACCACATGCATGCACGCACGCACGCACACGCCAATTGGGGTGGGGTCTCCCACTTGCTTAAAAAAATAAGGACGGGTACAGCCTGCGAAATATCTTGAAAATATATCAAAGGGGCCAAAAAAACGGACCTGAAAGAAGATTTTCATAAAGGCATATACAGACTGATCGGCATGATTTGTGTCAAGTTGATCTGTTGGTTTACGTCAACGTTAGAAAGTGGTCCGGCCAGATATGTAGAAAGTCCCTTGGTTGGAAGAAGCATGAAGGAAGCGACAAGCATAAGATTGATTGGCATCCATAATGCGATTTGTCATGTTCGGCTATAAAGTCTCAACTTGCCTCCTTCTCATCCGGGCCTATGTACTTGTAGGTATTTATGACCAAAGATTTTAACATCAAATGAAGAGTCGACATATGTGGTTGTACAACAGCTTTATTGATTATTATTATTACACGTCAAGACTTTGAGAAAATACTTGTGTACGCATATCACACAAACATGTGGGATGATGAGTCTCTGGAAACTTTGTATAGTTTTGTATAGAAGCATCAAGTTTTAAAAATGGATCCATCCATAGTTGCCCATTGAAGAATAATTTGATTATCCTCGCATAATTGCATATTAAATATCCATTGTGTGTTATCATTTGTATATCAATCAGAATACTGCTCACTCCTCGTCGTCGTCATCATTCGGCTCCAGGAACACGAGTGGTTGGCTTCGCCGACGAAGATGCCTCCGTTTTGCAAAATCTGGACAGTTTTTTGCATTTATCAAGTCTTTGGCCAAGTAGTAAAACTCCTTTTGGGTGCAATCCAGAGGTTTCGAAGAGTGAATGTACTGGATGGTTGTGTAAAATATGCCATCCAGAAGGGAAGCGATCCCCTCGTAGGTGACCTAAGAGAGGTCCAAGGTTAGACAAGTCCGTGTGTCAGGTAATAAATACTACACACACGAGTGGTTCAAGTGACAGTTGATGGGTCCATAATACCCATCATCCTGGACCACCGAATAAATACTCGAAAACTACTCGAGCACCATCAGAACAAACGCTGCTTCGTATTTACTTACCGACTGAGAGTACAACCTCAATTTATGGAGAGGCATGTGTCGCAAAGCCTTGAGAATCGTGGCATCTGTAATACTCCCGTAGAGAGAGGAAATGTGAAGCTCCTTTAAGCCTGCAATATATGTACATGCATTGTTAGAGAGGGTTAGTAGTCAGGAGCACGTCATTTCTTTAAGGTCAGGGGCAACCCGTTTATTGTGCAATCAGTAAAGACCCATCAGTATCAAATATTTTGTGCTGTTTACCGCTCAGTCCAAGAATGGCTGGTTTTCTGGTGTCCCATCCCAACAGCCCTCGGTCACTGAGGTTGGTGCAGAGGAGGAGGGACAACTCCTGAATCCTATGCACACCCAACCCTTGCCACAGGACCAGAAACTCCTCGTCAAAGGCATCCCATTGATAAATGTCGAGCTTGCGGAGAAACTGGAAGTTATGTGCAATATCGAGAGCTCGGACCAGTTCGGCGGAAATGGTCCCCTTTCGACTGTTGTAGGATATTTTAAGACTCGTCACAGTTGGGCGATAGGTGCCCAGAACGGTGGAGATGAGCCGATTGATTCTCGCGTCCTCCTCAACAGTGTCCACGTAGAGCTGCATATACGTTGAAATGTGTTAAGTAGCATAATTAATATAATATACACGATGCAACTGACCATGAGCACCTAAGTTAACATACATTGACGTTTAGCAGCTTGGGAAGGAGGGGGTTCTCGTAGTTTTGGTCTTCGAGGGAGAGGGCGGAGGAGACCCAGATCGAGATGCATTTGACGTTGACCAGCTTCCCCAGAAGGATGTTGGCATTCAGACCGTCAAGTGTTCCTATGATCTCCTGGATTTGATTTATTCTTCCCGACGCACAGGAGCGCATCACGACTCGCTTCATGTGCGACTCATGGACGTTGTGAAGGATGGTTTTGAACTCAAAGCAGACTTTGGCGAGGCGGAAGAATAGGTCGGGCGGGAGGGGGTTGAGGTACTCCAAAATGAGGTAACGCATATTTTGGTGAAAGCCACGCCGCACGATGGAGCCCATGACGGGCTCAAGGACATACTTCCCCAAAATGTCGTCCCGCAGCTCTTTTGGTCGTTTGGACTGGAAGTTGACGTATGGGAGGCGGAGGGAGAGGAGGTTGCAACAGTGGGTGAGGAAAGCCTTAAAATACGACATTTCATCCTCCTCCACAAAGAGAACATTCCCAATCGACATTACTTTAAGATTGGCTAAAACTTGGCCAATTTTTCGTAGATCGTCAATTTCACTGGTCCCAAGGTTAACTAGATTGATCCCGAGGAGGGCAAGAGTGTCGAGGACAGGACAGTGGGACAAGAGTTTGATCGTCATGGCATGACTCGTCATCGTGTTGATGTCGAGCACTCTCAAACAGGAGCCAAAACGCGTTCCAAACTCGAGTAAAAGTTCTTCATTGTTCCGCTTCTCACAGCCAATTCGGAAGTTACAAAAGTCTAGTTTGGACCGAAGGACTTTGCGCATTCGTTTGCTCCCTGCGCTCGAATGGAGCGTGATACGAAGTCTCGACAGGTATCGAGGTTGGTCCACCCACCATTTGGTTCGTTTGCAAACAAGACGAAGCATCAGCAGGGATTTGGGATCCAGGTAATCCATCACGGCATTCGTCACCTGTGCACAAAATTAGTGAAATTAGTTCCCACATTTCCGTATGCACATTTATTTATGTACGTTTACTAGAGGAAACGTAATAAAGGAAACGTAGAGCCGAGTAAGTATTATGCAGTTGTTAATCAACATCTTACGTCGGGGTAGAGAAGGGACAGCAAGAGGTTTGGGTCGTCAGCGTCATCACTTTCCTCGTCGTCTTCGCAGGACCTCTTTCCCGTTCGAGCCCAGGACAACCAAGACACCATTTTCATTAGCAGCGTGTGGTCCATTGAGGCCACTTACAAACGCGATCACAAATATTCCGATGATATGTTTATAGTGTCGTCGTGTTGGATTACTAAGTATAAATGTAGTTGATAACACTATTCCGTGTGCTGTAATCTCGCTCATGCAACGTAGATATGCACTTTTGAATGTGCATCGATCCTACGTACGTATCACCGGTATGTCAAAAATGTGTGCTTCGAAATGTCATTACTGTTACTCCATGGAAAACTATGTTCACTCCACTCAGTTCGGTATGAATGTTTCATTCAGCTCGGCAAACATGTCAAGTTCGCAGGTGTTGAATCAGTGCATAAATTGCCAATGGTGTGCTGTTTACTGTGAAAGGTTTCCGAGTGGAAACAGCAGGAGGAGCAGTGGTGGAAATGGTTTTAAAAATATCTGCACGACACATGCAGTGTGGAAGAAATGTGGCGAGAGAGGTCTGGTTGGAGAGAGAGCGAGAGGAGGTGAAAGGAGGGGAAAGCTCGTTCAACTGGCCCAGAGGAGCCTCCGAGTCCAGGTATTTGTAGCCGCTCTCGGTCGTCCTCCTGTCTTTTCCGCCTCTCCTCCCCGATCTCTCACTTCAGAACAAGGCGAACGAGTAAAGCAAACCTCACACTTGGCAAACCGACTGACATCCTGCTTTCTCCTGCTCCTCCTCGACCAAAATAGACTCAAAAGAACTGGATGAGCAGCGGCGATGACTTGGGCCAACCATTTCTCTCGGATCTCCTCGACATGGAAAATATGCTTCTCTCCAAGGAAAACATGCATCGCCATCGTGGGAAATAAATACACGATATCATCATTTCCTTGAAATGGAAGGAAGGGGAAAGTTCATCGTGCGAAGTGTTGTTTTTCTTGTAAATACACAACTATGTACGTATGTCTGTGGGTGAAGTAAGGCGGAGGAGGAGGTTGTGGCATTTGGTGACACACACACTATTATTATTATTATTTCTATGTACATACGTGGAACAACACACAGCATATAAAGTTCTAAAAACAGATGCAGCAAATACTGTGTGACGCTGATGATATGGTTCGCTCGAGAGTTTTTAAGAGATCTAAAGTTTAATAGGTCGCGAAAGCTACTTTATATAAACGGCTTGTCTGTCTGTCCGTCCAACTGTGAAGATATTTCAAATCAGAATTCAACAAAATTATTAATTGTAGTTCTAAGGTCACGACGGGAAGGTGACGGGATGAACTAATGGGACAATGTGAGATTCTGACGGTAATATGTATGTAGTAGGTGTTCTGTGGTCATCAAATGTTTGTCACACATTATCCCAAATGATCTCATATCCCTCAACATGACGGTAACATGTTAAATTGATGGTTCGTTGTCTTCAATAACAATTAAACAGCTTGCAACAAATGCTTTCGCTCCTTGGTTAATTCCGTGTCTCGCAATGTTTATTTCTCTTCGACGTGCAAAGAAGTCGTTACTGGGAGCAGTGGGGGGTAGTGCGTGGAACAGCTTATTCTGGATGGCACATTGTGTCCATATGAAACATGTCTCCTCCACAAAACATGCCATTAATTCCCTGACTGGGAAAGTGGGGAAGCTTGAGAGAAATTATGAAATGTCAAGTTGTTGATTGAGACGACGTCACTATGTAAATATGCAAGACGTGTGCAGGACGTTGATTTTGTGGCACCGGAATTAGCAACGTGTGCAAATATGCATGTACATGTACGAACCAAGGTACACATATGCCTGCACATTTGACTTATGCATATCTGATGATGGCGAGTTTGACGGATCGATTGGATATTTCCCTCTCGTTCCCCTTGTCCTTCTTCTCCCCCTGATATGCATTGTTTCTGACAGGTCGTGCTGCGCCACCTAAAAGCATTTTGGTAATGGCGATTATGTGGCGTTCTATATTGGGTCAATGTCGCAGCGGCACAACAACAACACTTTTTGATGGAATTTTATTATACTATTTCGCCGAAGGAGGAACACGGCTTAAAATCTGAGTGCGGACATTAGAGTACTTCGAATTCAATTAAGAAGCAGCCATCACAAGTACGAAATGTGAAATACATTAAAAGGTTGACGACAATCAGGACGAGGACATGCGTTGCCTGCCGCATTAGGCGAGATTGAAATTGTCAAAAACAAATTAAGTAGGCAGCAAAGTGGCGGTTTGCGAATCTTTTTGCGCAGTTTGTGGCACTTAGAGAGACCCGTGTTGCATAATTAATTTGATAAACCAGTGTAAGTGGAATTACGACGACGACGACGACGGGCAACCACCTTTATTCCCACCAGGCATATGCATACACAGCCAGGATACTCGTTTATGATGACGATGGGTAATAAAAATCGTCAGCTCGCTTTCCATCTCTTTCGGTGAAAGTCCACCTGAACAAACACGTGCCGAAATAATAAAACATTCAGCTCCAACAAGTTTACTAGCTGATAAGGACATTTGAAGTATTTACATGAATGTGAATGATAACAAGCTTCCCGAATTTTTTCGATTGCGTACGTTCTTGCTGACTTTGACTTTGATTGATCCCATGTAGGACGAAATTTCTTAGTGACAATCAATTTGAGGAAATATGTGTACGCACAAACTTATTTAGAACAAGATTGTGTTATTCAGAACAGGATACCAATCAAAAAGATATTCAAGTAGGATCCGGGCAGAATTATTATCATGAGTGTCTCGTAGCATGTGTAACAATACATTTAAATATGCCATCTAAAAAAACATTTTTTTCATAGTTTAAAAACACTTGATGAAACAAATTTTGATCTTTGTACTAAAATGGATTCATTTACATCTGGAATTTCTTTTCTTGTTGGGTAGGAGTATCACGTTTTCCTGTTGTTTTGTATATTGTGAAAAGTGAAATCATAACTATTCGCAAATTGCATTTTTTGCTTATGTACAAATGATGTACAAAACTTCGTTCATTTCATGGCTCACATCTCATCATCAAAAACACAAAATTTGTCACGTTGAATCCCCATTCAATTTTGTGTGTGTATTGACTGGTGGCTATTGCATACATATTGAGAACTATGTTGGAGAAAGCATTGATTTTCCAAATCACTAAAAGATTCATAAGGTGATGGCTTGATCTGAACGCTGAATATACAGCTCTGTAGTATTCGCACGTTGAACAAATGTCAAAACCTGGTTCTGCTGTATATGGTAGTGCATATTAATATTGCACTGCCAAATCAACTCTACACCACATACATGCCAACTTACTTGAAATGCACACGGAACTGTCCAGCTCAAGATTTGTTTATTCCACATATCAACTTGTATTGCATAACATGTTACATACGAATTAAGTACTTATTTTGTGCATATGTATGAAAATGAATTTCTAAACGGTTTATCCATGCCTATGTTGTTGGCAGGGGTGGCGAAGATACTTGTCAGTATTTATTTTGAACTCCGTTCTTCCAAGGGCTTGGCTTTGCAGGGTTATTACAGCTTCAGATTTTTTAAATAGTGAAAATGTGTATCTTCGTATGACTGCCATTTTCTCCATGTTTCACAAGTATCACAACTCACTTTTGTGTAGCTATAATAGTCCTGCAAATCCAAAACTGTATGGTGACAAGGTATCTTGGCCACCCATAATCCATATGCACATGGGTTTTATGGAAAATTATAAAGTCGTTTAAATATTAATGGAATTATTGGTTTACATAGCTGACGCTGAGAAACTTGAGATGTTGAGAACTTGAGATTCGTGCAAAGTGGAAATGTTGTATTTGTATATTGCATATGTTTGAAGGATGATTCAACCTTCACTTCAACTCATCAGGTTTCTATACTCGTCTCGTCTCGTACTATATATTTTATTCAATAAAATGAACATTACATAATTAACATCTCGTACTTTTTCGTTAATTTTCGTATCTCTACAAAGCAAAAAAAAGACTGCTTATCGCGTCATAAACTAATTGCTCATATGTCTGCTGCATTTTTTTAAACTTTTAATCGTGGTAGGCTATTATTTAAAGGTAAGTACATGTATACGTTTGGTTGATGTAGTCGTAGTGCACACTTCTAATTCATAATCTAGCTGAGAACAATTGATTTAGGACAATCAATAGGCTAATTGTTTTTTGTTTTTGATTTTCTTAGATAAATAATAAGCAGAAAACTACCTCGCCAGTCGTTGGACGCGTGCATGCTGCTTCGGTGCTTTGACCTTGTGCGTGAATGATTTGCCAAATTAGTCAACCCATCTTGACCACCTCGTCGTAAACTCAAGGACAATATGGTGAAGATCTTGGAGGAAAATAGAGCCGGGTCAGCAGGCGAGTCGTCTGGACTTTATCACAGTTCTGAGACAGGAGATAACAATGTCGTTGTCGCAAGATCGTCCCGACCTTTCGTCTCTCCTTCTCCCCCCGAGGGGGATGGTGGATCGAGCGGATATCTCAAGGGGTCCGAGTCGCCAGACCAGCAAGATTACAATAATTCCGGCTATACCAATAACAATGACGACCAGCAGGACACGTACTTTACGGATGAAATCATTCACATTCCTGATCAGGATTCCCCCGTAAAAATACAAATACTTTATAGACACTCCGAATTTATGAGTTTATTTTATATAGATAACTCTGTATCCTTCAGGCCTTCAGTTTTAGAAAATTATGGGCTTTCACGGGGCCAGGTAAAAAAATAACGCCCTCTCCTTGTTACATATAGTATGCATTAATTTGTTCTTGGTACATATTGAAGTTAAATATTATTTTTAAATCCAATTTCAGGGTTTCTTATGAGCATTGCATATCTAGATCCAGGAAATATTGAGTCTGATCTTCAGTCTGGGTCGGCAGCTCAGTATAAGGTGAATTTCAAACTGTTGGCTTTCACAATATTTCCATAATATCCTCATTTTTGTTATATTTTTAAACATGCGGCTAAAACTAGTTTCTTATCATTATTCCATCTAGATTTTATGGGTGCTCATGTGGGCAACGATACTCGGACTTTTGATGCAAAGGTTAGCGGCCCGGTTGGGTGTAGTGAGTGGGATGCACTTGGCCGAAGGTGAATTTATTAGGCTCTAATTCACACTTATTTTCTTAGTCAAGCTATTGATCACCAATTCATGAGATTTATGGAAAATGTTCATCACAATTTTCTCCTTTCTTTCATTTAGTGTGCAACCGAAAGTATCCTGTCGTTCCAAGAGTGATTCTGTGGATCATGGTGGAAATCGCCATCATTGGAAGTGATGTAATACAAGTTATTACTTATTTGTTTTTTGCATAATGAACTTGATTAGCGATGAATGCTGGACTATAACATTTTCCTGTATGTTTTGCCAATTTAAGATGCAAGAAGTTATTGGAACCGCGATCGCGTTTTACCTACTCTCAAACAAAGCGTAAGACTAGTATAGAACAAAAACAATCAAATCAAATTCTAATCTGATCTGTAAAAAAAATCATGTATTTAATATATATGTTCCACCAGGATTCCTTTATGGGGCGGAGTTTTAATTACAATCGTGGATACTTTCACTTTCCTTTTCTTGGACAAGTATGGACTTCGAAAGCTGGAGGCGTTCTTTGCCATTCTTATTGCTACAATGGCTCTGTCCTTTGGCTATGAGGTGAGCTCTAACATAATTTGCGATGAACTTATAATTGAATCCACTCTGAGTATGTCTCACTTACGTTTGTAATTTTGTGCATAAAGTACATAAAAGTTGCCCCAGACCAGGGCGAGGTGCTTAAAGGGATGCTGATTCCGTGGTGCTCAGGTTGTGACAGGAAAGTTCTTTTGCAAGCTGTTGGTGTGGTTGGTGCCGTGATTATGCCCCACAATCTATACTTGCACTCTGCTCTAGTCAAGTCCAGAGAAATTGACAGAACCAAAAAAGTCCAAGTTAAGGAGGCCAACCGATACTTTTTCATTGAGGTACGTGGCACCAATTTAATATAAAATAAAGAAAAGGATGATTGATATATACTCGTTTACTTTAGGCGTCAATTGCCTTATTCGTCTCCTTCCTTATCAACCTTTTCGTTGTGGCCGTGTTTGCGCATGGAATGTGGGGAGATCACAACACGAAGAGAACAAACCAGGATATTTTGGAAGAATGCTTGATAAATAATAATACCCATGCTAGCGTATTTCCGGTAAGTAACCCAATAAACATATCGTGATATTACATTCATAAGTCCCTAGTGCTTACAATGTGTGATTATAATTTTGACAGAATAACACTAAAGAGTTCCAACCAGACATTTACAAAGGTGGCGTGTTTCTTGGGTGTGAATACGGCGAAGCGGCAATGTACATTTGGGCAATTGGAATTTTGGCTGCTGGTCAATCGGTAATTCATTCGTTAGAATTTCAAATTAACAAAAAATCAACATCGAAAACAGAGAATGCATTGAGTGTTTTAGAAACATAATCAGTGTGGAATTTTTTCTCTGAGCTCTTTCTCCCACTATTTGGGGAATAGTATTCCCCAATATTCCTCTTCCTAGTTCCTACATATGTATCTCTGCAATATATCAATCTCTGAATGATTCTACCTTGCTGTAAATTATGTTTAAGCAAGTCGTCGCTATATAATTAGTTTATTCGTATCCAGAGTACTATGACGGGAACTTATGCTGGTCAGTTCGTGATGGAGGTTAGCTATTTACATATTCAAATGAACACTTTAATTCCTGGTCGTTTTACTTAATGCTTCGCATATTCAGGGGTTTCTGGACCTACGTTGGTCAAGATGGAAGCGAGTTTTGCTCACTCGTACAGTTGCAATTTTGCCCACCTTTTTGGTCGCCAAATTTCAAGATATTGAAGATTTGTCCGGTATGAACGACATGCTCAACGCACTTATGAGTCTTCAAGTAAGTATGTAGTTCGCACGACCACGTCAGTAGCCGATTTATCTATTATTGGAGGTAAAGAAGTATGTTTTGTTTTTCAGCTGCCATTCGCAGTTCTTCCAGTGAGTTATCAATGCCACATGCCATAAAAATTAATTCTCAAGCGCACATATGTGACGAAAATTTACCAATGCTTTTGTTTGTAGGTGATATCCATGACTAGTTCTAGAAACATTATGGGAGATTTCCGAAATGGAACGTATGCAGATAACATTTATATTTTCTTGTGCATACTCCTGTTGAATCATAATACTTATAAATATTCGCATTGTTCGTCTTGGGTTGCAGAGTAACAAAGATTGTTTCAGTCTGTGTGGCAGCAATCATCATAGGCATCAATATCTACTTTGTCGGATATTATGTCACAACGGCATTTCCTCCGTATTGGTTCGTTTACTTTGGCGTCATCGTATTTGGTGTGCTCTATCTCACCTTCATCACGTACCTCCTCTTACACATGTTTGTCTCGATGGGGTTTACGGGACTTTCCAGATTTGAGGTACGACAACCTCTTGTTATTTATTTATTTGCTTATTTATTTATTTATTCCTCTTGAACAACCCAATCTGCTATTGTTTTTGTATATCACTCTTCTGTATTGTATTTTGTATGCTCTAACCTTATTTATTTGACCTCTTCCACACTAGCACGAACTTCCTGAAGGCGACTCTTTGCATGCACCCTTTCAGTCGAAATCTATACCAGTAACTCCTCTGGCTGAAATTGCTGCAGATTTAGAATTAGAACTGGACAAACTAAAACAAAAAGCTGGTTAATACATAGGTTACTGTACTGTACACCAAATGAATCTCGTTTAATGCTTGCATGTAATCCCTTGTTCAAAAATATGACTGTACAAGAAAGTAATTAAGTTGATGTCAAAAATGCATGTTTTTTTACTATTTTTCTTTCACCGAAATATCGCATTTATAACAACAACAACTTGGACGTTGATTTTCTTATTTCAGTTTGCCAGAAACATTGAAAGAGAAATGGAACCAAAGATCTTGCAAAATTCCGGAGGGACAGGAAATTACGGGTATGAAGAAGAAGAAGAGGAAAATAATGATGACGGTGGTGTTAACGCTCTCAATAATGATAATGAGGAGACGCATGACAATAAGGCTTCGTCCAGCAGTCAAAACGCTTGAAAAGAGAATATATTATAATCACACATTTATACCATTAATTTTCAAGCATTGTTTAATCTTTTGTTTGTTTTTAACTTTTTGGGTTGTTTTAGGTCGATTCGACATTGTTGCTAATTAATCAATTGGCCTCGCTTCTCACGAACCCGCACACCCACCGCAATCACCCCATTTGCTTTTATCAGCAGAAACCACCACACGCAGCTTTTTAGTCGCTCATCTTCTTCCCAACGCTCAATTATTTATCTAGTCGCAATTAGCACGCAGTTAATTTAGTTTTTAGGTAGAAATTTTATTCGCATTTTATTCCCTTCCTTTTTGTCATTTTTTGTCTTTTTGTCACATTATGCTACAGAAGCTTTTATTTGTAATGCAGCCGCTATCGATTTAACTAATAAATCTAAACACGAAATATTTACTTGTCGAGGAAGTCTATTTTGTGATAAATCTCTAGCATAGCATACCGCTATGAAACTTTGAATTTTACTTCTTCGCGAATACAATAAAGATAATAATATCGATCTCTTAAAACTGGAATTGTTATTCATTTGTGCATGCATGTACACCCAGGAGGCTTATTGAGGGTAAGCTCCTGTCGTCGTCAGGGTCGTCGTCTGGCCTTGTGCAGCTGAAAGAGAAACAGGCCCTGCAGTGCCTCCGTACTCGGGGGGAAGTTGGTTGGAGTGCACGAGGCGCTTAATTTTCCCCTCCCACTCTTGGCGATTCGTCCCGTACACCTTGATCCTCGCCACAGTCTTGTCCCTCATCACAGGCTTGAGCATGGCGAACAGACGGGGAAATATGGCTGGACAGTTGATGTAAAATGCTTTGTAGAGCGTCTCTGGGTAGTGGGAGTCAAACGAGGAGGCCAATTTCAACATTAGCTGCACTGCTATTTTTTCATATGCCACATAATAAAGAGTTAAAATGAGATGAGATTAAGATGTTAAATGGTGTTGCCAAAAGGCGACTAAAAATAGATTCGATTTGCTTTTACACCTTTAAAATTGACGAGCTGTTGGTACGAATATCCAGCCCAGTCAGCAATCGCCGTGAACTGTGTGTTTTGAAATTCCCATGGTTTGCGACCCTTATTGCTATCTCGAATCCGCTCCATGGCCTTTTCAAACAGTTGAGTGTAGTGGGTTACGAACTCGACCTCTCTTCCCTCATTGACAATGCGGGCAAGGTCCCACCGGCCAATGGAGAAAGAGACCACTGCAACCTCAGATAAAAGCTCGTCAGCATTTTGTACCACTCGCATTACAATTAATTTAGAAAAATAATCCGAGCTCTGAGTGGCGTGCCACTTACCCGGGTGACCCAGAGTGTCCAAGCCGAGCATGGAGTAGGGGCACAGGTGCATTAGCACGGGGTCAATGGCTTGGTACAGGATATCGTCAAAACCATACTCCCTTCGCCAGTCAAAGGACTATAATTAATCAAGATTTGTATTTTTACTGGGCGAAATTGGTGAGGTGACTTTTTGGGGTAAAATTACATACCTTTCGGATCATAAGCTCTGCCTTTTCTATATTTCCATCCTGAGCTGAAAACCATGAATATCGCTCTGGTTTCACTTTGCATATTTAATTTTTAATTGTTATTAAACCTGCATTATAGTCTGTACCTCGAATCCATCTGAGCAAAAACTGATCCGAACGATCCTCTCCAGGTTTTAAAATATCAAACACTCTGCTCCGAAACTGTTGAGGAAATCCGTCGCATCATGTATTCACGAGTATAAATATTTATTCTTATGCAAATGTATATGTATTTAATTTGGATGGGGACTTGGGGAGTCACGTACCTTTGTGATAAGTTGCTTTTCCTGATCGGAATGAAAGCTCATCCTGACGTCCCTTCATTCAAGTAGCAAACTGACTTTTTGCCTGGATAAAAGTTAGATCCAAAGCCGATAACGCAATTGCGAAACAACGGGACTCAATTCACAGCAATTAGTGTGCCAAAGTCTGGTAGGGCTAATTTATAGATTTTTATATTATTTAAATGGTATATTATTGAACTCCTATCACTGCCATTTGTACGTAAATTATGACGCTGTTGTGTTATTCTCAACTTTTGCTACTTGTTTCGCTTCGATGGGATTGATCCCAACTAAAACCTTAGAGAATATAGATGTACATATATGTTATAAGTAAATGCATTTTTTAGAACATTCCACAATTGTGATGTTGCAATCCAATGAACGAGATACAGGCTCATGAAAAAATTGAGCATGGCTCAAAAAAATAGCAACCGCTTTTCACAGGTACTCCCCAAATAAGCTTCCTCAAAACTAATGTGCAACAACGCTCCTTTGACTTTTAAACGAGTTGGATACTTTTAAACGAGTTCATTATCGCCGTTAACAAGCATCATAATAAGCGCACCGTCTCACAGAAAAGTTTCCATTGTTTCTTCTCATTCATATCCGGAACTGGAGCTTAACTTGTGTGATACATACATATGTATAACGTATGTAATAGTGCAATTTAATAATCATCTATAAAGACGAGTGCTTGGGTCGCATGCTATCTTTCCACTTTGGATAATGACACTCCCAAATTGGAAAATTGTCGTAATTATGGAACATAAATTCACGAGGACTATTTCACTTATCTCAGCTGCCGACATCTCAGGCGTCGACGGAATTGAGATCGACGGCATACTTTACCAATATTTTCCTTCATGTGTAATGTAATTCAAAAAAGAATGATCATCATACGTATTATATTCTGATATATGTGCTGTCCCACACACAGGTGGTTTCATTTTGCTGGAAAATTAAATGGGTATACTTCCGGCGCGGCATAGTCCTCGTATTGATTGCCTTTTCGGCGTGACGTAGGGCAGGAAAAAAAACAGGAACGAAAGGAAATCAAATAATTCAGTCTCCAGTGTTCGACTATGTATTGAAGGTCACTGAAGGTGAAGTGAAAGCAGTCCCAAGATGACATTGTTGACCAATCATCCATCGCATTTATTTATCCGTTTAGTTCGCTATTCTTTTGAAGTATAGATTTGATACGAACCTCACCGTCCGTGTCGTGCGTGGGACAAGTTGCAAAAAATGAATGTTTCCTGATCATACATGCTTTTGACTCTTTTATTCTTCCTTTGGAATACAGATACATATGTATTTTTATGTAGCTTTTCGATTCAATTTTAACAACTAAATACTTATATAATAATAACAACGGGTGTTGTGCAATATGAGTGAGAGAGAAAACATCTCGTGTTACAAAGGATGCAAATGCACATATGCATGTAACGTCATCAATCATAGACTGCTCGTACTTAACACGTGGATGTAAAAATCTGTTCCCGAGACGAAACTACCAAAGATGCTTATTCCAGAAAAGATCTGGAAAACAGTAAAGTCACATTTTGTACTCCACTTGCATCCAAAGCTGTATTTTCTTGAACTCTTACCGAGGCATAGAATGCACTCCTCTGGTTATGCAGCGAATCTGCAGTCAAAAGGAGCAATGCAGTACCAAGGATTCCTACGCCAACGGCGAGTAGTTGGACCATCAAGTTCTGCAAGGGAAATTAATCAGATTTCTCTTCGTGATCACCTAAAAATAAACAAGCAAAGGAAATTGCGAACCTCCTTCGGTGTCCCAATAAATTCGAAGCAGTTGAGAAAGAAGACGACGGCACAGGAGACCACAAACACTAATTCTGGCACGGAACGTTGTTCCTCCGGCATCAGAATGCAACTCATTGCGAGAATTCCACAAATCTGAAAAGATTAAATGTCGACAGTATTAACATTTTTCTCATATTTTTTGCGGAGCCCTGTTGTACTTGCGCATATTTAGGTTCACTTACTCTGGAAAAGAAGGAAAATGTTTCCGGTATCACCCACGTGTTCCCGTCAAAAAGTCCCATTGTGGGTTTCCACGCACCCTGCCTATGAATCTGTTATTGTGAAAGAGATTAATTGACCAAGAACAGCCGTTAAGTAATTCGATTGAGACTGTGCAAGTGATGTACATGGATATGTATAAATAATAAATAGAGTTAATTGCAGTCAGTCAGCATGCATGGCATTGAAGAAGTGACTCCTTGTGTCGGTATTGATGGACGCTGGCTATTCGTTTATTCGGCACTATATACGAACGGACTAGATAGATACCAAAGAAAAACATACATTACATATCGTGGAGCGTATTAAGTATGATGATGCATGAGATGTGATGGCCAATGAGTGTTGTAATTACTTGGACAATATAATTTTCATTTTTTGCGTGACACGAATAGTACAAGTACAAAAACGTTTGGAGAAGTCTCTATGTGCTGAATAAATCTTGTGATAGATAATTTCATTTTAAGAAGTCATTACAAATTTGTACATTAACATTACTGATTATTGGGTTCGTATGCAGAGCAGATTTTTTTATCGATCTCTGTCGCATGAATGCACACATCATATTCACTTTAAAGACGTTACGGTGCGGTCCAACAGCGCTAATCCGATTACCATCCAGTAGTGAAAGTAGGAGAAAGGTTCTGTAAAATGCGGATACTTGGACACTCTGGACACGTAAAAATCTCTATATCGACCTACTTATTGCTTGACTTGGCCATTGTGAGACGGCTCATGTAGGACTTGCTGGTGGTGGTGGTGGTGTTGTTCAATTTCAGCTGCGGAGTCTTCCACCATTGTACTCAGTGTATATACAAAACTGACCTTCTTGGAAATATTTGGAACTAATTTCACCATTTTCGAGCTTCAGATTCCACTACTCCCTGTTTAACCAAAGAACCCAAGACAGACTAAGAACAAGGACATCGTAGTTCCAAAATCAACAGTGTTTCCACATTTGCGAACTTCAAGAAGACGAGGCAAGAACAGTAAAAATTAATTAAATAAACAAATGGGCATTAAAGAGAGCTAGTCCAGCCAGCCAGTCAATTGATAGAAAAAGTTGGGAGGTAGCTAGATTCGCTTAATCTCTTTAGACATACAATTATTACAAAGCAGCAAAGACACTTCCGTAGTGAAAACTTGTTACAATGCAATTAACTAAGAATTTATTCAGTTCTTGAAGTTCAAGACTTGAACTTGCTTGACTATTATTTACATAGTGATTTACGGTTCGTCCGAATCCGATTCGTTAGTACTCTTTTATAAGAGAATGGTGGGTAAAGGACTTTTTGTTTTTAATTGCAGAACTTTCAAGATAACGTGTGAAGGATGAAAGAGGAGGATGTCCTACAATAGCGGAAAATGCATATGAGAAGTGTGGCCGTGTTGCTGGGACAAGTATGCATCGTGTTGGTGGAGAGGATGACGACTTGTTGTTAGCAATTTCACCCCCACCAGAGTTTCAAGACCTCCCTGCTCCTCCACCCACTGTTTTCCGTGACCTTAGCCCATCCCCATCAGCTCTTCTTGGCGTTGGTGGGAACAAAAGCAGAACACATCATCCTCATTATTATCACCACTTGTCCGAGTTTGCAGCACGGATATCATTCGATATTCTCAATGAAGCGATGGTGATTGCCACAGAGGAAGTTTTGTCTCATGGAGGCTGCACCGTTCGCTGTGGTTCGTCGTCATCTTCAGCCAACCCTATCATCAGCACGACACACCATAATGTCGTCCACACCTCAGGTTCACCACGGTTTGAGCAAAATCTCTCTTATCTATCATTCTCTTCTCTCCGCAACTAATTAATCTACTTCAGCACTATGCTTCTTCTTCCTTTCGGGTTTTCTTTAATGGCTGTTTTCTTTCATTTTCCCCATAACTTTATAATAATAATCCCCGTGATTTTATTTAATAGGTTCCTCTGAAGAGGAGGAAACAAGTATTACTACGTCCTGGGAATACGTACCAAAGCCTGGTTGTGGTTCGAAATCTGCAGTTCGGCGTTCGCGATGTCAAGCTCATACTAACAACGATGAGGTGGGGAAGGGGGAAGAAACTGTTGAAGTGAATCAACTACGACACACCGCGACGGGGACAGAGGCATCAGTTCCGAGAGGAAGGTCAACGTTGTTCTGTGGGGATGCATTTACTTCATCTGTGTCATCGTCACGTGACTTGCCTCTGATAAACCGATCTGTTTCGTTTCATTCTGAAATTGGGCCTGCTGTTCCCCCAAGAGTCAACATTCGCAAAACAAACAATGATTATTCTGATACAAGTAGACGGAATAATAATGTTGACCCTTCCGCTTCCTCCTTCTCCAATCGACACTCCATCGCAGGAACATCGAACATTGTGCGTGGTCAGCCAGATGATCCGTGCTTCATAGTAAAGAATGACATTTACTCATTACCAGTGGACAATATTTCTACACAGGAACCTGGAACAATCTCCTGGAATAATATTCCATCCAGGCATCCAATACTTGGTCCCCGGCGGTCGTGTGGCAATAATGACGGTGTGATATTATCTGATCAGCCAGCAGATTCATCAAGAAAGTGCTTTCCGAGGAGTAACGATATGGATGACAATGGTTTGATAGCGTTCAATAGGTTAATACCATCTTCTTCGATCTCAAAACAACATGAAAAGTGTAGGAACGGGAGTGCACCTCTTGCTACAATAGAGACAGTTAAAGTACCAGTTATTGCAGACTTTTTTGATAACGAAAGATGTGCCACCAGCAGCAAGGAGCCTAATACCCATTCTTCTTCTTCTTCACATCATACAATAAACAAACCCAGACTCGCAGATCCTGTTGACGATGATAACGACGACGACGGTAATGATGATGAGACCTTGTTGATGGGAGGGTCAAGGTGTGCAGGGAGACTTAACAACCCTCAAAGTCAGGCAAGGCGTAGTCACAGCGTAGAAGTAAAGATTTCCAAGGTGGACTCTTATGATTTCGACACTAGTCTACACAACATAAATTCCAAAGAAGAAAGGGGTCGAGTTGGAGCTAGCAGTACCAGTACAAAACAAGAAAAGAGGACGATTGGGCATTCCATTTTGAATCTTTTTAAACGAAAGTCACGTTCAAAGGCGAGGTTACGAGAAACGGAAAGTGGGATGGGTCAACACTATGGTAGCAGGTATGGGAGCATTACATTTATTTCGTTATATGCATATAAAGTTATTAAGAACAGCATTTTACTTTTCTCTATCATGGAAATTAACTGGCCATTTATTTACTATTCTGTCTAATAGTAGTGGGTCATTTGCTAATAATGCGACCACATCTCGAGCCCTCCCACCACCACCACCACCCTCTGCAAATGCCGCTAGTGATTCTGACGCTGAAGTGGAACCAAGTGTACGAATATCTTGTGGTGGCGATCATCATGATACCAGTTTTCCAACCCACATGGACTTAGGACCTTGGTCGGATGATGAATCTCTTGACGGTCCCATTGAAGCCAAAGATTTTACTGTCAGCATCGAAAAAGTCAAAGACGTGAGTTCCGCCATACATATTTTATGTTTGATACGTTGCAACATCGCATGGATCATTGACATATTGGACAATATTATCTAATAAAATAAACTAACTGATACATTGGCTGGATTGTATAAACAATAGTGCGGCTGGTATTGGGGACCGTTTTCGAGTGAAGCGGCCGAAGATTTGCTCCGAGGAGAACCTGACGGTAACTTATTTAAATTACTGTACATATTTCTGACTATTCAATATATTTAAATACACAATAATATATAAAATTGCGAAAACTAGACTAACTGGCTTTTTTAAAAAAATTTGGAGACTGACTGTCGTATTTTTACTTATTCTAGGATCTTTCATTGTTCGTGATAGCAGCGACACTCATTACATATTCTCGCTCACCTTGTAAGACACTTCTTTTCATTTGCACAATCAGATTGAGAAATGATGAGTTTTAAAATTAATATTCTATTAATTGACAGCAAACTTAACGGGTTGGTTCGCCATTGCCGCATAGAACATGAGCAGGTGAAATATTAATATGCATATAACGTGCTGCTGTTATTATTTATTACAGAAGACTTAATGAGCAGTGTTTTGATTTCCTTGTTATAGGGTAACTTTAGCTTTGGACCCCTGACTAGATTTAAAGCTGCGACAATAGTGGACTTTGTTGGTGAGTTACTTAATAATTAAGAATAATAATACTCACAGATTTTTGTACCTCTTATTATAATTTAATTGATATTTCATTTTGTAGAAAAGGCAGTAGCGCATTCTAGGTGAGGCTTAATTCAGAAATGCAAATGTTACTGTATCGTTGATGTGTATGTGAGACTTAAATTCTGCTTATTTCCAGATCCGGAAGATATTTATTTTTCCTTCACAGACGACCTATCCTGGGACCCATGCGAGTCCAACTGCTTCATCCATATAGTAGATTTAGACACCCGAGGTCACTTCAGCACCAGTGCAGGTAGACATTTAAAATTCATAGTTCTTATGTCCATTATAATTTATATATTATTATCTAACATGTCTTTATGAATTTAGGTTTGTGATTTTAAAATATGTTCGTCGAGATCTGATATCCTCACTCCCACTTCCAAAGCCACTCATAGAATACTTGAATACGCCGTACTACTACTTTGAAAAACAAGAGGACAGAAAGGCCAGTTAGTCAACCAACCAAGCTATGATTTTTTCCCAATGGCCATTAATAATATGCAATGTGTAGTTCGTTGTTTGCATACATCTAATTTGTTATGTTACCCATTTCAATCACTTGTCTGTTAATCGAAGAATCGAAGCTCATTCCGTATTGTTTCGTGTATGTAATACCAACATCATACACCACCATTCCTCCCAAACTTGGCTTATTGTTATATATAATAATTGTCATAATTGACATGAATTTGTCAACACACTGTTAACATTTTTTGCACTACTGAAGGTTTATTTAATTTATTACTGCTATCATTATTTGTATTTATTATTATTTCAATCTTCTATGTTGTCTTCCGTTTGAATACACACACGACACATATAATACTATTATTAGATAACCAATCGAACTCATAACCTTAGCCCGATGATGTATCTATCTATAGAGGTGATATTATATTATGTATTAATGTACTTAGAAAATAGTTGTTATTGTAGAAAATCGGATGTACTATTCAACAACACAGTCAGGAATTGTGCTGCGAACGGAATGAAATAATAGTTCCATAGTTCACTTAAAAATAAACGATTTTCGACAAGAAATTGATCTGATTTCTCTGCGTCTTGCTTTCGAATTAATAAGAGTCCTGTATAATGTAATTCTGATTCGCGTCTTGCTTCATTCATGGTGGTGGAAGGCCTAAGGTGTAGCGAACAAGACGGACTGCTCGGCGTTCAAATTCTGGTTTGTTTTCTCTCCACATTTTTGCTGCATCGACACAAGCCGGGCTTTCATCATTTGGTTCTGAAACATTCGAAGACAAAATTTAGCGTCACTCTGTACAAATGTTTTATTGTCGATAACTGTAATGAACTAGATGAAGAGGAACCCCATCACCTACCTGCCAACAAACTCACAACCGATAGTAAAATTTTTTCCACACTTTGAACTGGGCTCCACCGTTCCGAACGACTCTCATATCCTGTTGGGTCATCTCCAGGGGCGTGAAGAATTGAAATACAAACTCGACCATCTGGGTAAACTGCAAATACGTAAACGTGACAATGTGACTAGGACGAAATATATTTTAAATTTTATTATTATATTCTAAAACCATTTGGGTGGAACATGTCACATGAAAACTTCATTTTTGGTGGACTCAAGGGGTAGTCGGGCGGAAACACAAGTTTAGCTGGAAAAACGCCTCCGTCGAAGCAGGTACTTTCTGGACCACTGTAAATACATAAACATACAATGCTTCTGATTTTCGTAGTAAAGTAGTAATGTTATATTTAGACTTTCTTACGATATCAATGCCTCCCATTCAAAAAAGTTTTCTTCGTCCACCGGTCCAGCCAAAATTCCTTCAGGTGGATTCAAGGTTAACTCTGATTGCATAATTATTCAAAAATTACTATACTTAGAACTAGAACAACCAGCACTTGATTTGCATATACCATATTTATATCGTGAAATACAAATTGTATTATACAGTTTAGTGTTTATGGTACAAGTTACTCACGTTTATATTCTGCCATTAGCCGTCGTAGAGCAGCCCCAGCCATGATTAAAATAGGTCAGCTCAGGTCTCGTATTATAATTTATAAATTCAAATTATGAAGTACAAATCAATTTTCATTTGAGTTTAAACAGCAGATGACTAGTTTGAGTTTTGCGGTTCCTTGATGACTCAATAGCGACCACTCGGTGTATAAATGACAACGCACCGATGATATTAACGTCTTTTAATTCTTACTTCAAGATGCTAATCGATAACTCATGCTAATCGAAAACTACATACTTGGGACTACTACTTGGGAGGAACCTTCCCAACTTGTCAATAACAAAATTCGATGCTCTTGGGAGTACTCGTGGGATATTGCAACATTTCTACTCGGAATTGAATTTCCAAGGGGCATTAAAATCATTGCCAAGAAATTAACCTCCTCCTGCTCACCAGAGGGGGACCTACAACTATTTATTTTTGAAACTGGTTAGAAATAGCTAAAATTTGGTATCAAGGTCCAAGTGTATCTCAGGTAGTAAATTTTCAAGACGCTAAACAAGAATTGTATGCACATCCTGAGATCTTGCCCACCTCGAGCAAGTTTACTGTTTACTGTTTACTGTTTACTGAAGTTTATTAAAATGTCGCAAATCATCAGAAAAAATCTGCTTTTCAGATCAAGACACGATTTGCAGACGTCGATGTTTTTCTGCATAATTAACTCATATGCTGCGTCAATTCCTGCATACCACTTTCTAATTGGACTAAGAAATTGAAAAATGCATCGTGCTGCATGCAGTAATGACATTAATTGAATGGTGACATTATGAAGATAGCCAATAAGCAAATATTATTGCATGCATGTCTGACTGACCAAGGATAAGATTGGTGATATGTAGTTGGACTCTGATCAACTCAATTATGTACGTACATACAAGCTTTTGCCTCTTCCGGTTGAGTATAATTCATGTCCAGGCTGCTTCCAGCTGCTGATACTAAATAAATACATATTCAGATTTCGTTGGGCAGCAATTTAATTTTGCTAAAGTCATTGGTTATACATTGAAAAGGCGAAATGGAAATTTTCATACTTTACAAAGTAGTGAGATTATTACTGCTTGTCGGAGCTTTGATAACACATTCAACCTTTGGAGGTATTCTTGACAAACGCTTACTTTCATCTTCAAATACCATTGTTCGTGTTGTGGAGATAACCTCCGAGGATGACAGTAGTGGTGCAAAAACTAATTCCATTCCAACATTTCCTCAATTTGTGTCACTTCCAACTGAAAATATCACTGCCGGAAATGAAGGAAAAACTCTAACGGGGGCTTATCAATGCAATCTCAGCCAAACACTTATCGATGAAATTCGGGGATATCAAACTGTAGCAAATAAGATCTTCAAAACATTGCTAACCGGATCTTTCAAAGGAAGAACGTACTCAGAGTTGGCATACTTTGTAGATAGGTTTGGGTCACGATTAGCTGGGTCTCAAAATCTTGAAAATGCTATCGACTACATGTTGGACAAAATGACACAAGATGGTCTAGAAAATGTACATGGCGAAGAGGTCAACATTCCACATTGGGTCAGGTATTGTCATAAGTATAAATTTGCAAGATACAGAGAGATACATACTACTTATACACATCTATGTGCCATGTAATTGTGCTAAAATTATACTGAAAAAGAAGGTCTCTGGTTTCATTCAGAGGTGAAGAAAGTGCTGTACTGATTTCGCCACGAAGGAAAAAACTGGCCCTCCTTGGGTTAGGATACAGTGTGGGAACTCCACCCGAAGGAATCACTGCCGAAGCCATAGTGGTCACCAGTTTTGAAGATCTTGCAGCCAAATCTAATGAGGCGTGTGACAATAACATGCCAAAAGTATATCGATTATGCTAATATAGATTTTTAATATTTAATGACATTATTGTACAGGTGAAAGGCAAAATTGTAGTTTACAATGAAGAATATATCTCATACGGCGAAACAGTGAAATATCGTGGAAATGGAGCTTCAGAAGCATCTAAATTTGGTGCTGTTGCGTCCCTTATCCGTTCCATAACTCCATTTTCCATAAACTCACCACACACTGGGATGCAGTCCTACCAGGAGAATGTTACTAAAATACCGACAGCTTGCATCACCATTGAAGATGCTGAATTGCTTCATAGAATGCAACAACGAGGTATTTACATATATAGACTAATTTTAACCACAACATCAATGCAACCGAATTCCATTTCACCTCTTATGAACACCTATTCTTTGTTTTTGAATAAATAGGAGAAAAGTTGATTATTCAGCTCAAGATGAATGACACCAACCTTCCATCCGTCACATCACGAAATGCAATTGCAGAGATTATTGGCCGTGAGAAGCCTGAAGAAGTTGTCGTTGTTTCTGGCCATATCGACAGGTTTTGTCAAATTAATTGCTTAAACTAAATTAAATTGTTCCCCAAATTTATTTTGTTTCTTACATTATTGGCAGCTGGGATGTGGGACAAGGTATTTAGTAGATTTCTAACAAATTATAAATTTTCCCAACTTATTACTTCATAATAAATAGGTACTTATTTATTTAAATACATACATATTATATGCATATTTGTTAGGAGCAATGGACGATGGGGGCGGTATGATCATGTCTGTGGAAGCCCTTGCATTAATAAAGTTTCTGGGACTGAAACCCCGACGAACTTTGAGAGCAATTTTGTGGACGACTGAAGAGTTTGGCTTGATTGGTGTTCAAGATTATGTTAAGAAACATGCGAACGACATGGACAAATTTGCCACTGTATTCGAGTCTGACATCGGGACCTTCCGTCCACTTGGTTTAGATTATTCTGGGAGTGATGAAGGTGGATGCATTTTACAAGAAGTTTTGAAACTCATGAGTCCCATCAATGCCATGACGTACAGGAAACAGGCTGAAGTGGGGTCAGACATTGGATACTTTATCGAGAAGGGTGTTCCTGGTGTCAGTTTGAATACGGAGAATAAAGGGTGCGGACTGTAATTTTTTTTTTAATTCGAATTTGAATAACTTTTGAAATATTTTTTAGTTACTTCTACTACCACCACAGCGAAGGAGACACAATGACCGTGGAGAACTCGGATGAACTGGACCTTTGCACTGCCGTTTGGGCCACAGCTTCATATGTTTTGGCTGACTTGAGCGTCACTATTCCAAGAAGCTAATTATTCACTGATTTATTTATAACTAAATTTTATATCATTTTTTTTAGATAAATTATACAAAAGGTAAAAGGTTTAGTAACTATAATATGAAGAAGATGAAGTGATCAATCAATTTATACGTAAGCTGCATAGTCACAATAATGGATTGCAATGTGACAAAATTTGAAAATATGATGAAATACCGATCCAGATCAGTACATACATTTTGCCCAACGTAATCTCCTCATTTTTGGCGTACCTAAATATGCACAATACATAGGTACAAGTAGTATATAGCAAACAAAGTAAAAAATGCCTCGTTTAATCTGATGGCCTAATCCTCATTGTATTATATTTAATATCTCAATGTACGAGACGTACAGATATACCAACGCTGGTCCCACATAATTTTCACGGAAATTTGTTTCGTAATCTAAAGTCGGTGACATGCACTTACATACTTATATGCATACCTTTCGCATAGGTTGCTACATATAACAAATGTTCGTAAAGTTAAATATTATAGTTGTGGTAATATAACAAATAATAATTTTAATCTGTCTGATGTTATTACATTCAATCTGATTACGTCGAAAGGGATTATTTAGAGCTGCAATGAGATCCATATTTATTTTCCATATGCACCTCTCAAATTTTGTAAACGCATACTTGGTTACTCGTGAAAATGAAATTACTAAGGCCCGAATGTCATGGTTGTGGTGATATGATGATGATACAAGCATGAGGGGATCTGCTATTTAACTTTTGACCAGCTTATCCCTCTCTCAGTTTATTCCCGACCACCATCATTGACTTTATTATTTCAGATTACCACTGACTATTTTGAGCTGACGATTTATTTCTGCATCCAAAAATGGAGTTAAGAATTCCTTTCGTCATACTCGTAGCAACCTTTGTCCTGGTGAACGGAACCATGCGATTCAAACCGGCCTATGACGTAAAGTTTAAACCTGGTTTGGATGAAGAAATTCGTCAAAGACAGGCCGAAAACTGTGACGCCTTGATGGCAACGCGCCCGGAACTTGTCGCCGAAATTCAGAGTCATCAAGCGGTTGCGGATCAAATTATCGAGTATGTTATGAACGGAGCTCTGAAGGGCAAGACTTACGACGAGGTTCACGACTTGGTCGATAAGCACCCCGTTCGCTTCTCTGGCTACCAAAATCTCGAAGACTCGATTGATTACACTTTGAATAGAATGGAAAACATTCACGGCTTGGAAAATGGTAATTTATAAAAAAAATGGAGATGAGCAAATAATAGGTATTGATGGTATTGTTTGATTTTTGCCTAATTTAGTGAGAGGAGAACAAGTCCTCGTTCCGCATTGGGTTCGGTAGGCTGCAAACATAATATGCAAATTGATATGTATTATGATATTAATATAACCCATTTGTAAATGCATCCGTTTTGCAGGGGAGAGGAAAGGGCTGAAATGTTGGCACCCTGGAAAAAAACATTGAGCATTCTTGGACTTGGCACCACTATCGGAACGTCGGTTAGTAATTTTGTATTGCACATATTATTTGATTTTATTGATAGCCAATTAACTAATTAATTTTCGTCTGTAGACCGACGGCATTACTGGAGATGTGCTTGTGGTGATCAGTTTTGAGGATCTCGCAGCCAAGCAGGCCCAAGTAAGTTGTTTCAAGTTAGAGTGATCAATCCTTGTCGCAGAAAATCTATGAAAAATATCTCCAATTGTGAAGGTTAATCGACGACTACGCATGAACCATGAGATATGTTATGTGAATGTCAAGCTGGACAACAAATATTCTGGTTTTTTTTATCACCAAACACACTCAAATCCAATTAATCTCGTGGGATAATTGTAGCGATAATTGTAATCCGTACGTACAGATATCTGCATCTGCCCTGCAGGGTATTGTCATGAATTATGAATTTGTAGATAAAAGCGAACGATCATTTCTGAAAGTGTCGGTCTTGTCACATCAACGTATTCATGCATGTTTCCCTTATAAATGATGAATGGAAAATGGCTTCCTCGTAATTAACCAAGGGAAACTTTTGATTTATGACAGGTTCCAGGAAAAATTGTTGTCTTCAACCAAGCCTGGGTGGATTATAGCAGTGGATACATTTACAGAAATCAGGGGGCAAGCCAAGCTTCACAATACGGGGCCATAGCCAGTCTCATTCGCAGTGTGGCCCCCTTTTCCCTCGACACACCCCACACAGGAGGACAAAACTACTGGAGCAACGTAACTCATATTCCTTCGGCCTGTATTACCATTGAAGATGCGGAATTGATGTACCGACTGCAGCAAAAAGGTACAGACATGACATGCTTCGATACTATTGCATTTAACGGTTAGGTCCAATACGCGATTGATTGATTATGCATCTTCACGCAGGAGAGAGGATCACCGTCAGTTTAAAAATGCTGGATTATAATCTGCCTCTGACTACTAGCAGAAATGTCATTGGAGAAATTGTAGGCTCCTCAAAACCTGACGAGTTTGTGGCCGTTTCTGGACATATTGACAGGCATGAGCATTCACAAACTGATTTCTAGATATCGATTTTGATGTTGTGAATCTTGTTTACAGTTGGGATTTAGGGCAAGGTGTTATGGATGACGCAGGTCAATTCCTAATTTCGTTCTCATACATGCATACTTGCTGCATGTCAAGAAAGTGAATTGATAAAATGATAATTTTTCAGGTGGTTGCATGATATCGGTAATGGCTCTGGCTGCAATTAAAGCATTGAACTTGAGACCAACCCGAACGCTACAAACCATTCTGTGGACATCTGAGGAACCTGGTACTAAAAATTTACAAATTACTTGATTTGATACTACTTGCTACTTAAAAATTGTAACACTAGGACTTTGGGGAGTCGAAGATTTCGTCAAGCAACACATGGACATTTTAATTAATTATAGCGCTGTTTTCGAGTCTGACAGTGGTACGTTCGACCCACTTGGACTTGACTTTGCAGGAGTGAGCCTTCTTGAATCAAATGATACTATATTAGTATTATGAATTGTTATGAATTATGAACCAATTAACCAGAGTGAGCTGGCTGGCTGCATTGTGAACGAAGTTCTCAAACTGACGGCCTCTATAAACACAACCACATATCAACGGTTTCCTAGCGTGTCCTCCGATATCGGGCGACTCATCGACCAGGGCGTTCCTGGCCTGAGCTTAAACAACGCAAATGACATGTATTTTTGGTATGTTTGTATTTTCTGGTAAAACTGCTCACAATTAATTGGCTTTATTGGCTATTTAGGTATCACCACACGACGGCCGATACTATTGTAATTCATTCATGCATATTTTAATGCCTCTAAGTTTATAATGTCACTTAGAAAATGTTTTTCCTTTTTCAGACCATGGCCGACCCAATAGAATTGGACAAGGGAACTGCTTTGTGGGCAGTTTCATCTTTTGTTCTTGCAAATCTGACGGAAAAACTACCTCGGGATCCACCAGCTCCATAAATTTGTTGTGGCTAATTAAACACTTTCATTATCAGGTTTCTTATGCATAAAGTATATAAATAATAAAATTGCACTAATGTCAGTAGTTTTCAAACCTGGCTTAAGCTAAAATTACAGTCTGATTGAGTCCCGACAGCCTCAATCATTTTCACATATAGGTAGGAGCTAAGGGATTAACGGAAGGTGTCATCATTGTAATTCATACCACCACCTCATAAAGTCATGACATTTGAGTGGACAGTTGGACACATGAATATACATACTTACACCCTTCATGTCAGCTTTGTCAACATATACAATCATTAAACTGATGATTCAACTGATAATTGACAGCATTTAAACATAATGTCAATCTCAGTGCGAACATATTTAAGTTGTATATGTATATATTTCATGTGTTGATTTAATTTTAATTGCATAATGAAGTGCATGCATATCGACGGGTGTCCAACTTTGCGGTTCAATTTGGAAAATGCCATCAATATCTGACATGAGTGATGAGATACGACATCGTCAATGTTAAATAATCCATTATTAATTATCAATCAGTTGCTTGTAACAGATAATGTGCAGTGTGATTTGTGCACCGAAATAGAGGACTCTCACAAATAGATTGTGATTTGTTACACTTTTGAACGATTGTCGATCCTGTGCTATTTTAAAATGTTGACTGTCATCCCATTTTCATGTATCACATTCTTGGTAGCTAGCACGTTGGCAATTTCTTCTGAAGTGTTCAAGGAGAGGAATCATCTCCTTACACAAGAATCATGCAATTTATCTCTTCAGCTAATCGCTGAAATTCACAGCTACCAATCAATCGCTACTAGGATCATGGATACAGCGATCAATGGCGACTTCAAAGGACGGACTTACGACGAATTGGCAAAATTTGTTGACAAACACATCAACAGGTTGACAGGCACTCCAGAATTGGAAGCATCAATTGATTACATGATGACCAAGATGATGATGGATGGTCTGGTTAACGTGAGAGGGGAGGATGTCACAGTGCCTCGATGGATACGGTAAGTAATTAATTATGAACGAACTTTTTTATTGGCAAGTTCTCAGTTAATTAATACAGATTCATATATTAAATATGCTTTTTGATGCAACAGTGGGGAAGAGAAAGCAACTATGGTGGAGCCTACGGTGAAATCTCTTCGGATTAGTGGTCTTGGTCCGTCCGTGGGCACCCCTGCGGAAGGCCTTGTTGGGGAAGTTATTGTCGTCCGTACTTGGGAAGAATTGGAAGAAAAGAAGGACCTTGTAAACGGGAAGATTGTTGTTTATAATCAAGGCTGGCTGGGGAGTTATGGCGCAACGTCACAATATCGTGGAAATGGTCCAGCCAGGGCGGCTGAGTTTGGCGCAATAGCCGCCTTAATTGAGTCTGCAACCCCGTTTTCCCTTGATACGCCCCACACGGGGGGCACGAACTACGACCCTTCTCCCAATGTGACCAGAATCCCTGGGGCTTGTATCACACGTGAAGACGCAGAAATGCTGTACCGGATTTATAACAGAGGTGCACATGCATATATCTACTCTTAAACTGCGTGTGTACAATTAGTGGTCGAGTTGCAATTTAAATAAAATATAGTGAAATAATGTATTGGAATAGGGGATAAGATTGTCATCAATTTGACAATGTTAGACCAAGAGTTAGCTCCAGTTTTGTCACGGAACGCATTCGGGGAAATTCAGGGAAGAAGTTTTCCTGATGAAATTGTAGCAGTGTCAGGACACGTGGACGCATGGGATGTTGGTCAAGGTGAATACTTTAGCTACGGCATGGACCATTATTTAAATAAATTAAGTTATTATTTAAATTAAGTTATATGTGCGTAGGTGCGATGGATGACGCAGGTGGAGTCTTAATATCCACTGAAGCCCTTGCCCTCATCAAGCACCTTGGTTTGGTGCCTCGCCGAACGATGCAAGCTATCCTCTGGACGGCAGAAGAATTTGGGCTGGTGGGTGCCCAAGCTTTCGTTAATGAACATAAAGCCGACATGATCAAGTACAATGCAGGTGCAATTTCCTTATTTAATTAATTATTCCTGCAATAATTTTACTAAACATGCGTATCACAATTTAAAGTCTTCGAGTCGGATATCGGGACATTTAAACCACGGGGGCTGGACTTTTCGGGTCACGAGGAAGCTGGTTGTATCGTGCAAGAAGTTCTTAAGCTTACTTCAGCCATGAACTCAACTGCTTATGCTCGCTACGATGTTGTGGGGTCGGACATTTTCTTTATGATTCAGGAAGGAGTTCCTGGAATCAGTTTAAATACTGAGAACGAATTATACTTTTACTATCACCATTCCCCTGCCGATATGATAACTGTTCTTAAGTCGGATGAATTGGATATGAACACTGCACTTTGGGCTACCGTTTCATACGTGTTGGCCGACCTCTCGGTTCCCCTTCCTAGAGAAAGCGCTACAAATGAGCATACAAAAATCCCACTTCCACACTAGACCGACTGTAAAATGCGTTACGTTAAATACTTTTGGCAGTACGGTGTGCATTTATTTTAATAAATTATTGAGCTGGAGGACATTTCAAGGGGTTGTTATTTCTTTTATTAAAATATACAAGTTTATGACAGAATAAAACATGTTTTATTACATTTTATGTTAAACTATAATGATTCTTGAGCTGTTGGTCGACCAATGATGTATTCTGTGTGTTTATCAACAACCGTGTTCACTATCAATTCTTCTATGTCACGATCCTCAGTAGAATTTACTAATTTAGTTACTTTTCCAGTCCTTTCAACCAATGTCACCCATTTCTTTCGAGTAGTTAAGAGATTCGCAACCACGATCTACATTTCATACAATATATCATCTTCATAAATAAATCACCACTCATGCCGTACTCGATTTAAAGTCCAAGTTAACACGATGCTTACATCATGTTGATATTTCTCTAAAGCTTGTAGTGCTTTAGGCAGAAGAAGATCTTCATCTGTTTCCAACTTGAAGGAAACGATAAACGCGTTAGGGGCCCAAATATTTGCTAAAGGCAACAGCATTTTAGGCACCAATGAGAATTCTATTACGGGTTTCCTATCCGACTGCATCTTATGTTCCGGCTTAAATAAAGCGTAGGAATTAAATAATTACCCGAATAAAACGTTGTCAATTTTAGTATCAGTACCATGTCATGTATGGGAACATAAAAATCAGAAACGGCTGCTGCCAAGTACAACATTGCTCTAGGTCCCATACAATCTAGCGCTTGAGCAATTCCCTTTAGAAGCCACAAGTAATCACCCAAAGTTTCATAGGTTATCATCAAATATGACGACTTATTCTTCATGTACTTTTCCAATATCAATCTGGTCCGGGCAACATCAGCCGATTTCACTGCACATTAAATCAGTCACACATATCTGAGGCGAAAAAGTCACTGATGTCGACGATGAACAATTGATGTACAAATGGGTATGTCGTCATACCATTTACTCCAGCAGAAGTCTCGTCTAGTTCCAATAAATCGAGAACAGAAGGAATATGTCTGGAATACGGTTGCAAGCTTTTTGCTCTGAGGAAAAACAAGCATATGAAAAATAGGTTAATACATAATAATAAATACTAACTTTGAAATTGAGATGCTTCCACGTCGTACCTACCGGTAGAGAAAAATGACAGGGTAATCCCTCTCCAGAAAGTATTCTGTAGACGCAGCCCCTCGCGTTCCCGAGCTAAAGTTGTCCACGAATCTGACCGTGAGCTGTTCCAAAGGAACCGTTGTACCACCAGAAGAAACCATCACAACCCTTGAACTCTGGTCAGCCTGCTTGCTCGAGATAAATTTGGTCACGGCTGCAATCGATTCTTGAAAATGTGCAGGTTCCGGAACACTGCTGAAAAATTCGTTCCATTGTCCTCCCGTCTCTTTCGCCATGTCGGACGCAGATTGAGCCTTGACCGGGGAAAAGCTCGCACAAGATTTTCCTTGTTCCGACATATTTATTACGGCCTATTTTACCAAACTGTACTGCAATACTTTCAGACTTTGAGTTTTAAAATGAAAATTATGCGAGGGACAGTAGTGCGAAGGTGCGATGTTTGTATGTATGATGCGATGATATTTTTTGAGGCCAACAACATTCGCGAGTTCACTCACATCATTCCAAAGCTATCTAGGTGAAAGTCGATCAAGATCAAATTGATGGGCAATCAAGGCTCAGACAGCTGACAATTCGCAAGTTGCAATTATATGCCATTCTATTCAACAAATCCAGCCAGACTTGTGGATTATACGGTCTTTCTTTTCGCCTTCACTCACTGTGAAAGGAGTCTAAAAACAGACTGCCTGAAATACGAGTGAAGAGGAAGGAGGAAGTGAAAAGTGTTTATAAATGCGATGATGGTTTAGCGATTTTGATCAAGATTTTGCAAAATTATTGTTTACAGTGAAGTGCTGTTGTCTTTTGAAAAGATTTGTCCCTTAATTTCGTGAACTTGTATTATAAATCACCGCACGGAACCTTAGTCCATGTGGCGATGAGCGTTCAAGTTATGTATTCATCATCTCACCAATCATTATACGGAGATATGACATTGATGGCAAGTTATCTCATTTCTTTATTTATTATTTAGATGCATCATTGATATAATTTTTTATAATTCACAGGAGGTTGAGGAATCTCCACAGCACATTCAGGAAATTTATGTGGAAGACCCAGCTCAGTGTTTAGAGGCTGTGACGTAATATAATTTAACTAATTCATAGAATTATGGATTGACTAATTTTATACTGTGTAAACAAGTTTTTTGTTCATATAAGGCGTCTAAAAAATGTGGTGATTGGAAGCAATCGACAAAAAGCAATTTGTTTGCGACATGGAATCCTGCCTCGTGTGCTCAGCCTTTTGGGAGAAAGTAATGGGCCCGAAATTCGTCGAGAAGCTTGTGTCGTCTTGGGCTCACTTGTAAAAGGTAACATTCAATGCTCTTCAGCTGTAAAATTGGCGAATAATAATTTTATAAGCAATCGATTTAACAGGAACTCCGGAAAATGTTCGAGCGGTCGTGGACGCTTGCTCCGTGCCCAGGCTTGTCGGAGGTCCGTTTTATCCTTTGCTATAATATTTAATGCTGTATGGTTTTCGCCTCAATTAATAATGCTATGCTACTATTTGGTCTTTACAGTGTTTTCTACAAATGATGAACAACTCATTGAATACGGTGAGACAAATGTCTTGGACATAATTTCACGACAAAGGAATAATCAATAAATCAATGCAAAAATGCTAGATATAATTTTAACGAACTTATTTCTCGTTTGTTAGGGTTGTCTTGTCTAACCACAATTTTCAAACACGAATTTGCTCCAAAGGACGTCATTTTTTCAGATCCTGCCTTTGTACCTCGTCTGTTAGGACTTATGCACCATTCTGTCTTAAGTCAGACTTGCGTTGCAACGATTCTTAGCAATTCTTGTTCGGTAATAATAAGAGCATAAATATTTTATTAAACAGTGTGGGATCAAGCTATATTTTACGGCATAAGTATTTATCTCTAATCTCTTGTGTGGTTTTTACAGACTGCCGAACAACAGCATACTTTGGCAACCCATGGCGTTATACCAGCTTTAGGAGCATTACTTTTGTCGCCTGATTATAAAGTCCAGATGCCTGCAATCTCGTGTCTTACTGCACTTTCCTTCAAGAATCCAAGTGTGTCCGCCATAATTGTGGAAACATTCTATGATGGGAAAAAAGTTCCAGATTTGCTGGCACATCTTCTTAGTAGAGACAAACCTCCAAAAATGCAGTTGGCTTTGGGTAGATGCCTGACAAACTTGCACCGGGCAAATGCAATTTCCTCTAATGATCCCAAAATTGTGATGCGAGCTCTTCCATGCCTTGTTCGACTATGCTCAAGGTTAGATTCATATAATACCCAAAGTAATCCCCAATCAGCCCCCCTCCCCATTAGTGCAAAAATCTTATACCTACATGTATAAAACACGCATGAAAATTAATTTGGTTGACTTAGGTTTCCAATTTCAATGAGTTTATTTTTTTATGCAACTTAACCTTCTAGAGAACATGATAATGAAACCCGGATATTGGCAGCCGAAACATTATCCTACTTAATTGAGGTAAATTTATAAACGTAATCTGTTAGACTTGTAAATTTCATAAAAAATCATCACTGACTTGGGTATGAATATATATTTTTAGGTTGACAAGGATCTCCAACTCATAGCATCAATTTCAAATCGGCTGATACCAACGTTGACTGATTATTTGAAATGCCAACCAATTTTGTCCTTCAGCATTAAAAACACGATGAGCAGTTCTGCACAAATGTATCAGGCTGCTTACAAAGTATGCATACATATATAATTCATAGCATAAAATTAAACTCTAATGATATTTTAATTAATATTTTATTTTCAGACCTTTGCCTCATTGGCCGCAAATGACGAAGGAATTCGTAAGAGGATTATTGAACAGGAATCTTTGGTGGAGAGGGTAGGTTAATATGTTTTAAATTGCATATTAGCTTAAATGTTTAAATTCGCAACATTTTTACATATCGCAATATGTACATAGGTCGTATCCGGTTTGGACGACCAAAATGAACAGGTTGCTTTGGCTGCATTGCGCTGCTTACATTCATTATCAAGAAGTGTACAACTCCTCAGGACGACATTTAAGGTGAACTTAAAAATAATAAAATCGATTCGAACCATTAACCAACCAGTCATATTCTGTAGGATCACACAGTGTGGAAACCCTTAATGAAACTTTTACAACATTCCAACCACGACATGTTGAATGTTGCTTCTTCTACCTTGTGCAATCTATTACTAGAATTTTCACCTTCAAAAGGTACTCATGAGTAGCTTTAGGTTATTGGCATTCTAAAAATTGTACCTTGACCTTGATGATAAGGTTTTACTTATAAGGTTATTATTTTTGCGATTTTCATTAGAGCCTATAATAGAAGCCGGCGGTGTAGAAATATTGTGTAATCTTACACGTCGTGAAGATACCGGTCTCCGGCTGAATGGGATTTGGGCGTTAATGGTAATAATCAGAATAAGGTTATGTAGATAGATAAACATGTATTTGAGGCACGTATTGCTAACATTATTGTTGACCTCATGAATCCTAGAACGTCGCCTTCCAAGCGGATCAGAAAGTAAAAAGTCAAATTCTTTCTTCTCTTGGAACAGACCAGATTTTTCGATTATTGTCCGACGAGGAAGTTGCAGTTGTAATGAAAACTTTGGGTCTATTGCGCAATTTGTTAAGTACCCCGCATATTGATCACATTATGGATTTATATGGAAAGCATATCATGCAGGTATATGATTATAGATAAATTAATTGCAATTTGAACGACCAATACCAATATAACAAAACTTTATTTCATATTCAGGCCGTCATTCTTATTCTTGAAGGAGATCACGGTCCAGATGTTAAAGAACAAGCCCTGTGCATGCTCGCAAACATAGCGGATGGATTCACAGCTAAAGACTTCATTATGACGAACGAAGACGTTTTGAAAAAAATTACAAGTTATTTGGTAAAGTGTCCAACATTTGCCGTTTTGAAATGGATGCATGCAATGCTGAAATATTTGTAAAACTAATTAACAATAATTCTTTATTGTAGAATCATGCTTCTCCTAAGTTGCAAACTGCCGCTGTTCTATGTGTTTCAAACCTTGCATGGAAGGACGAAGAGGGTAAGAACGATTCCAACACTTGACACTGCATAATATAACCATGCGTAATTTTGCAAAGTTTTCGTTTAATTTATGATTATTGTTGCATATTTGTTTAGGCTCAGTTGAAAGGCAAGCTAAATTAAAGGAACTTGGCGTTCAAAAATTACTACACTCTTTGATAACTACGAGTGATCAAAATTTATTTGATCGGTATGTCATTTGATTATGTGTTATTTATAAATTTCTGTATGCTGGAATTTCTCGGCTAATAATATTCTAATACTACACAATTCCAGGGTCAAGACTGCGCTAAATCAGTTCTCCCCAAATTAAAATCAAACATGAGACAATTTATTTAATTCTTATACTTGCACGTGACAACTCGGATAGCTTGTTTGTGACTCTTGTTGACTTGACTTGCAACATTAATACTTTGATTATAACTGACAGTTTTTAGTTATACTTACGTTATTATGGTTTTATGAATGCACAATTTGCATATCGACATGTGCATCTTCAAACAATAAACTGCAGATTGGGAATTTTAGTTTTATGGGTACCTGTAAATGTGTTTTAGCTTCAAGCTGAATGGCAAGTGACCGGTATATGTATGTGTGTAATGCAATGGCACAATACGATATTCAATTGCTTACAATGAATGTATTAATATTAACGTAGGAATTAGTTTTTAAAATTATAGGCAGTATGAATGCGAGTTAAATCAAATTTATTGTATGTTTTTAGTACTTATATATATATATATATATATATATTAAATTCACACACATGTACGTTGATATGACACAATATTCTCTGATTCATTCAGCAATATCTGTTTTCCATCTCTTTGTTTTCTTTTTCTTTGTCTCCTATTGCATCTGGATTTCCTAATGGGTCTAGATCAGCGAAAATATCATACCATGTTTTGTTTGAATTTGTCGTGGAGGAGGATGTCGCTTCTGTAACTTTCTGTATTGGTTGTAGTAGACAATCACTACTTTGCGAACTCAGATTAAGTAAATCTTGCCCTGCTGCATTCGCCATAATAAGTAATATTTAAGGTAAAGGTTAAAAAAATTTATAAAATTTTTCATTATGATGATTTGCTACGATGATTTACCTGATGATGGTCCAGTGGTTAAACTGCCCAAGTCCAACAAGTATGAAGGCATAAACGAATTTGACGATTGTGCAGAACTCCCAAACGGGGAAAGTGGTGGTACTAACGAGTCACCCGATCCTCCAGTTTCAAGTGTAGGAAGCAATGCTATATACAAGAAATTAGACAATTTCAATCTGGGGATGTAAGGTCCAGCATTGTAAAATGCGAAATGCGTATATATACTTGGTTGTGCAGACGGTTTGCCGGCGTTGAGAATTTCGTTGAGTAGAGCCATCGTATCCCCACTTTCTTGGTCAAAGCAAAGACCATCAAAGTCATCCGATGAAAGTAAGCTCATGACGTCACTTGGTTTACTTTCCTTTTGAGACTCTTTTTTCTGATCTTCTGCAGTACCAAGAAAGTAAAACCATTGTTGAGTATCATATTCATACGAGTTCATCTTCCAATCAACTAATTATAAATACATGCTAAAAAATTTATAATAAACTAATAAGCAGCCTTACTTTTTGGAATGAATGACCCAATGTTGATCAGGGAGTTTGATGAAATATTATCTTTATTGTCCTTGTCTGGTAAATCCATGCCGAGATCTAGGACGTCTTGTGCTCTCTCAGGACTTTGGTCCAGTGGACCCAACAAGGTCTCCAAGAATTCTGTGGCGTTGGCTAAGCTCAAAAGATCTTGGCTCTCATTTTCTCCGTGCCTTGTTCCTTCATTCCGTGACTGGAACAGCGAAGTACTTCCAGCGGAGGATGGGTCTTCTTGTCTCGATTCATTTGTGGAAGAATCTTGTTCGTTTTTTAAGTCGTCATTAAAGTCAAAAAGCAGTTCTTCAGTGGCTGGTTTGTTACCACACTCTTCTGCTAACCGTTTCGAGGGTTCGGCAAGTTCTTTAATAATTGAAAACTCAAAGTACTGGTGCCCTACGAAAGTAATCAATTCATTCAGTTGCGTCATACATAAATATCATATTACACTGTTATTATTACTGGCCTACGTTGGTGTAGTACATAAATAATATTGAGACGAGGCATTTTAATAACCATTTTAATATATTTATACCTTTGAATGTGATGGCAAGAGTGTTGAAAATTTTTGCGTTCTTTGACGTTGTTTTCGACATGGCTTGCAAGTATTGGATGAGTGCGTGTGAAAACATGTTGCATCTAATTTAAAGATGGCCAATTAAATTTAAACTACTTTTCAGCCTGATTAGTGATAGTAATAAATCCAGCAACCTTGCAGCAGCTAAAAGGTCCACTTTTTGCAAACAGGCGAGCTTCAGTTTGTCAAAATGAGATTTGCTACTCTTTACGTGATTTTGTACCTGGCATACAAAAATGCATAATAAATACATGAGCATTTTAATGCATGTTAATTGTTGTGAGTGGTCCACCCACCTTTCTGAATTTCTCCATCTGCTTGTTTGTATCTGGGTCCAGTTCTTGGCTCACTTTCTTCATCCAATTTAACGACGCCCGGTACTCTGTTCGGTGTTTTTCCATTTGTTGGATCGTACCATGAGTATCGTCCACTGCACGATTTCTAAACGTCTCAACCTCCTGCGAGTTCCGAAACGCAGAAGCATCAAATGTTAATTTGAATTATTTAAAAGTTCATCGTTCTGATATGCATCATCTTGGTTGGTATAAAATATGCACCTGGTATAATCTCAACAATGGGGGTCTCAAAGCAATCTCTTGTTGGCTGCTGAGCTATACATGAGAGAGAACTTACTCCGAGTCCGACAGTGACGACTAAACTTGAAAATAAATGAAATACCTGTAGGCTTTTGCCCATTTGAATCATCATTTTTCCTGATGGTCCAGGGCTCTTGTCTGCCTTTCCATACTCCTTGAGAAATCTGCCCATCTCATTCTGCTCTTGAGCTAGAGCTATAAACAAGAGTAATAGTTTATGCGACCTTTCGCAAATTTTTGCAAAATAGGGACCATTACGATGCATTTACCACAAATCTTTTCCTGGTAACGGTCCAACAGTTTGTTCATGGCACTTGACGAAAGATGAATAGATTTGAATAATTCCAGTTTGGCATCTATGGTGTGGATTATTGCAAGCAAGTCAATTAGCAATTGCCACTTGAATCAGTTCTGTGCACTTACCTAGTTCAGAGTCGGAGGCAATTATGCACTCGTCCTCTTTCTTGCCCAACTTTCGATACACGGTCTGCTTCGTCACCCAGTATTGGTGTTGAAGTTTGTTCACTGTAGAACGATCCATTCTCCACGTATTGGGACAAAGAACACAAAAGTAGTCTTATGAGATAGTCTAGTCTGCTATAAATTTAGCTGCTCTGAAATTCTCTCTTCGAGTGTTTCTTTCAGCTCTTGCAAACTTTTCTACGTCGCAATTCACCAGTTTCTAAAATGTTTCTAAAATGTTTCCGGAATTGTATTTAGTTTTACTGGCAAGTTCTGTGTAGACGGGTCATCAATCAGGAGAGACACGTTGGCAAGCGTATGGCCCGTTAGACTGCTTCCAGTCGTTCGTCTTCTGCAATAACAGAGTGGTAATATGAGCCGCAGATGATTATCGATTGGTTGCCCACATCCCACATCCTTCTTTCGCCACCATGCATTTCAGCCTCCTCCGCTCTCTCCCTCTTTGCTCATAAAGATATTTCGGCATTCAATCGACATGTTCACCAATCTAACCAGCTATACCGAAACAATTAATAAACTACTGTATTGGATTAGTTGGTGCAACTCCCATTCTATATTTGCATAAAGCTACTGCATCAACATTTAGTTGTAGATAGAGGACTATGAGACGAGAGAAGCACATCTGCCAAGTCCCAGACGTTGCAGGTGGTTTTGTGGGATTGCAACTGGATGAAATTCAGTTCAGATGGCTTTTCCAGCCAAAAGAAACTCTGAATTAGTAAGTAGCGTTAGCCACTTATTGTGATCGTTTTGTCCGTCCGTTCGTTAGAAAGATAGCACTCGAACGCCTCAATATATTCGAACGTGATCTTCCCCATCATGTTTCTAGTTTAATGACCTCGATCGAGTTCGAAAATGGGGTCCCTGCGGACAAGATCAAGGTGACCCTGGCGTGAGGTCGAACACCAAATTGGACCTTAGTTTTCATATACGGGGCAATTTTACCACGAAGCGCCGTCAATATTTTTGATCCCGACCAACCCATGACCGTGATGATGAGGTTAAATGTAAAAAAAATACATATGTACCTGTCAAATATGATGTCATTTCAAAGGAAATTTCAATCGCATTGACGCTACTTCTTTATGTTTGGTTACAACAGTTTATTTTTCATCGTAATGTTCGCAGGCGCATGAAGCGGAAAGAGGAGGATTGGGCAATGAGAATTGTGGTCTTTGTCTCTTGTTCTGCATAGGTTTACTGAATCTGAATTAAGTTTCCAAATTTACTTATTACCTTCAGAAATTGGGCTCTGTTGTGATTTGCTATGTCATTATTTAAATTGCCTTATTGTAACTTTTTCCAGTTTATTAGTGAATTTTTGCAAGGAATCGAAACAGGATTCATCAATCACTAACGGCTACGCCGGTGTTTCCTCTTAAAGAGGAAACGAATTAATTCATCCTGAAATCGAAATGATTCAAGACAGGAACCAAAAATTGCAGGGCCCAGAATGCTGTCAAGTGAATAAGTGGGTTTATTTATCAAGGTTTGCGCTCACAATTTCATCGTGGTCAGAGTTCGACATGTAGTTATTTATTATAATCAAAATGTTATTTGTTTGTAATGCTATTTTGAAATTGATAACAAAAATTACTTTGCTATTCGAGCAAAAAGGTAATATAATGTAAGAAGTTTGTTAAATACAAATTGAAAAATATTAAATAATCCTGAGAGAACAACAAGGAATTCATCATTAAGCATTGCAAAGACGAATAGTTGTTCTCCCCTGCATCACAAGTATTCCTTCGTCCTGCAGTTCCTACAAATATTTCACGCGTAAATAATAAGAGTCATACTCATATTGTTTACTTTCATATGACCGTAAAACTCTAAACTATTGATCCTTACCTTGATAATATCTTCAAACGTTTCTTTTGTGATCATCTGTGCATTAAAATAATAGTGTTAAACTGTTGAATATATTCAATTTAATAATGCATATGTGCATTATTAAATTTACAAATTTGAGACTTAGTAGATCTTACCAAAGTTGAGGATTCCTTCACTTCATTGAACAGTTTGAGATAATTGATGCTGGCAACTTTTCCCTTTTTCCGCAACAGGCTCTTGACGGCTTCTGCAATATCTTGTTTACGCTTCCTCCCAGATGCACTTTCCCCGGTTGTTAGAATCGAGACATCAATTTTTCCGGTGGCAGGATCCGTTGCCGCCTGTTTCATTGCCTCTTTATGAAGTCTCCAAGCCTCCTCAACATCTGCCACTTCTACAAGGTTGGACAAACGAATTTTGGCGTGGGCTTCAGAGAGACGAATTAGCGATTCTAACTGTCTTGGGTAAGCACTAATACGCCCAAGACCCTGACCAACTTTCCTCATATCAACATAAGCCTGGATTAGGCGTTGTGAAGCTTCGTCACCAAGCTTTGGTTGTATAAATTCCTTGGCATATGCAATGTAGTCGCGAAGAACGCTCATGTCCTGAAAATTTACAATAATAAAGCTTTAATTGTTTCTACTTTAATGTATTTAAATTTTTTATCCAATTCGTCTGTAGTCAACCAGTACTTACAAGTAAATCAGCATCTTCTTCTTCTGGACTTCTGAAATACAAAGAAATCATGTGACGGGCCAATCGTCGATCATACGAGTCTTTTTGTGGATCCAAGAGCAGAAAGATCAGGTCAAACCTACACAAAATGGTATTGAAATTGAAACACTTATGTAAACTGGCAATGTTTCGTAACATCGTAACGTGAAATTGCAAAATCGGTTACCGAGACAAAAGCGTGTGCGGCAAATGCACATTTTCAATAATTGTCTTCTTTTGATTCCATTGCGATTCCAATGGATTGGCTGCAGCTAGTACAGAAGTCCGAGCATTCAGTTGGCAAATTATCCCAGCCTTGGCAATTGACAAAGTCTGCTGTTCCATAACCTCATGCAGAACACTTCTCGTAGATTCGTTCATCTTATCAAACTCATCGATACAACACACCCCATTGTCAGCCAATACCAGTGCACCACTGTGAGAAACACAAATACGATAGCAATGTTTAACCAACTTCTTTGCGAAATTCATGATTTAGACAAAATAAATTCAAGTCAAACTTACGTCTGTAATACCATTTGCTTTGTTTCTGGATCTTTTGTAACATATGCCGTCAACCCAACAGCACTAGAGCCCTTTCCAGAAGTGTATTGACTTCTTGGAACCAAATCAAAAACGTACTTCAGCAATTGAGATTTGCTAGTTCCTGGGTCTCCACAAAGCAAAATGTTTACCTCAGCTCTTAAAATACAAATTCAGATATAAATATTTTCACGCAAAACTAATAATAACGAAGAAATAATTGAATTTATACATAAATATAATTGTAGATAAATATTCAGATCAAATTACCGAAAACGACCACGGCCAGTATTTTCAAACTCCTTGTTTGTTCCCCCAAACAATTGTAATAATATTCCTTTTTTGACATCCTCATGTTCGTAAATTGAGGGTGCAATAGCTCGTGCAAGCCGTTCATAAATGTCTTCCTTCTTAGATAGCTCTTGAATAAATTCAATTCGTTCCGGACTGATGTGCAACCCTTTCCTATACATACATACATAGTAAAATTAGGAAAAAAATCACTAATGCTGGCAAACCTGAATATAATGGTTTACTTGTTTACTTACCCATCACGGTCATCTCTAAGACGCTTGATGTCAATTTTACGATAATGAACCACATCAATGTAGGTTTTGTACACTGCTCGAACCGTTCGAAGCCTTGGGTTGAGACGGAATGGTGCTACAAAAAAGAAAAATATTCAGCAATATATAGACGTAACAGCAAATGTGACAACTTACCTGCACGATAAATCCCAGTCACTGTAATGCGATCGCCAGGTTGGACCATGTTAACCATTTCTCCATGAGCAAACAATGTAGCCATGTAAGGAGTTTCGCCAACCGGCGTGTCCTCTGCGAATCAGAATATCAATCTTGAAACTAAGAGTGGATTGGTATGTATAGATAATTAATTACAATCAGAAAATATTTCATACCTAAATCTTCTTGCAAGCGAATCAACTGTTTGTCAGCAAAGGTGGATCGATTGTGAATAAGTGTAAATGAGAAATTAGTGTTGCAGTTGGGACAGAGGACAGGCTCAAGAATCTTTCCACGATCAATTTCGGCTTTTGCTCCATGTTCACATACAGAACACTTGAAATAGCCTTCTCTCATTTCGGGCATAAGGTTGGAAGTACGTATGACAAGTCCACTAATCGTCACCAGTTGATCAATTTCTATACGGAGGAATTCGTTCTATTAGAAGACCCAAATATACAAGGTCAGAAATTCAGTTGAACAAAATATACCTTCAGGATCCAACAATCGCATTGTTTTAGATTTGTCGGCATTGTATGGACGAACATGGATTTGATGAACTAGTTTCGTATTCGGATACTCTGTGAAGAATATCTCGTTTACTGCTGCATCCATCGTTGGAACGACTTCTTGAGGGTAACATATCAACTGACGATACAGATCCTCGTCAAACTTTTGAAGATGTGCACAATTCAAATTTAAAAATGGTTCTTCCAAAAGGTTAATCTGGAAAGTAAGCGGTAAATACACACGTATATATGACTTGAGTTAAGTAGTTACATAAGACTAATTAATTAGTAAATCGTATACTTCTTCTAATTTTCTCATGTAAAATGGTTTGTTAGAAGTGATTTCTTCCAAAGTTTCGAAATCGTCTTCTTCAACGACATCCTCTTTGTATTCCTGGACGAAGCGTTGAAATTTTTCTTTGAATGCAGTGGCAGACACGTTGGTCCCCCAAATCAGTAAATGTGGCCCATCTTGATTTTCTCCCTAATTTAAAACATCACGCACACACATAATTATAAACCTTTTTATAAAGTTTACGTCCAGTACAAGTTGTACATGAAATTCAACTTACGGGAGGAATATTGATGTGTCGAACATTTCTATCAGCATTAATATCATTTCTATGTCGCAAAGGTGTAGCAGTTGCAATTCCAGATGTTCTTGGGGTCGAAATTGATGTTGGTGTTCCATAATTCAGAGGAGAGTTCAAGATGTCCGACCCTCCGCGAGCACGAGGAGTGCCATTGACCCTCACTGCAGACCCAGAATTCAGAGACTGTAATCCTAAGCTACTTGCCGGGCTGGACGGCGCCGCCCGTCTACTACCAACTGATGACGGCTGTGACATATTAAACATTGAATCATTTAAACATGTTCAAAAAACCAAGACTTATCACTGTAATAATAATAATACCGCAAGAGGACTTGAGCCAGCAACACTAGCAGCAACACTTGCACTGGAGCGAGTCGACCGGCGTGAAGGAGTTCCGTTATCGGACATGGTCTTACGATGTCACTTATAGATTTTCAAAACCTCCTGAAAATAGTGGGTAGATTACAAAAATTAGAAAACCATGACACATGAGCTAAGAATCTTAGCCGACCGACCGACAGAAGAAATGGAGAATTGCAATATAAAATATAAATTCCTCACCTTTAAACCAAACACCACAATTAAGCGGAGAATAGTTAGTTGGAGAATTATTGACACAATTAATGAACTTTGAGCACGAGAGAAAGAAAATGTGGAGCCAAAGTTGCTGACGAAAGAAAGCAAGCATCCGAGAAGTCTTTGTCTTTGTTATTTGGCTGGTGGGCCCGCTCGCTCGCACGAGAACACGGCGAGACTGCGAGTGGTGCGAGGAAAGTGAGACGTCGTCCTTGGCTGGAGTACAGGTGCCGGATGTTGGGGCCACATCGGAGAAGTTGGAGAGTCGTCCCAGTCGTACTCCGCAATCGCCCCCTGTTCTTCTCCTTCCACGCTCTGTCCAGGATCATGATCAGTTGATTATGTAAATGTACAACAACTCAATTACCATCAATTTTACCTTGAAATTTCACCAGACCAGCACATAATTCATTTAACCCGTGGCACAACCTCTAGTCTAGAACCTCGAGATTAAATTTGGTACAGTGAGATCCATGCGCTCGGCTCGAAGCTGATGAACTTCTTTGAACCATTTTAGTCCCATTTGACTAAAAATTGAAGATATCCTTGAGGGTAAATTTAAGTAGTTTATACAAAATTTATTAAAAAATTAGTAGCCTTGCTATCGTATTTAAAGGTCCAACGACGAGAGATACGAGCATTGTCATGAAGGTGGAGAAAGCAACGGAAGCGGACATACCTGCGCTGAACGCTTTGACCCACTCCTGCTATCGGGGTCAAGAGTCCTTTCAGGGCTGGACCTCAGAAGCCAACATGCTCGACGGGAACAGAACGACGCCTGAAAGGTTACTTCGGGAAATGGGGAACCCGGATATCACCTTCCTCAAGGGGCTAAACGAGTCGGGAGAGATGATCGCTTGCTGCCTCACCCACAAGCAGGGGAACAGCATATTCACAGGAATGCTCTGCGTCCGACCACACCTCCAGGGGACAGGACTTGGGAAGGAAATGATGGCCGCAGTTGCAACAATGGCAAAGTCTCTCGGCTGCACCAACTTGAAAATCGAGGTCATCACGCACAGGAAGGAGTTGGTTGAGTGGTACGAGCGACAAGGGTTTCGACCCACGGGAAAGTCAACTCCTTTTCCTGAACCAACAATTGAATTTGGGATCCCAAAACTTGACCTTGTTCTAATGGAGATGAGTAAAGAGTTGTTGTAGTAAAAATATTAATAAAAGTTCAAATATGCAAAAATTACGACGAGGCGAGGACGAACAATTTCTATTAAAATTAACAAAGATAACGCAAACTAAAGAGTCGTATCTCACAATTTCTATTCGAAACTGCTACTTGTACTATGGCTAGAAACTATATCAGCATGTCACGTTGTATCAAAATTTGAGTGTCAGAAACATCGGGTCGGATGGAGGCAGATTTAGCGGAATTTTAGCGGAGCTCGGAGAGGAGAGGAATCGGCGGCGGCGTTCTTGGGATGAGAAATCCAAGTCTTCGTTACCACCGCAGCAAGAGGAGAATCAATGGGACGGCTGTTGCTGCCCGGCGGCTGTGCTCCACAAAAGGACGATCGGGTGAACGTGCGATATTGCTTTCCTCATCAATAGAATAACAAAACACATGACTGACTACATATTTTTGACCACACTCGATTCACAAAGTGCGAAGGGTAGGAATTATAGGATAAGTAAGTGCAATTAATTTCTATTCAAGTTCCGCTAATCTTGACGGTCACGATCCAGTGTTACCTGTCGCATGTTTATTGCCCACTGCTTAGAGAAAATATTATATTACTGCTGCGACTAAATAAAAGGAACAAAGACATATTTCGTAAAAGTATATTTTTTATATTAATTAATTTTATCAATGCTTCTTTTTAATAGTACGCGTAAATCAATACACATGCCTAATTTTGATGACGCGTATTAATTTTTTGCAGACTAATTTTGGGAAGCCAAAGTGAGGATGACTTAACAATTTAAGCAAGCAATTGTGTGTTGACAATTTGACCCCATCCCATACATGAGTCATTACTCAAGTTAACAACAAGTGTAAGACAAGTCCAGTGCAAAGTAAGGATAAAATAAAATCAACAATTTGTCATTTAATAAATAATCATATTTTTTACAATAGATTTCTTCGTTCTGCGTCTCTGCTAACACCCTGTTTGGCTTGTGGATTTTGTTTTAATGTATAGTGTATTTTTTATACTCTTGATAAAAGTGAAGTGACAAAAGATATCTGTCTGAATGGTGTGCGAAGACGAGTCGTCAGTTTCTCACTTGGAATCCGATTCAAGGTAATAAATTTTGCTGTCTAGTCTTTTAACTCATTATTTCATAGATGAGAGAAAATCCGGGAGTTAGCGTCTAAAACTATGGACAAGTAATGAAACAATGTTCCATAAAGCTACGTTAATCCGAAAGTATCTGAAAAGTTCAGCGCACTTATTTGAGCAATACCAATCAAGTACTTGTCGATTTAATCCGCTAAATTTCCATGTGCGGGTGATTGGTGACGGTTTAGTTTAGTAGTCCAAGGTGTATGGCATCTATTTGAACCGCTGATATAGAGATATATTATTATCGTATGGGGAACGGCATTAACACATTCTTATTTACTTAAAAATTATGTATTTATTACTGTATTTATTTTGCAAAACCTAGATCGTATATAGTAGTTCATTAATTAAAGGATGGGCTTTGGTATGGGGTGCGAATTTGCTCAACTGTTGCGGCCGACGATATCGTCCCTGATTCAGAGAATTTACTTGAATCCAGACGCTGGATTGCTTTTTTGGATCCCACCTAGCTTCAATATTAATTCGATGGCTGACTTACTGCTCAAAATCGCAATTTTCTTTGGACTGGTAATGATGAAAATCTTACTCTTCGTACTCGAAAGATTTGTCCCACATCAAGATACAAGAAAAAGAAGAACGAAGGTTTGTGCTAAAAATTTCCAAGACTCATCTTTCTCGACCGTATTATGTATATTGTTAAGCTGGTCTGCTACCCTTTATATTTATGCAGCTTTACTCTTTATGAATTGCTTATTTAGACATTCATTGTTAAGTTACCACCGGTAATCGGTTTATTTTTTTTCCTTTTTATACATGCATGCACACATAAGTGCACATATATAAGGCATATAAAATTATGCTCGCGTTCATAAATTTATGCTGTGCGTTGTCGCTAATGCCGATAATGTGCCGTAGGCGAGCCGAAGTTCGCATTAATATCTCTATTTACGGCTGAATTATTAATTACTGATGTGATACGAGTCTTTACACTTCTTGAAGTTTGAACTGGACTCGTCTCCTCCAGTCCAATTATTAGCTAAGCGAGTTAAGAGTGATTATTTTATGGGAATGGTAATAATATTCTGGCCAAAAGTCAGTAACGAAGAGAGAGAGTTGTTAATATCAGTAAAGTTATAATCCTACGTAGGCCGCATGCTCAATTAAGTAATGCATACGCATATATAATATTTAATTTGACTTGGTTTCTCTGCATGATTTGTTTGTAAACGGTTGCTCTGCGTGTCAATTTTCAATATGGTTCTATATACTTCCATATTCGTTAATGGACTTGCATGACTATTACGATAGATAATATTGCATCCATCCCACATTATTTGACGTATTCCTTCAGAATAAATTCAATGTCAGTTAACTGCCCCACAGCACAACAAGTTGCTCCTCATCAGTAGTGATTCTGTCCTTCTCACGTGCATATTATGTAATACTACAGCTCTCATTCGTCACACGCTTGAGTTTACTCCGTCGCTTTTCCTTCTTCGGACTAATCTCATTTCCAGTGCACTGCACAGTGCTTCTCTTGAATTACTTTGTGCATTATTACTCTTGTTAACCAATTATCCACCACTAGCCACTAATCGATCATTATCAATCGAGTAGTGATAGAGTAGCGCAGTGAGAGTGCATCCGAAAGTGATAATGCTCGACGTGTCCACGTTTTTTTGTTTGTTTTGTTTCATCAAGTGTTGTTTTAATGATTTTTAAAACTAATATACCACAGGAGGAGAAGAAATCTGAACACAAACCCATGGATCCGCTGTACAAAGAAAAAACCTATATTGTTGATTATTCTTCTGGAGAGATTGATGATAAGGAATCTCAGTCTGGGTAAATTATCATATTCCTACTATTCCTCCTCTGCTGTCTATCCCATGTCTTCCCCCCCCCCCCCGTCCTGGCCCACAAAAACTTAACTCATCTGTGCAAATACGTTTACAGAAAAATATGGTCTTATAATAGTTTTAAATTGTATTGTTATTGGGAAATTCTGAGCAGCAAAAGATTAAAAAGTTCTGTACAGAACTTTTATTGATTTATTGAACGCTAATTGTAAGACTTAAGACGAAGATTGATTATAAATGATAGTGCTGAAATCGGAGAAACAAAGTATTTCTCGTCAAGTTTCGCAATGGTTCATGATTTAATTGCATCGAGGTATTCCCAGTGCGGTATTCTACAAAGAATGAGTCGCAGAATGAGTCGATGTTTCTTGCATATTGTGTGCTGACCTTCTCTTATATTCGCACGATTTTTTGTTCTAGGTGGCTGGGAAGCTGGTTGAAGTGGTGTCCAACGTCAATTGCGATGCTACGGCAGGCAGAAAAAAAGATCCTCTCGTGTAAGAATTATCTAATATTTCTTCTAGGATATCGCGTATTCTTATACATTTCCGAAAATATGTATAGCATTACACATTTTGTTGATATTCAAACTATGTTTTTGACCGACTCCGTGACTAGCAGTAGGAAATGTGTACCTTGTTAGTGAAATTTGGCGATTGTGACGATGAGCTAATTATGCACAATACGTACAACATTTACATTGCAGTTAACTTGTTTCCACCTACAGACATTCATATTTGAGGTAACCTTGTTAGCAGGTCAAGGTAGTTTGGGTAATACCGTTTGTAGTCCACTTTTTTCGTATGTACTGGCAATGCAGCATTATATCAGTCTCTAGTTACGAATTCTTAGGTTTTGTGTGTTTTATTTTATTTCATATTGCATATTTGTCGTAGAGATTCCAGTTGATGTGAGTTGATGCACACCAACACAACCTTGAAAATTAGTATTTTTATATCAGTAACTTATAAAGTTTGGAATTTACTGCATATAATATAACAGTTGTAAAAGTACAATTTTTGTGTATGCCGGGTGAGTGTCACGGATAAGAGCATGTTTCGTATGTTTTATCACCATATGCTGATGAACTGGTTCAAAGAGAACTTTGAACTGGGATGAATGAAGTAATCTTTTGCCGGATGATATAATGGTAGTTTGTACTTATCACTATGATGAGACATCATTATTTCCATAGATGTCAAGACTTCAATCAGGGGTGCATATGTGAATATTGGACCCGTTGTTGGAAAGGATGACTGCAAAATATGGACGATATCGTTAACGGACAACCACCCGGAAAGACCACCGTTGGTAATGCTTCATGGTCTGGGGGCTGGTGTTGCGTTATGGGCCCTGAATTTGGATGGCTTGGCAGCGACCCGTCATGTATATGCAGTAGATTTATTAGGTAAACTTACATGAATACTTTACATATAAATGGTTTGTATGCGAATGTGTATGGGATATATTTAGTCGTGAAATCTAGAACTTTTCCCTTTTGTGTAAGCAACAATTGATAAACATTTATATCTATGCATTGATCTTTTAGGTTTGATACATTGTTGTTTAATTTTGTAAAAACAATAAATTTGTACTAACCAGGCTGTCATATTCTCCCAGGTTTCGGAAGGAGTTCTCGCCCAGTTTTTAGTACTGACGCCTTGGATGCTGAAAGAGAATTTGTCCAATCAATCGAAGAGTGGCGGAAAGAGATGCGTTTAGACAAGTTTATCCTTCTCGGTCACAGTATGGGAGGCTTTCTAGCAACCTCCTACGCAATTCGATATCCTAGCCGTGTATCACATCTGATATTAGCAGGTATGTAGGTACAGGTTTATTGGGGCAGCTGAGTATGTGGAGCCAAATTATTTCCAAGATTTACCCTAATTTCGCATTCCTGTTTGCAGATCCATGGGGTTTTCCTGAGAAACCAGCAGATTTGTCACAAAGATATCCGATTCCATTGTGGGTTAAAATGATTGCATATTGTCTGCAACCTTTGAATCCTCTTTGGGGAATACGTATTGCTGGACCAATGGGTAAAATGCTATATTATAATAATTATTTTTATGATGGTTGCAAAATTCGAAATAAATAATCAGGCGTGTCAATGGATGGATGAGGAAATACAAATATTTATATAAAATTTTTATTTTTTCTCCTTACAATAGGTCCCAAATTGATTGAAAAAGTTAGACCTGACTTGATTCGAAAGTTCGCAGCACTTAGTGGAGATGGTGATGCTACAGTTGCCGAATATATTTTCCACTGCAACGCTCAGACACCATCGTAAGATTTGAAATTGAACTTTCAACTTCATGAGTCATAAGTGTGCCCTGTTGTGTACGATTTGACACCAGTGCATTCTTACCGTTTATTCTTTTATTTTTTTGTACATGTAGTGGAGAAGCGGCTTTTCATTCGATGATGTCGTCATTTGGCTGGGCGAAATAGTAAGCTTTCCTTAATTTCTCCTTTAATTTCAAAGTGTCTCATTCCTTTAACTTTCCTGTTTTTAGCCCCATGATTAATCGGATTCCTTCTCTCAAGCGTGATGTGCCATTGTCTATGATTTACGGGTATACATTTATGCTGTTATTTATTTTAGGTACAGACAAAATCTATTCTTCTAAAAAAACTACATTAATTACATTTAATGTGCTATCTAGTTCGAGGTCATGGGTGGATCATTGTCCTGGCCAACAAATTCAACAAATGCGACCTAGTTCTTACGTTGACGTTCAGGTACATTAAGGTCAAACAAGGTAGATTGTTGCTGCTCTAGGAAGCCTATAACTTTACATATTTTATATTGCCAATAGATCATTCGAGGAGCGGGTCATCATGTTTATGCCGATTCAAAAGACAAATTCAACGACTTGGTTTTGAAAGCTTGTGCTCATACCGATCTAGGAAATCCACTAAATTTTGACCTATCTCCAAAGAAGGAAACGATACTTGAACCAAGTACTGATATACAATTGGATTTGAAGCCTGTTGAACAAGATGAAAAACCATCCCTACAGCCTTAATAACTCTCTATCTCATCATTATTACTGAATATTGTGTCCCAACCATACTCGCTGTATCGTCCATTATTGATCCGTAATTATTTGTTGAAACATCTAGTTGGAACTATTTATTTTTAAACTTTTGATTGAAGATTTTACTACTTTTCGCAGTACGATGTTAAATTTTGTGGTCTTAAGATAGACATCCACAACTGAAGAGCAGGAATTCAAAATATAGTTCCTATTAAGTACCTACATAGATCTCATTTGTTAAAGAAAGTAACTGAATGTTGTTCATGAAATGATGAGTTGCAAATCTCTATTTCATTTCAACCTGTAGATTCGTAGTTATATTTTGTTCCTGATTGTTACCTTTTTTCCTTATTTATGAATTACAGTGTTATATACAAATGTAATGTATATTATCTTTACTATCGTATGTTAGAACTTGTCCACATGGCCTTTAATTTCCGCATTAAAAGATAATGTAAATTACATTAATTCTCTTATTACAATCTGTACCGTTGTATGTGCACACGTCATGACGAATATACATATGTATAACAATTAACATAAAACAGTATGTATTATTTGTGGTAAACTGTGTACCTGGTTAAAGAAAGGATGGTAAAAAAAACTGTAATCAAAATTTGTAATCTTATTAATGAGCACATTATTAACACATTTTGGAAGCTTTGGATTGTATCATATTTTTATTTTCACCGTTTTTATACAATGGGGTTGAAAACACTATTCTTATCACAGCTAATATAGTTGACTTACACTTTTTTTGGCATAAATATTCTTAAATAATTAGTGTAAAAGGAAATTTGGTGTCACGCGAAGAGACGATGATACAAGTAAATAGGTAATAAATGTATTTGGTAGAGAGTAATTTCATGACAATGTTAGTCAGTTCTGAAAATTGCACTGAAGGTATAGTAGACTCTTATGTAGCTAGATTGACCCGCAGCCGACGAATGTCGCATTCCTTTTTCATCAAAAAGGCACTCGTGTGCCTGAACGCAGTGGTGGTGGTATCATCAACAGTATCACGACTGAGATTTGTTTCCATCATCATCAGTCAGTAAGTAGTAATATTTAATTGATTTCACATTAATTTCCTAATTATAATTCCTGCACGGTCATCTAACACTTGCTTACAACGGCATACATATAACGCATACACATATGTACATACATAGTTACTAACAAGTAAGTATACACATCTGCAAAACCGCAAGACTCAGGAAAACAGCTTGTACGTTTCGAGTCATGTTTGACGACAATTGAACGCATTACTTTCCAACTAATTAATTTCTAACATACGGATTTAAGTTCCACGTGTTCCTGAAAGAGCTGAAGTCGACTTTCGCGTGTTGAGGTTAGACTTTTACTTATGCATATTTGTATCCTATCAAGAGATTCATCCTTGCATCCACGTTTTCTTGAAGATAAAGTGAAAAATGGTGCACATTAAGCGTCGGGTGGAAGGAATCACCAGGCGTCCGTGTATCTCACGTCGATCTCTTTCAAAGCAGGCAGCTTCATTTTGAGACTTTGTAACGTCTGGGCCGAAAGATGAGTGCTGTTCAAATTCAATTTTCGAAGACTTGTAAGTGCTGAAAAGGAAAAAGAGACGAAATTAGAGCAGAATAGTCATATTATAAATTAAAACAGACGAGATTTTCTCCCTGTATCCATCCTCTGCTCATCAAATTATTTTTTATTGGTGTGACATAATCGAAGTACAAATTGTACTTGTATATATAATATTTTAGTTCATCTATCTGTGTAAAATATAATTACTTAATAACCAACTCTACAGTTAATAGTTAACAAAATAGGTACATTGTACAGATTGTGTAACACGCATGGTTCATTCATTCTACTCTGTGAGTAAGCATTTCTGATTTTTGCAGTTGACAGTGCTGACAAAGACTCTACGGTGTAAACTATGTTCATATGCATATGTGTGTCATTATTGCAGACGTTGGGCCATAAATTGAGCTGTGTTTCTACGACTAACTACACGTCTAAACAAGTTGTTCATCTAGGATTTGACAGACAAATGTTAATGTAAATATAGACAAGAATCCGAGCTTTAATTGAATTGATGGGTTGAGCACTTTGGTCGACTAAATTAAACGTGACGATGGGTGAGTTGAGTGGATGCTATTCCGACAGAAATAACGAATATTATCAATGTATCTACATATATACTCGCATGGGAAGAAGTCGAGAGAAAGTTTGTTGCTCTCAACTTGTAGAGCAAAAGTTTATTTACAGCCTAACCTCTCCCCCACAGTAATGCCATTATTTGAATAAAATTGCTTCTCGAAGTGTTCAATATGGGAGGAAACTAACTTGGGGAAAGCAATTAAGGAATCAACCAGACGAAGACGGTGGAGAAAACGTTGGATGCGTGAAGCAGAGTAAATTAATGTATTCAATACGGGGAGCAGTAGACGCAACAGTTAAGTAAAATGGCAGATTTTGTGGTTCAACTCTACCAACAAACCAGACACTTGTAAAAACTTTGAACCGGGGTTTACGTGCCAATTTAAGGTTTTGCCACAAGGAAGTAAAGATACGTTTTCTCTGATGAGCTTGGAGAAAGTGTTTTAAAAATTTCATCCGGATCTGTAAGATGAAGGGACGGAGACCATCTCCACCACTCCCACCCGATCCCATCTCCAGCCTCAGATACTCAACAAACTCTTCGGCACAGCAACTTCTTTAGCTGGTTCAACTACCTTTTAGTCTTTTCGAGTGTTGATCCAACTCTCTGCTCTCTATATGCATACCAGTTTTTCTGCCTCCTCCTCTTGGAGAAAGTTGAGTTCGCTACTGAGCCAGCCACCAACTTTCTCCAACTTCAGCCTCCAAAGGAACAATTACATAAAGGGCTGAAGTTTAAATGAGATTTCCTGAGAGAGAGAGAAAAAAAACGAGGAAGCTAAGGTTCCAATGTTTTCTGCGTACGTACTACATCAACCTCACACATGGTCAGCCATGTCCAGGCCATGTCACGGGTGAACTAACGGAAACATAGGGTTGAAAAATGATCACATGGCATGAACTAATTTGTCCATTATTTATCCTTATCCTTTATATCACATAATTGAATTTGCTACGTTCTCAACGGTAGAATTTTCAGTAGGAGTAGGAGAAAGCATGCGGTGTGCCATACTGTAGAAAAATAGAGGCAGGAAAGGTATTTCCTTAGCGGGATGAGCTCTAACTGTGTGCTGCATAGGTTTGGTTTGGTTAATGATAATCCCCTCTTGTTGAAATTGACAAAGTCTAGCCAGCTAAATAAGTCGGGTTGGTGAGTGAAAGTTGTGGAGAGAACAAAAGGGGAGAAAAAAGCAAAGTGGGAGTGAAGGGGATCGTGAGGAGAGAAATTAAAAGCTCATGGATAATGACGAGATAGGCCAAGTACCCGTCCGTCGTGACTCCCGGGGTTGAGATGAGACGCCTTCCTCGTCTAATCTCTTCATTTATCATATTCATTCATTATTGATGACTTAGTCAACCCTCTTCACAACTTTCTCCGACCAAACCTTTCACTGGGTTCAATTCTTTGTGGACGAGAGGATGAACTACATTGTGTGTACACATGCACACGCGTGCGGAGGTGGTGGGATAACTACTTGGACTTCAAGATGCAATACTTTGTGAAAGGTTGGACCGCCGTCCAATTTACACTCTCGTGGAAATTAATTATCCTGCCCCGTCTAGAAGATTTACGGTGCATCGATTTATGTAGCTCCCTCTAAACCCAAATTTAAGATGCGCAAATGATAAATTGAAAAAGCTCTCGATATACTTATTTAAATAAGTGTAGATGTGTACATATGTATGTGTATGGTCCTAACGATTATGCATTCAACAACGACGTATCTACTTGTTTGCTCGTCTACAAGAAAATATATTTTACTGATACGTTTATTTACCTAAGAAAACCTCAAACTCAATTTTGTCATCAATTTTTCAGATTAACAAGTTGCAAATCCAATCATTTAGTTGGTATAGTTTATAGCTTCGTGCGTCGAGAAACCGAAGTTGAGTCTTTTGCGACAAGATTCGAAGCTGTACGTATGCACTGTAAGCCAACTCGAGAAAGTCGTAGTTATCGTAATCAGATTTTATACTTTTTAACGAGATACATATACGTATCCAAGACCCTTCGCATCTTGCCTTATTAGCAGCAAATAATCCACAAGATATTTCATCCCGTTGCAGAAGTTCAAGTAGAAAGCCATCGAAAACGTAGAAATTATGAAGTCGAATCTAAATATGAATTCCAACCAAGATTCATTCGTATCCAACACAAACTAGTAATTCGTAATTTTATTTACATTTCTCATTTTCAGTTCCAACCCAATCTCAATTCTGATTCATGTATTCATGGAACACGACTCTTTGCCGGAATACTTGGTTTGGTGCGCCTGATTTTGATTTGTGTAAAGAAGGTCGCCACCGCTTCTAATCATGCAGCACCCAATCAAGGTGTCTGTTCAGTACAGTGCAGACAGCAAATTACAGCCTCCTCTGACCCTAATCGTGATGAATTTCCAAATCCTGACTCCTAATGAGATTGCTCACAAAATTAGTCGAATAGACTCAATCCCAAGCATAACGGTGTGACTTTTCATCGGCAGCGACGACAAAAATACCCGTCGTCTCATGGGCGAATACACCAAAATCGATGCTCTTCCTGATAAGTCAGAGTATTAAAGAAATAAATTTCATTATTATATAGGCTTGTAACTCTAGAATACACATGGATGTGGTGCAATGTTGTAGTTCGTAAGCAACATCAATTTATTATCAATTGGGATTCCTGGATGTTTTTACTTTACTGTTCAGGCAATGTTTGCTTTCTCCCAGTTTGCTTGCACTCATTTGTTAGAAGTCCGCTGATTAGAGGCCAATCTTCTAATCAACTTGTTCATTAAATAAATCGTTGGGAAGCATTGAACTGACCATGAAAATTCCCAAATATAAACAGTGGCATATTTGTACAATTCATGTGCAAGTGATTTCACTAGTTCTCAGCTCGGGCTCGTCTAAATAGTACTAAATACACATGCATACAACAAACCTACAAAAATATAATCTAGGAACATCAGAGAGAAAATAAGACTTTGTTCAACTTCAATCAATTCAAATTGAGCGTGGTCTTATGTTGTCTCCAATTGGAGAGTGAAGAAATGAAAGCTTTACTAAAATAGGAGAGTTTACATGCTATGTATTTAGAATGGTTAAGGCCATGCCACGACGTTTTTACACTGTCTGTAAGTAATCTTGAACGTGTGGAATTCTCATTATTCACGGCACGGGGCATTATTCAGTCCCACCGTTACTGCAAGACAATTGAATTTATCTGAATTCACGTCACTCTGTCTTGCAGATGATGTAATTTATGTGTCAGGTTGATAACAAGAAATTGAATGCCGAGTTTCTGATTGGGAAAAACAACAGAAAATTCAGAGCATTCAGACTCAGGTTGAACGGTTGAAGATGTTGGAATGCATCTTTGGATACAGTTGGAATTGCACATAAATCTGCACCTAGTCAACCGGAAAACACTTGAACAGGAATATGGAGATTTTCTCAGCAACCCATCCTACGTACGCATTTAAGTATATTGGGCTATGGAAAGTCGAGATGATATTACAATTGAGACAAAACTAGGAATATGGCACTCATTTTTCCTCCAGTATCAAGAAGTACTACATTCGTACCAAAGGTATACATATTAGGAAAATGACATGTACATGCGATTTCATCAACGTTGATTATCAGATTTGTCGCTGCCTCAATGTATTTGATAACTAAAATAACAGCCAATATGTCCCTGTTTTGAAATATATACAACTTTTGTTAAGTGGCTGTAAAGGGCGAATGGTCACATCAATTCAGATAATAGATCCTGCCCACCTTGGCATAATGTCCATCAATCAATATTCTATCTGCATAATCCATAAAGAAGGAGTACCAACACAAAGTCACTGGAAATCAATGGGAAACCATCGGCTGGTTTGTGCGTCAAATTCATCGATGATTAAATTATCCACTCCACTTTCTACAACATTTCAAGGATTTTCCATTCGAAGCACGAACTTATCTATGTACGAGGGAATAACAATGGAGCAACAACGACACTTACATGTTAATGAGAGAAGCCCTTTGTCCGTGACCTGCAGATGTCAAAAATTACATAATTATTTACGTACTTGATAATTAGTAGCAAAAAGTATAGAATTATTAACCCGAGTCTCGCATAGGTTGAGAACCTGGAGGTTGGGTAGATGTTCCGATATCAGGACAAGTCCCAGATCACCGAACTGTAACACATTTAAATATCATTTTATTGATGTACATCTCCATTTGTTTAGTGTGCATACATGTGTATGTAAATAAGGCAGGCTTTCATTTATACACAATTAGTGGTAGGCATTGGGAAATTACGGGGAAAAAATCCTTGACATGTGTGGTTTTGCCTCTTTGTGATACACTACATAAAATTTTGCTCACTCACTCATTCCTGAACTTATCGTTAGCAGCGACCTACATTTCAGGATTCAATGAAGGGAAAAAAAAACTCTGGCTTTAGAAAGTTGACAAACGACCAAAAATTTGATTATGAAGACAGAATGCGAAAGGGCTTGGAAAGTCAAGAGTCGTTTACATGAGGGGCATGTGAGGTCATCAAAGGCCAGAATTTTAAAAGACAGCTAATCTTGGAGTGATTATGCTCTTGACAATGATGCATGGAAACTCCTTCCAAGCACATTTATCACGTTGAAATTTATCATCTTCAACCAAACAGCTCGACGAATTCATTGCAACAGTTATTTATTTATGAAGGTAGCAGGACACTCGTGAGAAATAAATGACTTGGATTTGAAAATCGGTCATTTATTATTTATGCAAGCTTCCGATCTCAACAGAGGAGACACATGCTTCATCTCTTTCTTTCTGCCAACAAGTAGTGTGGGCTATATGTAAATACACACGAGGGGAAGGTTCCGTACAACGTAATAAATATGTAATAGCATCCGATGTATGTAGCTCATCACAGATGTGTGCATGCACCACAATGAGTGCATTCTAAGCTTTTGTTATTATTGGGCCCAGTTAAAGCCAGTGAACATCCCATTATCATATTAAGATCAAATTTCTCTGACAAAGATGAATTTTTGGTCATAAATCCCTCAGTCGACGGAACTGAGGAGCTGGTTGGTTGTTCGGCTCAGGCAGCTCTCTAATCTTGCTCAAAAGTCAATCCGTACCCCAATTCTGTAGTCGAATGAAACCGTCCAAGCGAATTTGGCAAAGGATGATATTACTCTTGGACAATTATGCAAAGCATATACTTTTGAAATATATATGCTCCATCCTCCTGCTATATAAATATATGCACTGTCTGCCACAATTGACATAAAATGTGTAGAATTCGTAAAATCTTATTTCATTCTAGAAAATAGCTTCTTCAAGAAGAGAGAGATTGCTTGCTTTCACTGCCTCCACTCGGATTTAGGAGGATGTGAAGGACACTTGGATCCTTTGTGTTCTATGGGACTTGCGAGCAATCACTTTTCTCATCATTTTGCATCTGCCCGTAGAGGAAGCATCCGCATTTGATGCTTTGTGCAATATGATATTAATTTGAAGCAGGCGACAACGTATGTGCACACATCTTCTTGCACTCTGTTTTCAAAAGTTATATGTACTATGTACCAATATGCACATGTGTGTATGCATACTTACATGTGATATGTACGATCTGAGAACGGGCTTTGAACTATACAAGGGCAAAGTGTCATACATGGAATTGATATGTATGTACATGCACTGCCATACTGGCTCATGATCAGAGGAATCTTTAGCGTGCACAAACTAAAAAGAGCGTCTAAAGTGAAAAATGTTGCACGGACAGCTCTTACTTGCTGCTTAGTTGATGCCAATATGGTGCATAGCAAAAAATTATTGTCTCGCAGGAAGGACACTCTTTTCTAAGGCTTTTATGAGTGATGGAGGGGTGGCGGAGATCGAATACATGATTACGAAGGCTGAACCCTATGCTATCGTAGTTTATTACGAGGACGGGAGGGAGAGAGGGGTGTCAATATTGCCCTTAGAATTTGCAAAACTTTCACCTACTGCTCCATTCTAATTGCTCAAGTTTATCAATGAGAAAGTTTCGACTGCTTCCAAAGATGTTTTTCGTGTCATGTCAAGATCCAAAGACGTTGAATCTTGAGAAATTTAGCTCGAAAAATAATTCCCCTTGATGAATTTCTTCATGATGCTCCTGAGGGTAAAGGTCTCAAAATTGAGTTTGTGAACTAAATTCAAATTGACTTGTAGATGAGAAAGTGAGTTGACTAATGGAAGACACTTCTCAGCTCCTCATTTCACTGGGCGTGCTGGAAGCTATCCTTATCGCCAATTCTCAAGTGGGCATGATGATCACTCTCAATTTCACTCTCTCTCTATGCATAAGCCTGGCATCCCAAACAAGATGACGTGCATTATCACATTATGCTACGACTGGATGCAACGAGCTCATAAAATATTTTTCAGGCCGCCGATCCTCCTACATTTTACTCCAATAAGTGCACGAACAGTGTATATGCAAATTGGCCAAGCATATTACCACGCCGTTATTTTTCATTGCAGGGTGACCAGATGTACATATATAAAATATGTGCACACAAATTAATATCCCCCCTGTCACACCACACCACACACCTGAACTCTATACTGTCACCACCGCCACAAACGGGTCAGTGTCTCATGAGAGGGTTATGAAACAAATTTAAAAGTTGTTGGGTACGAACAGGTCATTTGTCGGGTGGACGCGAGTAGACAAATGAAATGCTCGAGTGCAAAAAGTGGTCAATATATCAGGACTTTGGGTTTGCGAGGCTAAGGTGGGGGGATGGCATGGGAGAATTGTTACCTGTGTGCACCAAAGGTTCAAGTAGCGAAGGGATGGCAGTTTGATTAATTGTTCTGCACAAGCGCTGGTCACGCCGGTGAAGGCAAGGCTGAGACATTCCAAATTCCCAAAGGAGCCACAACTCAAGAGCTTCGCCAGGTCGTTATCTGCGCAGAAAATTATCACTTATTTCCCATTTTCAGGAATTCCATATGGCTGGATTAAGCTAGACTGCACACATATATTGAAAAGAACAAACAGCAGAATTACCTGTCGAGCGACTGGGCAAAGTTAATTTTCGTGGACCCCCTTTCTGTTGCTGTGAACAAAGAACAAAAGCAATTTCACACTTGAGCAAAGCAAAACCAAACTGTAATTACCACAACCACCTTCTTTCTCAGTTAGACACCCCATTTTTCTTTCTCACACAAGGGCTCCTATCCATAAGCCCGCCTGCTTTCACCCCAACAACCCCAAATCACTACCAGAAGACGGATTTATTTATCTAAGTACTTGCCATTGTTTAGCAAGATAACCATGCATGTAAATACATATGCACACGCTCTTAATTCTTGTAGCGTATAAAGACAACACAATGCAAAATGTCACGTAACGTTAAAACGTGCATTTTAACTTGATCAGCAAGATTATTCAAAGCTAGGTAGTAGTAAGTAACCTCTAATATCACCGCTCGCTGACATGTTGCACTGTGTTGTCATTATACGCTGAATATCACTGTATTTAGATGGATATGAGCATGGTGGTAGAAGTGCAAAAGATGTGAGACGTACCAATTCCTTGAGATGAAGTTGTCTGCTACAGAGAGCGAGATAATTCGCCCTTCCGGTGGGCGTGCTTTGGAGGGTTGTCGCGATCTGAACACGTTGGTCATCACTTTGAACGATTTGCCACTCGAGGAGAGTGCAAAGTGCCTCTTGAGCTGCTTCATGTTCCCTCAAGGCCAGCAGTAAACAGCTGCCCAACAATTTCCCCCCGAGTTGACTTAGAAATCGCTTCCGACGGTGGCAACAGCTTAGCAAACGTTCCAACTACAAAAATGGGGATTACAAAGCTTTAAATCAATATCAATACTTTAAAGTAATTTGATACATAAATCAAGGTTCGAGAGTGAGTCCGTGTGTGTAAGTAGCAACATTTGCCTTTCTGTACTTGATGTCACATTGTCCAGTCTTTTTTCAAGGGTCAAGTAAGTGCTGGTTCAACACGTCACTCAGCATACTCCTTAAGCATATGCATATGTACATACATACATCCACATGCAGGATGGAGTTATCTACATATTTGGGTTCGAAATAATTCAAATATTGAAGCATCTGTTCCAAAACTGAGGATCCTCTGAAACGGGAAGCATGGCCGATATCTTCCCTGGAACAAATGGAAGGACGACTGGCTGGTTGTTGCATGGGGTGGATTTGTTAGGAAACTATATGGCTTTGATACCAGGATGCCGATATCGCGGGTGGTATGTGATGTAATTGCGGAGGACTCGCATCTATCTCAACCTCCTCATCGACAACCCTCACTCAACTTTCTCCACAGCTCTCAAGCTTTACTTTGCATTTAAATTGCAAAATAGAAATATGGTCTGGCACGTATCTGCATAATGATACTTGAGCTTGTATATAGAAGCCCGTGCTAGTTTTCAGTACGAAATTTCACATCCCTTGCCTGCACGCTGCTTTTACCCTTCCACTCTCTGTGTGAGACCGTAATTCAAAAATTCAATATGCCATTGATAAGGAGTGATGAGGTGCTGGTGGAAGCCCACTTGGATGAATGGCTCGCATAGATGTAGACATACATGGCAGTTCTGCCCAAGTGCTCAAATTCGGAACAAAAATGGTAACAGAATAATTTCCCTAAGCTTTCTTTTCTCGAAAAACTCACGCTGCTCGAAAAACTTGCTTCTAACCCAGCTCTGCAAAAATACTCTGCAGACTCCTCAGAAACAAAACTTGAATCCAATTTTTTACTGGAGCTGGAGTCAGAGTGAAAATAGAAAGTTCTTCACCGTTGAGATAATAGTGTTCTTGCTCTAATGCGGCTGTGTATGTAACACGAGATCCAGCTAGGCTAAAATGTAAGTGCACATGGAGTCGACACCCACCCGCCGTATGTTTGGCCGGCCCGTGGAAAGTGCTAAACGGACGAGAAGAGGGAGGGAGAAAGTATTACCTTCCTTATGGTTTGACACGTCTCGGCTAAAATGGCCGAGTACAGCATTATCAGCAGTTGAATGAAAATGGAAACAAAAGAACAGGCTAATGCAGATACAACTATTTTTCTGTCCGACTGAAGCACACTCTCCAAATCTAATAGCCCAGAATGCATGGTATACATTTCTACCTATGAACTATTCAGATATAGAGTGACAAACTTAAGCCGGACCAATAATTCATCGTGAATAACATAATGACCGAGTTGTCTTCTTCCCAGAGTGAAAGCCCATTTAGCTTTTATATATCGCATTTCTGCATCTCTTTCAACATTTCAATGACTTTGTCGACTGTATATGTTTAAGCAAAAAGTCGTCCACGTGTCATGTCAGCAGTACTTAACACGCGTATTGCCACTTTTTGGCCATATTTATCTGGATATGAGAATGTTTCGGAAATAAAAATTTTAAAATCTATGCAATGAATATTGTGTAACAAGCAGGGAAACCTGCTCAATATTTTTTGTTGACATGATAGCAAAACATAGTCCCCACCACCCGAAGCAGACCCCATTAGTTTCACCCAATCTGCAAATTCATTGCCATTCTTTATTTTATTTCCTTCCGCTCTTCTTAATTTCGCGTCTGGCTCCCGTCATGTCTTTGGTTGCAGGGATGCATTTGTCAAACCAGGACGAGAGAAAGAGACACGCAAAAAAGCCCCGAAAGAATTTAAATGAAATTGAGCAATTACGTTATATCGCGTTTTTTTGCTTTGTTTGAGCATTTTTTCTCAAGTTCTGAAAAGAGTCGAGGTTGTAAAAGAAAATTGTCTGCGGTATGCCAATTTATCTGATTTTGTCTTTGTTCGCCCCACGAGCACAACACAGCAAATACGTAGTTACGCAATGATGGGAAGTAAGTTTGTTGGGATGGAGAGAGCGAGTCCATTTTGACTCATGAAACAAATCTCAGTAGATCAGAGAGAGGATGACTCTTTGGTCTGTACTCTCTCATATATGGGCCATAAAATTGAACTTTCTGACTGCAATTGGTCCTCTTGGCCATATCAAGTCTACGACCAAACTACATATAAACTAACTGCACAACGAGCCTCATTCCATAAAAGAGCAGCCGCATTTAACTTGAACCAGCCCCTTCTTCCCCCAATGGGTACATCATCATTCCCACCGTTTCCTAAGTTCCCTTCCCATTCATTTATGCTGATGTGGTTCAGGAGCAAGTGCACTACTTACACTGAAAGTACAAAATTACTTACATGCCTTTACGGTTATTAGTGCATAGCTGGAAAAAAATGCAAACAAAGCTGGTCAAGTTCTGCTCATGTATGTACTGCCCCTGCCTATTCTTGATGATAATCGCAAATTCTCCATCATTCTCTACGTATCAATCGTAGTAGTCCCCACCCACCAACAACGAGTGCTCCCCAAACCGTAATTGTTTTATATTTATTATTTTGCAATGTCCGATAAACTTAATCCTACATTGCTTAAAATTTCGTTTGTTGGACGGGTGCGAAAGTAAGACGCTAGATGTTCCATTAGCACATGCCACAATTAAAGACTTCTGGGAGTCGCTTAACACCAGACACATTCTAAACTCTCTGATCTTCCATTGTTTGTATGTACTACAAAATATCAACCATGTTCACCCCAACGATTTAGGCTTCATTATAACTCTGAGCTCAGCCTGGACTCATTGATATTCGGTGTATGTTATAGTCTCGTAAGTGAAGGGAGGCAGACTGAATTGCTTACCAGGAATTGACGATGAAGCTGCCAAATTGGGGCAGCAGCAGTTCTTTTGTGACGACGAGTAAAATTAAAGCGTAGGCAAATGCAGACCTTGTGAGTCAGTGGCGAAAGGATTAGGAAACAAACGCATGAAAGGTCTTTGATGTTTTTTGTGATAATTTAAATTGAGCAACCAAGCTGAAATTGTAACTGTAAACATCAAAAACGTTAAAGTCTACCATTGCATTGTGGCAGCAGGGGCATATGCAGCTTTCTCCCACTCTTTGTCTCCCTTCACAAAGAGTATCAAATTCGAATACATATTTAGTTGTATCTCAGTAAGTATGGTCTCAGCGTGTGTATGTAGTTTTTCACGAGTCAATTGCTGTCACAGAACAGTTTTGCAAAGCATTTCTGCACCCACTCGTGCTGCTTACTCACAAATGATATCTGAAGATCTGACGATACGTGTATTTATTTTTTAGAAGTAAGTTCAAGTTGAATTTGAGGGGCAAACTTATTTCATTTTGACATTCGTGTGAGTAAAAGGTCAAGAATGTTGTTGTTGCTGACACATAACTTTTTGTCCTCCACTGTCACACCCAAGTGACGCAAATGGTATAGCATTGTGTTGATTTATTGAGCTTTTGAATTGGTAAAAAACCCTGCTTTCAAATCACAACCTCAACAAGTCAGTCGCTCGTCCACTTCGGAATGGTTCAAATCTACTCAACTTTTTTGCTTTATCTTTACCCATCGCTGCTGCTGTACGAAACCAGCGCGTCCATATGTACGTATCATCTGTAGAGGGTGCAAGAAGGAGGAAAAATGTGTGTTCAAAGTTGTAAATGAATAAACTGAGAAAAGCTGTTTGTGTTGTCTTTTAGTCGTCTTTGTCACTTGTCCTGTCTAACGGAGCGTCCAAGCGGGCTCGTACTTTCATTGTCTGTCGTAAATGTCTGGGAACATGGGAGATCTCGCGAGTTGAGATTGTTGAGCGATTGTCGAGAGGAGAGGAGAAAGTCTTACCATTAGTCCCCAGAGTTCTCCGTCGTCTGAACATCCGGAGAAGGAGGGCGAAAAGATGGAAAAGTAGCCCTCCTTGCCGTCCCGAATGCCCAGCACCATTTGATGAACATCACACCGATGGTCCGTCCCGATCCTTCTTATCACGGAAGACAGGCTCCTGCAAACAATTCAATGAGGGTTAGATGGAGGAGGAGGAGGTGACAAATCTCGCCTTATTCAATTTCATCTCTTCCTCCCAAATGTGAACCCATTTTCCTGGAAAGTTGAAACAGAATTTGGACATTGATCTATCTGGAGACCGAAAGTTCGACGCCGAGTTGAATCCCTCAAGTATTTTTCTCACTTTCCGATAATACATACATTCGTTGAGAGATTGCGGCTCTGCTCTCGTACAGCAACACGACTCACCACCAGACACGCAAATGTTCACTGTTTTTTTTGACTGGTGGTGAGTGTAGTCCAAAAATGAGGGAAGGAAAGGAAAAACAGGAATAATTGCTGCTGGGTTTTCTCTCGAGAGAGAATTGGCTGTGTACAAAATTACTTAATTTTATCCTGGATGCCCATTGCAGAGTGACGTAAAAATGGGAATGTGGCGTGGGAATTGCATATTGTAGGCAGTTAGTTGTTTAATCGAGTGTTTCACCACTCCCATTACGCTCCCAGTTAGAAGCAGGAGCTCTCTGTCGGGCACTTTCACTCGGCTTTCACTCCCAAAACAGAAGGGGATACACACACGACTACAGTAGATCTAAGAAAAACTTTGCACTTTTCCGTGAAAACTAGCAAACTGTACAGTCAATGGAAAAAGTATTGGCAACCCCCACGCTAGCTAAATAAAATTGGCTATAACCTTGGAATGCATTATACAATTGGCATGCAAATTTGTAAGCATTTAGCAAATATAATGTAGTTTTCGATTATAATCATGTTTTAATGATTCAAATTGGATAAACACAGTTTTTAAATAATTTGTTGGAAAATTTGCGAAATTAACCCGCAAGAAGTATTGGCAACCCTTAACTTTAAAAGTCATTATCAAAGACACGGCAATTTTGTTTCGATAAACTGCTTCCAGTACCGCGTAGCACCTCGTCTCGATGCAATAAGAGCAGAAATACGCCTTGGAATTGACTAGACAGATTTCTTTATAACCCTTTTGGATATGGTTTCCCAATCTTCTTTCGAACTTTTGACAAGCTCGTTTCTTGTAGAGTGATTTCCCACCAGTCTCTCTTTTCTCATCCCGGACAATCAGAATCACATCGGGAGACTGTGCAGCTAACGAAAGAAGCTTAGTCTTTTCTGTCTCCAAAAATGTGCATCGTTAATGTGGATGCATGTTTTGGGGCCACTGCATTTTTGTAATATGAAATTACTTCCTAGGTCAGGTTTTTGTGAAATGTTTTCAAATTATCGTTTCGAATGATTAATTAGACCTCATTGGTCATAACTTCATCGATAGTGACCAGCTAACTACGCAACGACCTAGTCATTCAACCCCAATCCATAATCGATCCTTCTCCGAGCTTGACTACCAGACGGCAGCATTCATTTTTGAGAGCCTCATTTTGCATCCTCCAAACTCTAACCATCCAACCCGCACCGAATAAGTTAAATTTACTTATGTGAGACCACTAGACCCTTCTTCATCAATTGGAAGCCTATTTAGGGTGGTATTTAGCTGATTTAAATACCTTGAGTTGATTCGTTTCGGGAGCCTTCCCTTTTATGGGGCTACTGGACCCTGAAACCCCATGACGTGATTTTTGATTGATCACCATATTTTATGAAATATTGACTCCACAGTTGGTTCTCAAATTCTAAGTGGTTTTGGGTGTTGAAATCTTAGGATTTCAAGCAATTTGTTTTTTGATTCATCATTTGCGTTCGGGCGTAGGTGACTTTTTTCTTCCGCATCATGGAAAAGCAGATACTAAAATTGTCATTTTATATTTCTTGGCTACATTTCCAATAGCAAATATGGAAAAGTATGTTTTCCATTGATTTTTCGATATCCAAGTTTTTTTGCGAAAAAGAAATGAATATTTCTCACCGCACCAAATACAGTTCGTTAGGTGTCGCCATTTTGGTTCCAGACAACACAACTGCTGACTTAAAATGTAGCTATCGTCGTATTTTGTCACCTAATTAACTTACCGTAATGAAGTGTGGTAGTTCATTAAGAAAGTTGTTTCGCGTAATTAATTTGGCCACATGTTGCCAATACTTTTTGCTGGTGAATTTTGCAAATTTTCCAATAACTTATTTAAAAACTGTTTATTTAATTTTAATTAATAAATCATGATTATAATCGAAAACTATATTATATTTGCTAAATGCGAACAAATTTTCATACCAATTGTATAATGCATTACAAGGTTACAGCCAATTTTATTTAGCTGGCATGGGGGTTGCCAATACTTTTTCCATTGACTGTAGAATGTGAATTATTGACACAAGTCAATTTCCCAAATGTGAGAACATGTTTCTGCTCATGCACTGACTTTCGTTCGAGAAATGGGAATTGAATAATCTTATCCAATTATTGTTTTATGCCTGTCTTTTCTATCGTGTCAAAAGCAGAGTTGCTGGCATAGACTATTTTATCATTTGGTCTGTTTAGGACTGATTATATGAGTTCTTTGCCTTTTCAATTAAAGGTGTTACCCTAATTATTTATCCAGCAGGGACGAGCAGTGTTGTACAAAGTGTGCAATTACTTAACTTTATTTAGGACAAGGCATGACGCTAGAAAAAAAGGTTTTTTGCTCATTCGGAGGAATTAGCTTTCTCGAGGTATGGACATCTCGAGTCTTAAATCTGGGATATGTGCCCTATCTCACAATCTGTCCTCAGCCATATCTTCTTATCGGCCTTGTATTTTCCACGACTGGTCCGAAGAGTAAAAAACAAAGAGCTATGGTCTGTTTCCTGCCGATGCATTGCTACATCTGGTGCTACATACGGACGGACGTCCGTACGTAGCACCGATTCTTTCTCTTTCTCCATTCGTTTCTCGAGGAGGGTGAAAGTCAGGACATGGACCAGGTTTTTGGGAAGTGTATCCAACTTAACGAAGTTAATCCTGTCTTGGGCCAGGAGTAACTCTTCACTAAAATCTGCAGCAATCCTCAGCTCATCTGCAGTGTCCGCGTGTCATTGTACGATGAGAAAACAACGACTTATGGGAAAGTCGAGGATAGAGAAAAGTGAAATGGAATTTACTTTACTGCCGCCTGTTCTCTCAATTATGTTTTTCCTGGCCTAGTGGCAGCAACAGCGGCAGCAACAACTACGCGACGACGACGACGACGAGATGATGTAAATCTGTAGGGAAGCAGAAAAGCAGATGAGACAACTGCCGGCGAAGCATGATGTTGAGGAGAAAGTCTGTGCCTCACCACCAACCAGCACCGTAATCAGAGGCAGGCAGGTCCTAATAAAAGGCCAAACAAGCGAGTAGCCCACTTTCCCTGCCCGGCCTGGTGCTTGATACTCAAATCTATGTCAGCTAGCTGGATGGGAAGAGGGGAAGAGTTGGCTTAGTGGAGGGCTTTGTTATCTTGTTGTTGTTATACTTAATCCTTCTCTTGTCCTCAAGATTAATTTCATTTCCTCCGCGGAAGAGTTTGTTATTAGTTCATTTCAGAGTGGGAGAAAGCAGGGAGAAAAGTAGACTTTAATCGTAACCTATGCAGAAATAAGGAGGAGGCAACGCGGCCGGGATGAGTGAGGATCGGAGCAGACCGGAGCAGCAGCAGACAAGATCGTTCCAGTTTTATTTGCTTAGCCTTATGGTCCCACTATCTACAAGTTACGAACACTGGAGCATTTTAGTCATGAGATTAACCGAGTAAACTGAAACTCAACAGTCTGTGAATAAATCCTGTGGCAGGGAACAGTTGACTCCCTCCACAGCCCGTTGCCCTGTCCAAACATGTGTCCTGCATGAGGCAGTAAAAGGGGACAGTAAACAGATCCTTGATATTGACATGAACTTTGGGCTCAGGTAGAAAATAATAATTCTGCCCATGTCTCAAGAGATGTTGGTTTTTGCAATCAAGTCTCAATTTCATTACGACGAGGCAACCTTCCCTTTGCATAAAATTCTAGGAAATTGCTCTCGCATAAGATTTATGTGTGCATATGTACTTTGAGTGAAGGGTCCAGAGAATATACGGCATGCAGTAAAAGCATGCACATTTGGATGTATCGCATTGTTCTGATCTCAACTCACCGTGTGAAGAATGAGTTTGATAAGGCCTCCTCTGGAAAGGGGATGGGTTGCAACAGTTGTGCCAGGCTTGGCCTCCAGTCTTCAAACTCTGATCTGTAACGTTATTGCTATTGTTCATCGTGGCATGGGTCACTTGGTTTGATGCACCCTTGAATAAGTTCTAACTTACATGGTGTCCAGTACGGCCAAATAGCACAGCAACTGTTCATCATACGGAATATCTTTCATACTGTCGGCATTCAGTCCAAGGTTGCTTGGCTTGCTGCTAAATAGAGGGGTTTTCAGAGATATGAAACACATATAGATTGACAGATGGATAGATTTATTTTGCATCCCAGACTCTTTTAAAGCGAAAAAACGTATTTATTTATGGTTACCTGAATATTTGGAACATGGCAGCAAGGCAGACGGAGACTAGATTGGAGAGGACTCTGGGATGCGGACAACTACTGGCTGGGCCGTGCATGCTGTAAAAGTAATCCAGTGTAGGTTAGGAAGTCATAATTCCTCGTCTCATTTCTTCCTCGTTTATTTACCTTTTGACGAAATTTCTAACGACGTTAACTCCATCATTATGGCAGTTGAGTGCTTGGATAAAATCTTGTATAAAGCGTCGCATGTACGGATATTTCCCAAAGTCCTGGAAAATATGTAATCGATCTGTCAGTAACGTAATACTGGGTAAATTATATTATGTTCATGTATTTGTTTGTGTAATGTGTACATTGCACAATATGAATTTCCATGTTCCTGGAAGTAATTATACAACTCAAATCTATTTCGTACGCAGAGGGGACGCCAAGATGAATGCAGGTTTCTCCGTTAGTATTATGCTAGTACACTACTATAATAGTCAAGATTCGTGTGAAGTTAAATCTAGCAAAAACAGAGTAAGTACATACTTCCAACGAATCGAATTTGGTAAATTGATAGTATTTTGTCGGAATCGTGAATCTTCCAACGTGTCAAATTTGGGCCAAAAGTCGCCTTATTCAGGTCATCAGGGCCCGTTTGTGCGATACTCCTATCGCAACCACCACTGCCACCATTTTATGATGGGTGTGACCCCCGAGTTTAAAACTTACATTAGTGCCACCAGCAGATACATTGTTAAGTACGAACACAACCAGCACCACACCACACCACCCACAAACACGATCAATTGAGGTAGGAAAAGTAGAAACGCATATCATCGACATGTTCTCTTGAAACCTTTTTGCGATCTTCTTAGGTTTCTCCGCATTACTTTTCTTGAGGAGCAATAACTTAATGTTTTTCCTGACCTTTATCCCTAATCGCACCGCCGCCCTGCCCCGTAATACAGAAATATTGCACAAGAGGTGGTGCGGCTGGAGGGAGGAGAGCCAAGTAATCCTGACGCGATATCCAATCTTATTACTCCTCTTATTTCTCCCTCACTGCATGACGATGGAGGAGACGAGGCCGGTAGTCATAAATCATTGGGTGTAAGAAAGGAGGAATTGGCATCAATCATCCTTCCTATCACCACCTCCTAATCCGTAATGTCCAACACTGCCCAAACTTATTTGTTACAAAACCCTTGTGCTCTGCTGCTCCTGCTTTAAAACAAAAGTGGGTCTGCCCGCATTCCTTCCCGGCTGCTCGCTCGAGGTAATTTATTAATAAGCAATACCATATACTTCTCGTACTTAGATATTGGGCACCACAACGGTGTGCCGGAAATAAGTTATGTGCCGTTTGACTACTTGGACGACTTGGTGCGAGAAAATAACTCGCTTTCTGTGTTCAACACAATGTTATTTTTCTACTTGAAAGGAATCGAGATTTGTGAGCCGTATGTTCTCCTCCAGGTCTTATCGATTGAATTGGATAGAATTTGATTATGGGGTCAGCCAGCCTTCGGAGATTTGTTATCACATTTGACTCACAAACAAAAGAATTCGCTCGACAAGATTACATCCATTCCAATTGCAATTTACTCTGCCCTTGTGACACACTCTGAAGCATATCCGGCGATTAAGTCCTTCTCTTGGACATAAATAAAATCCACCAAACTTTATAGCGCTGTGAGAATTCAAAGATCTATATTGAATTGGATCATGAAATCAATCAAAATCGAAATTGGATGTGGTTGCTGGATCTCTTGCTTAGATTGGTGGAGGATCAGAGAGAGAGGGACAGACAGCAAAAAGTGACCTCCCTTTGTTGAATTGGAATAAACTACTGGAATGGCTTAGAATTGGATTGGGGTTACATATTTGTGCAAATACACCACAAACACAGAAAGTATGTCTGGTCTTTCCTCTCTTTGAGTGAATATTTACTGGTTTTTATAATGCATAATAAATAAATCACATGGGAAGCTATTGAGTTGAAAGACGATAAATTTGAGGATGAAGAATGTTTTGAGAATCCATGCAGAAAATAATGAGATCAGACATTAATGCCACGCAGATGCTATAAATATCAAAAGCAGTTTCTCTCCCGGAAATATATAATTTCAATAATGTAAAGTGATAATCCAAATCAGTTCTGACTTTACTCAAGTGAAATTAAATACGTAATCCGTCATCGCACAGATATTTCTCTGCACTGAAAAATTAAGAATGATTTTGCAATCGAGGGCTTCGAGGAGGAGCGTCTCGCTAAAGTGACTTTGTAATGGGGAAAAAATTACTCGAAACATGTTGAGCCAGTGCGGACCTACGTAAATGCATTTATTATGCAAAGACGGAAAGTTGATGGCAATACGCCAAACTCTTCAATTTCAATACTCGAGGCAAATTCACTACCGACCGATGATGCTGAGGCGATGGCCAACTTTCACTTTGCCCAAATTTTACCCAAATGTCTCATCAACTCCTTCTTACTCTCCAAATTCAACAAGCACGAGGGCAAAATTGCTTTAGATCGTTAATGGATTCCAAATTGGGCCTTTTATGTATACGCAGCAAGTGCTTGGTTCGATATATGCACACTTCCAAGGCTCATTCGTTCGTTGGTAGGTGCACTCCAGACAGTCGCACCGTTGTTGACTGGTGTTATTCCATATCTCGAGTATGCTCACGGCATAGACTAATACCAACTGTATCTTCCATTTGTGCTGCTGCAAGTCAATTCCAATTATGAGAGCACATTTACTTATGCCTAGGGCTTCCCACAAGACGGGACAAGACAAGATTATACGTCTTGTCTCGTCTTGTTGCAATCTGCGGGACGAAATATCAAGACAAGACGGGACGACAAGCTGTCCCGTCTTGTCTTGCGTCCCGTCTTGCCCGTCCCGTGCAAGACGGGACAACACGGGACGCACATGTTTTAAATGGGTTGAATTTTAAATCCATTCACAAAATTTAAGTACGCTTCAGGAAGCATGATACAAATTGTTTTTACTAATTACAGAATAATTTAACCAAGGTTTCGACCTTCGACCTTCGACGGTTTTTCACATTACACAGTGTGTAGTGGGAAAAAGACCTGTGCCATCCCTAAAACGGAAAACCTCTGTTTTGGTTTGATAGGAAACTGCTTGTTTTGAAATTTATGTTCTCAAGACTTACCTTCATGTTCGTATTGTACACAAAATTCTAACTTCTAAATTCTATTTCATGATAACGTATTAGATACAGCTATCCAAAAAATATTCGATGATTCGTTTCGATCGAATTTCCAATATAAGGGAATTACAATTTCACCTAAGTTATATTTTACTGAACAAATACCACCGTTGTACTGAGTTTTAAATTCAATTTTGATGAACTCCGAGATGAAAGTATCATATTTAAATTGTCGCAAGACGTCCCGTCTTGCCGAGACAAGACGGGACAAGACGTTGTTTGTCCTGTCCCGTGTCCCGTCTTGCTTGTCAAAACGCGGGACGTAAATTTCCGTCTTGTCCCGTCTTCTTGTGGGAAGCCCTACTTATGCCGTTCCTCCAAGTTTGCTCTGGTTTGAGAGAAAGCGAAAGAACAACAATTTTATGTGCAGTTTAGCCCACGTTAATATTCTCAGCAATTTAAGTTCAACTGTAAAATGTCAAATCTTACCAAAGGAAAGTGAAATTAAATTATTTAAACATTTGCAACTGTCATTACATATCCTACTGCCAGTTAGTTTGCAAAATCCACGTTTCAATTTGCTCAAGTAGTTGATAATGCTGGTCAAATAACGGGGTTGCTTATGAACTTCATTTGCATGCCATAATTGTGCACTAATTGTGTTTTTTACTTTCGAATTGACCCCCAAAGTAGCGTTGGAAGCAGTTTGAAACGATGAAAATGGCATAAAATGCCCAAATCAGCCATGTTTATGTCTCATTTGGCTAAGCGTTCTTCAGTTGTACGTTAGATCGTTTAGCCATATTCTACGCGTTTAGACCTAATCATGCATTTAATAAATTACACCTTTCATCAGCCACTTGTTTGGAACTTTCTCTAGAACGAAAGCAAGAAATAATGAAAAAATTGAAGCTTCTCATTTCTCCGATTTCTCGCACCCTGCTTTTTTATCAGCCCTTTCTGGACCGATGAAGGAGCTGGTAATGGAAATGCTTCCGAATCGGACCAGAGTGAAAGTGAAGACGAAGAGGAGAAAGACAAAAGACAAAAGATATCAAAGGGTGTGGATGACGGGAAAGATGTTTTATAATTGCATGTCATGTAACATGCATTATTTTACAGATTACTACAATTTAAGCCCTAATTTGGGTGTGATGGATCCTTGAGAAATAGGAGAGATCATACAAAGGCGTAAATTTAGGATCATGATGGTTTTGCATAATTGCAATTATCTCACAAACCCAACCTGTTTAATTTCAACGTGTCTCTTCTAAATGTATGAAATAATATTTATATTTACCATTCGAACCACTGCGCGACGAACGACTGGTGTGAATAGTTGACCCACCAATGGACAGCGGGGTCCAGCTGTAATGTACAACAATTATACCCAGTTAGTAATTTTCGGTATTATACAAATTTCCATAATTGCAAGAATGTTGATATTTTTACGCATTATTATGAATTGTTGTTAAGAACGAGTGGTTCATACCGCGACATTGCCGTGAGAAGAAGCGGCACAAGGAGGGCGGAGGGTGAGATCGCTCAAGGAGTGGAGAAAGGGCCACCTGAAATAAAATGTCGACATCTAATTGACTACTTTCACTCAGAAGAACGGATGTGTCCCATCATTTTTGTTTGTGTACATGTCTACGTAACTGGAATTATGGTAAATGCTAAATGTAAACCTTACCAGCACTTCTTCGGCCTGGTTCTTCCCTAAAAGGTCACCCGCCTGAAATTATACAAGCACATTCAAACAACGAGTCAACAAACTTATTTACTTGCTCAATATATTCACAATATTCCAGCACATTCATCATCATCACAACCGAGGAGGGTAGAACCAAAGTGTCAAATTGTGAGTGCTAATTCGTGCTCATTTTCCATCCAAATACGTACTGATAAATGCTACATATTTATGTACGTTTGTATCCTAACAAGTTATGCAGCTTTCAGGGTACCATAATTTCGTTAGGTTAAATTTCGCATGAAATGAGACTTTCTTCTACCCCTTTAACCAATGTGCTTCAAAGCAATAAGTGTTAAGAAGGAGAAATTATGCATACAAAATTTCCTTGTGTAATTTCCTGGTGTAAACAAGACGGAAAAGGGCGCGCTTATAAAATGCAAATGACCTGCAAAATGCTACACTCCATTCCAAACCAATTATGCTCAATCAACAAAATCAGTGCTACTTCTTGCATTTGTGCCCAAACTTTGACCAACTTTCCATCAAATTACCCTGCTGATTTTCCAGAGATGCCTGCAAAGAAGGGAAGGCGGAAATAATGCAAATGTTGGAATTTCAATTAGAGACTCTGGTTTGGCTCAGAATATGAATGAGAAAATCAGTTTTCACTCGCTATGTAAATTCAGCCCGAGCCGTAAAAGACACGTGTTCAACATTGAGCTGCCTACCGTATCTGCAGTAGTTCTCCAAGTTTCAGGGCATATGCATTGTTGTACTTACGGAAAGAACGATGTACTTACATTCTCGAGCTAATTATCACTTCCAGTCAACTTACTATTACATACAGATATTGATTACGAAGCAAGTTCTTACCGAGTCCAGCAGGTTGGATACGATTTCAATAGGAACATGAGAAACGCAGTCGTCTTGGAGTGGCGTTGTAGTGGCAAAGTCAACCAAACTCTGTAGAGAACAGAAAACATAATTAAGTACGTTCAACTTGTCAAATATGTAATGAGTTTTATGTAACAGAATGCTTTCATCATTTTTGTTTGATCATCGCCTAATTTAAATACTTGCCGTAATATTTCATTCTTATGCAACCTAATAAAATATACGTTTAGATAATATATGTACACACGATGTGTCTGATTGTGCACTTATTCCTTGTTACCAATTCCATTTCATGAGGATGTCAATAAATAACATGAAATAAAGCGCAATCAAAGTACAATAAGGGACATTAGGAAATGCCCCAGAGTGCGACCAATCACATCCCACGACACACCGAGGATGATAAGAATCTTCATTCAGTTTACGTCAGATGACTTTTATTCTGCTACATTACGAGGCCAATGAAATAACCGTATGTTTCTGGGAGAGAGAGAGAGAGGAAAAAAGTGCATTTCCACTTTTACGTACACGGACAGCTCCTTTTCTCCGATGTAAAAAGATAAGGGTTGATATTTGCAAACGGTGAAATCGTCAAGAAGAACCGCAGAACGGAAGAAGCGCGTCCGCACAATAGGAACGATTTACGTTTGCTTAACATTTTAAGTTGATGGGAGCCATTAAACTTTTATAAATGAGATTCTTGTTCATTTCACTAAGTTTTTGCCACTAAATTACATCACGCTCACATTTCTCTCACTCTGCAGAACTGCATCTTTTATTGCAATGGCATTTAGGGTCGTGTGTAGTGTGGTGTACGATTACGATTACCGCAGTTAGCAAATAAATAGATAAATCTCGTGAGCAAAATTGCTTCCGTCAGAGCGTAGGAGCGGCAATGTGGATTCTCTCTTAAGCCGAAATGGCCTCCTTGTTTCTCATCTTTTCCCAACTTTCTCCATAAACAAATTCTTCCATAACATGGCTGCCAGGTTTCCTGCGTCGTTAGCAAATATGTCGTTGGATTGTGAAAGAGACCCAGTCGTTGGGGCTGGCAGAGGAAAACAAACGCTTTATGCACACCACTCACGATACATGCACCATTTATCATCCAGTTTAAATGAATCATGTTCATAATCGTGTGTTTGCCTCGTTAAAAATAAAACTGCCATGCTCAAATCTGACGATGGCTTTTCCGAGCAATCCATTTGGCTAATTCAAAATAGGAAGGTTGTAAAAATGCGAGGAAATCCTAGCAGTAATATCAGGATGATTAGGGAGGAAAATTGGATGCTGGAGGGCAATCATCATCATCATTTCCAACAACTCGCACTATTTCAGCCCCGAGAGAAAGCTTAAAAAGGGTAAAAACACGAGTGGATATCTTGTTTCAGAGACGACCCAACTAATTATTCCGCAAATTCAATTGAGAGACATACGTACGCACGCTGAGTGGTGAATTATGTATACCGAAAAAGAGTGCCAGTACTTCTACGAAGGATTGGACTAGAAGTTTTCGAAGAGGGTCGGTGGGGGACGCAGAGCGGACTGACGGGGCGATGAGGAGAGACCGGAGTCAATAGCATCGTGGGCTCGCTGATCCTGAGTTTGTTTCTCGCAAGGTTTATCATGGGCCGGGGTGGGTTTCTTGGTATTTAGGTTTGGTTTTAGGTTGTTGAGATTGGTGGGTGGGTGGATGGTTGGCGGTGATGAGTGGAGATGGAGAGAGAAAAAGCTTTCAAGTCAAACACAGATAAAATCTAATGGAAATCAATATTAATGCCCTTTCCATTTGGCTTTCTCCAGTCTTTCAAGATCTTGATTTTTTACCAACTACCAACTGATTCCTACTGATTCCTTCTCCAGAATAGACGCGTCCCTCAGCAGAGGTATCCATGCTGACTCACTACGTACGCCTTTGGATGATGGTGAAGAAGATATGCGGGCTTTGGTGGGGGTTTTATCCTCTCCCCAACACAGACACACCTATGTTGCATGCACGATCTGTCCATGTCACCATTAGGAAGAGCATCATTATTTCAATGACATTTCCTTCGTTGATACTCGGACGGAATGTCGCTTCGCACGTCACATTAGTGCTACAACACGTTTGCGAAAGTAGGCGTATGATGAGTTTGTCACTGGAGATGACAATGCGGGAAGTCCATGATAAGTCCGCATGATAATGGAAAGGTGATATATTTGTACTTTTGTGAGCACTCATCATACTTTTGTCTATATAGGTCAGCTATTCTGGTCGCGTGCGTCCTTAATATTGCGAATTTCAAAGAGAAAACGTGGGATTGATGTCGGTCGGTCTGACGCAAGTTTTTGTGAACCAGTTTCATTACATTTGCATGTGGGAGACCCTGCGGTCCGTCATGGTTCATATCTTTTTTAACGGAGATGACCAAGTTCATGATTCATAAAACCATAATAAAATTCCACTTGGTCGTAATTTATTGCTTTCGCCTACACATATTTATATGATGTATGAATATAAATGAGGTGATGTATGTTAATTTCATTCAGTGAAAGTGTAGAGGAAGTGTGAAAGCTCTAATCTCCCGCCTTAATAATTGAATTCTCCTTCACTCCTCATGCAGATTCTCACAAAATATGCATTAACTACATGTTCCGAACACTAGAATCCCCAGTGTTATGTGCGTATTGTTCGTATCATCAGACCACTCTCGGCCCTCGAATGGGTTCCAAACCTTGAAATGAATGGTGTTTGGGTATTTCTTAAGAGAATTGGGAAGAGCAAAACATTTCCGATAAGTTACTGACCCGCCAGTCAAGAGCTTATTCATGTCAGATCGAGCGAGGGTATCAATTCTCCAAGAATTCTCAAACTTCACTATCAAGTTTCAATATCAGACATCCAACTGATAGAAATATGGAGTGTATATGGATCGACGGGGTGGAATTTACAATTTCCTTCCACTTTTTGAGCCTTGAATATAATGTGGTGCAACATGCCATGATCGCAAGTCCATAAATTTCCGTATAAAATCCTAGACTGTGTGGGGCGGAAGATATTGCAAACTTGATTTATGTCCATTTGCATTTCTCAACTACATATCCGATCACAAAATCCTACCAGGCCAAGCAATAAGCGCAATAGCCCCACTGCGTATGTACCACCACCACCAAGGAAGAGGAGGAGGAGGACGAGAAGCAAACAAAACTGTATCCATATTATGCACCTCTTGCTTTCACTGCCGTTTTATGTACATTGTGCTCCCAAGTAGATTTCAGGAACAATTTTCACGTTCATTTAAGTCTCCACGCACTGCCACTACTGCTTGGCGAGGGTTGACTCGTACGTAGATACGTGGGTGACTGGAGCTTAAGGTGTAATTTTGTCCAAGGAGACGCAGTGATAAATTTTCCCCAACGTGCATTAAGATTTATTGCAGGAAAGTGCTCCACGCAGAGTCAATTTTTTGTGTATTGTGCTAAATTAAAATTCATGTATTCTTGGTCTGTGGCTGGCTGGCTTTCTCCATTGTGTGCTTGGCTTTTGTGTCTTGTGTGCATGCATGCATATACCAAATCACCTCCCAAACTCCCAAAGCCGCGAGTAAATAATAATCATATTCCTCCATTTGTTACTCCACACATCACAAAAAGGAATTGCTTTGCTTTCTATTGACAAAGTAGAGGAACGAGCATTTTACCATCCTTCGTGGTGTACCATGTGAGTGAGCAAGTAAGTAAGCAAACATCCCATTGATCATACTTTTCCATGGGTTGTTGATGAGTGGCTAAATATTCAGTGCGTGTGTCGGGCTTAAAGGAAATAAGTCCGAGTGGTTCGAAATACACGAGGAGGAGGCATTGGAAGATGTATGATTACGGTGAAAGCTTCACAGCAGGGGCAATCCCGGACAGAACCAGAGAACGAAGCGTGGCTGGTGAAAGTGATGTATGTGAGATATCCAGAGTGCATATTTGTCTACACTTTAGCCACTGTTGCGGTCTGTTTATTTATTTATTTGTGCCGCATTATTATTATCAGAAGACTTTTCAGAAGGGATAAGAAGGAAGATGTCGGAACGTTGCTGGAGGGTAATAACAAACTAGAAATCACAAACCAGAATGGCAAATCCAAGCAGAAGGGACTTGTTTACTTCTCGAAACACATTCAGGATAGAAGCCACAGAAAATAAACCGAACCACAACGGTTGGAAATCGAGAAATGAGTTGTCCTCAAATCTGTCAAGTTGCTTGGTTCGTTGGTTGTGCAACGATTCTGCTCAGATCACATTTTACATCATCAAAGGTCGAAAAACGCTGGAGTCTAAATGTACTGACTGACTGACATGTACACAAAGGCAGACTTGCTATCTGCATTACTGCGGTATTACAATTTTCTTGGAAGACGCCTCGCGAGGAGGAGGATATTATGTTTTGGATTTCCAAATCAACGAGGCCATTGTACGAACGAAGGAGAAAGAAAGTTCACTTTGTCTCCTTCCAAAAGCACCTGGTTTGCATCCAGGTGCCGAATGAAATGAAATAATACGCATGGACTCGCTGACGGTTGAATGCCAAACAAAATTCTTATTTGCACAACACGACAATTTATAAAATATTGAGTATCAAACGGCCACATGATGGGAAAAATTCACTGAACCGAGTCAAAAATAGATTTGACGGGATAACATGCGATGTTGTGATGATGCTTAATGGAAAATTCATGAGGAAATTTTTCACTCATATTGTGGATCCCATCCATACATACATATTATCAAATTTGGATAACCGTCTATGACTATACGTGGATAAGCGCAAGCTCTCCATACTGATTTGTTTCCCATCGGCAAGACAATCTCTGCATTTAATTCCGCCTAAACTGGAGTGATGACTGAGTGATATATTTTTAATTGGAGATATTGGAACCTAGAAAACGGAAAATATATAATTTAAGCAGACAAGCACAACCCAAGTCACTCAAGTGGAAAATCGATCCGAATTAATCCAATTCGTTCGGATCCATTTCAAATTCAATTTAAAATTTGTCAATCCTTTCCCAGTTTTAATGGTTTCACACCCCGATGAGCCAACCAAAACAATGGAACTTTGCAATTTGATTAACCACAAACTAAAACTCTTTCATTAAAATGGGAAGTCGAAGGCCCAACGTTTACGCAACGATGTATAACGAGCTGCTGCTGCTGCGGTGATGGGATGTCGGATTCAATTAGGGTGCTGTCAGTATCAGCTCGACATCATTGTGTGCTCTTACCCTTGATTGTTGATTGCACTCTCCCATTGTCAACCAAACACCAACTTACTGTGGACAGAGAAACAAAGTGGATCTGTTCTGCTTGCGCCCTGACGCATACTTGACCTTCATCAAGTTCAACTAACGATAAGTCCTCCAATCCAACCACCTCATCAGACGACATTCCAGTCGCAATCAAGGATGTGTGGACGGAGACATTATGTAATAGTGAAACTGTCCAAGAAATTTCCAAGTTTCCAAAGAGAGAGAGAGACAAATTAAAACAAATAAGAGGTCACCTTTAGCTCCTTCAAGATCACTTCTGGACGTCGGGAAGATCGCATCAAATTCTGATACTTGAAAATGTTTTTCTGGAATGAAAAAAAGAATTTCGATTAGATGAGCAATTTATTTAGCGGAAGAGTATTTGAGAATAAAAATGTATGTAGTCAGTCAGTCAGCCACCAAAAATAGTTCGACGCGTTGGTAGAACCTCATATTGGTAATCTTATTATTGTTCCCACCAGCGAAAGCAACGAGGAGAATAACAATGGATTTATTTACTTTAGTTTCAAATTAGAGTGCATTTGTTCCATCGTTAAGTATTACTTTAAAACTCGGCAAAATTTCATCCCGAATTAGACGACATTTTGATATGAATCATGTCGAGAATTTAGAATGGAAAATGTTTCAGGTATTCCGTAGGAGGAGCAACTATAGAATTTTCCACCTGACCAGCCACCTCTGGGAACGTGGGATTTGTACGTTTTCCATTGCAATAATAATTCTCAGGGCTGGGATATGTTTGAAAAGGTGAGCACTTGGAAGTAAATAGACAACAAATGGGACACGATGTAACGTTCGCATGTGTGCTACCAAACTTGATGGGGACGTCTTATCAACTCAGCCTTCGATTTGCTCACCAAGCCCGAGATTGTGTACAATTTATGCCGATCAATTTCAATTCAGGTCGCGTTTCCGCTCCTGAAACGTGATTATTCCCGTGTGAACAAGTCGTATGGAGTCATCGAATTCGTATTATTATTATTCCTATTAGATGGCTTGACTCGAGCTCTGACTCCCCAACACCCATCCCATCATCCGCGCATTGTAACTTGGTGAAGCAAAATTCTGCTTGCTGCTGCTGCTCCCTCGATTGAAATGGGGATCACAGGGTCTCAAGTCCCAAAGTCTCAATTCTCGGCGAAATCCCAATTTGAGACTTGTGCTCACTCGCTCACCTTCACTCTAAATCCAATTGTGACGAGAAGGGCTGCATTGCGCTGCATGCATTATGATGTCTGTGTCGCCAGGTCGTGGAGGCGGAGGCCTAAAATCCTGGCCCATTATTACGGAGGAGACATCACGATACGGAAATCTGGTGAGTTACACATGTTTCACTGTGTATGCAAAATTCCCAACCTGTGTTCCTCACCAGTTCAAATCCGCTTAGCTCGATCACGACTCACTACTTTTTCACTTTCTCCCACCTCTCACCCCATTATCTCCCCGCCACAACTTTCACCGAATCCTTTATTCAAATTATTTAAACTTTTCAGCCTTTTACTCTCCTCTCCTTGATATCACCGATGGAAAGACGCAGATAAGTGTATTCAGACGAAGGAAGGGAGGGGTCGAGGAGAAAATTAAACTTTTAAGACTTTTCAGCCTACCAGGGATCAAAAGTTATTATTACATATGCCAACCAAGAACGTGTAAGGTTGAGTTTACAACTTTTCAATACTATGGATGGAAGGACACATTTATGATAAATGATATGGCTCTGACGACATACGTACAACGACGATAATACGACGATATTTATTAATTTCTTACCTTCCACAAGATGGAGTAATACCATTGGTCTCTCACGTAAGAATTTGAACCCTGGAAAAAAATGACAAAATACTGTTTTAAATATTGAAACTCAATTGGGGTTCAGTTTTCATATCATCTTAAGCAAAACGGGGATAATATTAAAGTGGAATTGGAACTTGGGACGAGTTATGTGAATATTTCTGTATGTTCAATTTGCTATAAATTTTTGAAGCATTGAGAATTGTGGTGAATTTGAGGGGTTTTCCGCTTACGACGGCTCTACATAAAACCCTCTGCACTTTTGGAGGTTGTAACTACACGAGTAACTCCAAGACATCCATAAATGTCCAATAAAATACTGAACCCATCAATCTGTATGCTTGGGGGAACAATCTGTATTTATTACCATTGGTCCTTAGATACCTGTCGTTCATCGTGTACATAGCTCCATAAAGCTGCCACGCATAAAGACAATTATCATCGACCATCAGAGGAAACACGATACTTTGTTCTTCGCACACACACACGTTGTTTCGGTGCTAGAATCGAAAATTCTTTTCAGTGATAGCCTTGTTTATTCATCTTTCTCCGTTTTATATAGGTCGTGAAATCTCAGAAACTTGTCCCTACAGCGAGCGAACAAGAGTATTTTTCAGGAAAAGAGACAAGAAGAACGCAGTAATCATCAATATCCAACCGTTCCACGATCCGCAATTTATTCACCGACGTGCATATCTCTCTCGCGCTATATTAAATATATATGTATGCCCACCTCACTTTCTCTCTCTCTTTATTTCATCTCTTATTTCCGTGCCTCCCAGTTAGTGGGTGGGACATGGATATACGCATTCACCTCTTGGTGGGATCCCAATACGGCGCCATAAAAATAATATAATGCACTTTCTATTTAATTTGGTAAATAAAGGAGAACAAGGCGTTGGTGGGTAGATTTGGGTTGTTTGAGGGCGATGGAGAAAGCAATTTCCAATCTGAAAGAGGAAATCTGTAAACGAGTTTTATTTGGGAGTAGTCGAGACAAAATGCGAGTGAGAAGAAGGAAGGAGTGCATTGTGCTGAAAATGAGATTGGAAATAATGGGATGGATACTTTCTCAGATCGTATCAAATACGGCGGAAAACCAGCCCCACCATCCCCTCCTTAACAACAACTTAAGGGACCGTTATTATTCTTCAGTTCTTCTCGTCTGATTAGGAAAACGGAGGCAAAAATGTATCACGTACAACATCCAGACCAACTCACCTTATTATTTCTTGCCCTCCTTTCTTAGATGGTGTTTTCCTCTCTCTCGTTTTAAAAATGTATGCAAGCCATAATCCTTACATTTGTATTTGTATCTGGGCGTGGCATCCAAATTTTGTTGATTTGGATGCAAATTTCCTGCACTTTTATGCTGCAAATGGTGGAACAATGAAGATTTTTTGGTGGTTTTTGGCCAATTAGATAGGTAGCCACGAATGACTCAATGTAGGGTTAATAAATGTCTATAAACAATAATGTAACGCACATGGAGGCCATGAATAAGCCATCGGGGCGTCTTATTGGGCCATTAAGCAGAAAATTCCAGGGAAGCAAGGCACATTTACTACTCGCTAAAATTTAGTGTTAATGAAGTCTACATCTGATTTCGTGGGAGTGTTAACTGCCAACGGGGCGGGAGCATGGAGGAGGAACCCATTTGTTGAGAGTTAATCTTTGGGTAAAAGCTTATCGAGGTTGTGATACTAGGCGGCTTACTGAGTACACAGTTCGAAACTTAATTAATTTCGTTCCCAAGTAGTTAGCCCAGCCAGATTCGAAATTGGATCCCCTATGAATTTCTTAATCCTAGATAAGCAGAGAGATATGAAAGTCAACAGAGATACAGATTAAATTGTATCAGCGAGTCCGGGAATGAAAAATTAACTTCTGAGCCAAGTTTCGAGCAAGTAATTTAAAAGGGTTTTGTTTGGTCGGTGATAAAAATGAGAATGAAAAGATCAGTGTGTATCTAGTCAGTGGGGCTTTGGTGGGGCTGAACTGGGCTGCATGGTGGAGACTCGAGTGATATCGCACGATGAGGAGGAACTGAGAACGACACGAGGCCACTTTCACTCATTGTGCTCCCACTTTCCCCACTTCGCTAATCTCATTCCATTCTGAGTCGCTGCATTCTTACAAATATTCATTCTTTTCTTCACAATTTATTTGTGCGGCTCAATTCGACTCCACGAACGCTGAATGTCTTTGTGTATAAACGTTCCAGCAACCACTTATTCTTCCACGGAGTGAAAAGAACGGGGACTCGTAGTATGTACGTCTAAAGTGATTTTATGTCAATCTTGAGCACAATGGCTTGAAATATGGTGATGGATTGATGTGTATGACTGACTCCATGGCTCTCATTTCCTTTATTGTTTGGTTCAACAATAATTTCGGGAAGGAAGTTGTGCTCATCCTAATTACATGTTTCCTCCAACGTACGAAAATTCCCAGCGGATCGCGTTGTAAATGAGGCAATTTTGTACTGAATATCCGAGAAGGATTTCAGTGAAGACTTATTCCGATCCGAGGCTTAAATGATCTACCGCCGAGATCAAATTAATTAGGTGTTGGGAGGGTTATTAATTACGTGGTGAATGACACATTCTCATTAACGCACTACTGGTGGCGGTGGTGACGAGGGAGACAGGCCCTTTGATTCCAGGTTCTGGAAAAGCTGCCAAATTCCGAAACGTCTCCACCGTACTTTGGGATATCCGAGGGAGCGGAGAATGGCGTCGTTAGTGACAGCAGCTTGGCTGATAACGCCATGTTCTGTCACACACTCGGTCCCGGGCTCAATGAATGGGAAGGAAGATCAATTAACACTGTCACTGCTTCTATGCCGTCCTCCCGATGATCCCACTTGCCCACATTCCCTCGACCATCTATGCACCACTTAATTTAGGGAAATTTCTCCACTTTCTCCAGTTCGAAAATAGTCGGTGGAATCGCCAGAAGTAATAAAATCATCATCGACTGAGGTTGCAGAGTTGTTGACTGTTTCAGGACTGAAATAAATGGACTGGTCAGAGTTCACAGAGAAAAGCAGTGCTACATCTACATGAGCACAATGTTCCAATAACGAGTGGTAAGTGCTTATGGAATTTGTTGACGTGCATACAAATAATCTAGTCGTGCACGTACATGCTCACTTAAATACGTGCAAACTTATGTAAGAAGTGTGGAAGGTCCGTGGGAAGAAGTCACGTTCAAAGGATTATGATATTGAATTGATGTGCGCCCTGTAAAGGTTTTTACGATTGTCATAAAGCACAGACAGGGTTCGGCTGATTAAATTACGAGGATGAATTTATTAACCATCCACACTCCTTCCCACGGAGTCATTATTTCTTCCCAACTCTTCTGATCAGAACTGAAGTCCATTAATTTTAGGGGAAGTGGAGCTGTGGTGAAAACACTCTGCTCAAGAGCTAAAGCCAAAGCACACCAAGACTTCCATTCTCCTCGAGACAAAAATCTATTCCTCTCATCCAACAAACTTTTTTGGCCCAAATTTCGCTCTCTCTCACTCACTCTCTCTCTCTTTCTTTCTCTTTGCAGCAAACGCATTACTGAAGAACACCCTTCCAACGGAGGAGACGTTGAAAATATGCTCCACTTCACCAGCCCATTAAACGGCCTTCTCCAATCTCATTTCTTTATTGGTGCTGCTGAACGACTTGGAAAGTTTCCCCGTTAGTTGCTGTTTTGTTATTGTTGAGATCAGAGATGAAAGAACGTGGACGACGACGACGTCACTTTAAACTTGTTTGATCATTCTTGTCTATTTTCAATATGGTGGAGAAGAAGCTATTGAAAATTCTTGGGATTCGTCTTCAGAGGAAGCAAAGACGAATCTCGAAATGTCGACCGCAACCTCTCTCTCCTGGCTGGCAGGGCATTGTTTTAGACAACATGAAAGTCACAATTGCACAAAGGAGGACCTTTTCCCTGTCGAACCAGCGTCTTGCTTATATGCGCGTGTACTAACAAGGCCTGTGCTGGCTGCATGCAATGTCGTGGTGGGGACGACGGATGGATGCTGACACAAGGCGTCGAGGACGACGACGACGAATCTATTGTTCTCGTTGGTGGGTTGGAGATAAAGCTCAGCCGAAGCGTTTGTAGCAGATAGTTGGAAGTGAGTGGAATTCTTGATGAGAAATAAAGCCAGCGCATAATGAAAAGAGACAAGAGATAAATTAGAAGTTGAACTGGGTGAGCTTAGGACGAGGAGGAGGATTGGAGTGTGTTGTCTGCATTCATTTCCGCCTGCACATTCCTCCCCGCTCCGCCAAACTTTCTCTCACCTTCTTCCCTGCCCGATGATGATGAGCGGTAATCATGTCTAATACAATAAGGCGATCCACACAGATTCCCCAAATTTATGACAGCTTAATGACTTACACAACCCCGCCATGTTTCTCCCCACGGTTTTGTTTTCGAATACAGCTGGAAGGAAACTGCTTAAAACTTCTGTGTAAATAAGCAAGTAGAAGTTGAGACGATTGTCTTCGTCTTGTATGCATTTGGCTTTGCATTAGTACTGATTAATTATATTTTCTTGAGATTTGATTTATAAACAGTGATTAAATCCAACTTATTTCCTAAATTACTGTAAACCTAAAAGTCAACCTTCATAAATATCCGTGTCCATTTTGCTCAGAGTGGATTTATTAGTGGGATCTTGCAGAATAAATGTTAAATAAATTGGTCGACAAGTTTGATTGAAATTGTTCAATGTCCATAAAACCTCAAATTGAGGAGTAAGCAGACTCTATATTGATGCTTAGCAAGATTTGTAGCAGGAGCGGCCATATTATTAAATATTGCTTTTGGACATTGCTCACCATAATGCTGGGGAACATTATGGGTGACGTATTGCTTGCGTTGTGACAGTGCGAACATTACATTTTATCTCGAAACAATAAGGACCATGTTCCCAGAATGCTGACTGATGTTGATAAGGCCTGGTTCAAGCCGCACATTTAAATAATGTGCGTATTGATGGCGAACATGACACGACA